TAACCCTAACCCTAACCCTAACCCTAACCCTAACCCTAACCCTAACCCTAACCCTAACCCTAACCCTAACCCTAACCCTAACCCTAACCCTAACCCTAACCTTAGAGATTCCAATACAGGTCTCTGACGCTTGGCTGAAGGGTGTGATTTCTTGAGGTAGCTAGAGGCTGATGGACACAGTGCTTGCCTTCAGACTATGTGTGCAAATACAGCACCGACAACGTATTTAATGGGTGGGCCATGCCAACGAAAATGAGGTCTAGTGCTTTGTGCCTTTCTACTAGTCATTTATTGTACGTGAAACCTCGCCTGCACGCGAGACAAGGACCTCCCCCCTCCAAAAACACGATCAAAGCTTTGAGGGAGGTCGGTTTTGGCCTGGGACCTCCTTCGCCGAGGGGCCTCCGATTCGGAAGATGTGGTCAGTGTTGGGCCGTTTCTTCCTACAAGGACAGCGACACAAACAAGGAAGGCGCCAGCTAGGCTGGCTCGCCTAATCCATAGGCAGAGACCGACTGACTCTCTCGCTCTTTGATTTTAGCTACACGAGAACGTGATCACAGTCGGTGTGGGCCGCCATCACGATGGTCATCTGCGCGGGCAACAATAGATGTCTGTATCACTTACGGGACGTCCCGGGCTCTTCAAGAGTGAGCAGATATCTCCCTAAGGATCAGAAGCCGCTGTTTTACGGATTAGTGACATTGACGTCGAGTTTCAAAGTGCTTCTACATATTCCCACCTCTACCGAACTATGGGGAAATTGTAACCATCTCCGCACAACGTATCGTATGTCTGTCCATTAGCGGCCAAAGATCGATCTAACAACCCCTCAACCACTCCTATCCTAGATCATGCCTGTTGATTCATATGGCTGGGAATATTCCAATCGGCGTAGTCTGCATGCACGAATGCGCGGTCGACGGTCGGGACACTCTCGAGGACATACTGGAGCGACTCGCTAAGGTCGTGGCTATCGCGGAGATCCATCTTCTCGTCAAGGACGATATCGACCTCAACGTTAAGTTTATCGCCGGTATGATAGGCGTGGAGACCTTGTATATAGCGGATAGTCTTTGCGAAGCGCATAGTAAGGTAGAGGAGGACCTTACGCTGGTCGGGGGTTGCTGAAACACCGCATAAATGGCGGATATGCTCGGTGCTGGTCCTCGACCAGTTGAATATAACGTAGAGAGAGAGGACTAGGCCGCCTAGTGCATCCATCCACCAGACGTGGGCGTAGAAGCCAATTAAGGGGATAATAATAGAGAATAAATTAAATACGACGTCAGTTGCGGCGTCCTGGGCCAGTGCCTGCACGGAGCTGTTCTTGACTAGGCGGCACCAGAACCAGCAGAAGCCCTTAATGGCGACGGTACTCGACATGATGGCGATGGCGGGCACCCCGAGTTCCACGACGCTGTGATCCGGCGATATTAGGCGTTTGCAACACTCCAGGCTGACCTGGCAAAAGGAGGTGATCATGATGACGCTAAAAACCAGCACGCCTACGGGCTCGAGGCGGCGGCGACCGATTGGGTACGCGTACTGGTCCTGGTGCGAGATCATCTTGGCCGTGGTCCACACAATAGCGGTTGAGAGGAAGTCGAGCGCCGCGTCGACCAGCGAGGCCAGTACTGAGAGTGACGAGGTTAATAAGCACACGGCAATCTTGCCGGCTAGTAGGATAATGTTGGCCATGAGATTAACGTAGATGGCTACCGTCACGACCGGGTCGTCCGAGTCCACCCCTTCGTCCATGTCGTCAAAGCTGATGACAAGTGAGTCTGGGATTCCAAGGCCGTCGGCATCGGTATTAGCCCCGGCGCCGTTGTCAGAGTCGTCCACGGCCTCGTCGGCGCAAGCTTTCAGCAGCGGGGTTGCCTCGTTGGGTGCGGGGAGTTTGTACAGGTTCTTCGGTGTGCGTTTCAGCCTGGTGTCGGTGGCGGTCGAGGAGGACAGGGGCAACAACCGGCCCGTCTTAGGGTCAGTACTGGGGGTGGTCAGCTGCGAGGGAGGGTGTTCGGAGATGGTGTTCATGACGCCGTTGGTCCGGGGCTGGCCATACTCTTGGATCAGGTTGTGGGGGAGCGATGAGTCGAGCAGCTTATCAATGTAGGTATATTGGGTGATGAGGAAGTTATTGCGCTCGTAGTACTTTCGGATGTGCTTCTTCATCTTCTTCAGCTCGTCCTCAGTCTTGTAGTACTGCTGCCAGTGATAGCGAGGGTTGCTCTGGCCAATTAGGCGCATGCTGCGCATCTGGGGGGTTAGGAGGATCTCGGGTCCTAGGCTCATGCGGCGCGGGTCCATCTCGGACGGTGTGCGGCGGCAGAAGAGCGACTCCGGGTCATCGAACACGCCGCGGATGCCATATTCCGCCTCGTCTTCGGTGGAATGGTGGCTGTGGAAGGAGCCTCGACGGGTTGTCTCGCGCCGGGGCAGTCTGAAGACGGAGGGGCTCGATCGAGACTGGAGGAGTCTCTGGAGTCGCTGGCCTCGCGTGGTAACGGGGTCCGGTCCAGGATCCTCACTCTGTGGGATGGAGGAAGATATGCCAGAGGCTCGAAACTGAAGGGGCGTGGACGTCTGGGAGGGAGAGTCCATTTGAACAAGATGAGGATGGCAAGCAAGGAGGTTAGGTGCCAGGAGAAAAGTCACATCGACTAATATGAGTAGACGCTGGGAGAAGAGTACTTGAGGACAAGGATCAAGAAGATGGGTAAGGAAAATGGAGGTGGAGGAAGAGTAGGAATTAGATACCTATGGAACAAGGGAAACTTGCGAACAGTTTCAAAGGTCCTGGGCAACAATGGACATAGGATGGACAAGGTCTGGAGCGACAGTAGCCCTGCTAATGTACAAAATTACCACGGCGAGTGGAATGGATCTTGTAATAGTTTCCCACTTGGAGAAGATCCCCCCACTATACCAAATTCCAATGAGGAACAGGTCACCCAGACACATGCCTTATGTTTTGCGCCTGGTAACAATGGTGCAAAGCTTGATGAGCGGCGGTGGTGAAGTCGGGAGCCCAAAATGGAAAGCAACAAGAGGGCTAGAATGCGAGCAGGAAAGCACAGGGCACTGAATTGTAACAGGATCCCGATGCGGACTGAGTCATGCGATGTCAAGAGGAAAGGGAGGATCCATAATTATTATCTGATTAGATTGGGTGTCGTGCGTTGCTTTAGTGTTGTATAGTGCTGTCTGTGCTTGGGGTTATGCATGTATAGTAGCTCCGGAAGTATTTTAAAGCCATACGAGTCAGACCATAGCGGGCCAGAGCATACGTCCACAGGTACTGCCACCTCACCTAACATGGGGGACGCATAGTGATCTCGAGATATACGTGTACATATGTGGCAGTAGGCTCTGTTTCTGGAATACAACCCCTATAATCGATCATCGATCAGGTCTGTGTCGATATAAAATGGCTATATTACTTAGTCTAGCCAGCCACATGCAGTGCCTGCACAGGTTGGAAGTGGACATGGTCTTGCTGCCTGAATAAAATACCCGAAGTCATCAAACTTTACATATACCATCTCCGAAGGAGGTTTCAACACTGCTCAAATTTCCTTCGTTCACTCTGCGGGCTGCACTATACATAGTGCTCGACGTAACCTCCTCCATCCATACTGTGATTCCGACCACCACATCAAACGTGAGGTCGAGTCCACCTTCCACAAGTGGCCAAGGGGCTTTCTTTAAGCCGAACCGCTCATTCCCGCAGTTCTTACCACAGACCTCCTATCAAGTCAGCTTCGCCGCCCTGAAGGAAGCCGAGAGCAGATCTCTCTTTAATGCCGCACCCTCGGCTCTAGAGTATGAGGCGGGACCGGAAGAAGACATTAGAATGATGCCTCAGCTTGAAACTCGCCCCACAATCACCAAGATAGTAAATAAGTTCAAGGGCGTCTACGGCGCTCTCGTCATGGTCAAAAGTGCGTACTGATCCACCTTTAGTAATCTTAGACGAACAATGATAGACCCTCATCGCAGTATATCGTACTTTGTTTGGGCTTAGTGGGAGGAAAGCTCTACTCGTTGTCTAGTCAAGACAAGTCGTCAGGATAATATTCGCGCTCATTTCGTGATGTCGGTTGCTGGACCAATGTATAGACCGAAACTACCAGGATTATTTAGCATCGAGTCGTTCCAAGGTGCTTCGTTCCATTCTAGTCGACTGGATGAATGGCTAAACCAGTTGATAATCGCGTTGGCATCGTTGAAACGGGAGCCACGGCAGTCCAGCTCGTACCCCAGTTAGCTGAACACGCGAAAGAATTATTCGTCTTCCAACGGACCACGTCATCGATCGACGTCCGCAGTGACTCGCAGACGGAGTGAGAATGGGTTAAGACGCTTGAGAAGAGATGGCAAAAGTGCGGACTAAGAACCTCACGACAATTCTTGGTGGAGGACATCAGGGAGTCGATCTAGTCTGCAAAGCCTGGACTGATGTGTTTGAAATGTTTCGCATGGACGCTATGAACAAGCTTAAAGAGGCTGATGAAGCTGCTTCTGAATTTCAACTGGCTGATGTCAACAAGATGGAATCTATCCCGAGACCGGATCGGATCGGGGTAAAGGACCCTAGGGCTGCTGAAAGTCTGAAAGCATGGTATAACTACCTATACAAAAGACCCTGGTGCCACGATGGATACCTCCAAGCATTGAATCAACCTAATGTCCTTCTGGTGGATACCCAAGGTAAAGGGGTGAGCGCTATTACGTCAAAACGGATAGTATTCGAGACAAAGAGTACGAAATCGACCTGATTATCTACGCAACGGGTTTCGAAATCTTGACCGACTGGTCTCAGCGCTCCTATGTTGAGGTGTGCAGCCGAGATGGAGTGACATTGAACGACAAATGGATAGATGGGGCCGCTACATTCCATGGCTGGACGGCTCGTGATTGTCCAAATTACTTCTTCATCCACATGGCGCAGGCGGCACAGCCTAGACGCTATACACATGTTTCACTTGAGCTTTTCAACCACGTCGCCCACGTGATCCCGGAATGTCAGCGTCGAGCAATCAAGTCTATTGAGCCTACGGAGGAGGCTGAGAAGAAGTGGACTGAGGAAGTCCTCGACAAGGGCAGATATCGATTCAATATCCTCGCAGAGTGCACACCCAGCTATCTCAACGGAGAAGACAATATGAACGGCAAGACGATCCGAAATGCTTGTTACGGAGGAGGTCCATCCACTATTAAATTGAAACATGATAAAGGATTGGAGAGTTGCCAACAAAGTGGACGGCCTGGACATCAAGTATGATGGGACGGAGAAGATGCAAGGCAAGTGTTGTGAACTGCGGCAGTGGAAGCATATATTGTTGTTATTCTCTGTCCACGCTTTCAAGATATGGAGTGTGTGGGTAGGGTGGAAGTAGGACTCTAGAAGTTTCCTCACAATTTCCAAGTATGCGGGATAATTCCATAAGTCTTTCGTCAATGTCATGATAAAATGAACTGAGCCTTGTATCACAACATGGCTATCTTCACCAGCGCACCGGCAATCATTTTACAGCTACATCAGGCTTTGCGTCACGTGTCAGTCTGACCACATCGCTGTGTGGCTGCTCTAGTGCCACCTCAACACCGTCTTCAACATCTGTACCACGAAGATGATCTTGGCTTTACGAGTTGGCAATCTTTGTTTTGAGGCACATTGGTTGTGAATACTCCGTATGCTGTCACTGATTAGGGGGACATCCTTGGCGGTGTAGCGCTTGTCTCAACCAAGCTAGTAAACTCAAGTCTTCATTGCTAGGCTCCCCACAGAAATTCCTGGGCAGTCAACTTTATTATCATGCGAACCATTCACTACGAAGGTTGCTCCGCTCCAGATACAGGGCGCTCCACTTCTACTGACCCATATTCTCCTAAGTAATATTAGTGCCATCGGTCAGAGGAAATAAAGGCTTACCTCAACATGCCCTATATCAGTCAGGAGCGTCGCGCCGTTCATTCGAATCAGCTGAGGTTGCGAAATTTCCTCGCTACAAGCACGTCAATCAATCTGTATAATTGCCCTTTCTCAATGAAGTCGCTTCTGGAACCACGCCTTGCGATCGCAACACTATGGAGCGAGAGTCCGGCATCGAAAGAACTAAGCTCTACTGCTTGGATGAACGGCCTTAGAGGATGGGCTGCATTCTCAGTTTTCAACTTTCACTATTTATTTGCCTTCACTGACATCGTCTCGATTGGCTATGGTCATGATCGAGACCACAGACATATTTTTGCACTACCTCCCTTTCGACTACTTTACGACGGCGGAACGTGTGTGAACATCTTTTTCGTCATCGCCGGTTATGTTTGCTCAAACCAAACGTTGAAACTGGTGTCATCAAAACGAATGCCCGACCTGGGGAAGACCCTCTCCACTTCCTTGTTTCGTCGATGGTTTCGACTCTACTTGCCATGTATGTGCATGATGCTCATCACCGCACTCATGACTCACTTTGGACTATTCGGCTTCACAGATGGTATGATGGCCGAGAGGGCAAAATTCTTTCCCGGGCCTCTGGCTGAAGATAATCTCACACGATTCGGCTCTTTGAGACAGCAGCTTGGATTCTTCGCAACTGAACTATATCAGCTAATTGATATATGGAATGTCGACCCTGTGTACGCAAAGCATGATCCACACTTATGGACTATTCCATATGAGTATCGTGCATCTATCCATCTATATCTCACAATCTTGGCCCTGGCGCAGTGTCACTGCTTTGTCCGTCTGGGGGGATTTGTGGCACTCTCGGCATTACACCTGAGCCTGGGGAGATGGGAGATGCCCTTGTTTCTCCTTGGTGCTGCCATCGCTCAGTATCGGATCATTTGCGACAACTCGTCTTCATTGTTGCCCAACAGCCGACAATCCGAACAAATGCTCTCGAATGTCGCACAGATTGGGGAGAACAGAAGCCCTTTGAGAGAAAAGGTCTCAAAGGGAGTACGCCTATTAGCTTTCGTCATGGCTCTATACCTCATGACCTACCCTATCGCTGGATACAAACGGCCCGCACCTGGATATATCTGGATCAACAATTATATTCCACGCTGGTATAAGCGGAAGGAAAAGCTTCCTAAGTCGATTGGGGTCCTTATGTTTATATACTTGTTGGTCACTTCCCCAGAACCGCGATCGAGCCAATGGCACAGATTTCTAGTTTGCAGACTCTCGCAATACCTGGGTCAAATTATGTTTGGTCTATATCTGGTACATGGACCTATCTTTCACGCCATCGGATATGCGATTCCCCACTGGATTTGGAGGTCTGTTGGGAACGATTCACTAGCAACGTCCTGCTTTGGTATTGGAGTTGGGTGGTTGCTAAGTCTCGCTTTGTGTGTCTGGACGGCCGATTTCTTCACGAGGCACGTTTGTGAATGGAGTAATATGCTCACGCGGAAAGTTGAAAAAGCTTGCTTCCTGACTTAGTGGATAAAGGAAAGCCGCAAGTCTTATATGCGATAGATCAGAAATTGGTCTGCTGGAATAGGCAATGAACCACTTCCTCATGAAAGTTAGATATTCCGAAGCGTTGAATCCCCCTTCAAATCTCGCCCGTAGAAACCAGAGCATATAATGAGTTGAGGTACTGCTCTGCGACCGTGATTTACACCTTAGCGGAGGAATGGCTAATGTATGTATAGCCTGGAAGCAGCGCCTCTGATATCGAAACACCGACTATGAGGGTGTGAGATGCTGTAACGCTACCTCTTCTCTCTCGTGGAAAATATCGAAAGTCATGTTACTAGGTACTGATATGTCTATAATGTGGATGACCATACCATATCTTATAAGTAATGTAATGACAAGCATGTATTATTGGAAGAGTGATGCTCCTGCACTACGCTTCAGACCCTCAGCTTCCACCGCACTGATGAACTGTCCTGGCATATCCGCGTCAGTCAAACATTGGCTGACTTTGAGGTATGCGTCTCTGAATTCAGTCCAGAGGGCAACATCTCTGGCATCCTTGGCATGGGGCCGTGGGTAGTATGGGTCATTCCAAAAGAATCCCTGTACCAACTGTTGAACACCTTGGTTGTCTTTTGAGAACTCCTGGCACTGATCAAAGTCGAGGAGCCAGATGCCGACTGAACGGTGCTCGAAATCGAAGTCTTGTTTCGTGGAAATAAAGTCATCCTTGTTTGCGTTTTCGAAGTCGCTGGGAGCTGCTTTCATCTTTACCGCTGGGCTTGCGCCGAGTACAATTTCCACATCATTGGCATCAAGTCCGGCCTTCCAATGCATTATCGCGAGAATCTTTCCCATAGTGGTCGCATACATCTCGGTCGCTAAGCCTAAATACTCCATCTCGTTAACTGTCATGTCAAAATTTCTTAGCTTAAAGGTGCCGGTCCTTTCCGCTCTGCGTCCGAGATAGAGGCGAACGAGGCAGTCGTTATTGGCGGGCTCTTGGAGGAAGTTGGCCTTTGCTCCGTTGATGTTCTGAGGCGCCAATTTGTCAACGATAGCTTCTCGTAGTGGCAGAGGAAGAGGATAGATCCTTGACGAGACAATGCCATATTCAGCTTTGTATCCCTCCGGGAACAACGACAGGTGTTGATCCCAGAAGACTTCATTACGGGGGTGCACCCAGCCGCCAACACTAGGAATGTTGACCTCTCTACGGAGCACGATGGAAGCTAACTGAAAAGCCGATACGACTTTCATATGTCGTAAAAAGTCATTCCATAGGCCATCTGATCTGTTCAGGTTGGCTACCTTGACGACCTGATCGGTGCCCGTTAACGCCCACACAGTTCCGGTTTGACCCTTTCCAATTTCAACAAAGGGTCTCAGCTCGTAACAATCCTGAGTATCGTTGAACTTGGCGGGAAGGGACGATGAGGTGGAGGGGCATGTATTGTGGCATAGTAGTTGTTTGGGGCTGTACCGATTGATGACCATATCGTAGATCAAACGGAGCCCTGAGACGGCGGAGCGTAAACCAGACACCATGATTGATCGGAGAGAGTTGGTGATCGAGGCGATAGACAAGTCTGTGGTGTTCTCTTGACAGCGGGACACGATCTTCGTAATGAAAGTAAGTCGTTTCATGTCAAGTTTCGGTCAAGGAGGCCTTAAAGTAAGAATGAGAGAGAAGGCAGAGTTCAGGTGCTCATAGCATGAGAGGGGAGGTGGAGCTCAAACCCTGAGGTTGACATGAACCTTCTGGCTCCATACACACTCAAGCAGTTTGATCAACTCTAGCACTGTGTAGAATGGTCCAGCCACCCTAAGGGAAGGTAGCTCTGGTAGATGGACCCTTATGGGGTTAGAAAACCCGTCTTCTATCACTAATTATGGAGTAAAGTCAAGGTTTGCCAGGCAGGTTTGCCATCACTTTGTTTTTAACGGAGACTGATGCATACAGCGCGATGAAGTCTACTACAGACGCCTTCTTCGACCCGCTGTTCTGCGCTAAACCCAGCCTCTAAAAGGTTGTGGTATGCTCTCTTAGCTTCTGCCCTACCCTCCTCATCATGGGACAAGGACTAAAGTGTAGTAAGTGGAGTAAGGAAGTTCTCCGACAGAAGCCGGACAGTTGGCATCCACACGCCTTACATATAAAGCTTCTGGTCAAGAAAGTCCGTAACTTAGTTTGCTCTGCGCAACCTTGTCGTCGTCCGCGCCGAAGACTCCATCTCCAGCAATCTACACAGCTTCGCAATACAGTTGAACCTCATTTGGCTTAGAATGTAGCCTAGAACTTGTAGTGTACTCCGTAGAGTGGCGACAATGGCTGTGGGATAATCTGCCAACGTTGAGCCAGGCCACTTGCCTCGACATAAAGCGGCAAATCATATCCCCAAAAAGGTTGCCAAGAGGTTGAGCTGGACCCCAGTATACCATTGCTATCAGATCGAGCCCAAACTTTCATAGATTGGTCCAACCTGCTCGAGTCACAAACACACATCCTCAATCCAGCAGCATTCATGGCACAAACTGACAGCTCTATCCATATTGCTGTGTTGACAATATCTGGGGCCCAGGAACCAGCTCCCCAAGCTGACCTCGACGTCGACATCCGTGCCGATCATAGCAGGGTCGCACCTGATGAATCCAGCAATCTCCCACCAGTCGACAAGGGCCGTGTAGCATGGCGGCTACTATGGGCAGCTTTTATGTTTGAGGCGCTGCTGTGGGGGTTCCCGTTGTCATTTGGGGTTTTCCAAGATTACTATTCACGACTGGCAGAGTTCCAAGACAGCCGATACACGTCAGTAATTGGGAGCACAGCGTCGGGGATTTCGTACCTTGGGGCCCCTTTGATCCTTCCACACGTGCGTCGGCGACCAAACCATCGCACTCTAATGATCATGGTTGGTTGGCCCATGTGTATCGTCGGCCTGGTTGCGGGTTCCTTCGCCGCCACCCTTGGTACATTGATCCTCACACAGGGTGTCATGTATGGCATCGGCTTTATCATTTTCTATTACCCAATCCTCACCATGGTCGACGAGTTCTGGGTCCAACGCAGAGGGATGGCTTATGGTTTATTATGCAGTGCCTCTGGCGCCTCGGGGGCGATCATGCCTCTAATTCTTCAGAAATCACTCGCCCGTTTCGGCTATCGAACAACCCTGCGAGCCATTGCTGTCGTTCTGCTTATCACTACCGGTCCTTTGATTCCCTTACTTAAAGGTCGTAGTCGTCGTCGTCATCATCATCATCAATCCACAGCTGGCCTCAGAACTGATTGGTCGTTCTTTCATTCCTCACTCTTCTGGATTTACAGCCTCAGCAATTTGCTCATGGGACTCGGCTATTTTTTTCCGTCCCTTTATCTGCCATCCTACGCCAACGACATCGGCCTCGGTGTCGCCAAAGGCGCCTTTCTCCTGACCCTGATGAGCATCTCTCAAGTTGCCGGCCAATTCATTTTCGGCTATTTATCAGACAAGAAATTGTCCTTAAATATGCTGATGACGGTGTGTCTATCCATGGCGGCCGCTGCCACCTTTGGCACCTGGGGGAGTGCTCGTTCCATGCTGCCACTCGTTGCCTTCGCATTACTGTACGGCTTCTTCGGCGCCGGGTATACCGCTATGTGGGCTCGGATGGTTACAAGCGTAAGCAGTGAACCTTCTTCCTACCCAGCCATGTTCAGTCTGTTTTGTTTTGGTAAAGGTGTGGGCAATGTCCTGGCAGGTCCTATTGGGTCGGTGTTATTGCGGCCAGGGAGGAACGATAATGGCTACGCACATGGCACCTATAAGCCCGTCGTCGTCTTTACCGGGGTGTGTTTGTTTTCGGGTGCCTTGATCCTCGCAGCACGATATTTCCGATTCAAGTAAAAGGGGGTCTCTTGCAACATCACCGTATCGGTCGTTAAAAGCACTGCCTGAAGGATAGATAATAATTGGTACATGGTATGGAAACTCGTATCTTGTGTTGAATTCGCTGGCGTCAGCCCACCCAATAGTGATCAAGGGTTTTGGACCTAAAGCTCGGGTCGGGGATTTATGTAAATTCATACCGTGTAGAACGGCATCAGAGGCGGCATTCATGACATGCATATACAGCAGGGTACAGAGAAACCCAACATTTGTTATGTGGGAGACATTCAGAGGAATCGTTCCCATGAAAACGTCGATACATGGCTTGGATCCTGTCTCAGAAACGTGAAGCGAAAAGTAGCTACGGGAACCCCAAAGACATCTTTGAAACCCATATACAAAGTTAGTCCATATCATCAAGTCTTGGTGTTTAGTGTATGCCATATTTAGCATGGGCATCGAATGAAGATGAATTTGAACACCTTGCGTCCGAATGAAAGTTGAGTCTCAAATGGGCCCTGACGGCTGCGTAGGGGCGTGGTGAGAGAAAAGCGCAGTCACCTTATGGGAACATATATATCATTATGGGGAGAATGGACGCTGCCACTGCTGGTCGATCCACGACCGCTTTCGGGCGGGTACGCCCCTCTTATTTTGTCTCTCAGGCACGAAATCTTGACGAGACCAGAGCATAGCATGTAGTGTGTGCTGATGGCCCGGAGAAAGCAAGGGACCGAGCTTCGTGGACCCACGGAGCTGTGCTTGACCAACTGGACGCGAAGGTTACTGTTGAGGAATGCCGCAACGTCAAGTGTGATGGTGCTGAGTCTGCCCGAAAGTTGAGAAAGGCAGACTTGAAGGATGATCCTTCACTTCCGGTTCAAAAGACTCAAGAACTCTTCTCGGGTCTTTGCACTACTTCTCATAGCACCCAACATGCAACTGGTAGTTGTACTGCTGGCAGTCTTTTGGACACCTCTCATGACCATGCATAAATGGCTTGATTCCATGACAACGGCGACGCCTTGCGGTTTCAAGACTTCAGCTATGGCGAGGGCGACTTGCTTAGTCAACCTCTCTTGAACTTGCAATCTCCTCGAAAACATCTCAGCCAGTCGAGCCAGCTTGCTTAGACCGAGAACCCTTCTGTTAGGAATGTAGCCAATATGCATTTTGCCAATAAAGGGGACCATGTGGTGTTCACACAGGCTAAAAACTTCAATGTCCTTGACAATGACCAATTCATCATGGTCCTCGTGAAAAACTGCGCCGTTGACCAGATCTCGGACGTTCTCTTCATACCCTTTTGTGAAATACATTAAGGCTTTGGCATACCGATCAGGAGTGTCGCGGATGCCCTCGCGGTCGGGGTCCTCTCCAATGCACTCGAAAATTGTTCTGACTGCGCCGGCGAGTTTGTCAAGTCGAGCCTGGGCCTCTTCTGGAGTCTGTTCCAGTCTTTCTCTTGTGCCAATGCAGGGCCAACTGAGCCCATCAAAGTCGATGGGAGGGTTCATTGTATAGGGACTGGCGGGACGCGAGGCAGTGGCAGGCGGGGTGGCAGGGGCTTCATCGCGAATGTCCCTCGCAGGGTCGTGCAAAGTAGGCCTCTTAGGGTCGGACGAGGGATCACCGTCGGTCAGGCCGGTCCACGAGAGAGCAGACATATGACGTGAAGAAGACTGAGGATCACCTAAATCAATAGTCTTTCTCCTACCATATGTACTTCGAATGGACGAGGCCAAACTCTCTCGTTCTTGGGCCCTAGACTTGGTGGGAGGGCGGAGAGGAGACCCTCCGTTCAACAAGTATGAAGGGACGGCCGAGCGAGGTTTTGGGTATACAGGACTTGGAGAGGGGATGTTTTCGTCGGTGGGGGAGACTCGTGGAGGGTGCTGACTCATAAAGGGCGATGGACGAAGTCGAGGTGAGGTTGAGACGGCAATTTACACGGCCATGGTGTTGGCTGCTATGATGTTGAGAAGCCTTTGTGGATAGAGACAAGTGAAGGTCGATCGAGTTAGACGATCGGTGTGTCGTTTGTGAAAAGGGTATGAGAAGAATGGCAAGAATTCGTGAGTCCTAGGTGCTATGTGTTATTAGTTCAATTAGATCCTGGTAACTTCGCGAAATCTGGGGTCGTAAATGACTCTTTTTTTTTCTTCCTCCGTCATGGGAGGAAATCGGACAAGAAATCCCACAGGCGAGTCGGATGGGTGGTCGAGTTGTCCCCGCATCCCTGGAAGTACGATAAGCGCAGAAATATGCCCCTAGGAGGCGAGCAGATCCGATAATCGTAGGATTGAGATAGGCATGAATGCAAAGGGGTTTAACCTGAATTAGGCACCAAAACGCCTAACTCGCCACTCTTAACTGACCTGTCAGTTAATGTGCCCACTCCTATGCGGCATACCTACCTACCTACTTGGTCTTGGCTTAGATACTAGGGACCTCAGAGTAGGGATTACTGTTCGGTGCTTAAAGTGTACGGGCATTCCAGGGCCTCGGGGCCTCTCGGCACCCATCCGCCCTTGTAATAGAATGCAAGATTTACGGCACCCTTTACCTAAAAGGCTTTGGAACTCCAGTCCACGAGTCAGTTCTTATGGCATGGGAGCCCTCGACGGCTTATGGGATTGCTCCAGCAACAGGACTCATGAGAGACCTCATATCACAAATATGCCCATGATCTCCAAGGTATACGGCGCGCTCTGTCTTTTCCGGAGACAATTCAGCATTATCTCGGTAGTCCGCACTCCCCAACGTGGCAGTATGATCAGACGTTAAATTCCGACATGTGAACAACTGGAACTGGGAGAGAGGGAAATGTGTCTCATATTGATTGTAGTCATTCTTCTTCGCACAAGACCCTATTTACACATGAAGCCACTTCCAACGACAGTTCAGCCCCTCACATGAAGGTCAAGGCCAACGCGCTGGCCACGCTAAGCCCAACGACAGTCCAGCCAGTATAAATGACTTGTTTATTCGTAATGCCAGCGCCAGTATCCCAAAGCAAGTGTCTCAGTCCGTTCCAACTGTGAAAGGCGAAAGGGAATGCGAAGAAGGCTTTGAATCCAACTTTGACTAGGATGGGAAGGGCGGCGAAGCTTGCTGCGAGCGAAGCAGACTCGAGGTGCCATCCGAAAAGAGGTGCGGCGAGGTATGCGGCTCCGAAGGCGTACACGGCGCCTGACACCGTCACGCCTGTGATTCGATTGAGGGCAGAGAGGTACCATGTTACTTGTGGTCGGTAGATGGTGAGATGCGGCGACACAGGTCGATTCAGCCGTTGCTGAGCGAGGATTTCTTGACCTTGTGATTGCGAGACGGTCGATGATGAAGCTGGTCTGTAAGTAGAGTGCTGGTCAGCATAATATGTTTCGAGACGGTGCCACGGGCGCAGGATCCTGACACTCCTCCGAGGGGACGGTACTATGTCGCGTTCAAGGGCTAAGTTCTGACCTATACTGAACATTTCTACCCAGAGCGATGGCTGCGGGTGCTGGTAATCTCGACAAAGGGGTCTTGCCAAAGGTCGAAGTGTTGACACTGATCACTGTGATTCAAGCCGTCAGGTTAGCTTCATGTTTGTGACTAATTCGGGTGGCACTTCTCACATCGCCGGGCGCTGGTCTGCAGAGCCCTTCGAGGGATCATGTTGACTGACATTGCCGGCGTCCAGATGGCAGACAGGTTGAATAATCTGAGGCTGTGATCGGATGATTGAACGAGATTGAGAGCTTGACTGCTGGTCATGTTCCGAAGCTGCTCGGCAGAAGTCGCTTGGCCGTCAGCACGTGACTGGCATTACCTTCACCGACATTATGATTGGCTGGGCGCTGCCGTGCCGCATGCGGTAGGCTTACCGATACTCAAGCCTCACACATCCGAAGACGACTTATCCCCTCTGTCCTACAGAAGAGCATTTGGCGTTAAATAGCGTTGGTGAAGTAATGTAACCAGCCACATACTCCCTGGAGTGCAAGCCAAATACTTCAGCTCGCCCCTTTATGCCTAATCCTTCTCTAACCGTTCACTTCGACCTGTTTTGATCAAGTGGACCTCGTATCCACCATGGTTGAGTGCCAGCTCTTGCTATCTCTTCGACAAACATGCGATGCACTGATAAGAGCTATCAACGACTACCTAGGTAGGTATCTGGGTATCATTGAGGTAATTGATTGTGGGCAAGTCCAACTAACTAGGAGGTGTTCAAACCCTCATGTCTTCAATGAATATATGTCTTGCCTCAGAGACCCATGCGGTCCGCCGTGGATGTTGCGGAGTTCCTTTGACGCGCGCGATACCCAAAATCCCGGGCCTATATGACGACCAGACCCCGGCCCCAGAAGTCATCTCTGGGCCCTGACGAAGCGCTCGCTTCGTACAACAATGTTGGTCAGTACGTATATCGAGATCCATCATGTCTTTACATCCATGCGAGGCAAAGTGGTTCCTGGCAGGCAGCAAAGCAAACCGAGAGGGCAAGAAGTACCAACCTCGACCACAACCTCAACTGAGACCCTTGTTAAGATTTCGTGATTTGAGCAAAGGGATAGAGCCCACGAGCTCAGCAGTTCAAACGACCCTATGTTTTCGACAATCGTCATGCGAGGCGTCGAACGACCCAGGTTGATTTATTGATAGACGCGACCAATTCTCGATTGACAGCGGGTGAACGTGAGATTCTGGCATTCTTGTACCATGAACATATTTAGCTGGAAGACTGCGATGGCACAATTGATGAGAGATACCGAGAGAGGAGGAGTGAGCTAAGACGAGTGCGAGAGCTTCACGAATACTACCGGCAGAACAGGTTAAAATGGATAGCATGACCTGGTTCAAATCAATGCTGAATTGGCTGTCGAAAAGTAGAAGAGTACCACTAGGTTCATCCATGGACATAACATATTTTATCTCAAGAGGGCGTGGGCAGAGAGACTCGGCGGCTGGCGATGGGCACGGATATCTGCGGAAGGGAGTCGGAAGGCTTCGGGGGTTGTGAGAGGGACGAGGGGCCGCCGTGAGCAGTTTGGCGCCTGGAACGATCTCCTCAATATGTGGTTATGGGTGGATTTCGGAGTATTGGACTTTTGACTTGTGCCTCATTAGCTGTCGCTCCAAGTTATAAATTTTCGCAAGGACTCCCAAAAGAACCAAAGTCCACGCGGCCCGGCGGCGGCGGAAGTGGCAACACGAGAAACAAGCAGTGCCAAAATAAATCGTGCGTGAGAGGATGTGCTCCGAGTCGGGGAGGGGATGAGTGGTGGGAGATGTGGCAGGGCGTGGACCGATACGACATCAGAAACTGTGTGCATCTTGATCCAAAGTCTGGGGTAAAGGAAATCCACTGCAGGGGATTTGGCGAGGGAGATGAAGAAGCTGACTGGCTGGTATTGGCCATAGATTGCATAGCAGAGTGGAAAGGCGGAAGGTGGCGTCCCCTGCTGGCGCCATTGCAAGCCCAAATGCAAGTGCAACCGTCGATCCACAGTCTAGGATGCTCCTTCCTGGACGAGGCATTCATTGCCCTCGATCATGTCACGCATCTCCAGCTCTCTCGACGTCCAGCTTGATTCTCATCATCCATGCCCCTCCACCGAAAAGGCGTACGAGCCTAGCTATGGTTCGTTTGCCTCTCTTGACATCTTTCCTCTGCCACGCCCTGAACTCCGATATCCCAAGCGGCTGCCCTACATATTCCCCATCCGTCCACCAAACGTGCTTATGGCTCGCAGCTCTGCCTACTGTTGACTTCGACTGTACTCGAAGCGTCTGTCAACTACACCTTATTGTCTGTCAGCAGATGCGCATGAATCACAATTCCCGTACTCTTCATCGCATATGAACGGAATGATGCTCACACAGACATCCGCGCTCCCACCTCCAGCTTCCCCGCCGCCGTACCTCAATTACAACGCACACATCTCACATCACTCCGCCGTCCAGGTCCGGCCAAAGCAACACCTCACTAACAAGCCAACTTTCCACATACGAAGAGCCAGCCTGCAAGATGCACCTGTTATTGCCCAACTAGGCGCATCGGTCTTCGCCACGACTTTTGGTTTCTCCATTCCCACCAGCGATCTGGATGCCTACCTCGACGAAGCTTATAGTGTATCCGCCATCGAAGCAGACATCTCTAGCTCGACTAAACATGTCATCGTCGCATGTGCCCCAGTTGACGGTCATGTCGTCGGATTCGCGCAATTGACCGAGGGCACGACAGAGCCCTGCATCGAGGACCTAGATCTGGTTGTGGAACTCCAGCGTTTATATGTCCATCCCGACTATCTCGGCATGGGAGTAGGCAGAGCATTAACCAAGGAGACTGAATCAATGGCGAAGGAAATGGGTTACAAAGTCCTGTGGTTGGGTGTCTGGGAGGGCAATTTTCAAGCCCAACGCATCTACGAGGCTATGGGTTTCTCCAGAGCTGGAGATCACGAGTTTCAGATGGGAAGGTGTATCCAAACCGACTGGATCATGTGTAAAAATTTATGACTAGCACGGGTTGATTGTGCTTTGGTTTGGCCGACATGGGCTTCAGCATGCGGCGTCCGCGCAAGGGCGTGGGTGCGCATGCGTTCGGCGCTTTGGGTTGCAAATGACAATTCTGCACGCCCTTGGTGACAAGTGAATAATTTATCAACAGCATCTCATCTAGAGCACGCCTTGAGATGAAAATTGGTGACATAGATTGTCATCCAATATAGAAGGACACGAAGGATTTCCCTCTTGTGAACGGTTCACTTCCGACCCCTGTAACATTGTAACCTTGAATATGAAACCCATGCAAATCATTGAGTGAGCAAGCACGGGCGATTAACGGCAGGTTTTTGTGTTCCATCTCGGACTCCATGTCGGCGCTGACTAGACAAGGACAAAATGCCCCCATCTGGACGCCATCACCTCGGAAGCAACCAAGAAACAGTGCTAGGAATGTGAGCTGCCAGGCCGGAGTCCATGAGATGGAAGAAAAGAGAAGTGCAGGTGGAAAAATCGAAATTCTATGTAAGAACACTGCGAGCGACTCGTGTAGAGAAATCTTGGCACTTTGTATGACTCGTGAACCTGATATCGACCCCAAGATGATCTGTCCTGTCTACCATTCAAACAAAATACAGCAACCTGGAACCCCAAACAATCCATTCCTCGAACAGATCCTCCCCTAGTTCGCACCATTAAACCCTTGGAGATGAGCCATTCGTATTGTCCCTAACCACTGTCACCCTCCTCCGCCGCTCCGTCACCGACTTTGTCTTTGGGGTTTTCTGGGCTCCAGGCAAGATGCATAACGCCCTCAACCGCATTCAGTCGGCCTTTGGCTTCTTCACCACCTGTGCCTTTACACTGGCATCTGTCATTGCTCTCCTATCTCTCATCCCTCTCCCTGCCCCGAAATCCTCTCCGAGTGCGTCTGTCACCCCCCGAAACATTCAAGTCGTCAAGGGACGACCGCATTACTACTCGGCCAGGCGCGAAGAATATGCTCAGATCCGATTTGATCTAGACGCCGACCTGTCCAGTCTATTTACCTGGAATACCAAGCAGCTGTTCGTCTATGTCACGGCGAACTACCCGAGTTCGAAGGACGGCAAAGGCGGCATGTCCGAAGCTGTCATCTGGGACTCGATCATTTCCGCACCATCTACACCCTATTCCTGGCAAAATCTCAAACAGACCTACTTTTCCACCAAGAAAGCCACCAAGAGCAAGAGCAGGAAAGGCTCCAACCTCAAGAGCACGAGCAAAGAGATCGTCAAGCCTGGGGTCATCGCGTTGAAGAATGTCAAGCCCAAATACCAAATCACCGACCCCAGCGGCGTCTTGAGCGAACGCGGGAATGCTACCTTGCAGGTCAGTTGGAATGTCCAGCCCTGGGTCGGCGCTCTGGTCTGGGACAAAGGCATACTAGGCAATCGGGTTGCCAAATGGGAAGTCGGCAAACAAGGGCAGAGTGGTGTGTTTGAGTTCCCAGCACTCAAAGGGGCCAAGCCAGAGACTGTCCGAGAATCAAATGGACCAAAGACCCCCAAGGTTGGGTCTGCCACGCCGATTGTTGGTGCCTAGAATACCTTTTTTAGCTGAAGTGTGTAGGAGGGGCTCCAGAGAGTCCTGTGGGTAGGTCGGAATAAGTGGTAACGACTGAACTACCACAAGTGGCCTTGTAACAAAGGCCTTCCAGTTCCGCCGTATTCCCTATACAGCTGAGTATTATGTAGCTATGTGCATGTTCAAATTCGCACGCGGTGAGGACACGTGGGGACACTCAGCGTGTCTCCTGCGCATGCACTTTATTTTGGAATTATTGTGACTGCGTACAGACCCCTAAACAACCTGGAAACCTTGACACCACACTGCGACTGTGACTGCGACTGCGTTGTACTTGCATCCTCGTCGTCGCTGTACAATCCACCAACACATCTGCACATCCCTACACAGAGATGCGGTCAATATCAGCGGTCATTGCCCTAGTGGCAGGCGTGGTATCTCAAGTCTCCGCTACCGCTTTGACCTACAAACTCGGGGCCAGCGAAAGGGCATGCTTCTTCGCCGATGTGCAACGCCAAAACGCCAAAGTTGCATTTTACTTTGCTGTTCGTTGACCTCTCGACACTAACTTGTGCTCGTTTCATCATTTGTTGACTAACTCGTCCGATTCTAGGTCCAATCAGGCGGATCCTTTGATGTCGACTACAGTGTAGTTGGGCCTAACGACAAGAAAATCATGGATGGCCAGAAAGAGCGGCAGGGAGATTTTGTCTTTACCGCGCAGAACGTGGGCGAATACCGCTTCTGCTTCAACAACGAGATGTCTACCTTTGCTGATAAGATGGTGGACTTTGAAGTCGCAGTGAGTGTTCAGTTCGACCCCAGACATAAAGACATCCCATTGTCTGTCGTGAATCAATTTCTGACATACGTCCGAATCCCTGTGCCAGGTCGAAGATGAATCCAAATCCGCCCTCTTACCTCAGAAAGCCGGGTCCAGCCCCGAACAACACTCGGCCCTTGAAGACTCCATCTTCAAAGTCAGTGGTCAACTGAGCACCATCAGCAGAATGCAAAAATACTTTCGCACGAGAGAGAACCGAAACTTCAGCACCGTCCGCAGCACCGAGCAGAGGATATTCAATTTCAGTCTGGTCGAGGTGTTTATGATGGTGGGCATGGCCGTGCTACAGGTTTTGGTCGTTCGGTTCTTCTTTCAAGGCGCGCGGAAAGGTGAGTTCTGACACACATGAATGACTCCGCGGTCAAAGTTAACTTGTTTCATGTCAGGTTATGTATAGGCTGTCCACAAGGCCCCCCTATATTTCAAAACCATTGGAGGCTATCAGCAAGATTATTATACACGTTCCAGCGTCCTATATAGCATGATCACGACGATAGCCTCGGAGATTCCCTCTTGGTGGGAAGGACTCCCTACGGCAAAATGGAATGCGTGTACACAGCGTCAAAAGATCATCGACGTTCCATTATTATTCCTGATACGTATCCTAGTCACTTTACTCTGACAAGGAAACAAGGAAGCATGACTATGTTCACCACGGTGGAGCTGCTTTCCAAAAAGTTGTCTGATGTTCTGAAGAGGCTACATGTCCAATCAATCAGGGCGTGCGGAATGTCTAAGCAACCCGAGTCCTCCCTCCGTGGTTCTGTCTTGTGTTGATCGATGACGCCCTTTCCGTAGTAGTTGCTGTATCACGTTCTTGATACTCGTCTCGCGCCAAATGATAATACGATGGGCCAGTCTGGCTCCCTTGGATAACAAGACGGTCACCTGATCTTTTGCATTGAGAATCTTCCTTCCCCCTTGCCAAGGCTGCTGACCCCCTTAATCAGTGCAGGTGCGATGGACCCCTCGTCCGAACCTGCAGTAAAACCACAGTACCACAAGTACATTAGTACCTTAGGCTGACCTCCGCCTTCCAACCTTCCCTCCTCCTCCTCCTCCTCCTATAATCCCCTCCAACTCACCGACCACTCCTTCATCTCGAGTAGAAGACAGACCTTCAACTCTGTCATAAAAATCCCACTCTACAACACTCGTTGCCATACCAATAGACCTTCGAACTCAAGTCTTCCCGTGGCTTTAGCATAGCATCCTTTCCCCGTTAGTCATCTTCTACTTTCATTACTCTGGCCATTTGCCTTGTATTTTCTCAGTCAACTTTCCAGCACTGGCTCTGTTGTTCAAGATATCCATTATGGTCCCATGAGGGTGGACCCAGCACGCGTCTCCGCTGGTAACGCCCTGACATTCCTTCAAAACCCACATGGTGGACCGACTCGAGCACTCTGTGTCGTCCTTGTCCATCATACCCAACTTGAGACTTCACAATGCCCTCAACACCCCCCTCGACAATCGAAGAAATCAAGGCGACCAGTCAAATCAACCCCGAGTTTGCCCAAGCGTGGGATGATCTTCCTCTCCCGCCGGGGAAAGATTATACCATCGAAGCCCTCAAAGCAAGTAGCAGAGCGACACTCCCCAGTCTACGCAAAAGACTTGCCGCCTCCCAGACGCCAGAGCTCATCGAAAAGATTCATCGCATCCCCCTGCGCGATGGCGTTCAATTGCGCGTCATCGTACTCTATCGGTCCCAAGATGCTTCGCACGTCACCCCTCCTCGGCCATTGATTGTCATTTTCCACGGTGGCGGGCACACTGTCGGAAGTCCTGAGGCCATGGTCCCACTGGCAAGGGATGTCCTCAAAACCCTACCGGCCGTTATTGTTCTAGCATCGTACCGCCTTGCCCCAGAGTTCCCGTTCCCCTTCTCGTTGCTCGATTCCTGGGAAACTCTCGAATGGGCCGCCGCTGAGTCCCGAAAATTCAAGTCGACAGTTCTTCCCATTTGTACGGACCCACGTGTCGGATTCCTCATTGGTGGTGAGTCTGCCGGCGCCAACCTAGCAGCCGCTCTCACACATATTGCACGCGACCAGGCCTTATCCCCGCCACTGACAGGCCAATTTCTCTGTTGCGGAACATTCATCTCTCCTGAGCGTGTCCCGCCTAAATACCAAGATAGATATCTCTCCTGGACACAAAATGAAGATGCTCCCGTCATCGACAAAGATCTCTACGCCATCTTCCGCGACGCCTTCAAACCCGACCACGACTCTCGCCTATGGGCCAGTTTTGACCAGCACCATCCTGCTGATCACGGAACTGGCGGTGTCAAAAACGGCCATTTGATCATCCCTCCAACTTATTTCCAGGTCTGTGGCCTTGACATGGCTCGCGATGACGGTCTGATCTATGAGAGGGTTCTCAGAGAGGAATGCCAGGTCCCTACAAGACTTGATCTCTACTCCGGATTTCCTCATTGTTGGTGGTCCATCTACCCCCACCTAGAAATGACAAAGCAGAGGACCAAGGATTCTATTGATGGGATAGCTTGGTTGTTGGAGGTCGGATTGAAGACGAGAACATCCCCCAACGGTACTCGTCAATGATAGCATTGTCAGCGTCCAGTCTTGCATGTTCCATACTGTCACTGCATTCCCGTGGTGGCGTGGTGGCGCTCTTCTTCTCCCTTGTCGACCTTGGTGATTTGCATTCAGCATGCGTGTTGCATATGTTCATATTAGCGCCCAGTCTTCTCTCCACGATTTCCATATTGTGCGCCAGCCGCAATGAAAATACTGTTCTGTTGCTCAACACTCAAACATTTTGGTTGTGCTGACATTCAACCGGCTCCACATTGTCCCCTTGATCATACAATTCCAGAATTGCATGGTCCAGTAGCCATGGTACAGCCACCACCACGGGAGCGGGTCCCACGCTTCATATGTCCCGTCCTTCCAGAAGGCAAGGTGTGTGAAAAGTACTTTGTAGCAGTTGGTAAGCTCTGACAAGGTCATAGAGAGTGTCAAGGCTGACAAGGTCGGTAGAATCACAAATGTGACCACGTCGTGTCCGATCCAATAGTACCTGTCCGAACGGACGGGGACCACAATCTTTGGCTGGGGCTCACAACTTGCATCTAAGACTGAGAGATATGCATCTACCATCGCATGCGTGCCGTTGAATAATGCCACAGCGGTGTGGGCTCGTGGATTGCACTCGACCGGGTACAGGGTGATGTCTGCTGGTGTCGATCCTGTCGGATTCTCCACCAAAAAATCAAATGAGAGATGGCCCGTGAATGCTTTGCCACCACTGGCGGCAAACTTCTCAGTGAAGTCCAACATTGCCTGACTAAGGGGCGAGGTCGGGGGCAATGCCTCGTAATGCATCAACAGCTCCGCCGACTGACACGCGACAAATGCACGCACCTTCCCGCCCACCACCAACGAGTGGGTACAATATTCACAGCCATTGACGAATTGTTGTAAGATCCAAGGCTTGGCCTTTGAGATCCTCAACCTTGCAATATGTCTCGCCGTGTCCTCGACTGTATCTCGCGGTAAAAGTGTCAAGTCTGCCCGCATGGCATCATCTACCCCAATTGTCTTCATGATATACTTGCGACTCGTAGGAGCTTTCCTTAGAAATGCTTCCACGTCCGCTCCACTCGTGACCTCATGAGTCTCAGGCGTGACCAGACCCAAGGCCTCGGTGTACCTGATGAAGCTGTGCTTCTCATGCAAGGTCCGCGTCGTCGCAGCGTCGAACTGAATAGCCTTGCACGGTGTTCTGGCTTGCACCACCTCCATGGCCATACCATCCTCCACTGCTGAAGCGACGCCCGAACAACTGATCCAGAGATCCACCTTATTCTCACCGATCACATCAAGCACACTTTGGATGTAAGGTGCAGGTCCATTTTTTGCGTCCGGTCTACACAGTGGCACAAATCTGTGTAGCGACGCTGACATTCTGCCGCACACCAGTATCTCCTGGTAGGGTTCGAAATCGGCCCCCATCACCCAGTGGCCTGCCTCGTAGAACTGCCTCGCCAGACACAGTCCCTTAGTCATTCCCACACCCGTCACTAGCACGCGGTATGGCTTGAACCCAGGCTTCTGAAGTGCCCGCTGTCGCCTTTCCTCCCCAGCATTGTAGACCGTGTACTTCAGTCCGTACGAGATCAAAAGAATAAATGTGTCAAAAGGTAGCAAGGCTATTGACAATACTAGTAGGGCTGCATTTTGAGCACGGTGCAGCAGCACAGAGTCGTTCCCGTCCAGCATATTGTCCTTCTATGAATGTATCAACGTATGAGACTGTGTTGGAGGTCAACCAAGTTTGAAACCATATGAGTGAGGAAGGGGAGCTGGTGAAGCTTGTTGGGTTGTACACGGTAAGAACGGAATGTTTGGCCGAAATATCAACGTCACACTCAGGGTCGTCGCATTCAAAGTTCCAACGTATGACCAATACTAGCAAACTTACGATACTATGAATGTAACTAAGCTCTATGTCGTATTTGGCATAGGTCCCTCACTCTAATGACATTCAGTGCGAAGAATTATATCAACAATATACCTAGGACGTATGAGATCTGGTAATAGATTCCACTTGACTGCAACTCAAAGTGCCTAACATGTGTATTACGCAACTTTTATACATCTTGTGATTTCTACCCCATCCTGAAAAAGAGACATCAAATCGTTAGTAATGACAATTCTTTCTCCAAAGTACCATCTCGCACTCACAGGAACACCCGACGGCTCAAAACTGTTGATGAGCATACTGTCATAGACGAGAGAAGGATTTCCCACTCGGGTTTCGTCCAATGTGGCCTCCCCCTCTCGCTTCACGTACTGTTTTGACGTTCTGTCGGCGAAGCGAGTGTCGACGCCGTTGACTGTTTCCGCCTTGGCTGCTTTCTGCTTCTGATCCACCGTGCTTCTAACATATTCTAGATAAGGGGGGTTTCCAGGCTTGATCACATTGTCAGCGACCAAAACTGAACCTGGGGTAATCAGGTCCAACTCCTCGCATAATTTCAAATCCGTTGTGTACGCGGGCTTGTAGTGGTCTAGAAACATCATGTCGATATGAGACAGCGCACCAGTCGAGTGTAGTCGTTTTATCGAGGCGTCGCTGGATCCCACAATGACTGTTACCACATCGCCCAACCCGGCGAGATCAACCAACGACGCAATCACCGCAGCAAACTCGGGGTTTCTTTCGAGGGAAAAATACTTCTTGCCACCAGCCCTTCGTACTGCGTCGCCAAACAAGATAGATGAGTATCCAACATATCCACCTAATTCTACCATCACCTGTGGTTTCACTTCGGCTATCAGATCGCTAACGATTCGTCCTTTGTCCTCTCCAACGTTCATCAGGTATTTCCGAGTCCGGGCAAACTCATCAATAGCTGCCAGAAGTTTGACCGGAGAGTTTCTGATCTCTTCAATGTTGGGCTTTTTGTATATAAAATGTAACAACTCAATTTCTCGGCCATCATCGAACTATTAACGTCAGTAGAGCATTTTTCGCTGGGTAAGGCGTCCTACAAATATCTCTTCCTGATCCTGGTATTTTTTCGAAGTGTCAAAGTCAGCCATGTCGACGGGGACGTATTGAGCTGTTCGATGGTTAGGCCTTGTATAGATTCTGCACCGGAAATATCGCGAGCACAGGTATATGTTATGGTAAGAGCACTGTTCTAATCCCTGTCAACAAGGACAAGACCCTTAGAAATCATTGTTATCTCCACAGCTGAGGTCTGGGGCATGCAGGAGGCGGCTGGAACGGAAGAAAGATCCAACAGGGATTTCTGCCATTTCATGATCTAGATTTGAGATCGGCAAAAAGGAAATCATGTCCCCTCGGATGCGAGTCCGCCCAATGGTTGCTCCATTTGATGCAGCACTCAGGTACGCCAGCGTCTGCCACAGGACTTGGAAGAGGCTTCTGCATGGGCAAAATATGCTACAAGCCCCCATTACGCGTACACTACCTAGTAGTCTCAAGACATGTCGAAGCGCGGGGTGAAGGGCTGATTTCCATAAAAGCCTGGATTTGACCAAGTCTCTCGACTTTCTCTGCATTCTTTGGAGTGGTGACGATTCCATGATGTTGACATAACCAATCAAATCTCAACGCTAGAGACACAAACGTCCTAGCGCAGTACCTGTACATCCTCAACAATGTTTCTCTACCATAATGGTCTGTGTTCTGATTGTATCACATCGTTGGACACATCGTCATCAATCGCCTCAAGCGGAGTTTGCCAGAGTTTCGGCGGCTTCAACTTGTCGTGGACCTGGATCTCTTACGTCTTTCAGGTAGGCCCGGGTGCCTGGTACATTTCCGATGCCACCGGACACACAATAACTCAATCTGCCACCCGACGCCGCACTAGGATCTCATGCCAAAACTTGCCGGCTGGCATATCGTGGCGCTCAAACTTCCTGTGCCATCTGCTCCTTTAACCAGGCTCTTGTCCTGGATTTTCAGGGACAGCACAGCGGCCCGTCTGGAGCACGTCTTGCTCTCCCCTTTCCACAAGCCCGTCCGTACGACATCATGACTGCGAGTAGGCCGAATTCTAAAGCCGGGCTAGTGGCTCGGTTGGGCCAAACCTCATCACCATGGTGAATCAATTTTTGTTGAACCCTGGCTCGATTCTACCAGATGGGACCCGCTTTCAGCATCCAAATCCAGATCTTTGTGGTCGCCATGCATGTCCGCCGGTGTGAAACAGTGTTTGAGTGACATTTTCATGAGAATGGAAGACGTATTCATTCACATCTTGTACGTTGGTGGAGAATCCACACGACACTCCATTCGAGGTATTCTATTTCACCGTCTTACGGGGCGGGGTATATATCATACTCCCAGCGCGCCTTTGAGGGCTTTGACATTGTTTTCATTTTCTCTGTAGACTTTCAAAACTCCATCTCTGACTATCGTCTTTCTCATCAACATCAGTTTCTAACATGTCAGACCTTAAAGCCACAGTCGAAGAGACCGCGGCTGGATTCGATGTGCGAGGTTGTGAAGAGATCAAGTACAGCTTTACCTTCCTTGATGGTGTTTTCGACACCAAGAATGGTCAATTGGCTGAGAGCTACAAGAAATGGGGTCGTTGCCTTGCCATCATGGACTATAACATCTTCTCAGTGTACGGCGAACAGGTTCAACACTACTTTGACCATTATGGCATCAACCTTGATGTTCACAAAACTATGATCGGCGAGAAAGCCAAATCTATCGACACTTTTCTCAGCATTGTCGATTCCATGAATAAGTTTGGGATCTACAGAAAAGTTCGTTCGCTCATTCTCACTACAGCTTTCCTCGTCCAACTGACTATAATTCAGGAGCCGGTTCTAGTCATTGGCGGTGGACTTGTCACTGACGTTGCTGGGTAAAAGCTACCACATGCCAAAGATGACTTCAAGGCACTCTGACCCATACAACCTTCTGGCTGTACCTTGGTTATTTCGAACATGTCTGCTAACCGTCGAACTGCAGATACGCATGCGCTTCGTACCGTAGAAACACAAACTACATCCGAGTCCCCACCACTGTGATCGGTCTGATCGACGCTTCTGTCTCAATCAAGGTTGCCGTCAACTATGGTAACTACAAGAACCGCCTAGGCGCATATCATGCACCTGTCCAAACTTTCCTCGACTTCACTTTTCTTCGAACACTACCAGAAGCACAAATCCGAAATGGTTTTGCCGAGCTTATCAAGATCTCGACGTGCGCCCATCTTCCAACTTTTGAGCTTCTCGACAAATTTTGCGAACAATTGATCGGGACTGGATTTGGTCGTACAGATGGGGCACCTCAAGAGGTTCGAGATGCCGCAGATGCTATCAACCGAGCCGGTATCCATGAAATGCTCAAATTGGAGACACCCAATTTGCATGAGCTTGGTCTCGACCGGGTGATTGCATATGGGCACACGTACGCCTGACTAAACTCTTGTATCGCCTGGACATGGATTAATGAGATTATAGGTGGTCACCGCTGCACGAACTGGTGCCCGAGATTCCACTGCGACACGGCCATGCAATCTCTATTGATATGGCTTACTCGGCGACCTTAGCCAACATGAGAGGACTCCTCAGCGACGAGGAGCACGTGAGGCTTCTGAACCTCTTTTCGAGGGCTGGTCTGTCCATGGATCATCACCAATTCGACGAAGACATCCTCGATAAAGGCACCCAAGCCATACTTCGGACAAGAGACGGCAAGCTTCGAGCTGCTGTGCCTAGCCCTCTCGGAAGATGCGTCTTCTTGAACGACGTATCCATGGATGAGATGTATTCCGCCCTGAGGAAGCACAAATCAATAATGAAGAATTACCCCCGCCAAGGCCAAGGCCTAGATGCTTTCGTGGACTCTAGTGACACAGGCTACACACTGAACGATACGCCACTGGGTATCAATGTTGTCAACAGTCTCTCAGATAAGTTGAACAAGATTAGCGTCTTGAACGATGATACTCGACCAAATAGAACAGCAGACAACGGAGTCCATGGCGCTGGATGGAATACCACAAATGCAGCACGAACGGCTACAAAGCCGGCCCCTGTAGCACCAAGGCTGGACGGATTGAAGAATGGTTTTGCCAATGGGACACATGCTGCACTAAATGGACAGGCCACTGGTGTCACCAACGGAGTCAACGGCCGTAGTGACGGGGTTAAGGTCAATTGACACCATAACATTGATATCTGGGTCTAGTTTAGGCAGATTCATTTTTCTCCTAATGATCCAGTTCCAAGCTAGACATTGTGATGAATTAAAAGATGGGTATTACTACCATTTGGTTGACGGGAGAAAATTTGAGGTTCTCTCTGAAATGGATATTTTGTGTTGTTCCACCTAACGGTACTTATCCATCCCACCTGGAAGTAATGATGTCAGATAGATCGCCACTTGTATGAATGATATATTCCAGCATTATACCTTCCGAGAGCTTTATGCTCCCACATATTGATCATCCTCTGTTCGGATCACACGCCTTACGAGTCAATACTATAGATGTTGACATGAGAACATCGTTCTTGATGATGAAACATTGTGTTAGGTAGAGACAGTCTATCAGGCTGGTTGTGAGGGCATTTCCTCTGGCCACACTTTACTACACCTGAAAAGCCTCCGGCCCAAGATACGATACCAGTCGAATTGGCTCAAATCCCGCAAGAGAGAAAGCAATCCTGCAATAATGTTACCCACATATTTCACATGCACACTTGGACAAGCAAGACGACAACAGGAAAGCCAAAGGTACACACCATACCAGACAGTGACAGGTCTGGTTGATCACAAGGCCAAACACTCACCTGGGCTTCCGGCGGTGGGGTTTTATCATGTACCAGTTCAAACAAACTCACGGCAATGGCAGGGGAAAATATTGAGCTTTGCAGACGTACAGCAGCTTTCCGCGGGAGTTGCGGAGACGATCAGAACCAAAATCAAATTACATGCACGGCGAGGTCAAACTGTGGCACTTCTTAGTCCAAGTTCTGAGTCATTCTTGTTTACATGGCTCGCGTTGATGCGACTGGGCCACCCAGTTCTTCTCATCGCACCGCAGTGTTCTGCTTCGGCGATCGCTAATCTCCTGGATGTCTGCAATGCCGTTGATCTCTTTTACGACCAAACGAACCTGGAGTTGGCCAAAAAGGTTAAGCGAGAGGTTGAGCATCACGATACCCTCAGCACTATGATCAACGTGGTTGCAATACCTGCAATTAAAAAGGGTGAAGGACCCGAGATTTCAGAGCTGACGGGTGACTCGGTCGACACCGTACATGAACACCAAGATCAAGATCAAATTGTCTGTGATACCGACATTGCATACCTACATCACACCTCAGGCACATCCACTGGTGTTCCAAAACCAATACCGCAGTCTCACCGTGCGGCCGTTGGCGTGCTACCTTGCTTCGACGGCCACACAGCAGCCACATTCACTACCACACCCCTTTACCATGGCGGTATCGCCGATGTGTTCCGGGCTTGGACCAGTAACGCTCTAATCTGGCTTTTCCCAGGAAAGGAACTGCCAATTACTGCCGCTCATGTGTTCACTTGTCTTGACATTGCGCAGAACCAGGCTAAATTGGACCCTGCCATTCCACCAGTCAAATACTTCTCATCAGTGCCATATGTTCTGCAAATGCTTGCTAATGATAACAAGGGGTTGGATATCCTTCAGTCTATGGATATCGTCGGCGTCGGTGGCGCTGCCTTGCCAATTGATGTTGGCAACAGTCTTGTACAAAAAAATGTGAACCTGATATCTCGATTCGGAAGCGCTGAGTGTGGGTTCCTCATGTCGTCACATCGAGACTACTGTCAAGATAAGGAGTGGCAATATCTCCGATCAAGTCCCGGTGGAGACCAATTGCAGTTTGAGCCCAGGGAAGGGGGTCTTTTCGAGTTGGTAATCCAGCCCGACTGGCCTCACATGGCGAAGAGGAACCGCGGAAACCGGTCCTATGCCACTGCAGATCTTTTTACGCCCCATTCATCTATTCCAAATGCATGGAGATATCATTCACGGTCAGACTCGCAACTTACATTGATCACTGGTAAGAAGTTCGACCCGGGGCCACTAGAGGATGCAATCAAGGCATCCTCTGATAGCCTGGACGGCGTTCTCATCTTTGGCAACGGGAAATCATACCCTGGTGCGCTGCTCTTTCGATCAGAGTCTGCTCGAATGATATCGAACAGCGAGCTCATTCGGGAGCTTTGGCCTAAGATAGCAACCCTAAACCATGAAACTCAAAGGCACGCGAGAATATCTCGGAATATGCTTGTACCGATGATGCCTGTGGTGGAAGGGTTGGCCAAAAGTAGCAAAGGCACAATCCTGAGAAAGATTGTCGAGCAAGAATATGCCGGTATCATTGAAGCAACATATGCAAATCTCCAGCTTCCTAACTGCAGCACAAACATTCCAGATAGCGAAGTCTCTGACGCTCTTCGTGAAATAATCTTGTCTGTGGCTGGCGGTGACCATCTCGAAGACGACCATTTGTCTGATGAAACGGATCTATTCACTTTCGGGGTAGACTCTGTTGGATGTATTCAAATCAGGAATGCAGTGGCGAGAATGATACCAAATTCGTCCTTCGCATCCTTGCCACTGACTCTGGTTGAGGATGCAGGTACGATTTCACACCTCAGAGATACGATTCTGCGTCTACGGTCCGGAGAGAGTGTTCAAAATGACTCTAACGACCAGCACCAGTTAATGTTGGACCTCGTACAGAAGTATCGAGTGAGTCAAGTGGCAGAAGAAACGCATAACAGGGGCTCCGAGGAGCAACGGTCCAGAATCCCGAATAATCACGGTGGAATTCACGTTCTCTTGACTGGGGCTACTGGCTCACTTGGTTCGCATATACTTGACCAGCTTCTTTCTGATCCGCAAGTCTCTCACATTTCATTGCTTGTTCGGAACAACAGTGAGCATGCTCCACGAGAACGTGTCTTCGAAGCACTGACATCAAGAAAACTGAATATTCCGTCAAACTTGGACACCAAAACCACCATTTTGTCATGCAGACTCTCAGACCAGGACCTTGGACTCTCCAAGCATGAGTATCACGTCCTCGCAGATAGTGTGGATGTGATCATGCATCTTGCTTGGAGTGTCAATTTCCTGATCTCCCTGAAGTCTATTGCTGGAACTCATCTGGCGGGGTTGCAGAATATCTTGAATTTCGCTCTTCGTTCGCCCAGATCTCCACGCGTTATCTTCTGCTCCAGTGTGGCATCGGTGTCAAATTATCAACCTCCTCAATCCGTCTCATGGGGGACGACTGGTCGCTTCATTCCCGAAGCCTATGTTGCCGACCCTTCGGCCTCAGGGCCAACAGGATACGCTCGCTCGAAATGGATTGCAGAGGCGATATGTGCAGACGCTGACAATTCAACCAAGTTGAAGCACCGAGTGTCGGTGTGTCGTGTCGGTCAGTTGTCTGGTGCCACAAAGACAGGGATTTGGAATATGTCTGAAGCATATCCTTTGCTTATGGTCAGTGCCAAAGCCACAGGTGTTCTGCCGGACTTGAACAATGAAATCTTGAATTGGTTGCCAGTAGATCTGGCAGCGAAGGCTTTTGTCGAGCTTGCGGTGGAAAGGTGCGTGATAGACCGAACCTCTGATACTCTTGCTGTATATCATGTCTTGAATCCCGACATGGGTGTGCACTGGTCTGATCTGCTCGTGTGGTTATCAAAAGAGTTATCTTTCAAAGTCGTCACCGTCGATGAATGGTTGAAGACATTGGAGCAGTTGAAAGAAAGTCCTGCGACTAGAGACCACCCTGCATTGAAACTGCTGGGATTCTGGCAACGTGGATATGGGGGTCGGAAGCGTTCCAGTATTGAAGACCGCCCAATTCAAAGCTATCAAATGTCGACTACACACCAACATATGCCGACCTTGAGAGTCGCTGAGACATCATACCTGGTAAATGAAAGCCAAATCCGAAAGCTATGGCAGTGGATTCAGCACTCAGACTCGCCGACTTAAAACCCTTGTTGGTGCTCCGGCTTTGAATTGAGAAAGCGTATGTGTTCCAAAGCAGACTAGTCAGTGTTGAAATCTCATAACAAACCACTCGCTCGTTTAATTGCACGTCGTGAATTATCTTTTTGTTGCAACCCAGAATTGAGCCTTGTAAGCGTTCTCGGACAGCGCCCTCGAATTGTACCCATAAGGCGCATGGATGCTTCTTACCTTCAAACCCGGGATCGTTTCTGGACCAAATTCCGAGCTCGTTTCCAAAAACTCAAATCCCATAGCTTCAGCCAATCTGACAACTTCCTCTAGCGAGAGTTGTAGCTCGGCATTATAGCTCCAGAGCAAAGGACCGAAATTGAGCCAGGTACCACCCGGTCTGAGCAGTCGATGGATGTTCTCCATGTACGAAAGCACATTTCTAGCGGTGTCGAGGAAGAAATGTGTAATGAGCACGTCCTGTGTCGCAGACCAATGCTGGCCTTTGTGGTCGTTGAAGATACGCAAAAAGTCACCCTCAACAAGTACAACATCTGACAGGCAGGGTAAGGTGTCAGGGGCATGGACACGACGATGAAGTTCTGCTCGAGATGGCTGGTGCGACCATGAATCAATGTAGGGATGAAAATGCATTGAGAACGGGACCGTGATCGTGCTGATATAGTTGTAGACGATGTTCATGTATGGCGAGAACTCGTTGGCAGTCACTTGTACGTCTTGTCCGAGCCTAGCCACCTCATGTGCAATCCGGTTGAGTCCTGACCCGGGAAGAAGAATTCTCAATGATGGCTGGGTAGTATTGTACGCGCGATTGCTGTTGTTGAGCTGGCGCGGGAAAAGGCAAATTAGACTCTCTCTGATAACGGCATATGATCCAGACCATTCGTGAAACCCCTCGGTAGACCACTCTCGCACAACGTGTTTCAGGGCCTGGGACATGCTGGTCTTGTCTGGCTTAGCTTTATCTTTCTGATCATGGGCTTCGATTGAAGTTATGAAGGTTGCTAACTCTTCCTGGGAAATTTGATAGTGATCCATTGCCCGCAAAATGATTTTTTTGATGAGTTGATTGTTGGAAGTGAAAAGAGCACGAGTTTCGTCGAAGTTGGACTGATATGTGAGTGCCGACTCGATAAACTGACACCATGGGTTGGAAACTTTCAAAGACAAGAATATTTATGACTGTTGGCTTACCTTTTTCTTTTCCTTTGAGGTCTTGTTGTATAAAGACTCGAGACGGAGTGCTTCCTTTGAGTTCACGTCTTCATATCTCGAGAATCCGTACAAAGCTTGGAGCAAGCGGTAGCGTGGACCCTTCTTGGCTTGGACATCATTTCTACTTCTCTCCAATTGAGATAGAAATTTGTCTCTTTGTTTTTGATATCGCGGGGATGTGTGTGGGCTCGAACAGCCTTCAAAAACGTCCTCAAATACGATATGAGTTTCGAAGATGGTCTGATATTAGGCTGATTAGATTCGGATGCTTATCGACCGAGTTTGAGCCACAGGTGGCAGACGTAAGATAATCAACATAATGCCGAGGAGAATAATTACCTGGAAATGATGGACTTGACCATGTTTTGCTTTAGTGACATGATCTTGCTCTTGTGAGTTGATTGGGAATACCAAATAGCGTGTCACGGTGGCCAAGACACCTAACAGCACCAGTATGAGATATCTCGGTCTCCAGGAGGAATGATTATGTTGCATGTCGTAGCATGTAGCATCAACATGCGAGTATGCTATGCTCGATTGTAGCCAGGTGAAGTGGAAAGCTTGCTTGGGGGTATTCATAAAGCTTGTAATAAGTGAGGACCTTGAGAAAATCATGAACTACTTTGATATTGGTCACGTGGCGAGAATCCCTCGAATGGAGCATCGAGCACGTGCTTGCGTGTGCTTGGGTTTCGCTTGGGCGGAAGCTGGGCGGCTGAGCCAGCCATTAATGATCATTGGCGATGGCGAGATTGCCTTGAATTATTAGTGAAGCGGTGCCTCTGAAGGTCCTGTCTGGCAGTGTGAAGAACTTTGTCGGATCACTAGGCGTCGTAGAACTCGCATCACAATGCGGCTTCGCTAGAGTGATTGACTCTTCCTTCGTGATCGCCTCATTACTCTCCCGATCGAGTGTCCCCATGGCCTTGATTAAAGCATACCGTATGCCTCGAACCGCAGCTTGTCCATCCATTCCTTCAACCATCCCGCTAGCAGCGGATTCTTGAAACTTTCCGCCATCTACATACTAGATATCGGAGGACGGATTCTCCATGGGGAAAAGAAAACAAGCCATTCGCTTGCGGACGGTGTGTCGTTTCGTGTCAATCAAATGCGTGTCGTATGGGAACTTGCATTGCGGGACAGACACTGGTCAAGGTAATCATATGGCCGTGATGTTGGAAGGTGTTACTGTCATCTATAGTTTCCCAATGATAACGACGGGCCCAGCATTTGTGCAAGCATCTGCAGCGCGCATTGACGGTTTGTCTCTCAAGCTTGACGCGAAACCACGTGATACTTTGCCCTGTTGGCCTTGGCGTCCTACAGCCTCGTGCCCCAGGCGAGGCTATCAACACCACCAGTGACCACCTACGATGTGAGTATGTACCTAGGTATTGAGACTCTTGTAGGCGACCAGACACCGGACCAGCGTTAATGTACTGTGTAGGGACGTGAAGGGCCTGGCTTTGTATGGATTCGATCTAGGTACGGTCAGGTGTAAGTCTGTAGAGTAACATATATATAAAATTCACGGTGTATTCAGAGCTAGCAACCTCTATCAATCACCCTGCTCGACACGAGCATCATCACGCACATGTACTCCCAGCATTGCAAGACAAATATCAAGCTTCCTTGTCCAGCTTGGACCCCTTCATCGAGTCCTCTTCGATCTGCACTGTCACAACCTCCTCTCCACTTAGCGACGGAGACTCGGCCGGGCCAAACGTTCCAAAATAGTCGTAATCATCCACAACTCCCACACCCGCGACGGGGAAGAATTTGTTCAAGCCGAGATAAATCAGGATCGTCAGCGTCATGCCCAACGGATAGGAGATGTTGTACAGATTCGACCAGCCTGGCAACGACTTTGACGTTCCGTAGCGAACAAACTGCGCGAATCCGGGGACGGTGACCCAAACGCCCATGATCCAGGCGATAAAGGGCCGCCAGTTGACGCCCTTCCAGTACCAATAAATGCTCTGGTTGTCGGGCTTGTACAGGTCGGTTAATTTGATCTTGCGTCCGCGGAGGAAGAAGTAGTCGGCGAACATGACGCCGGTCATGGGGCCGAGGAAGACGCCGTAGCCGCCCAGCACAGTGAGGAATTTACTCGCGCCGTTGAGCAGTTGCCATGGTTGGACGATGAAGGCGAGACACGACATGAGCCACATGCCGCGGCGGATGGTGAAGAAGCGTGGGAATAGCGCTGATAGATCCATGCCCGCAGACAGGCCGTTGTTGGCCACGACCATGCCGAATTGGGCGACCAGGAAGGAAAGACTGGCGAAGGCGACGGCGGCGCGGGAGCGGGACGAGTTGTTGTAGTGTTGTTGAAGGGCGGTAAATAGATCATAGGGTGCCCAGAGAAGTGTACCTTGTTGCTCCGGGAAGATCTCTGCTGCGCAGGAAGTGCAGATGATGCCGATCAGGGAAACGACGATGGTGCCCAGAGGGACCATGACCAGCTGCGCCAGGATCTGATCCTTCGGCTTCCGAGCAAAGCGGGTATAGTCTGACTGGACGAAGATGTGGACGGAAATGGAGCTGATGTTGGTGCATATCCCCAACGTCATCATCCAGCCCAACTGACTGCCGCGGGCCTGAGTGATCCCCGTAAGACCCGAGACATCGTGAATCAATGTTCCAGCTCCCTTGGCTGTCGCCGTGAACCAGATCAAGGAGACAAAAATGGTCGGGATGACCACCGAGCACGAGATGAGGAAAGGGATGTTGTATTTCTCGGGTCGAATCCACGTCAGCGGCAGGTAGAGAATGGTAAAGATGATGAATGAGGTCAGGTCGGCGGTCGTCATTGTACCGTTGGCCAGCGGGGTGTCGACGCGAGCAAACGACGGCCAGAGCGCGGTGAGGAAGACACGCACGCATTGACCGCCCCAGTACACCTGCGTCGAGAACCAGATGCACGCCAGGAACACTCGCTGGATGATGATGAAGACTGATCCCCGAATGCCCCAGGAACATCGCTGGATGATGGGGAAGCCGATATGCCATTTGGCGCCCGGGTGGCCACTAAGCACACACAGGACACCGACGATGCAGTTGCCGATGATCACGGTGAGCATAGCTTGCCAGACGTTCAATCCCAGCGCGATCAACGAGGAGCCCGTGGTCCAGCCGCCGATGTTGAACGACCCGGTGATGACCCACAGGGTCACAAACTGCCATGGCCCATATGTGCGCCGGGCTGGTTCAAGGGGTTTGGTGTCGAAGTTCGCGTTTTTGCCAAGGTTGCCATCGTCGTGGTCTTTGACCTCAACGCGAGCTAGGAACTTTTGGAAAGCGGTGCTCATCTTGCGTGGCTCGCCGAGTCGCAGAGCTTTGGATGTTGAGCTGGCGCGATCAAGGATGAGAACCAGCTATGTGACCGTTGGGATATGTCGATGTATTTATCTTCCAAGGCAGGCTGGTCATCATTTTCGAAAGATATGACTTTCAGATATCAATGTCTAGATATCTTTGCAATGCGATGCTCGCCACTGGAGAGCGCGGTTAGCTCACACTATCTGTTTCCGCCGGGCATTGATCAGCGTTGACAAGGCATGGGAGAAGACGGGAGAGTATGCTGCGAGTCGCAGGAAAAGAAGCTTCGAAGACATGGCGGTACCAATCACGGCTGAGGCTGTTATCAGAATTAACCATTTAACAGCCTCGAACCATTCATGACGCCGACAATCGACCCACTTGACACCCTCCCTCGGTGGGCGAGTTCGTGTTGCTGTATCAATGCATGGGCCAAATTACCAATTCATGCGCCTGAATCTTGTCCTGTCCCGCCTAGACCGCCCAAGCATCGCAGAATGTATGCTTGAGAGGACGACATGGTCCAACACCAGTGGCGGCTGAATTCGTAAATTGCAATCCTTTGTGTTCCAGACCGGCGCTCGACTTGGAGAGATAACTTATCGCATTGCAATATATTACGCTGGACGAGACTCGGCATCTCCTTGTAGGTCACACAGCTGAAGATACTGAAGAAGTTTGCTAGAACTCGCCTCGCCTGTCAGCATGTCTGCGACGACAGTCCAATCTGAGGCCCCTCACAGCATCACCCTCACCAATGGCAAGACTTTCACCTTTAACTCCAATGCTTCAAGCACGGATGAGGCGATCCCAGTCATCGACGTCTCTCGCATGTATAGCGACAATGCTGACGACCGTCAGGCTGTCGCTGAGGAGATTCGGGAAGCAGCTCACAGCATCGGCTTTTTCTGCATAGTCAACCATGTACGTGGTAATCACTCTCATTGATGCAAATTGTTGAATCAATGCTAATGTCCTCGAATGTAGAGGGTGAATATGCAGCTGGCCGAGAACGTCATCACCGAGGCAAAGTCTTTCTTCGCCCTTCCCGCCGAGAAGAAGATGGAAGTTTGCACGGAGTTGATGCCAGACGAGTACTGCGGATATCATCCCATGCAGCACTACAACCCCAACAGTTGGAAGCAGAGAGGTTGGTCCTTCAACCTTTGACGGGAGCAGTCGGATGTTTCCAAGCTGATATTCTCCTCTCGCAGATTTGTATGAGGCATACAATTGGAATTACAATGCGGCCAATGATCCGGATGAGCCGGATAGTTCCATTGCGGAGATCAATCTCTGGCCAGAGAACTTGCCCCAATTCAAGGAAACGCTGTGCGCATACCAGTCAGAGATGATCAGCTTTGCCCGTAAGCTCACCAGGATGTTTGCGTTGGCCCTTCGTCTGCCTGAGAAGTCATTTGATGACATGGTCAAGCGGCCAGAGGCTGGGGTCAGGATCGTGCACTATCCAAGACAAGAAGCATCTCGAGATGATCAGAATGGAATTGGAGCGCACACCGATGTCGAGTATTTCACCATCATCACCGCTGACACCGAGGGCTTGGAGGTGCTGAGCAAATCAGGACGTTGGATCAAGGTCAAGCCGATTCCCGGGTCGTTCGTTGTCAACATTGCCGATTGTTTCATGAGACAGACGAATGACTTTTTTGTGAGCACCGTGCATCGAGTCATCAATGAAAGTGGTCGAGAGCGGTATTCTGTACCCTTCTTCTGGGGGCTAAATCGACAGACTGTGCTCGATCCGATTCCGACTTGTGTCTCTGAAGAGTGTCCGAACAAGTACCCGGTCATGACTGCCGGAGAGTATTACCTGTGGAGGACGAGGAGGCAAAGGACGTCGTGGGTAACAGGCGAAGGCACAAAGCAGTATTGAGGGATTGAATCGTCCTGTATGTCATGTTGCCGCTTTCGGGGAATCTAAAATACATGAAACGGCTCTGCCCAGTCCCATGGTATTCGTTCAAGCATCTCAAGCGGAATCATAATCTCATCAACGTCGGATTGCTGGGTCACCAGGGCTCCGTCATAAGTTTGCGCATACTCGACGGTGGGGGTTTCGGGTGTTTGTGTAGGACTGAGGAAGTGATCGATGTCTTCAACGTAGGCCCGGAGTCTTCGGCTGGCATCTGCAGCCGCAGACAGGCATGATGGCATAATCTCCAGAAGCTCCGACATACACACCCTGGTCACCGTAAGCATCGAGCCAATCTGGAGACGGAACGTCCAGAGGAAGATGGGAGGCTGGAGCTCACATCACTGTCCTCAGGTGCTGATAGTCTGACCTGCGTAGTTCTTTCTTGACGAAACTGCTCAAGATGTGCCCAAGTCCGGACAGTTCTTGCAACTGGAAGGCATCAGCACTGAGTGACCTTGACAGCTGTATAACTTGCCATCGAAAGCCCCATGGCTCTCATATATTGGTGTGGAATGGCCGATATCTCTTCGATCAGGTCAAGAGCCGTCCGACAGGCTTCAAACAATGTCCCGTCGTTGGCACAAAATGACAAAATACGTAGCAACTGCTTTCCATCAGCCCAAGCAATGAAACAAGGACGCATCTACAACTCTTACATGATAAGTGCATATGATGTTCGCCGTCTGAAAGGCACACCGATTCTGTCGGGTATCTCGGGAGACCGCGAACGCGTGCTTGAACCGGCTGGGTAGATTCGACAATGCTAGAGCCAGCGGCTCCACGATCTTCTCCTGGGGGTCATAATCGTAGAGGAAGGCCGTGGAGAGTTTTCGATTCGCGCGGTTGACAATCGCCCGCCGGGACCGGAAATATGGGATGACATGTTCCATACCACGATAAATGTCGGTGATAAAATTCCATCCGCTGAGCCACTCCGACTCCCGAATCGACTCAGTGAAATCCTGATCAGGGAGCGATGGATATGCCACGGCAGAATGTAACTCGGGACATCGCACAGCATGCCCCAAGACGAGTGATGTATGGACCTCGAGACGGTACATGTACCAGTAGAGTCTTCTTCGTTCTTCCTTCTCGATGATACTGATGTCGTCTGGCCAGCGCCTTTCGTCGTGGAAGCCTTGCTCTGCCAGTGCGGCGTGATACATGCCCATGTATCGTTGTAACAAAAAGGTGTTACCGGCTTCGAGTGCCGTCAGGCATATCACTCCGACTGCCTGAAGAGATTCGAGATTGAATGACTCGCTCACATTACCGGAGACTGCCTGCAAAGCCTCGTTGAGATAGAAATTCGGCTCAAAGTGCTCCTGGATGTTCCTTAGCTGGAAGGTAGCGCCACTGGTGATGCGAGTGGCACTCAAGGCGCATACAGCCATCAATCTGGCATACGATGGCCTGTCGCAGGGGATCTTGTCCCTGTGCCAGTGATCCATAAAGGTTTGCTCATGTATAATGGCAGCTCTGAGAGACATCAGCAACAATCATCCCAATGCGAATCCTCGGACGAACACTGGATAAACCGACTCGAAGAAGTTGTCGCACAGATTGGTGATGAGACTCCGGGAACCATGTTTGCTTTCATCGAAGATCCACAGAGTCTCTGTGACTTTCGATCGACGAGGTTTGGCGCCCCGTTTGGCAGACACTCGATTCCAAGTACAGGAGACAGCATACTCGATGCATGTCATGCATCGGGTGTTGTCGTTGGGTGAGGCTTTGCAGCGACGACCTCGCCGGTGACAGAAGTCGCAGGCTTTAAGGGCGCGCTTCTGCTTTATCGAAGCCTTTGAGATGACCTCTGCGCCGGAGACATCCTCACCTTCCATCTCTATTCGCGTCGTGCAATGAATCTATTCAGCTGCGAAGGTCGTGAAGGAGGTTGAGCTCGATGAAGACGATCTGCGCCGGAAAAGACGCGGCAAAATCACCAAAAATGCACGTGATTTTTCCCCGCCGTGAAAGGAATGCCCCATAGTTTAGACCTCATAATTTAAACGAACGACGACGACGACGACGAACATTGTGTATTTTGGTCGGATTACTCGTAAATGCCTGCATCTACCTATCTACTGCATCGTCACGATCAACGGACATAATGATCACGAGGCTTTGTTCTGGGTTTCCTCTGTCGACTTTCCCGATGAGGTATGGACCCATGCACGTTTATGCTGCAGGAATGTCAGCATGCCGCCACGCAAGTCGCCAGTGGTGAAAAAGGAGAGCAATGGAGAGACAGTCGAGCGAGAACAAGTGGAAGTATGGGTGACGGAGCAGATGGATTTGCTGAATCGAAGCGCATGGGAGATGTTCGAAAGGTTTTTGAATTACCTGCACAAGGACGTGTCAGATGAAGTGATCCAGAGACACTTGAAGTAGTGTAGTAGTGCCCATGACCAAATACAGTTTGAGATGCGTTTCGCGCTGTTATTAATGTGCGAGGTACGCTGATCAGGGAAATTGATTTGTTCGACAGATGATGAAGACGGGAAACATGAATCAATCGAACTTAGCAAATTTTGCGCCTTCCCGTTTTTAGACGATGCCAAGCCAACGCGTCCATGGGGAGAAAATGACGTAGCGCGTCACTCACGTGCCCGCAATGAATTCGTGGGAATTTGTCTCGCATCAGGCCAGACTTGCAAACTTTCCACCCGTTTCAAGGGCTCGCGATTAGTCGGCCCCCAGAATACGGACTGGCAAGTCAAGTACTAGTATAAACTTCTGATTGGTCTAATTGGGAGACGCTACAGTACTAGGATAGGTGCCTGACCGGTACGTCGGAAATGCACCGTATCAGGACAACTGTTGGACAAGGTGGCCGCAATGTACTGGTAAGAAGGACCTATATTTAGGAATTCAGTGCCGGTTGGTACCAGAGGCCCAATGTTTGTGCCCGCCCAGTCTTGATAGGCACCCTGGCATGGATAGTGCCACTGAACACCCTCTAGGATAGCTGCTTCAATCCCTCAGCAAACGGAATCTTGCTGGATTCACTTAGTGCTTTGTGTTGCAACCATGGCTTTGATGGCATCGAAGACCTCAAACGAAGACATGAAAACCTCATACTCGATTGCTCTCCATTCACCTTTGCCAGTTTCTACCATTTTCATATAAGAAACACACTCAGCATCAATCTTTTGCCCGTTCACCAGTCTATACCAGATCGAACTTTTGAAAAAGAATGAATAAGTATCCTTCTCCGAGCCACCAGCCAACATCCAGCAGGTTTTCAACGTATGCTCACATTGAACCACTGGGCCTTCGACAGGATCGATAAAGCCGGCTCTCATTGCTCGAAGAGCATCGTACCCCTGAAGCACATGACCTCCGAACTTGGTGACACCATTTGGCGAGAAAAATTTGATTCAGTCTTCATCCTTTGAATGAGGGTTATCCCATGCTTGAAAGTATTGGGGTATCAATTTGTTGAAGGGAGCAGGTATGTCTGCCTGGTTTTGGACGATGTAGTTGTCTTTTAGTGTCATTATGCTGGTAGGTAGACAACTCCCCTAGTCTTAGAGAATTGTAAATATTGAATGGTTTTCATAGCGAACTGCTTGGATGTTTGGTTCCGACGTTGGCGGCATTCACGGCAATTCAACTAAATATTTCCTCATCTCTTTGGCTGAGAGATACGAGTAGACATTTCCCCGCCTTTCACTGCCGAGAGCCAGACGGATTGCCCAGTTACAATTGCCGCCATGGCTACCATGGATGCTGTTGCTAACTACCTCCCTGAGTTTGCCGGTTGAAGCATCTCTTAGCCTTTGACAAATTAAGTCCACATTTTGAGGGCGGTTATCGGGCAGCGACTCATGAGTACAGAAAGCCTTCGCCGCTTTGGGTCAGCAAGGTGGCAGGAGTGCATGTCCACATAGAGGAAGCGACCGAAATTCGAAATATTGGCGACTTCGATGATCTTGTTAGCTAAACCCGGCACTTGCTAGACGACAAATCCTATCTGCTGGTCTCTGGAGAAACTTGACAGAGCTTCTCAAGATATTTATTGTTTTCAGACCGTGAGTAACACATTTCCGACGCAGTAAATCACCCTCATTCCATCAAATCGCATACCTGAGATGTTTCAACATTTCTACATGTGTTGTTTGCGGAAAGACTATTCTATGGCGCTCTGCGAGGATTTGTAAAGGTGTTCAGCAATCCATGGCATTACTCATGTCGTGACCACTCAACTACTTTTGATAAAGGGCATAAAGTCTACATCGCCGCTTTTGGCTGTAGAACCTCCATCCACCGCGAGGGCTGAACACATTGTCAGAATTTGCATCTCGTTGTCTTGTAAAATCAATCTTACCCTGGCCTGTGATATACGAAGCATCGTCAGAAGCCAGAAACAATACTGCCTGGGCGACTTCACGCGGGTCGGCTGCTCTCCCCATAGGGATGGTGTCTCGAATGACCTGAGTAACAGCTGCATCTGTAATGAGTTTGTTGACCATGGGAGTGTCCATAAGCCCTGGACAGATGGCATTGACACGAATGCCCTCTTTTGCATAGTCAATGGCCATTGTCTTGCAAAGATTAATGACTCCAGCTTTGCTTGCACAATACGGGGCAAGGCCATAGTCTGCACCAGTCCCTGCCGTGCTTGCTGTGGCGATGATTACTCCATTTCCTTGTTTTCGCATCTGAGGTACTGCTGCTCTAGCAAGATAGACGGTGCTGCAAATGTTGGCTGTCACAATCCGTTGGAACAGAGCCAGGTCGTGATCCTCTGCACTCGTATACGTTGTAGGGGTTACTGCTGCGTTGGAGAAAAGAATGTCTAATCGACCATACCTCTGGATACAGTCAGCCACAGCGTCTTCACAGTCCTCTGGAGATGAGATATCGCATCTTCTGTAGTGCGCATTCTCGGAGCTGAGACGTCGAATGAAGTCGCGTTCGTCTAAGTCCGTCACAAAAACAGTTGCACCCTCGTTCACAAATAGTTGGCAAGTGGCAGCACCTAGACCGCTGGTCCCTCCGGTCACTAGCACCACTTTCCCAAAGAAGCGACCCATGCTAGCTGGGTTGTCTGTCCGCTCTTGAGTTTGCGGGGAGATGGAAGTCAGATAAGTAGAAATAAAGGAAGGGTTTCTCACACTCACTGGCCTTAAGGTCTTCGTTTCAGATGTTAGCACTGAAATATACTCGACAGGGTCCCAACTAGTTCAGAACATCCGCTACTGTAGTCGGATCTTGTGCAAATGCTGACACAGACGATCCCAGGCCACAAGTGCTGAAAATTCAACCGAAAGTGACTGCAAGCAGGACCTACGGCTATGGACTAGAAAAATGTGGTGTTGACGCCACTGCCCCTTATGATGAACCCAGTCTGGAAACTCCGCTACCTCTTCATTGGCTGCAAACCTGCTGGCACCCGTCTATTTCCCGTACAGGAGTGGGCACGGTAATCGACTATCTCGTGTCACCATCAGGTAATATGTCTTTGACAAAATGTTCCGGCGAATGAAGTTAACCGACTACACGAGGATGGCTCGGCGTTATGGCCTAAAGCTGGCTATCGAGATGTCGAAAGGGAGGTCATAGTCAGATCACATCAAGATGTGGCATGGAAATATGGACCTATAACTTTGCCAACGTAGATGCATTATTGGCTCCAGTTTCCGGGGAAATGAAATGCGGGAATCCATGTGGCATTGAGCCACACGTATATAGTGTAGATATGTGCGCATCAGATGAAGCACAAACCTCAACTAGATGTGTATTCTCGAACACCAGCAATCAAGGGTTCATACTTGACCGTCAAGCGACATCATCTAATCTTTACCGTACAATCCTCCAACCACAAGATGTCTCCAGAGCAAAACGCACCCGTGCTGCCATCGACAGACAAAATAGATGTCAAATCAATTGACCTCGCACATCACGATGAGAGTATCGCAGCAGAGTCACCAGAAGTAGAAAATATCACGTACACAGACGAGATTCATGAGCCCGAGCTGCACGCTCGAACGTGGATTGCATTGACGGCATTGTGTGTGCAAAGCTTCTGCCAGCTGTTTTCGCTGATGGGCCCCCCTTCTCTTGTATGTGGCTGTCACAGAATAGAGGACGATTCAACGACACTGACTTGGATATAGCTAGGACAAATTGCAGCAGATCTGAACGGGGTGGAATCCCAGACATGGGTTCCCAACTCAATGCTTCTTGTGCAAGCTGTATTCTGCGGCATCTTGTCGTCGGCCTCAGACCTTTTCCAAGCAAGAAAAGCTCTTCTGGTAACCTGCACCACCATCGCATTCATCGGCTCGGCAATTGCTCCAGGATCTCAGAGCATCGGTCGGCTCATCGCAGCGCAGACCCTGATTGGGGCTTCTATTGCTGTCATCACTCTCACATTTGTGGTACCTAGTGAGATTCTACCCACAAAATGGCGTCCCAGTAGGTTTTACGGACCTCTGTAACTTTATGCACGAACCGAGCTGAATAGCTATGTTACAGTGGCCCAGGCAGCCATCAATGTTGCGGGAGGTCTTGGAATGATCTCGGCGCCATTGATAATGGGTGCTTTGGCAAAAAGGAATCTACAGACTGGATGGAGAACTTTCTATGTAAGCCGCAGGAATCTTATATGCCTCACCATCTTTTGATGAATATCAACATATTAATCCTTCTGACAGTGGATCGAGATGGCCCTCTGGGGTGCATCAGCTGTCTTTCTGTTTATTGGGTACCGACCACCAAAGCGACATACAAGATTCGACCATCTGAGCACCTGGCAGAAGCTCAAGCAACTCGATCTACTTGGAGCTTTGATTATAGCAACCGGCCTAGTACTGCTGCTGACAGGGCTGAACGTGAGTCTTTGTAAACCCATCCGACTCAATCTCATTCTCAACGACCGGTATTGGACGCATGACAAGAATTCAAAGGATGCATGCTAACATCTGAATCTATACAGCTCGGGGGTACTCTTTATCCTTGGGCCTCAGCACCCACCCTAGTGACGCTGATCCTCGGTTTTGTCGGACTGATCGGCTTCGGGCTTTTTGAGTGGAAGGGAACGAAAAGCGGCATCGTGAACCACGAGCTATTCACTCACAACAAAAGGCTGGTGCGGACGTTTGTCATCTGCGTGTGGTTGATGTTCGTCGAAGGTGCCATGGTGTATTCTTACATCATATTCTACCCCGTCTTGTGAGTGAGAGTCGACCCCTTTACGACACGAGTTATTTTGCTCCGCGGAGACTGACAATCCACATAAACCAGGACGCAAGCGCTTTTCGAAACCGATCTAGTCGTCTCATCAGCTCGCGTTTCGGTCTACTTCGGCGGCTTGGCTATAGGAACGCCTATCTTTGGTTATGTTGGAGTCAAGCTCCGATCCATCCGCGAGACACTGACAGTCGGCCATATCATCTGCCTAATTGGCACCATCGGCATGTCTACGATCCAGCCGGGACAGAACGCAAGATCCTTGGTGTATGTCGCACTGAGCGGCTTTGGTACCGCGGCAGTTCTCAGTCAAGCCATCGCCGGGGTCCAGCTCGCGTCCCCGCATAGACATGTTGCCACGGCCACTGCAGTTGCTGTGATTTCCAGAGCAGTTTCATCCTCTTCCTTCACCTCTATGTATGCAGCCGTTGTCGCCGACAAGTTGGGTGTGTATATTCCGGAATACATCGGAAATTCAGTCGTGACTGCTGGTCTGCCCATTGAGTCGGTACCGGACTTCATCCTCGCACTCACGGGCCCTCGACCCGAAGCCGTTGCGTCGGTCCCTGGCGTTACCGAGGCCATCATCAATGCAGGAGTCCAAGGCTTGCAGCAGGCCTATGCTGATGGGCTCAGGTATCCTTTCATCATCGCATGTCCATTTATCTTTCTGGCTGCAGTCGCTTCTTGGTTCATCACCGATCTCAAGGCCATCATGAACTACCATGTAGACGCCCCGGTTGAGAAGCTCAATGCCAAGGGGGGACATGACGAAAAGATTGTTGATTCGGTTTGAAATTGACCTATCGTCATCATCTTGAGCGGAGGTAGTAGCATGCTCACTTGCTCAAGACAGTCTCCTATATCCTCAAAAGCCACATGGCCGTCCATATGATGAATTATCTCGATCAAAACTTGCAACAATAATCCTTCGCATGATTGACTACAGCATTGATTAATGTAGGAATTGAGAGAATCAGTGAACTGATAGGGATTCGCATGAAATGTTATTATTATGAGACCGAGAGATGAAAAGTTGGTTGTCCATCCTCGTTGTACACTGGGGCTTCCTATCTTCTGATCTCCAAACTCTATACTAGGGGCTGGGAGACGCTACATACATGCACGCGTAGTCGTGAGCGTCACAGCCTGTGGGAGCAAGACGAGTGTGGTATACCGTCCTCGAGCCCCCCAGTGTAAAGTTTGGAGACCAAAAGCGCAGGCTAGGTGGCATAGATAGGATGCCCTCCTCGCTAACGATGAGGAGAGACATCTAACCCTTTCACCTCTTCATCGAACATAGCGTCGTCCAATGGTAAATTTGCGTGCAGTCTGAGATCTAGAGGGCAGCTACTGTCCATTTCATTCATGAGCTTGGGTGGATATAGGGCTGTTTCTCAATGTTCATACAAGGAAAACTGGAGCGTAGAAAAAATGTCCGACTTTGCCGGCATCACCGCCTCTTCGCAGGTCGGCCAAGGGTAGATCAGCACTCGGAAATGAACTACCCCGGCCCCGGCATCAGTGTTGGGATCGCCTATGCGCTATAATAAAGTTCGTGGAGATGAGAGAGCTCGAAACGTTTTTATATATACGAAGCGCACAACAGGGCCTTGAGTCAAGAGAACATTCGTTTGACGCTTAACTATCATAAGTGCCGAGGACTAAGCTCTGAGTACCCCAACACCCTGATAGCCTGGGCAGTTCATGAAGGTTCGAATTGAGCCACAAAAAGGAAAATGGCATCTCTAGGAGGGAAAGTGGTAAGCAGAAATGACGCCGCAAACCCTATATCCCAAGAGAGGAGAAAGCAAAATCCCACACAGCAAAGACCAAGGCCAGAGATATTTTTGATAACTAACGTAGACACATGGCCAACAGATCGCCATCACGGGGGCAGCACGAGGAATCGCACTTAGTGCTGCACAACTGCTTGCTTCCAGAGGCGCAATATTGTCGCTGGCAGACACGAATCAACAGGGGTTGGACGAGGCGATCCAAACGTTGACGACAAGCAGAGGCGGCAAGCATACAAGTACTGTGGTCGACGTCAGAGATAGTAAAGCCGTCGATGGATGGATCGCTAGAACGGTGGCAGACCACGGTAGGCTTGATGCTGCTGCAAACATCGCGGGTGTCTATCGCAATAATGTTCGACTGGTGGACGAGACTGATGAAGGGTTCCACTTCCACATGGACGTGAACTCCACGGGCCTATTCTACTGTCTGAGAGCACAGCTTCGAACCTTGTCTAAGGGTGGCAGTATTGTGAGTCGCGCCGAAATCCCGTGTCGGGGAGATAGAAAGGAGAAACGGACGATGGAGCTCCATGACTCTTTACTGTACTATATTTGTTCCCAGCTGAGTTCTGACATTGTCTTTCTTATCGCACGTCTAGGTGAATGTCGCTAGCGCTGCCGGCCACGTGGGAGTTCCAGGCATTGGGAGCTACGTTGCAAGCAAGCATGCTGTGTTGGGCCTAACACGAACGGCGGCCAAGGAGCATCCAGACCATAGAATCAATGCAGTAGCCCCAGGTAAGAGAGAACCGACCTCCGTAATCTTATGCCATTTGAGACTGCTTGCTCACATGAGGGGTACAATCTTAGGTATTGTCGCAACGCCTATGGTCAAAGAAACAGAGAAAATCCAAGGCTACGCCCAATCTACCAAAGGACTGCAAGTCATCGATCGACAGGCGCAGCCGGGTGAGATCGCAAGTGTCATCGCTTTCCTCCTTTCGGATGAAGCGAGCTTTGTGACGGGCGCGACTTATAACGTTGACGGGGGTTGTTGTTGCTAGGGTCGTCATGTCCACAGTGTGTTGGTTATAGACTTGTTTGCTCGAACGATGCTTGCATTCTAGTGGTTTAGGGGTATAACTTCGGCAGGTTTCTCTGCTGATGTTCAGATTACCCATCCAAGTTTCTCGACGATACCACTACAATTTGCCATCGGTACACCCGGGAAATGTCGAGATTTCGAGATAGAATGCTGTGAATGTGGATTTTATGTTACATCTTCACATATACATACAGATTTCTCCCACAATCAAATTGTTGACCAATATGAGAGACCAATGGAATGCTGGATCCGGAATGTCGACTAATGGGACTTTATACCATCATGAAGGCATATACGAGTGCGATGATACCAACAGCTTTACTTGTTTGCCCGACTACAATCGCGCCAATCGCGCCATTGTCCGTCGCCGTAGCTGCTGCACCCGTCCCAGAGGCCGTTGTGGACCCTGATCCTGAGGTAGCAGTGGAGCCTCCAGCTGCAGCGCTGCACTCGGCTCTAGCATTGGTGAGCTGAGCCTGTGTACAATCACCGGAACAGTGTTCTAGAAATATTAGCCGGCAGCTGTCGGAAAAACCAATGTGAACGTACCTTCGTCACCATGACAGTGACAATCACACTCTTCCTCATGATCGTCGTGGTCATGATCGTCATGATCGTCATCGTCATCGTGGTCAGCCATGCACTCTGCACGAGCATCATCAAGTTGAGAGGGAGAACAGTTGCCTTCACAATGTTCTTCAAAATATTAGACAATCATGACCCAAATCAGGAAACACAGCTCAAAGCTTACCGTCGGCACCATGGCAGTGACAATCGCAAACCTCGTCTACTACTGGAAGGGTGGTCGAGTTGGAACAATAATAGTCGCGGTACGTGAGGTTGGATCCTGGTACCTGCACACCTTCGGCAGACTCAGCCAAGTATTGCACGGTAGCACATGCGGACAGATTGGTGTTTGTCGCAACATAGAGAAAGCCAATGGATCCTTCCGTCAGCGAGGGCAGAACTGTGTCAATGCACAGATTTCCGGATTCTGGCAAGGTGGCATTCTCGATCAATGTGACATTGAAATCGGCTGGACTCCTGATGAAGTCATCAAAGGCGTCGGTGTTGTTTGAAGTGAAGCTGGAGGTTGTAAAGAGAACAGTGACCGAGTCACCCGCATCTCCAGTGAGAGAAATGAAGGTATCATCCCCTAACCAAGGCCTTGCGTTCCCAGGGTCAGCTCCACCACAGAATTCACCGTCGTGTTGATCATCCTCATCAGTGTCCCATTGCCCCTGTCTTGGGTCAGTGAAAATCACCATTGGTCAAAGGTGAACTTACAAGAGGATAATTGATCTGGATCAAGTTATGTGCCACAACAGAAGAGGCGCAGAGGCCAACGGCCAACAGAGACGACAGCATGGTGGTAGTATGGTGATAATGATAAGACACAAAGTAGAAAAGAACCAAAGGTGGAAAAAGATTGAAAACGGTAAATAAATGTACAAGTCAATGCTGTGGCCTGCCTTGGCAATGGTGTGTTGGCGGCTGAACCAGATTCGGTAGAGGGGGAGGAGAGGAAGTGATCGGAAGTTGATCGCAAGTGGACCACAGGTTGGCAGCGGTTGGGAGCGAATCAAATCACAGTCATTGATCACTGCCATGGGCAGTTTCTTGGTGGATTGAGCGATTCCGCCAAAGAGGTTCGAGTTCCAAGACCAGCCGTAGTGCTTGATTCAAGGTGCTCACTTCACGCCTTGGCGAATGCGATATGGGCTGATCAGCGTTCGGCCAAGTCCGTTTGATCATCCGATGAATAAATGAGACCCGGGTGTCATTTGTGGCCAGTGTATAGTGGTCCAACGGTGCTGTAGCTTGGGAATTATCTTCCATGATTATGAAGGCAGTTGGACACCATCACTATTCATGGCTTATGCCGTAGTCATAACAGCAGGGCTCTTGCGTCTCTGCATCAAAATGGCATGATGCCTGACCTTGACGTCAGCGTTCGAACGGTCAATGTCTAAGTGAAGTCGCTGACGGGTTCCAGGTAGTCCGGACCGTCTCCATGTCTCGCGAGGACATTTTGGACAAAGCCCCATGTGCTGGTGATCTGGTCATTGGGTCCCAAGTCTTCGGAGATGATTGACAACCAATCGCCGGCAATGAATAGTGGTAGGCTTGGTAAGGCTTTCACGGTTTTCTCTGAGATATGATTGAATGGGGGGTCGAGTGTCGCCTTCAGATTTTCATGCTCCGAAATGTCTGCGACGGAGAGAGTTTTGATGCGATCCGAGAATGCAGATGATGATTTTGCCCGAGTTGATACGACCATTCGCCGCTGCACGGTACTCGATGCTCCAATCTTATCCACGAAAGAGCCGAGGATTTCGACGCGTTGGTTGTATGTCCCTTTGAGGACGGACAGTTGGGATAACACAGGGATGCCTCCGAAAATGACGACCTGAGCCAAGTGCGCCTCCGTGGGCGATTGCCTTGTCCAGCCTCTCAGACGACGTTCTATTGTTCCGACGTAACCCGGAGCACGGCTCAACTGACGGAGATGTTCGAGGACGAGGTTATAAAAATGGTAGGTCGAGATGAGCTGGGGAGGTGGGTAGGTGCGGATGAACTCTTCCACGCTTTGGGTACACTCGGGGCATTCCATTGCCCTCATTCTGGCGCTATTGGCATGATGAGGATGTTGGAAGACGAGCATCTTCCGATAATGCTCAAGGAAATGATACAGTGTCCAGGCTGGAGAGTGGAAGCGGCGAATCAATTTCCGGCGGTGGGGAGCAAACTCGTCGAACCGAGGGTAATTCGGCATCATGTAGACTTTGATCTGGGTAAAGGCGGCGATGATGACTATGAGTTTGTCGATCTGCGCCTTTCGTCGGAGCATCTGCAACAACCAAGTTTCATCTAAGCAGGGTTTTGGCTGAGGATACAGCCGTTGGCAGTAGTCGGAATCTTGCTGTGAGGAAGCTGCATGGGCAAAGACCGACCGGGTAATTGGCCCAACATTTGCCTTGATTATATTACGGATCGTACGACATGTCAGACGGAGAGCATAGTAGTCGTTGGGGGCCAGATAGCACATGATATGGGTCAGAATCTCATCTGGCAGAGCCAGCAAGACATCTCCTCGTTTTTGACTGAATAGATGATTAATATGGGAGGCGGAGAATTGGCCAATATGAGACTCACGCGAGGTCGTCCAAGTCACCGCCCAGACCTTTATAAGAGTTTGATCGCTTGGATCGACTGAGGAATAAAGACAGGCTTGCTATACTCGACTTTCTGGGGAAATCTACCAAGGAAGGGCGCCTTGAACTCTCACTACTCGAGCCTCCATTGTCGTTCCAGGTGCTCTGGCGACGGAGAATGCTAGGAGCCATGACTTCTGGTATCGCGACAGGCCAAAGAACGACAGCTGGTGGTTGAAAAGCAGCAGCAGCGTCGGAGGAATTGATATGCCGTCTTCAATTCAGGGCTCGAGCATCCTGGCAAAGGGACGGAAGGAAGCGTCGGAATGATGCGGGACTTGACTTGGCGACTCCGAGGTGGTGGGATTTCACATCTGAAGAGGTGGAGGGTATTGTTTTATCCCATGTAGGCATCAGTGGAGTAAACCGATATGTGATGGAGTATTAAAAGTGACTCGAGCAAAAGATCGGATAAGAAGCAACGAGTAAGAATGTGCATCTCTCTCGCTAACGCGCATTGGAGCCTTTAGGGTCTTCTGATACTCACTTCGTACGCTGACGTCGGCAACGAAGTGGAAGTGAATCCGGATGGAGGAGACACAACGGATGCGGGCCCGGGCCCGGGTACGGGGCAGATTCTATTTAAAGTCAGACGCCGCTGGACTAACCGTGAGAGGAAGGCAGGCCGCCTACTCGATGCCTGATAAACCCCCACGTTGGAAGCACCGAGGAGGAATGGGAATGCATTTTATGGGATCGTGGGATCGTTTGCTAAAGGATAAGGAACAAAGGATGAGTAGACACGTATCTATAGACCTGACAACTTTCCTTATCCAAAGGCGTGGCTTTTATTTCTCACCGACTCTTGATGTAAATGATTCGCCGCAAGACGGGATATATGAATAAATCTGCCGTCTATCCAACTCTAATCTACCAAATCGCAGGTGGCATGAGTCATCCGTTAATATTTCGGTCGGCTAGGCAAAGTCTTCATCTGGTCAAAAATGTCACCCTCGAGTCCCAGAAGAGCATAGATCCATCTCAGGATGATAAAGAAGCTGTCGGGCTCCCCCATGTGCTTCTTGCCCTTGACCATGCGGGCTTGCTTGGGCTGTCCATTCTCCAAGGCGACAAACATGTCATCGATGGGGAATATCTCGTCGTCGTTGCCATTGACGAGTAGCATGTTAGTACAAGGTTTGTCTAGTGTTCCATCGTTAAGTAGCGAGAATTTTCCGGCATCGAGGATAAAGGACTCGAGATCCGGGTAGCCAAACTTGTATGTCAGGGTGCCAGCGAGGTCAAAGGGGTACTCGAGCTTGTTGACGTTCTCCAACCACTCCCGATCAAACATGTGATGGGCACCACCGCCGAGACTGACGCTACCCAGGAGTCGGTCCTTGTGTGTATGTGCAACCCGAAGCGCATAATACCCACCGGTTGAGAAACCCCATATCACAATCTTCTTGTTGTCCACGGCTTTTTGTGTATCGATCCAGTCCAACACGCTGGACCACTGTCGGTCGGGGCTGGTGGGGTCTTGTCGTAGGGCAGGCGAGTCACCGGTCCCCGGGATCTCTGCAATCAAGGTCGCCACACCCTTCTGGGCCCATCCCTTCTGCCACACGGCGAGTTCGGTGCGATAGCCATCTAGTCCGGTAATGATGAGGACCAATGGAGCCGGCTTCTCGGGTGAGGCGTCCGCAGGGAGCTGGAAGTTGACAGGGACCACATCCCCTTCGCCGTCAATACCGTGTTTGTGAGGAATGAGGACTTCGTGGATGGGATGCTCCATTAGCCTATGACATGTCTCGTAAGTATGATGCACATGATTGTAGTCTTGGGTCGTGGCGGGCACATACGCAGCACCTTTGTAAAAGACCTCTTTTCCCAACTTCCAGGCCAGCTTCTGCTTTTCCGATCGGAATGTGGGAAAACGGGCGATACGGTAGACGGCTGAACTTCGACTGTATGGGGTGTCAGACAGGTTTGATAGTATTGAGAACTCGGGGAGGTCGCGCACAGGTAGTATTCAGAAGCCTTCTCGGTCTCGCCTGCCTTTTCGGCCTCCTCGGCGATGCTCTTCAACTCCTCGGCCTTGGGGAAGTAGTACTGGGCATATTCGTCCCAGTCGTATGGTTCTTTAAGTCCTGCCTGTGTGGGGTGTCAATTGACTGGAGGCGCATGCGCATGGAACGAGGCAGACTACCTTGATGATGGATTGCGCAACCGGCTCAAAATCTGTATAGGCGCCAAACATGAACGGGTAGACACCCATCTCGCACTAGTCGTTGAATCAGTCGGCCCATGATGAAAGCGGGAGAACGGGTTCCCACGCACTGGCTTTTTCCACTTGGTCTCCCATAATTGTTGATAGGAGTGGTGGTGGACCGCTGTCTTGGTGATGGCGTCCTTGATATAGTACTTTGAGCTTGCCATGGTGATTGTGAGATGAGAACTGGCAAAATTATGAAGATACAGAGGGTGTCAAGAGAGCAATAAGGAAGAGGAAGAGGACGATTGCGGTGCAAATACACGTGCTTGCTATGAAATCCAAAAGCTAAGGGACGATTGAATGGAAAGATCGGTGAGGCTGGTCAAGCCTGCGCGCCAAACCATTGTTGTTCCCTCCTTCAGATCTCAGTCCCTACTACGGAGCTCCGTACTTGCTCCGTAGGTAAGTGCGTTCAGGGGCAACGAACGAGGGCTTGGGCTCTGGGGGGGGCCGACGGGGTTTGAGAACGTGGGGCCGAAGGGCGCCGTGGCTTGGTTTTGTACTTGGGTATCTTACCTACCTACCTACCTAGGCACCTAACCACCCAACAAACTCATGTTTAGGGTCCAAAGCGCCCCTCAGCCCCCCCTTCTTCCGCTCCCTCGTCCTGATCTGATGCTCCGCGACCCCTATCAAACCTGCTGCTTAAAGAAGACCGCTTGAGAAGTGCTGTGCAAGAAGGGACCCGGAGTCACAGTCACACCCTACAATAGATGGCAGGACTTGTTCTCGCTCACACACATAATGATGGTGACTTACAGTGATGACGAAACGAGTCACTGATGTGGGAAAGACATCCTGGAATTCTCTCGTCATAATGCTTATCACGTGGTGAGGGTGGTGCAGCATGACGCCAGTTTGCTAAGAATAAACAGAGAAGGGGCCAAACGAGCCCCTCGGCCTTCTTAGGGTGACACCCCCCTCCTAATAATAATAATAAAAATAATCATCATCAAGCACCGATCTTAGAGGCACTTGGGTTGTCCGCTGTCACAACCAGCCAACCAAGGCCCGAGAAGTGGTTGTCTCCAGGGTCACAGAGCCAAACAAAGTTAGGGCCGGAACTCTAGCTGCCTCCGATTCCGGTTTGCGAGCCATACTCCAACCCTCCACCAATGGGTACTGTCCAGACTGAATGACATCCTTGAACCCAGCGAGTAGTACAGATGGTTGTGTGTTCCTGTGCCTCGATCATAAGTACTTTTAGTTCACGCTGCTCACGTACTCGTAAGTAAGCAGGGATCGTAGGCGCTGGATTCTCGCGTGCAACACTGACTTGACCGTCTGGAGGCTCCCCCGGAGGTATCAAGTCGGGTTCCGGTGGGGACTCAAGTGGCTCCAGATTCTTCCTGAGGTCAAAACGACCGTGCCAGATGTGGCTCTTCCATGGCTGCCTGGCTGATACGATATTTGCCATGCACTTTTACCATGGATTGCATACTCCGTAATCTTCATCTTCTCTCTGGTAGCATGTGTCCAATCACAGATGCACCATTTGTCGCAAACCTGGGTAACCAGCCAAATGAACTGCGCCGCTTGGCTCTGACCGGGGGGCTTTCTGAAATGAAGAGAAAACACGGGAGGTTCCTGCGGCTAACAATCCATCCTGATCGTGTCTCATCCTTTCCGCGCACATTCCTCTATACGCCACGCTTGGGCTCACAGTCTCCTGTTGTGATCAGGACAGATGGCAAATTTGTTGCCGGAGCGGGAGGGCTATTCCGCTTGTCTCAAATACCAATAGATAGCAAGGTAGCGTGAGTTCCCACTGTGAGACCATCACTGGCAATGTCGGTCTTCATCCTTCCATCTGGGAAGTTGCAATGGCGACCCGCTGCTCTGCACCAATGATGAACTTGCTCGTCACTTGGATCCTCATCATATCCAGGCAACTGCTCTCACTGAGTTTGGTGGTCGATACTTAGGTGATCCACGCCCTTCTCCTTGCTTCAGGCCTGTAACCGAGTTGGACTGGATCTCGATGTCCAGATATATTTGGCCGCATTGCCCCCTCGGCCTAATCGGTACACCATGGGAGGGATGGCCGAGTCACTAGTCGACTCGCCTTTCTGAATGGTTTTCAGGTGCATGACGGCTCGTGCGGTGAACGGATGTTCAGGGCCAAACGAGTCTCGACAGATGTTGACGACATGCTGCATCGTCTCATTGGCTTCCTCACGTCGACCCAAATTGTTGAAAATCTCAGCCATCGCTCGGAGGCATCGCACATAGATTTCTCGCTCTTCGGCGCGAGCAAGGGGCTCGGCTCGTTCCAAGGCAGTCTTAATCGACTGAAGAGCCTCTTTGTATTGACCTAGGTGGAAATATGCTTCGGATGTCGAACGCAGCGCATAACAAACCTCGTAACACTGTTTTCCCATTGTGGTTTCGAACGCATCAACCAACTGTTGGAATCGCACAGCGGCTTCTGCATACCATTTCCGGTTCATGAGGCCAGTTGCAAATGTCTGCAGCAGGGCAATTGTCTCAGGGTGGAAGTATCCAATGCTATCCTGGAAAAAGTCCAGCAGCCTTCTCATGGCAGATTCAGCTAGCCACGCCCGTGAAATCGTCGCCTCGCTCATGTACTTGGCCACTAGATATATGGGGTGTTGGTCGGACTCAAATACGGCCTTGGCAAGATCGGCCAAATGCTGCAATAGCATCAGAAGTGGCTCTTCGTACCCCGTGCCATCATGTCGGATGATCAGGTCCAAGATGTAGATCATGAACCCGACGTGATCGTCCTTGAGCAGTCCTTCGACAAGTGCGAAGGCCTTGTAGAAGTTTTCAAATGCAGCCTCCTTCTGCTCGTTCCACAGAAACGAGTAGCCGTGATACATGGAATAGTAAAACCGATCGGCCACCGCGTCATCGGATGTGGCTGTCCAAGTTCCCGTGGTGTTGCTAACAGAAACGTTCCGCGTTTCAAACAGCCTAATGTAATGTTGTTGGAGGTTACTAAAAACAACATCGAGGTAACGCTGGTCGGACGGTGATGCATTAGACGGCGCGACAAAAGACTCGACAGACAGATGTCGGAACGGCATCAGCGGGGAAATGTTGACAAGACCAAGCGCCGCCTGTAATGAATGAAGACATTGGTCAGCGACATCGGTCGGTGTCAGAGACAGGGCTAGTTTGGCAGTTCCCGGATCGGCCATAGTCAACGGACTTCGAGTCATATCCTCATCGAAGGTCACGGGGAGCTCAGAATCGAGATCGTCTCCGTTGGACGAGACCGGAGTAGCTGCTTCGGCGTCGACGTCGGCATCATCAGGAGAAGACAATTCTCCGGGTAGGTCCCCGCTTGGTTCGAGAAGGCTTGCAGGATCTTTGATTCCTTTGCGGTTAAAATAGTGTAGCGCGTCAGCGAGTGTGACCTGTCTTCCTCTTACCAGAAAGACTTTGTCCTTGTCGTCGCCTTTCTGTTGGAGTCCCCGTCGAACTAGATCGAGCATCTCATGCTCTTTCTTCTTCTTGTCCAAACCCCATGTATGCAAGCGGCTTTTGTACATCCGCTCACTTTCATTCAGTTAGTCACGCCGCAAAAAGCCAGCCGCAATTCACTTACGTTGGAGCAAAGTCGAATTCTCGTTTGAGATGGTCGGCAACATCCTTGAGAGTCCGACCTTCTTCGAAATACAACTGTGTGATCAAAGGACGATGCCTCCGCCATTCCTCACTCGTATAAGAATTGGACGAACGCTTCGGGGGTTTACCTTTGCGGTCAACCCCGGTGTCAGTAGTGGCCATGGCCGGGGATTATGGCCCAGACGAGTTGGAATTATCTAGAGCAACATGATTGATCGTGCACCGTCCGCGATGTCAGGCCAGGAATGTCAAGAAATCGGGAGATTGTACAACTTTCCCCGCAAAGCCTGGCCAAGCAAAACTACTCGATGCGCGATCGTTGGAAATCGGAATTCAAGATGGTGTAAGATAGTGTGAGACGGTGCCAGATTGACCTGTCAGGAATGCTGACACAACAAACGGTCAGGATATAGAGATGATGCGTCGGTCGGTCATTCGAATATTGTACTTTTGTCGGGAGGGGAGAGTCGAAGAAAGAATCCGGAGTTCAAGATGAATCGATCTTACACAGCTGAATGGCTTGAAGTCGACTCCAGGCTTGGCTTCATTTAGGCTTCACTTGAGAATTTTGGGAGGATTCGAGCTGCTGCTCGATGGACGAATGGGCGAGTCAGACTGTCAACAGGAACTCGGCAGATGGCAAACGGTGGTGGAGACGAAGCAAAAGGCCCGAGGATAGGCAGGACTGTGTCCGGGGGAGGGTGGCATTGCCTCTGAATTGACATTTTGACTGCTAGCGAAGAGAGGCTCAGTTAGGAAAGCCTACGCCTATTCCCAGGGCTCGCGGAGCAAAGCGCCTAAGCGTGGACATTGTACAGTATGCATTGGCGGTACCGAGTGGAGACTCCGACAAGGGGGCCGAGGGCCCAAAGGCCATAGCCAAATAACTATTCGTAATGCCTCGCTTCCAGGGATCTCTAGCTTGACACCTTCTACAGTGGCTCTGGCGTGGCAAGCTTCCAGGGGGCCACTGGCATGGACACTACCTAGGTAGGTATGTATGAGTACTGAAAGCAAAAGTCCAAGCTCCCAGTCCCTCACAAGCCCCACCAGCATCACCAGCATCACCACCTCCCTCCATTCTAATCGTCTAATAGGGTTTGTGCTCTTACTTTTAGATGACCATCAATCTTTCCCTACTTTAGAAGCTACTCCGGACTGGGTCGAGACACTACTGTACTGATGAGCTGAAACCTCCAGGATTGCTCTCAAAAGTACTGCTTGGGATCCAGTTGTTAGCCTCTGTGTAATTTGCCAGGCTGTTAGCTCCCTCACTCTTCATCAGTCGGCTGCAAAATTACCCTCGAGTCGCTTTTAAGGGGTCAAGTCATGGCCATTATAAACCTGACTACCCTCAGACTTTCTGTTTGATCAAATGCGGTATGCGGTTCACGGTTCACGGTTGCCTCATGCATCCTTCCTCGCCGTGTTTTAAGCCGAACCTTTGTACTCGACTGGCCACCTACGTAATCGTGGGCGTCAATCCTCCATGGACAGAATCAAATGAGTCATTCTAGAACCCTGCCTCGCGCCTCGCCCTGAGGAGAAGAGGCGCTCTAAGTAGCCTATGCACTTGCACGAGTCGACAGGTGGCTTCCACGAGCCAGAACATAGGTAATTTAAATCAATTCGCCATGTGTCTACTTAGCCCGAGAACCCACCGTGCTCCAAGTTTGTTGTCGTCGGTGTGGCAGTGCATCTTCCTGCTCCGGTGGAGAGGCTGCTAGTGGTTCATCCACTAAAGTACTGTCTCTGACAGACATCAAGCAATAATGACCTCGATACGTGGTCAATACTAGACCCAGACAGTGACACGCACTTCCTCAAATTAAAGCAACCTACGGAAATGCTCTCTGATATCCGCTGCGACTGGAACTACCTGAGAAGGACTGAGAAGGGTAGAGCTATGAATTCGAGTCCCCTTCAGCCTTTATCAGCTGTCATGGGCACTTGTTTTGCGCTTGATCTGCCCCCACCACTTCTATTACTCATGTGGCGCCTTCACTCGTGTCCGTCAAGTCTGTACCTAGTCAATGTTGAGAGAAGAAGAATAGCTTGGCACCACACAAGGACCACAAGGCTAACTTGGCCTAGTGAACCTTTCTTGGAGCATCCGAAAAACAACCCTCTTCATCAAAGACAATTTGCTCTTAGTTCACGTCTTGTCGCTGGATTTGCGTTCAATCCCTCACTTATTGCTTGTTCCCAGGTACTGTCTCGTTTAATGACAATCCGGGGTCCGCGTCAATATACGCAGCTCCCATTAGTTACGCAAGCCACTCGCTAGGAGGACCGTCTTTGATTCAGGGGCCACAATTTCTTGTCTTGGTGTCTCCGGCTTGATACCTAGTATCTCTGAGGTTCAGTCGCAATACACCTTCAAGGCCATAGCACCGGGCTTTTTTTTTATGTCCATACCAGTGCTCTATAAGCCTGGTGTGTTGGGCCCAAAACACGACAGTGATTTCTTACTTCATTCTCCTAGACGGTAAGTTTGGACTACATTTAGAGGTCAAATCTCCAACATCGATCTTGTCGCCGTCAGTGCGTCTGATTTCAGTCAAGTTCAATTATGACACTGCCTCATTGATCTTGTCTAAACTCAGACAAGATCACCTTCATAACCACACTTGATCAGACTCAAGCCACATTACAGTATCTATATCGCCATCTCAATTAAATAATATATGGGCTTCGAGTACCTTTGAAATACATTTGCATGTATATAGCCCTCAAAGTTACCAGCATTCCTTAAGGATAAGTACAATTCTTCGTCAAGAAATATCGAAACGGAATAGAGTCACCAATTCCACGCTTGGGACTTATCAATGGTCTATACTGTAAGACGTGATTGTGGGACGGTAGAGTACTGCACCTCGAGACACGGCCTCAATTGGAGACTGACGAGGTACTTATTACGGTGCCGTCGATAGCCCTGGCATACATTACGACTAAGTATTGCCATGTTGGCACCGTTTGTTAAATTGCTCGAATTTCAAAAATTGATGGCGTTGGCAGGATTAATTTTTAGAACATGCGATGTCGTGGCGAGATTACAGGAAAAGATGCAAAAAGCCGTTCGCATTGTAACTCAACATTTGTGTAACAGCATGGAGTTGTGAGAACTCTTGAACAATCGAACCTATCAATGGGAAATACTTCTCAATTCGGAACGTGATCTAAGTAGTCGATGTCGAAATCGTTGAAGGAAGTCATCGTACCTGGAGTAACAGAGCACCGTTGCCAACCGTGACATCGCAGGGTTTGGCAGATCATTTTCTCTCCTGTGTAGCAAGCACGGTGGCATTGACAGAAGAAGAAAATATTGAATCAAAAATCCAGGTCATATGCAGGTGATAGTAGCTCTCTCGGCTGAAATTCACAAACCTGGCTTCAATGGCCAGCTTGTGGTCAGAGTTTCGATTCAACACAATTCTGAAACCTTGATTGGGCGGACCTCCGGCTGGAGTTCTCGCCACTTTTGAGGTAAGGTGCGATTGCTATGGAATACCATCCACATCAGGTCATACTCACACGACAGTTTCGAATGTCGGGGCATCTCAAATAGCATTGACTGTTAAGATGCAGAGGATCACCCGGATGAGTCTCCCAGCTAGATCGATCGACCAATCCAATGTGGTCATAAGCTGATTCCTAAGATCCATGTGCGCCGTGCTTCCCCACCCCGAATCTGTGCCGTCATCTTACATTAGGTCACCTATTGGAATGCCTAAAATGGGTGGCCGTAAAAGCTTCGATCAGCATTCATAACATGGCACGGCAACCTTGATCAACCTCTCCGAGACCTCCTTAGGTTATTATACAAGGCTGTAGCCGTAGGCCATTTTCTGCTGGAAGCAATTCCATCTCGTTTGAATGGATTGGGTACAGTCTCAGGCCTGAGCACCTGGTCAGGATTGGTGTTAAATTCACCGTGACTTTTGTGGCACTTACTTTCGCTCTTTCAAAACGTTCAACATGAAACTTGCCTTGTATTTGCTGCACATCCTACTCTATCTTCATGCACAGCTCGTGTCTGGAAGAACGAGTGACTCGGCAGCACCAGACTATGTTCTCGTTGCGACAGCTCAGGACCTCATCATCAACTGTCAGATGAGGTATTCTGTCGTACTGAATGGAACTTCTCCTGGACCCCTGTTGCACATGAAAGAAGGGCAAAGCACCTGGATCAGAGTGTTCAATCATATAAAGGATGAGAATGTGACCGTGGTATGTCCCAGCCTTCAATTGCTCTATTTACCCTTCAAGAGCGACAGCTGACTGATTTGTCTGGAAGCATTGGCATGGACTGAGCCAAAGAACTTCACCTTTCTCAGACGGCACTCCTCTTGTTTCTCAATGGCCCATCGCACCTAACAATTTCTTTGACTATATTGTCACTCCTCAGGTCGGTGATGCTGGATCATACTTCTATCATTCTCATGTTGGATTTCAAGCCAACACAGCCCAAGGAGTTATCATCGTCCAAGACCAAGATGAGCCCCCTTATCATTACGACGAAGATCTTCCATTGTTCATCCAAGACTATTTCCCCAAAAATGATTCAGCAATCCAAGCTGGGTTGCTAGCAAACCCATTCAAGTGGTCAGGAGAAGCAGAGTCGATCCAAATCAACGGCTTTTCGGGAAACTCATCCTTCAAGAACGCTTCTGACGCAACATGTACACCCCTCATAATTCCATTATCCCCAGGAAGCATTTATCGTCTGCGATTCATTAGCGGGACATCACTCTCGTTGGTTACGTTGGGGATCGAGGATCACGATAACCTCACCATTATAGAGGCCGATGGGGAATATACTATGCCTTGGGAAACGGACCATCTTCAACTTGGGAGCGGACAGCGCTTCAGCGTCCTGATTCAGGCTAAGTCGATCGACGAGTTACGGAAAGCTAACAAAACCATGTTCTGGCTTCGGTATGAAAATCGAGACAGACCGGCAAATACCTCCGGCTACGCCTTGCTTCAGTACAAAGTCGATGACATGTCGTTACCAGAAGAGCTACCAGATGAACCACCTGTACATCTTCCGAGCAATGTCACGGCCTGGGGCGAGTACTCTCTCGAAGCACTCGCGCTGGCCGAACCTTTTCCCACTCTAGACGAAGTCACGAGAACAGTCACCATCACAATGAGACAGGTGATTCGAGAAGGTGCTTACACCAACAAAACTATCAACGGTACATTAGAATGGGCGTGAGTATCAGCAGCTCCAACGTCGACTGAAGGAGATTAGGCTGACAGCAACTTGGCGTCACAGTCAGGACGACCTCGTTTGGCAGACCGAATCGCGCGAAACCAACAACAGTCTTCCATACCTGATTCAGATCTATCTTACAGGCCAAGTGCCAAACTATACAGCGGCGCTCGAGAACGGGGGTTGGGATCCGTACAGCCACGCCTTCCCCGCGCTTCCTGGAGAGGTGCTAGACATTGTCTGGGAGAGCAATTCCGGACCAACAGGAGGATGGGACTTTCACCCAATGCACGCTCATGGAAAACACTATTTTGACCTCGGATCTGGGTAGGTCGCGGCTCAAAGGAGCCTGGATCTTGTGGAAAGCCCTTGCTAACTAGACTCGTGATTCTGACGTACCAGCAACGGCACGTACAATGCAACGGAAAACGAGAAACACTTTGAAGACTATACTCCCGCCCGTCGAGACACGACACTGCTTCACAGGTACGCAGTGTCGGGGGAGCCGGAACAGACCGCTGGATGGCGAGCATGGCGGATTAGAGTGACCGAGGACGATGTGGGAGCCTGGATGTTGCATTGTCATATCTTGCAACACATGACTATGGGTCTGTACACACCTTGCTCGAATTTGAGTCGCTATGCCCTTGGATTCACATGCTAACGCCTCGATTCCTAGGTATGCAAACTGTGTGGGTATTTGGAAATGCGAGTTCGATCTTGGCCAAGTTTCCTAACCCGCCTTTTGTTAACGGATATCTAAACTTTGGTGGCGATGCATATGGCAATGACACATATGATCCCATGAACAATCATTTATAGTGCTTGGTGGCGAAACACCTGCACAGCCTAAATACCTGGCTTAGGATACTTAACTCCCACTATGCACGCAATACAAGACAGCCAACGAAACTGTATCTTCATTTCATTCACTGTTAATGCACCTTCACCCCGATCTCCTTCAAGTAACAAGACATTCTTTGTTAGTCAACAGACACACGCAAAACCTTGCGGATGGTTGCGCTTGTTGTCTTACCTCGTTCGAAATGAAGCACGCCGTAGCTCGAAATCCCTTTTGATATACATTCCCCTGTCAAGCAGACCCTGGAAAACTCATGCCGACTAGGACTGCCCTCTCGTTGATGCTGCTGTGGGCATAAGAGAGGCCGCAGACGCCACCAGGCTCCAGCATCAGCTCCAGTTTGGTGTCCATTGGCAGTCCAAGCCACCTTTTGACGAAAAAGCGAAGAATATGGCCATCTCAATAGAAGTAAGGCATCGATCAAACAGACATATGTCGAAGTAATAAATGCACTTACGAGCGACGATCAAAATATCTCCCTTCCCTTTCGTATCTCCATCTAACACATTGGCGTTGCTGCGCAAGACCTCGCCTTGGAGAGACACGATCTGGTCTATGAGCTGATCCAACCTTTTCGCGACTTGATCGGGTAGCTCACCCCCTGGCCCCTCGGTGCCGTCGCGACCGATATCCCAGGGAGTGTCGCGATCCAGGCCCCTCTGGTGCCTCAAGGCGCGGATCTCATGCGTTTTGAGCCCCTCGTAGTCGCCGTATCCGAACTCGGCGATTTGCTCTGTTGTCTGAACCGTGGATTCGAATACTTCTCGCGTCTCCTCATCGGTGATTCGCTCAATCAATAGTTCTAGTGTGTGTTGGGCCCGACGGCGTGGACTAGCAAATGTGGCCACGATGTTGCGTGGGTCGATCAGTCGGTTAAAGCCAAAGACCACGGATGCCGTTTGTCGTATTCGCTCTTGGCCTAGTTCCAGCAGCGGGAGATCCGTTATCCCTGTGTACCGCCCGTTCTGTGACCATTCAGTCTCGCCTAGAAGTCCAGGAAACAGACGGTTAGCAGTGAATTTCCAGCCCGAGGGTGGAAAGACGTCATGATCGGCGCATTTCAAATGAGACTGGCCCAATCATGTGTGTTTGGGGGTTAAGAGGATGACAGTTTTTCTGCTTATTGCTTACCGTGGCGAATGAGAAATACACGAGGAGTCTTTGCATCTTTGGCTGACATGGTGGGCAGATGAGTGAGTCCTTTTGACTGGCCCGGCCCGCCTAGTGTGGATGTGAGAATCGAGGTTTGACACTTCATCAGGCAGAACCCACAGGTTTTGAAGAAAGTTGTGGGATCTTCAGCAAGTAAATCAAACACCCTAGGTAATGGGATGAGACCAAGGTCGCATTCCGAGATGGGTCACTTTGCTGCGCAAGCGGGTGATTACAAATTGTGCCACACAATTCTGACTGCTTCTCTCTCTATCTTGTGGGTGAAAATGTAACTTTTGTTATCAAACAAGACTGCTCATCCAACACTTCTGTTGTTGTTGAGATTACTGATATGATCAAGTGCGCCAGTGCAAATGATGCACCGTAACTCATTCAGCGGACCGACGATGCCGAATATGCAGCTTCGTCTTAGCCGGCACGTGCTTGGCCTCCGTTTAGTTGAATACTAGTTCTGGTTGGCTACATGAATAGATGAGTCACCGCTGGACCGATGCACGTTGCGGATCGGAGAGTGTTGGACCGTAACCATGGTTTGTCGACCAAGATTCTGGTGATTCAGCGCCTATATTCGCCAATGTGAATGTTTTCTCACTGTCCAGTAGCCTCAGTGAAGAAGCAGCAGCATTCTACTTGGCTCAGCCAATTTCGATCCTGGACCCGACGAACAGTGGGTTCGCACTGGTTGAGACACACATCAGCAATGTCCCAGGCTGAGTCCAGTTTGGCTTTTCGCAAACATAATATCAATTGTTCAGCATCAGATACACATTCGTTTACAACTTCCATGTTTGGCGCCTCAATCGCGCAGCGCAGCATGAGAGTGGCCAAAATGCGCAATGGTACGGTTTCAGAAAAAAGCGCCCTTCAGCACACATAGGCAGCAGCGATGCTTACACGGTAGCCAAAACGCCCTAAAGTCCTGTCCTTGTAGATCTTGAGCAGAATCTAGCACGACCTGTGCTTGTGTGATGGCCTTCCCTTAGACGCCGCTTTAAGCTTCCCAGGTCTGGTACCAACTGATATCTGACTTTCAACAGGTCGAGGCCGAATGCATTGCATCGGTGTAAGAGAGTCGACTTCTAGAGTTGACACCTGTCTGATGACGGTGACATGAAACTTTTGAATTGTCACGAAGGTCCAAAAAATTGTAGCATTATTACTAGGAAAAGATCAAGCCAAAACGTTGTAACTAGTTTTGGCAGAAGACCGGACAATTTTAAGGCGGGAGGGGTCTTCCCAGAGATCTAGCAGCAGAAAACATCATTCTTCTTTAGGAAAGGAGGGATGCATTGCAAGCGATTTTCTAGAAGTACAGTACAAGGGCCGGTCCTTACGGATCTTTTTCGTGTTGGTCATTTTCTTTTGAATAACATGGAATGGCCAAAAGTGGTGCCACGCAACTTTGTGGAAAGACTCTGGCTTTGGGTATGCTGAATCTTGGATGTCATCCCTCTCGTCTGCGGAAGTTCCTCCAAACAACGGCGGTATGCTATAACCACTGGAGCCAAAATGTTACTGACTCGCCTACTTTCCATTTCACTCAGAGTAGTACCACCATGGTAAATCGTGAGAGGTATTTCAATGTGCCCTGTGGTGAGGCTGGCCCAACCACCAAGTCTACTCAGGACTGGTGTCGCATGGACGATGTTGCACGCGCGGGCCGCTCACTTAGCGGGTCTTGTCCAGTAGACAACGATTGCTTTTAGTAATTAGGACTACCATAGACTATCCCAAAACGAGGGCATGAAGATATGGAGAAATGGAGTGGCAATCCAGATTCTCCAACATGCATGGGAAACCACATGAAAAAAGGAGTAGCGTAGGGTGTGTTGAATGTCCATTTGAAGGAATGAAAAATATCGTGTTGGCATCGTTTATCAACATGTCATTATTTCGTCCTTGTTACCCATGTCAACCCGAACTCAACAGCAGTGACTCCGAACAGGCTCGGAGGCTTCTGATCGTTCATGCGTGAAGATGAAGTTGGTAGGCATCAGGTGTTGATAGTGTGGATATGGAAGGATTTCGCAAGTCTGAAATACTGCAATTGGATGAGACAGAAGTGCTGTGTTTGAATTCATGATAGGAGGCGCGGATGCCATGATAAGTCCAGGTGTTGATTGCCCAAGCCAGGGCAAATGAGTGCGAAAGGTTGAAGAAATGATGAAAGATGAAAGATCAAACAGAGATCTTTGACATGCGCCAGTTGATTGTTGGTCAAGTCACCGAAACATGTGCAGCTAAGCAATATGATATCCCAAAAAATGCTTCCCAAGCCAGTTGTTCCGTCCGATGCTATGCTACCGTCCGATGCTAGTGTCGTCATAAAGTTCGTAAATGCAGCGTAGGCTTCACGTGCTTTGGACCTTATCAGCCATCCAAGTCTTGCCGTTGGCCTCTTCTTCAACCGGGAAAACCTGGAAAATATGTAAGTCAAGGATGTAGGGGACATAAGTATGCTTGGATCGCATAACGTACTTCACGGAAATACTCTTCCAGACCTGGTCGAATTGTTAGTTGCGAAAGTTTAACTCGATCACAACCACGTACCTCTATACCCTTCCCATAATGAGCGAGCCTCGTCTGTCAGCTTGCCGAGTTTAGCTCCGCCCAACGAATTGGATCGACCATTAGGGGTTCTGCTCTGTGATTCGTGGCTGCTCGCACTGTTTTTCGGTCCAATGGTGTCGTTGCTTCCTTTGCGTCTGGCGTTGAAGGTGAACTCTGGTCCAGGAAAGTACGGTGCATTGTATTTGCCAAACAGTACTTCGAGTGTAGCGAGCTGTTGTCTATATCCCGATGGCACTGGGACCTTGATTTCGATTTTGGGGTCGAATACATAGTGGCAAGGCCGGCCGATAGCACGTTCAGCTGCCTTGCACACCTGGATCGGGGTTAAGTTTTCAAAGGCGAGCGCGATTCTGTAGAGGCAGAGATCAGCAAGATGCGGTTAGATGATTGTCAAAGGTCTTCGCCCGCATAAGGGCTTTGGGACAATTCATGGTCCGGAAGTAGATTCCGACAATGTGGGCATTTTCAATTTCGGGCAAGATCGGCACTGTAGATCTCGCAGCACCACACTAACAAAACGTGGCACATTAAAGATGAGGAAAAGCTTACCGATGCCCGTTCCATCGTTTTGGTCCATCTAAAAGAATCTGGAGAACGGCGGGACCAACGTCGTGCTCGGCGTCCAACCACGGCAGCTTGGTGTCTGGATGAAACGGTGCGCGCCACTCGATGCTGCCATCATCCTGGAAATCGAGGCAGAACAAAGGGTAGGGAAGGCTGGTGAAATTGTTGTTGTAGATGCCGGCATAAACAAAGGTCGCTGGAAGACCGAGTTGTCGAATGTAGTTCTCAACGGCGAATTTACAGGCCCACAAAGGTAATGTTGGCCAGTTGGGATTGTGGATGGAATGGTCCGGCATACTGCTGTAGATAAAATGTTGGACATTTCGTTTTTTGGCCGCGTTGGCCAGAGCCTTGCCAATCTTGATCTCATCGCCAGCTAGTGGGTTGGTGTTGATGAAGGCCACCTGGACGCCATCAAAGATGGTGTCTATCAATACCGGGTTGTCTAGGAGACTCCCCTCGAATAAAGTGACATTGGGCAAGTCGGCCAATTCTTCTGCCACCAAGCCCTCGGACGAGTAGACTTGGGCACGTACTGACCAACCCACTGCCGTCACCGTCCTAATGACGGATGCTGCCTGACGACCAGTAGCATTGACAAGCGCGATGGTCTTTTTGCTGTCTGGCATAGGACAAGAACCTGCCTGGAGGCCTCAGACAATACGGGAAATGTGGTAAAGGAGTATTCCAAATCAAAGAGCATCGAAATGAGGCACAATGCGGAGTAGAGAACTTTTCTAAAGTTTTGTAAGAGTTTCTAAGAACCCGATAGAAGGAAGAGCGACAAAGACGAAAGCAGAAAGATTAGACGGAGGGAGTATCACACCATGGAGAGTCGAAGACTCAAGTGTTGGGAGCCTCCCGAAAAATGAATGACATATCGGTCAGGGCTTCCATAATGGGAGAGCAAGTCAAATGGATTTTGTGCCGTAATCTGGGTCCATCATTTGTGAGGACCCTTGGCTGCGCAAATTCTGCAGAGGATTCTGGTCAAGGTTCTGGTGACCGCCAAACCTGATGCAGTCTATTCTTTACGTAACCAAAGTTGGTCGTAGTGGCGGGGTGCTGAGACCACCGAGCACGACATTCTGAGGGCATGAAAAGGAGCGCACGCGCGGTGTGACGGCTTCCAACTCGATCCATTAAACAGTAGACCCTCTCTCAAATCAGCCAGGGTGTTTGTTGCACAACATCCCTAGAGGGGTTGTCGACGCCTTGTCTACCCCTCAACCCCGAACTGTCCACCATGCACGAAATCGCTGGGCACCCACGGCACCCTTTTAGGCATCCGCTGACAACGCGCTCTTGATCTCTCGCTGAATGCGGGGTGATGGTCTGGGAAAGGTGGGGGGAGAGAGGTCACCACATGGTCGGCACAAGGGGCCTCTGTGTCACAGAAGATGTGACAGCAAGACTTGCAGGAGGTCATTGTCTTTCACAAGGTGCCTGATGTGTGAGTTGGGGATATTATTGAACAGTACTCCGTAGTGATGCAAGGCAAAGTCTGATGTCCACTCTCAAGTTGGATCCGCCGAAGTCGCCGTCGCTGGTAGGCCTCGATGAGGATTGATGGAGCGCGACTGGATGGGGTATTGGTTGTCGGTAATTGGAGAATAAGCGTCAAGGCGCTTGGCTCGGGAACGGAGGCCATTCGCTCCAGTCAAGGTCACTAAAATCATGGGCATCTCCGCGGCGTTGTCCACCGACAATTTGGGCAGGTTGCGGTCTCTTCCAGGCGCCGCCTCGGGCCCGAGGGCCGGTTAATAAGTAAGAATGAGTCAGGGCGGCCACTGATGACCACCAATGAGCCCAACTATACCTTGTTCATTTGCTGGATCAAACATTTCACACGCCGTGGCTCCTCCAGGGTGAGTCTAGGCCATTCGTATAACCTCCTTTACACTGTCAGGCACTCCTGGACTTGCCTCGAGTTTCGCACGGGTATGGGAGCTAGAGGGCTAGCCAGTCGACGTGTTTCGACGTCTTGACGTGTCGCCTGGTCTAGACGATGCGAACTACTGGTCAAGGTCAGTGCAGGGCCAGGCATGGGACCAGGCTAATGGGGGTGTTCGAGTGCTAAGAAGAAGGTCGACACGAGGCACTACTCGCCTCCCCGTGCGTAATTGCTTGGTGTAAACACTTCTGGGTCTTTGCTGATCAACGTCATGTGATGGGCTGGAGCGGACATTTCCTAGGGCTCTTCGAAGCCTGCAGCGGCCCACACATCAGGCCTTTGCCCGGCATGCAGCCTTGCCGTGTCAAGCTCTTCGGCATGTAAATGCGCTCCAGCCTGACGCAGCAACATGACATGTGGCAACAATCCAGCATTGGCTGCGAGAAACAGCGGCGTTCGTCCAGAGCCTGTGTGGTTGCGTAGATGGACAGAAGCACCAAGACCTAGCAAATACCGCAAAATCTGCAGGCTTGGGCCTGTCGCAGCGAGGTGGATCGGCGTGTTGCCTGAATAATCAGGTCGGTTGATGAGCTGACTGTCGGAACGCAGCGACTCCTTGACCTTTTCGATATCTCCACTGGCAATGGCGTAGGCGACTGCGGTCAATTGCGTGATGGGAGAGGAGAGCTCTCCTGTCGGATGACTGAAGATGGTGCCGGAGCTCTCGGTGAGTTCACCGCGAATGGAAATCGCCATATCTCTGGCAACACTCTCAGGCGTCGCTCCGGGGAGTGCAAGAAGATAGGATAATTTTGTGAGAGCGGCTTCAGTGGTCATGTCTCCTCCAGCAACTACACCTGCCCTCCCGAGAACCATGCCAGGGGCATACAAGGGGTTGACGCCTCCAGTCAGACATTGTGTAACATTGACGATGACAATGCCCCGCTGCACAGCATCCGCGATGACCTGGGTCAGTTTGTTGTCATGTCCACTAGGGGCGTTTCCCGCCCCAAACGTTTCCAAGACGAGTCCTCGCAGTCCCTCGGTGCGCAGCACTGCTTCCACCATTTTAGGCTTGATTCCTGGGAATATGCGCAAGCAAGCGACATAGTGAATATGAAGATCTTGCAGAACGCTGAATGGTTGGAGAATGGTTGGTCTAGTCACCATATTCCAAGCGACATGAGTGTCCACGGCGGTCATTCTAGCCAGAGGGGGAAGATTTGGCGACGCAAAGGCATCGAACGAGCTGGCCGAGATTTTGGTAGTTCTGTTTCCACGAAAGAGGGTCGAGTTGAAGCATAGAGAGACCTCGGGGATCATAAAGTGGCCGGCAATATCGAGAGAATCGAGGAGATTCTCAAGAGCGTCATTCTTTCTTTCGGCGAATGGCACCTGCGAACCTGTTCCGCATTAGTCGTGTTCTCCTACTTGGCCAGAACCAGTCAACATAGCAGGGCAACTGGGATGAGAAAAAGAGTCTGTTGGGAATTGCAAGATGCGCATACCTGTCAGGATGACTGGTTTCCCGAGATTCTGGAACATGAAACTCAGAGCCGAGCAAGTATAGGCCAAACTATCTGTACCGTGAAGGACAACGAAGCCATCAAACAGCCTGTAGTTCCGATAAATTGTTTGTGCAATTTCTGCCCAGCCCTTGCTGTCGATAGAGGATGAATCGAGTAAGGTTTCAAATTCTAGAACTGCATATCTGTTTGCCTGTCGTTAGATTGGCCAGCAGAGAAGGAATGGGTACGGGGGGGTTCAGGGAGAAAGTAGTTTCATCACCAGGACTGAAGTATTCGCATCATCAGACTATTTACTGACCTCACGCGTTTACCGTAAACGCTGGTAGGGGTCCTGAGGCTTTGCAATTCGCCCAGTCCATCCGGGCCATCGTGGAACCTCACTTCGATGGGATCGTGACTTTCTCCGTCATTGAATTCAGGCCGGGGAGCCATGCACCGCTCAAGGAAATTCCGAGCTGGGACCAAGCCTTCGGGGGATTTTTGCATGCATATAGTACCACCAGTCATGACGATCAGCACCCGCGCTTCGGGTGTGTGTCCCGTAGATATTCGAGTGATCCCTATAGCCATGTTAGCGACTTTCAAGAGTAAGAGGGCTTGAGGGAGAGACCAACGCCGCATGAGAGGACTGGTTGGTTCTGAATAGATATCTCCATCACTGTGAGAAGCATTGCCAGCGATTGACGCAGAGGGCCGGCCAGCAGCCATGATGTCTACCTTGCGAGTTGGAATTGCACTGTGGGACAAGTTGAGATGATAAGAAATACGAGAGAGAGGGGAGTTTTCAACAAAAGGAAATCACCGCCGATGTCACCGTTAGAGTGGATGCATGTTGGTGCTGAGAGGGAAAAAATTGATCAGCTGCAGACGAATGGTACCTGAAGACAAGTGGCGAGGAAAGTTTGTAAGTTACTAGGTAAGTACCTACCTACCTTACCTAAGGTAGTTCAGGAACCTCGTCAAGGCCCCAGCTGCGTCGCATTGAGGGGTTCTGTTACATTCCTTACAAGAAATCATTTCGACAACATAACTTGATCGTCCAACATATCTTTCCCGTGGTGAGGGAACTTCTTGTTCTAGTTCTTATCAGCTTGTGGGAGATGTGCGAAAGAGTCGAGGCCTGCGTGATAAAGTCATATCGCACCCTGGCATGGCGTCTAAGTTACGAGAGGGCGAGAGGGGCCGAGGGCCCTCGGGCTCCCCACGTCAACTCTCAGACGCCTAAGCTTTAGTAGCTTGTGAGCGCCTGGGAGGTGTGCGGCCAACCTTAAGGAGCTCTATACCCCGCGACTTGGTGTTTAGGTAGATAATCCCTATAAATACCACGGTACCTAGGTCCTCACCTAGGCAACATCAGGCCAATCTCTTAACTAATGACAACCATTATTTGTTGGAGCAACCTGTCCAATTTTTGCCTAGTTGCAGATATCAGCAGATACCTATTGTGACGTCCCCTCCTCTTCTTCTCAATGAGGAGGCACGCTGGGTTGGTAAAGATGATCCAGATCCACGCGTCCATTCCAGCATGGCACAGATGCAATCACTTGTAATGTCTAGTGTTCGACATACAGAACCACGCGGAGAATGCCGTGCAAAGAGCTGGCTATAGAGAACATTTCTCAAAGTTGGCAGCTCCACGGAAGCGCTTGATTCTGGTGAACAGAGAAACGCGCTCCAATGATGTTGTTGACGCAATGATTGAACACTTCCGGAGATTGGTCCACGGGAACGTACAGCACCATGACAAAGAACAGCCCTCTACACGTGATACAAGGTTCAAAGTGACTGGAGATGGACCATCCAGAAGCAAGGCAATCAGCAGATATTCCGATTTCATCGGGGCGTTCAACCGTGGTTCATCGCTACCTGCAGAACTGCTCACCTCCTCAAGCCAAGGTTCTAAACAAGGGCACAAACGGAAGTGCGTCGCCCATACTGAATGGAAAGATGGAGTTTGGTGCATCATTGCTGCTGAGCAGGGGAATCAATGCCAGGCATAAATGACCACTGTGTCCCGCCAGATGAATGCAGGTAATGTTTTCTTTCCCACGCCGCAGCCGGAAATGGACTTGAGTTTTGCAGATGCTCTCCTCATGTTCCGTGTTGTCTGTATCTTATCTCTTCCCTTGTTGTGAAGCCGTCGAGGAAGCGAGTTGTTTGTCAAGGGGCGAGGCGGAGGTCAGAGCTTGCCCGATAGCCGTTAGAAAGCCCCAGGAGCGAGAGTAACAGAGCAATCGAGCAGCCTTCGAAGAAAAGAGCAGGGTCGGTCAAGTTGACACCGGTTGGAGAGTTGTGGGAGTGACCTGGAGTCCACGTCAATATTGCCTCTGTGTGAATCATACAGTGACAAGACTGTCACAGGGACAAAGATACCACGCCAAACCCCAAGCCAGAACGAAGCCTGCAGCAAAAAGAGACCGTCGCTGTTGATATTGACCTAAATTGCAGTCATCTTCATTGCCTTCACTTTCTGCCTCACCCACCAAAGGCAAAAAGCACGCCACAATCTCGGCCTCAAGTCTCAGTCTCGAGGGCTGACACGCGTGGACTAGAGACGCGCCTTCTGTCTTCCGTTCTCCTTCCTCCTTCTCCCTCTCCCTCTCCCTCTCACCACTCACCAAACCTCCATCTTTAGTCTCGCCCGTTCGTTGTCATCTCTTGACAACTGCAAACTCCATTTTCAGTCATCGTTTTATTCCTCCTTGACAGCCAACTTCTACACTCCTTTAGCCACTCACTCTTTCTTGGTCTGAGACCATCACCTGCACTTTCGTTTATCCACCCTACCAACCTCGACACTGTCAGTCAGCACCGATTGTCGATCCCCAGCGTCCAACCCTCCCACAATCCTCCCTCTTTCTCGAATTTCTACACCACACTAAGATCAATCACGATCTCGCCACAGCATTCTAGCTCCGCTATCTCGACCACTACATCTCTTCTCTCTCTCACCTGACTCCTTTCCATAAAACATGGCGTCCCTGAACGTCCGTCTAAAACTTCACCATTGCCATCCTTTCAACATTGTTCTCGTCCTCGTCCTCCTCCATCTCTCCCCTTGCCACGCTTTCTGGCGCCACCTTTGCTTTGGAGAGTTGGGCACTGCACGTGTCGATCCCATCAGATCTCCTGGCTCTCCTTCCCAGCATGCACATGTTCTCTTCGGCGCTTCTAGTAGGTGTTCTTACATTGTTCCCACCGCACCAGCATGACTGACCGAGGAATAGATATTGGACTGGATCCATCGATCGAAGACCTCCTGAAATCAAATTGTACCAGCTGCTCCATCCTTCAAGACAAGTCCAACTACTGGGTTCCACGTTTGTATTTTGAACATGCCAATGGCACCTTCCAGCAGGTCGCTACGTCGGGCGGAATGACTGTGTAAGTCTTGCCAGCTCTCTTTCCTCAACGGCAAATCTGACCAGACCAGCTATTATTTCACCGAGGGTCAAAATACTACCGCATTCCCAATCAATTTCCGCATGATCACGGGCGATTCAACGAAGAGAACCTTTTACGGATCCCAGCCCCCCCACCCCATGGCTGAGTGGGATCAATTCGACAAGACACAACCTGCAATCATGGAGAAAGCCATCGGGTTCAACTGCCTGCATTATGGAAAATCTGCCAACGAAGGTGCGTTAGAACACCAAGGTTTGCGAGACAAGGCATTTATCGATGCAAACTGTCCCGATGGAATTCGAGCCGAACTCATGTTTCCTTCATGTTGGGATGGGGTGAACCTTGACAGTGACTCTCATTCAAGCCATGTGGCATATCCTGATGCAATGAAGTATGGCACTTGTCCAGACGGCTATCCTGTTCGTCTACCCACGCTTTTCTACGAAACCATCTATGCCGTTGCCGATTACAAAGGCTGCGAGGGCCAATTTGTCTTTGCAAATGGCGACCCCACTGGTTATGGCTATCACGGAGATTTCATATGTGGCTGGGACGATGGTATCCTACAAGCGGCTATAGACAGCCCTGACTGCACCAAAACCTTGGAAAATGCTGGAAATGGGCTCCAAGAAGATTGCCCTATCTTCCACTTGCAAAACAGCTATAATGCTACCCAGTGCAAGATGGAAACTCCTGAAATTCTCGAGAACGAGGGGGTCAATCTGGTCAACCGTCTGCCCGGTAATGTCCAGGTTCAGGCTGGACCTGAACCGGCAACGATTCGTCCTTCAGATGCCCCTGCCTCAGCATCGAGTGTTGTCACGGCTGCGTCAGAAAGCCTCGATTTATCCTCTGGCTATGCGACTACTACCGGGCCCGCTTTAGCCACGAATGAACCTATCTCGCCAGGTGCAAACTTCCACACTACCACCAGTGTCTACACCAAAGATGGCGTGGAAGTCCACATGATCTTGGTACAAGAGGTGTTGACGGTCACTGCAAGCGAACCTGCGCCAGCAGCCTCATATCATAAGCGGCATCACCATCACAATGGCCGCCAAGGACGACATGGTCAGTTTTGACGAGGTCGCAACCAAGGACCGCAGGGACAGCCTCTAAAGATGACTTGGCATATTGGTAGTTGACGACCCCAAATGTGTCTTGGACACCATGGTCACGTGAAGAAACGAGTTTTCGCATGACACAGAGCCTGGAGCTCTACGACATTGACGATTGTACTGAATATTTGAATGAAATGGGAAATCTGGGAGCTGGCTGGGACTGACTCATGATTGCACCAGAACTAACCATCGGACATGCTGTGAGTTGTGGAATGAAGCTGACGACACTTGAATGATTTGAGAGGCCTGTGACTACCATTACAGTACTTTGTAGACTGACTCGAGGGACATCATGTTAGTGGGCAAAGAACTCTGGAAATCACTAGGTCTGATGTCGAGGGGAGTGCTGGAATGGACTGTGACAGGTCACGTGACAACGTGTAAATCCCGCACTTGCCAGATTCCCCTAACTCCACTAGAAAGGGAAGGCGCATCCCGTCTCATCCCACGAACCATCTCTGACTTGACTTCATGAGCCATCCGCCACATTCGTCAACCATTCTTGAAAACTCGTACTTGGGGTCAACTGGTCGGCAACATCCAGGACAGACTTGATTCTTCCAGAAATAGAAATCCAACTTCATGTCGGCCAAGAAAGATGCGGCGGCGATCATTGCATCGGCATCGCGCCACCGAGCACCGCCGCCCACATCCTACCATGACCATCCGGCCAAAGATCTCTGGTGCGAGATGCAATGGACAAACCTGAGTATGCAAGCCAAAATCCTCGAGCTGCCAGAGCTGCCCTACTTTGACCAAGACACCATGCTGCTGTCCAAGGAGGTCAACCACAAGCTATGGGATCAGCTGGTATGAGAGTAGCCCGCCCTTTGAGTTTGATATCAGGTCACGTTTCTATGATTTACGCAGTTGATACTGATGGTCCTCTCGCTTAGCAACGGCTGTTTGACTACCTTGGGCCGAAGAAAGCCGTAAAAGCCACCCCCGTCATGGCAGACAAAGGCGTTGTTAAGTGGCATTCCTTTCTGAACGATGATCGAGGCGAGGAGGCAGAGGTCTACAATTCCATCGTGGACAAGTTCATGAGTGGCGCCAAAGGCCGCGGCGAGTATTGGAAGGAATAATTTCCCCCTTTTTATCCCGGCACCTACCCCTCCCTTTATTTTGAGGGTGCAGCATGGACACTTGTTCCTTGGCAAAGCCGAGGATTAGTGCTGCCATTATGATGATGATGACGATGGGCATTGTGGAGTACTCTGTGGCAGCCAGCAGTCGAGCGTTCATGGTGGAAGTGGGAGAATATCTCTCTCATGCAAGCGACTCAACGACCTTTGTCACCCTGTAGTCAGCTCGGACGTCGCCAAACCTGATTGAATGCTCCCTGGAGAATCGATTTTACTACTGGCAAGGAAAATAGGATAAACTACGACAGCGGACGATATAGCGGACGATATTTTGACAATTAACAATCATTAGACTCTCAGTTAGAATGACTTCTAGCTCTTGAATTGCTTCCTTGTTGTTGACAGTATGTCGTTGAGACCATACGAATCTCGCATAACTGTCTGCGGACTTCAAGTGGAAGCATCAGGCACAACTAGACACTGGGTATCGATTGATAGAAATATGGGTAAAGACTAAAGCCTCGTTTGCAATGCATTGATTTACCCCCAATGAATGTCCAGAGCCTCTTCAGTGCTCAAAGACCACCTGTTGGCCATTTGTAGAAGGTTTCCCGAGTCATCCAAGGTCATGTGTTTCTCGTGCATCTCAAGTCATCCTGCGTTCAATTTGCATGGGTATAACAGAATCCTCATGCCTCCTGACGATGGCACAGTCCTTGACAACGCAGCACTAGCCGATGAGCTTGAAGCTTTGAACTCCATATACGAGTCCGACACACTAACTGTGAGGGATCATCGTTCAGACGTGGCCACTTCAATCCTGCGACTCCCCGAACTACCTTTTTCGTTCCTCGTTTCATTCCCTCGAGACTATCCTGATGTCCCGCCGGTCATTATTGGGACAGAATCCACCGGCGGTAGTGGCAAAGGAGAAGGGGAGATAGCGGTGAACATTCTACGAGACGTACTGGGAAGAACTTGGGTCCCCGGGCAAGTCTGCTTATTTGACTTGGTTGAGGAGACTGGGCCACTGTTGCAACAGCAACACGGACAACACATCCATGGCGCGACTGAAGATAACACCCAGGATGCTTCGGATAGGTCGGCGGTCCCCGGTCACGATGAGAGACATGAGTCTGATCTGACTCCTGATGCAGCATCTTTAATGGATCCCCCTCCCTGGACGATGTCAGACCCCATGGTGGTCAGCAAGTCGACTTTTGTTGCTCGAGTCTGCCGTGTGTCGTCATTGGATGAGGCGCAGAACTCCATCTCGCACCTCCTATCAACCAACAAGAAAGTAGCGACTGCGACACATAATATTCAAGCCTGGCGCATTCAGCATGCCAATTCCTCAAGTGGTCTTACAAGCACGATCCAAGACTGCGACGATGATGGTGAGACGGCAGCAGGAGGGAGATTATTACATCTTCTCCAGCTCATGGATGTCTGGAATGTCGTGGTGGTTGTAACTCGGTGGTATGGAGGGGTGAAATTAGGGCCCGACCGTTTTCGACTGATCAATTCAGTTGCACGAGAAGCTCTAGTGAAAGGGGGGTTTGTAAAAGAAGAAGGAGACAAGCCCAAGGGCAAAGGGAAGAATAAGAAGTGAATCGGATCTCGTTGAGAGCATTAGCAATGTGTCTCAAAAAGGTCTGAAGCTGGCCTTATACATAAATCATATACTTGATGTTGGTCCTGAAGCACACCCGCCCCAATGACTCGTGAAGGCAAAAGTGGAACCTCTCAGCTTGCACGTGCGAGCCATGTGACGAAATGCAGCCACAACTTGTCTAATGCCCCACTCTGCCCACGTGGAGGCTCTATCATTCGTCAATGCCCCAAGCACCCCTCATTCCTCCCCACTAGCCACAAACCGGTTTTTGATATTCCGATCATGCTTGAACCATCCACCTCAACGCTTGTTGGTGTTCTTGTGGCCCTTCTCCCTTCCATAATCCTTGTCGAATCCTTGTTCAATCAGTACGCAATCTTCGTCTATGCTGGAAGCTCGACTGCACCCAGCCACTCACAATGCTCCATTCTCTCGGCTAGCTAGGAGATCGACTGGTTTGATCGCATGCATCTGACGTCGCCATTCATGGGACTGGGAATTTCCTACGTCGCGACATCTGCCTATCCCCAGGTACAGGGGACAGGACTATTCGACATGTAACTCTAACCAGCCATTTCCTGATGTTTCCTCCCGAATTCCTCCTCTTGGCCACCTTGTCGCATTCTGTTTTCTCTTCGCAAACTCCTCTTGTATCGTTATTTCCCTTCCTATTTCTTGTGGATATCCTTTCTGCGGTCTTCTGCCGCCACTTGCCTCCTCGCGTTATTGCTGTGCTTATTGTGTCTGCAAGCGAAGCTTGTAGTACATAGAGCCTGAAAAAGAAATGGATAATGAAAATGAGCAAAATCGATTGCAGAAAAAAGAGAAAGCACTCCATGAGTAATTTCTCTATCATCCTCACGCACTGGGTGTTGGAACTGACCTAACAATTAGACTTCTCACCTCCTCACTGGTCGACATGTACATCGGCCCAGAGTCCACGCACTGGACCATCCATGAACGACTCTTGACCTACCACTCCCCAATCTTGGCGTCAACGTTCTATGGTGACGATGACAAGGAGCCCTCCGGCCTTCAGAAACGCGGAAACAAATCTTATGGCCTACCAGAAGAAGACGATCTCACATTCGAGCTCTTTGTCAGCTGGCTGTACTCTCGCACCCTTCAACCGCCCAAGGTTGAAAAAGACATTGGCCCTCTCCTTGACCTATATCTTCTATCGGAAAAGCTCCAAATTGAAAAGCTCAGCCTTGAGATAGTCGAGCTCGTGCGCGAGCACTACCACTCAACTTCCACATATCCTGGTCTCCGTCGCGTACAGTATATCTACGCAGAGACGGACGAGGACAATGCGATGCGTGAGATGATGGTCTCTTCGATTGCGCGCCAGTTGACGACAGGTGACAAGATCCCCTTACATTGGGCGACGGCGCTCAAGAGAAACGGTCAACTTGCAGTCGACATAATTCGCTCCATCCAGCAGTGGCATATCGAGGAGAGGAGCATCCCTGATGTCAGAGATGGCAGTCAGGCTAGAGGTCGCACTTCCAATGGAGGAGCTTTTAGTGCCGTGGTCCGCGAAAGTGATTCACTCGATACCACCACAGCCGAAACCATCGATACCAACTTGGGCGTGGAGAGTGTCCAGAGCGCTGAAGGCATCAATGCAAGAGAGCAAGACAATGAATCACAGTCTGAAGGCGCAAACGATGAAGTCGAGGATGAGCAGGCCAAGAGTTCCGATGAAGAGTAAGTCGACTTCTTCATTCAACGCACGCCAGTCAAGAAAATGCCAGTCACGCATTCTCACGTTTGCTTTTCTACACTTTATTTGATATTCTTGTGGATTAATACTGCAAAGTCCAAAAATGAGGCATACGTTGGGGCTGGCAGTCACGAAAAGCAGGCTCCATTGTATGAACCTTCAAATTCCACGAGGCATTTTCTTCTTCCATTCTGAACTCTCAATTTCCTTGCTATGAGATCTGAAGCTGAGTTGGCACCTGTCATTCGCCTTGTGTAGGAGACATACGAATAGTAGAAACGGAGCTCCGATATTGTCCCGATCCAAGAGTTCGCGGATTAAATTGCCTGACAGTCTGCACCAATTGCGCCCATATATGGAATCACCAAGCAAGGAAGATGAGTATGAAGAGGGCCATGATGATGATGATGACGACGACAAGGAGGAGGAGGGGAAAGAAGAGTACAAAAAGGAGGCTTCAAGTCTGCTCACCAGTACGGACATGAATTCGTGCTCTACGGTATTACCACCGCCAACCAGCAACGTTCTCAATCATACCAACTCAGACCTTGACTATAACTCTGCTACTGGCACTGATACCAACATCTACCAAGCTAACGGAACCGCTCGGCCATCTACTACCCTAGACATGTCTAGGACGAACCAGAAGCCAGATTCCCTCTCCAATTCCAAGTTCAACAAATCCCCGACTTGGACATCCCATGCCACAGGAAAGAAGCGTGATCGGAGCCGTGATTCCAAATCTCCATCTTCAACGACGATGTCTCGACTGCTAGCACGAGCACCTCGGCCAGAATTCCTGTTTCTTGCCGCTGCATGGCTGGTGTATTTTGTGTACGCGATCGCCGCGCTGGGGTTGTTTGAGAAGGGTTTGTCATTGGGGTTGGGCATGCGAGAAGTCCCAAAACGTTTACTGGGTAGCGACGGTATCAGCACCAGTGATCTCGGTCTTACTACTCGTGCGGCGGGCTGGTTTGGCAGCATCTTCCACCGTGACAGGCCCGTAATGGGGTTAGGGCGTGGTCAATCTGATTATGGCACCAGTAACTGGTTTGCCAATTGGGCCAGTAGTACTAGTCCACGGGTTCGGGGATTGGCTCATAGAGGTGCTGGCAGGTGGTCCTAGTAGTACAATGTGAGCGATATCGATAGTCTCACACCAACCGTTTTCTCATCGCGTCACAATCACAATCACAATTCATGTCCTCGAAGCAAACAAACCCAATGATTACTTTGTAGAAATTTTTATCATTGTAGAAATTAAATTGAATCCTAATTCGTCTCGGCCGTTGGCTCACCACCCGCTATGCATTTTTCTCCAGTCATGACACAAACTGTGATGCTTGCTCGACTTATTGGATCTTTCGTTATAATAAAACGTTCACCCTTGTAGATACACAGAATTGTGTCACTGAAACTTGGTATGGGTCGTAAATCAGACAACAGGATCTGTCGGCGAGTTGACGGCGTCCAATCGTGTCAATTCTGGTAAGACGAGTGTGTGTCCACGCTATCGACAGAGGTTGGACAAGGTCATCAATCGGTGGCGGTGGCAAACAAAGGACGGTTCTGGCCATCATGCCGTAATCCTCTGGTAGAATAACAAATATGCGACCTTGTTGTCCTTGATCGAGTACTTGGGGTTTGGGGTTTGTTTGCCCGATGAGTCCTTGGCTGGAGTCGACGACCCATTGACGATGGCGCTCATTGTCGACTTGGATCGTGAATGTCCATTGACCTGGCTCCAGACTCTCTCCGTCCCTTCCTCCTCTTCACCATCATTGTCGATCTGTTCGAACCGATTACCGGTAGCATTATGTCGTTCCAGAGCAGCTGCTAGGACCTTGGGATCCTCTTCGCTACCTCCTTCGGCCACATCGTCGCTACGAATTCGTCGGATCAATGTATCGTCAATGCGGATCCATTCACGGTCGTCTTGTCGGCGGATATCAACGGTATAGTGACCTCCGTTGGCATTCTTGCCGTGGTGGTAAATGACGGCAGTGAGCCGGTATTTTGGAAGGCCTCCATGAGCGGCATATTTGTTCCGCGTCTTTAGAGGGAAGACTTCCCTAGGAAGCTCCAGCTCCAGCGGGTAACCCACCTTCTTCCATATTTTCTCCGCACGTTTGGTTGTAGTGTCGTAGTGGAAGCGTTTGAGATGGAGAATCAAAACGGGAGGAAGAGTCTCGATAAAGACCTGTTTGGTGGCGGTGGTCTTCTGTCCTCTTGAGGTAGAAAAGTCGCCCTGCATACTCTCCGGGCGAGTCAGTCCTTTGAGGGCGTCGACGATGTTATGAACCGACGGGGCGCCGATATCAAGTTGAAGGGGTGAGTATGGTTCCAAGGTTACCGACAATTTGTTGCCAGACACCTTGAGCTCCGACCGGAGCTTGCCACCAAAGATACTGGTCACTGGGGACTCGGTGACGATACCACCTGATGACCGAGTGACGGCCGGCTTCTGCTTATGGCCAACCTCCATCCAACCGGTCTCATTGTCGACATTTTCAGAATAGTTGGAGACACTTCCGGCGGGGGTCGAGCGTTCGGTGGACGACAATGTGGTGGCTTTCATGGCACGCGCACACTCTTCGTGCAATTCTTCTAGTAGAAAGCCTAGAAACTCTTGGGCGTCTTGTTGATGACCTCGGCGCATTTCTCTAAACCTGGGGAGGTCCTTGATTGCGGAGTAGACGTATTCTGGGATAAAAGAATCACCATATTTTTCAAAGTCTTCCGGCTTTAGTCTTAGACGCAGCTGCTCTACGGTTTTGGCGGACGCAATGACGGGGTACTCTTGAACAAAAAGGATGATGGCATCCACCAGAGGCGTGTCGCTTTTGAAGGTGTGGGCGGCACGTTGAGCGACTTTGGTGAGAAAATCGTAAAAAGGGATGGAGAAGACGAGGGCTTGCAACACCTGAAGGGGAAATGGTTAGCTGAGAGAGATTGAGACGGGAAATTATGCATACCGAGTTCATATAGCACATGTTGCCAGTGTTGACCAGCCCTCGAGGCTTCAGGAAAGAAAGCTTGCTAGGGACTTCGGTGGTGCTTGTGTTGACATCGTTGAGAACATCGGAAAGAGATTCTGATTTTCCCAGGCCAAGATTGTCGGCGGTCAGACTCGAAGGAGCCCCAGTGGCTGAAGAGGAAGAAGTCTCGTTGGCTCTGAAGAGGTTGGCCCAGGATTTGGGGGCAACAGGAACGGGTGCTGAAAGAGGCTCGCTCACAAGTTCAGAAGCGGAGCCAGCAGTAGTAATGGCTGGGTGACCGTCTGTGGCCGTGGCTCCTTCTGACAGTCTGGAAGAATCAGAAACCACGGAATCACGGTGGGGCTTTCGTGTGGCCGTTGGGCTCGAAGGGAGAATGGGAACAGCGGGGATGACCGGACCGGCAGGACGCGCCTTTGGCTGAGTTGGAGTCTGTTGAGCTTTGGCTGTGGATGTTGGAACAGCGGACAAAGGGGTCGTCGGCTGAGTCGAGACGGTGTCGGAAGGAGCATCTGAAGGGAATGGTGTAGACGCCTCGATGGCGTAGATATCTTGGCCAGACGTATCGCTGAGATGTGTGTCTTGGGGGAGTGCGTCTTGTTGATCGGACTGCTGATCTGACTGCTGATCTATATTGCTTTCGTCTGCGTCGTCGATGGACGGTGATTCTGGAAGAGGATATACGACAGGCTGAGAGGCAAGCAAAGAGCGCGGAACACGTCTTCTGCATTTAGCTGCTCGAGGGGGGAAGGGTTCGTTCTCGACAGATAGCCAGGGGATCTGTGCAGTTGTTAGTGTTTTGCATCATTTTCGAGATGTCGAGGGAGTTTACCGGTGGTTGGAATGGCTCACGAGGGCTCTCCACCAGGGGAATTGGTGACTGTTGAGGCGAGGGAGAGATGGACACCACGGGAGACGCCGACTCCTTTCTAGTATTGATTGTGCTCGCAGTACTCAATGGGGGAGAGGGAGGAGCTTGGCCCATTGATGAATTTGGAGCAGGGACGTTTCGTGGCGGTGGCAGCGGCTGTTGATGTGACGTGGGACGAGAGAGATGTGAGGGTTGAGGTGACGGATGAGGTTGATGAGCTTGTTGCGAGTTGACAATGAGTGGGCCCTGGTGGTGGGGGGGATATGGTTGAGGGGGAACAGGGTGTTGAGGATAATAAGGAGGGCGTTGTGTATGCATAGGATGGATGGGATGTTGCTGCTGCTGGTATGGAGGGTACCAAGGCTGAGGTTGGTAGTGAGGTTGATAATGGGTGTACGGGGCCATGTGTTGAGGGTAGAACTGTGGTTGATACATAGGGTGTGGCCTCATGGGGGAGTTCATATTCTGGTACTGAGGATCATGGCGGCGACCAGGCGGAGGAGGCTGCATGGGCAACTGGTGTTGCCCGTATGGATGGTGGTTTTGTTGCATGATGAAGATGGCTTCAGGGCTTCTTTCGAAAGGACATTGTGGTGGAAGGCAGATCGCGCGTTGGGGTAGGTGCGACCGTGGACGCCGTCAAGAGATGGAACACGGTGTCAGAGCATCAGAGCATCAGAACTCAGAGGCAGGCCATGCTGGAGCTTTTATCTCCAATGATGAAGATTTGATGCTGGCCGCGATGGTGGAGGAGGATGTCGAGGTAAACGAGGTTGACGGTGGAGGTGTTGATCGATGACGGATTCAAGTCGAGTCGGGTGCGGCCAGGGGAAAAAGTCGAAGTTGAGTGGGAAATCAGTGGTTTGTGACCTGCAGTGCAGCGCAGTGCCGGGACCTAGTGTGGAATTTTTGTCGCTTGAGGTTAGTCCAACTTTAGGCGGCAAATTCGAGTTGCCTCTCTTAGGCTTTGTGTGCCGCCAACTAGATTTGGGATTTAGATGCCAACTGTGCGTAATCTCTGATGATGGTTTTCTAGGTGGAGGCCAGAGTTAGTGCATGCCTGGCCAGGAGCAATGTGATATCCAGATAATGGCCTCTGAATTAATGCTGAAGTTGATGAAGTCAAGGTACGATAATATGATGGCAACAATTTTGATGAACCTCAAGTGGTTTAGCAACCATTTGCGGAGTAATGGATGAATGATGGAGTGCAGGGGAAGCGGCAGCATCAGGCGGCTGAGAGGAGACGGGGGCGGATGCAAGAATGGCCTAACAAAAGCACCTAATTAAGTCAAGCAAACCCAGTAGACCAGAGCTTGACGAGTGGGTGGAAGCCGAACCAACCTTACCACGGTTCCCTTAGGTACCTAGAGTACGGAGGAGTACACCCAGGGCAACCACTGCTGACATCCTCATGCTGTCTTACATCTATGGCCGGATACTCCGCTGTAATATCATCCCACCAAACTCCCTCGCAGGTCTCCTTCCCCCCAATTTCAAGTTGCAACGCCACGCGATTGGGCAGATTCATGCATCGAGTGAATCATGATGACTGTTCAGGGCAGCCACGGCATCTCAGATAGTGGAAAGAGAGTACAGAGGCAAGAGGTTCATTAATTGGGGTTGGTAGTCATACTCATTGGACTGCACTTTACTGAAATCTCCTCTCGCTGCCCTGGATTCCATCCGCAGTCACCAACGGGTATTGTGATTGGGGTTTCTAAGCGTGGCAAAGAGATGCAACTGGTTCCCCTCCATTATTAGGTACTTGTCACTGCATCATCTCGTCCCCTGCCATGGACTTCTACTAGACTCGGTCCTCTTTTCTTACCTCTGCACAACCTCTCTCGCTCTCTTCGCCATCCACCCGTTCGCTGAGGCGTTCGTGGTTATGCAATTACCATCGTTGTCCGTCTCCTGACACCTGTTCTTCAGTCCCTCTCATCCCCATCATCGCCCCGGTCGAGGACTCTGGTGACTTGATTGTCGACTGGACGAGACACGCCTCTCCTCGACGTCCTCTCCCCCCACCTCCCATTTGCAGCAATGTCCTCCAGCGCCACCTCGAACCCTACCGCCTCCAAGTTATATCCTCCGTCTGTCTCATCAAGTTATTTTCAGTCTTCCTCTCAGACCTCTCAAGACTCCTCGAAACGAAGCAATAGCTCCAGTGGTGGTCCAGGTCTTGCAATCCCCACGCGTCAAGTCGCCCAACCACGTGGAACCCAGACCCTGAGAAAGCAGCACAAGGGCCAGAAAAAACCACGTCTATTCGATGAAGATTCCATGGCCGAAGCTACAGCAATGAGGTCCATTAACAGTCGCAAAGGCCAAACCTCCATCACTCACCTCATGAACTTTTCCCTTCCCCCGCGTCCAAACAACCACTATCAGCATCACTTCAACAATCATAGACACCAAAGACGAAACCCCACCTGGGGCTTGGGTTCCGGTTATCATGCGGTTGACAAGGCACGTTATGTCCATGCCAACTACCGCTTCATTGTCCGCCCGGATCGAGAATACCATGCTCAAACCACCGATGCCGACATCTACGTTAGCTGGGATGCCATATTGCAGGTCCTCGCGTCCGCCGATACCCAAGCAGCCAGTTGCCCTATATGCCTATCCACCCCTGTCGCTCCGCGCATGGCAAAATGCGGTCATATCTTTTGCTTGCCTTGCCTAATCCGCTATATGCATTCAACAGAAGATACCAATCCAGCTCCTGACAAAAGACCTCGGTGGAAAAAATGTCCCATCTGTGAGGACAGTATTTACATCTCCGATGCTCGACCAGTCAGGTGGTTTTCCGGCCAAGACGCCAGTTTGTTGAGAGAGGGCGGAGACGTATTGCTCAAATTGTTACGACGCCATCCTGGAACCACCTTGGCTCTTCCTCGCGACACCGCTGATAGTTTCGGCCACCCTGACGACATACCATGGTTCCACGTCGCCGAGATTATGGACTACGCCCGATTCATGAAAGGTTCTGAGGAATATATGCATGCACAGTACGATCGAGAGATTCATGCCCTGCAGATTCAAGAACAAGAAGACGCCCTCATGTTTGACGATGACAACACTTGGACCCAAAAGGCCATTATTTCCATCAACGATGCCAAACAGAGGCTGGCTGGACTGGGCAACCCCCCTCTCCCATCTAGCACCGACGTCAAGCCTTCCGTTGCACAAGTACCCGAGTCGTGGGAAACAGCGAGCCAAGATGGTGGGTCTACCCTTACATCTGCGATACACCAACTTTCGATCAGTGGGGATAGCACTTCACGCAAGCCTCAATCCAAGTTGGACACAAACTCGGCCAGATCGCCGACACATCCCTTCTACTTTTATCATTCACTTCCCAACTTTTTCCTCTCCCCTTTGGACATTCGCATACTGAAGACGGCTTTTGGCGACTTTTCGGCATTTCCCTCGACCATCTTGCCGCGGGTCGAGCACATTTCAACCGGACACATAGTGGACGAAGACCTCAGGAAACGAGCCAAGTACATGGCCCACTTACCATATGGTTGCGAAGTCACTTTTCTCGAATGCGACTGGACCGATATCATCAGCCCGGTAATCTTAGACCAATTCCGAGAAGACATTGCTCGACGGAGAAAAAGAAATCACGACAAGGAGGCTCGCGAAGAAAGGGATCGACTCCGAGCAGAGAAGAGAGAAGAGGACGAGAGATGGTCGTCCGCGAGACGAAGGAGGTCGATCTCGGTGCCCGAAAGCTTTAACGAATCAGATTTCAGACCTCTAATCGACCACGACACTCATGCTAACTCATCTCCGGGAGAGTCGGCCCTTGGATCGACTCCGCCATGGAACACCAGGACACACTCATCATTTGCAACCTTGACGACTCCTGGTACAAGCCCTGATGCTGCCCGCACTGTCTGGGGCACAGCGGCAGTGGGACCTACCTCACCAATCCTTGTTGCTCCCCCAGAACCCGTTCGGGATGATGGATGGCTTCAAGGCTGGGAGAAAGATTTGCTGGACGGCGCCGATGCAGTCGCCATGGTTGAAGCAAGTTTAGAAGGTGAGAGCAGCACGCAGACGCGCCCAGCGGCAGCGACTCAAAAGAAAGGCAAGAAAAAGAAGATTACGTTGATGTCGACCAACAATCGGCGCGGTGCATGATGACACGTGAGATGATGTATATGGATTGATGGTTGTTACTATATCAGACAAGACAGAGTCCCACGTTAGCGACATTTCTAGTTGAATCAAGCAGATATCGAATAGTCCCAGCGTGCTGCATTCAATTCTTGAGTCCTTCTCAATTGTCAGAGACTTTGATATACAGATTCGTTGTACGCCCCAGGAAATGGCCGTATTGCCATTGCGCTGTAGTGGATTTGGTCGGGGTTAATAGCCAGAGTCAATTCTCAATGTCATCGAGGTGACATGAAGGTTGAGTCTCTGGCCATGAATGCAAAGTAACAAAAGTCCTGTAGTATTGATCGGCTTTCGGCCGACGACAGGATCGCATATGTGCCTTATCTTACAAATGTGCGATTCCCATGGGCACTGTCATTTCCTTTACGGGTAGGGCGATGGATGGTCAAGTGGCAAAGGCTGAAATACGGCCTGAGGCTCGGACGAAAGTGTACCTGCGGGCCAATGTTGGACTTGATTTGCTCTTATACTTATAGTACCGAGAAACAAGCTACCATCATTCAAATGGTACACAGAATGGGACAGAGAGAAAGGTGATGGCTATTGAAAGAGACATGATTGAGCTTGCGTAGGAGGAATGAACATCTTCTATCATGTGTATACCTTGTCTACCTTTGCAGGACGGACTCTTGAGAAAGGGGGAACAATAGGACGGAAGGCTGAGGCGAGGAAGAGCCAGTCACATGACGGCTGAGTAAAGCAGCGGCATTTGAGGGCCTGCACAATTTTATAAACTGTACACGCTGTTGGTCGCACCTGCACTTCGCAGTCACACAGTTTATTTCCAACAATGATCCACCGTAGTAAACCCCCAGTGCCCGCCTCAACACGTGCTCGGCTAATTCTTGTTATGATTACTCTGTATTTTGATGGGATGATCGTCTCCAATCTCTTTTTCTAATTCCGTGTCGCGCCACTCCTAAACCCCATTTTCACTATCATTGCCATCTGTGCTTCCACGTTGTCTACGTCTACACCTTTGGACGTATGGTGTGCGTGCATATGCTGTGCGCGTTGTCCTTCCTTTCGCCATTTCCATTCGCTCAGTCTCTTATCATTCGCTCATTATTCAGTCCTCTTCACATGCCCATAGAATCATTATCGTCATGACGGTCACGCGAACTCAGGCGGGTAAAACCCCCAAGTAAGTTTGCTTCCTGGGATTTGTTTACTTGAAATCACCTTCCTGTACTAATATGTCCCAGAAAGACTTCACACCCTGGTTATGTTGAAACCCCTGGAACCTATCGAAAATCACGCTCACGCAAGTCCTTGGCTGTAACAAGTGAACTTTCTGACACCCACGATTCTTCCACCGGTATCGAGGACGAAATCCCCATTGCTCGACGGAAAAAGTACAGCCAAGTATATAACGAAACCAACGGCACAGCGTCCAAGATGAACGGACATGCAAATGGGCACCTTGATACCTCCTCGAATGGCCACATCAATGGCAAGCTAAACGGACATCTGAACGGCACTATCAGTCCCACCATCAAGCAAGAACCTGAAGAAAACTCGTTGCAGTCTGCGGCAGTCGCTGCTCCTTCTGCCGCCCGCCCGCAGATCATTGATGGATGGGTAGTGGGCACGGATCCAAAAGTTGACACTTCGGGCCACTTTGAATTTGGAGGTGATCTCGGTGTCATCGCCATGATGATCGGCTTCCCTCTGCTCATGTACTATATGTGGATTGGCGCCACCTACTATAATGGTCAGTTTCCCTTCCCCAGGGAACAAGAGTCGGTTTCAGAGTTCCTGAAGGGCTTGGGCAGGATGGCATACCACGGTGCATGGCCATCTGCCAAAGCCTGGGCCATGTATTGGACCTTTTTCATCTTTGAAGCAGCCTGTTACTGCTTATTGCCGGGCATCTGGGCCAAAGGCAGACCTCTTGCCCATGAAAATGGCCTGAGGCTGGATTACTACTGCTCAGGGTCGTGGTCCTGGTGGACTACCATCATCGTCGCCCTCGTGCTGCACTTCACCGGCGTCTTCAAGCTCTACCAGATCATTGACGAATTTGGCCCTCTCATGTCCGTTGCCATTCTCTCCGGCTTCATAGTCTCCATCCTTGCATACACTTCGGCCATTTATCGCGGCAAACAACATCGAATGTCTGGTCATGTTCCCTACGATTTCTTCATGGGCGCCGAGCTCAACCCTCGCATGCTCGGCATCCTTGACTTCAAGATGTTTTTCGAAGTCCGGCTCCCATGGTACATTCTCTTCCTCATCACCATGGGAACTGCTGCCCGACAGTATGAGAACTATGGCTATGTCTCTGGGGAGGTTGGTCTTCTCCTCCTTGCCCACTTCCTCTACGCCAATGCCTGTAGCAAGGGAGAAGAGTGTATCATTCCCACCTGGGACATTTACTACGAGAAATGGGGATTCATGCTCATCTTCTGGAATCTGGCTGGCGTTCCCTTGACTTATTGTCATTGTACCATTTACTTGGCAAACCACGCTCCTAGCACTTATTGTTGGAACAAGTATGCTCTCGCCGTCCTCTACGTCGCCTATATCTTTGTCTACTGGGTGTGGGACACTACCAACAGTCAAAAGAACCGCTTCCGAGCCAAGGACTCTGGTGGTGTCATTACTCGGAAAGCCTTTCCTCAACTTCCTTGGCAGACGGTGGAAAATCCCAAGATCATTCGTAGCGAGGACGGCCATACCATTCTCGCTGATGGCTGGTGTAAGTACCTCGATCAGCCTCCGAACCAACTTGACCGTTTTCTAATACTCTTTTAGATGGTTATGCCCGCAAGATTCACTACACGTGTGATCTGTTCTTTGCATTGTCTTGGGGTGCCGTGACAGGCCTCAGTTCACCATTTCCGTGGTTCTATCCCATCTTCTTCTCCTGCATGATTGTTCATCGGGCCATTCGAGACATTCAGCGGTGCCGCAAGAAGTATGGCAAGGCCTGGGAGGAGTACGAGAAGCAGGTTCCCTATTTATTCATTCCCGTAAGTCCCAGCCTAGACATCCATTGGCGTTTGTTACTGACAAATGGCTAGTACGTTTTTTAAAATTTTGTAATAATGCCTTGGAGAGATCGTCTTCCACCTCGTTTTCTCCAACTTTCTAATGATAGATGGATATTCCTACTGCATTCTGCAGATCTAAACTGCACCAAAAGTTGAACTGTTGTAACAATACAGAGACATTCAGCCTTCGAGTCATCGAATACGCCGTGACTGTGACTGTGACTTTGACTGGTCTTTTTGACTAGCAGTGAATTCGTCAGAGTGAAGTTTCTCTCTGCGCCTTAGGCAACACATCCTCTCTGACTCTTCCTTCGATGTCTTCCTGACGTGTACCTCCCGGGTTTACGAGTCCAGTTCACGTCTCCCAACGGGTTCATCCCCAACCCTCGTCACTTCATTGTCTCTCTCTCTCCCTCATTTCTCACACTCGCCCACTCTTGGACCTCTTTGACGACGTTCGGCCTAATCATCTTGGATTCCATTTTCACCTCTAGGTACGTGCTAGTCTATGGACACCGTTCGCCAGTCTTCGTTTTCAGGTCTCGGTTGGTTGCCTTTTCTGAGATCATCCTCGACCAAACATTTTCCCAACGCTGATGACACTTTTGCGGCTTTACTGACCCTGTCTTCCCACAGTTTCTACGACCAATTTCTCCAGGCTGGCAAGCAGTCCGTCGCCCATCTCTCTCCGATCCTGACCGACATCCTCCTTCCTAGGTCAGACACCTTTTCCTCGGATCCAACAGTGCCATCGCTCCTATCGCTGTCCCACACAGAGCCTCTCACCACCTTTTACGTCGTTCTCCCTTACCTATCGACCGGGTGTCACGCTTGTTGGCGTCTCCGACTCAGTCAGCCGAAGGCATTGATGTCTAATCAGAAAATCCATTTGAACAGGCCCAGTGTTATGCAGTTGGAGATCCAAACTGAAAAGATCAACTACGTGCATTTCAATAAGGCATAAAACTTTCCTGGGACCTTATCGTCAGCTCCACCTCAATCTGGTCTTCATTGCCTGCTGCATATCCTGCAAAAACTCGGCTTACCGGCTCACAGAGACCTTTTCTACAATGTTTCTGCCCAGTACCGAACTACTTTCTGCCCCTATCTGGGGTCAATGTGACGCTGATTCCCAATCAGATGACCCCAACGGTGGTCAAGGAGATGACTACCCACACAAACCGAAAGTTATCGCTTTTAACCTGGACACAAGTGCCGGATCTCACAATGTATATCACATCCCTCCCTGTGAAGATAAAAACACTGGCGGGCTTACTATCGTGGAACAGACACTAGAAGGCCAACAGACTTCGGGACCGGCACTAGAGTCATCTGTTGTACCATCCAGCTTCGACAGTCTAACCAGCGACCTCCCGATCGCTAGCGTCGCTTCCTCGATTTCCTCAGTAACACCTCTGACAGATCCTGAAGATGCGTTACCGACGCCACTAACCCCAACTATGCCGGCGTCAGTTTTGCCTATTCTGAGCACTCTGAGATCCAGTACGTCGATCGCTATGGGTGAAGGCGTCCCCTCCGATGTCATTACCTTGACCACCATCAGCCCTTCTATCATGAGAGCAACTATCACAACGACCACCTTGGTAACATCAGCCGACACTACGATCATGCCATCAGAGACTTATTTTGATCCCGCTTTTGTGCCGGGTGAGCTTTCAGACCCAACCATGAACCCCATTTCCACAGCCGAAGCGAGTCACTCATGGACAAGTTCTACAGAAGCTCCACTGGCTCCATCCACAACTCATCCAATCGTCCAGGACGCCCATAAGACCGTTAGTCCCTTGGCCATCATCCTACCTGTCGTGTTCACTCTGTTGTTCATCTGTGGCCTCTTGATCTGGTGGCTTCGGGTCCGTCGTCGTGAGAAGAAACGCCGTGATCACCTGGCGAAAAAAGCTGAATGGTTTAATGACGACCACATCAACCGTATCCGACAGAAAATGGAGGGAGTAGATCCTGAAAAGACCGGAACATCAGATCATACTCTTGACTCAACGAAACTCGACAAGAACGATGATAGCAACTTCAATCTACCATCTTCTATGGCAAGGGAGGCAATCCTGGAGGTCTTGGCCAAGAACCAATCGTCCTGTCAACGTCATGGTCCAGCAGATTATTTCGAGATGAAGCCATCTCAGATTGAATCCGCCGCCGCCGCCGATCTAAGCAATCCACCTAGCCCCAACTCAAGTATGACTGGCACGACCAAATCACCCCACGTCGATGTTCCGACTTATGTCCGTCGAGGCTCGTCTCCGGAGTCTTCTGCTCGAAACGGCCTAGTCATCAGCAGTGCTTCTTGTTGCATCATACCTACGCACAGTCGCGTCACCTCTGGCGCTGAGACGACCATCTCACGTCACGATTTTGAACAAGACTCTGAGACACAACTTTTGGCCGTTTCTAGCACGAGCTCCAGCGCCTCTGAAGCGGGAAACGCGAATCAAAGACACGCCAACGACATCAACATGGATCTTCAGGAGCGACGACAACAGTCTGATCTGCACCCCCTTGAACGCAGAGCCAGTAGATCTAGCAACCTTAGTGCCAAACAAACCCTCAGTCACAAGTTGAATCGGGGGTTCGAACGTGCTATGCGACGACGTAATGGACTCGAGGAGTTGAATCGCTGAACCCTTAGGGAGTGATTTCGACGTCTAACACATTTATAGTCATAACGATTGGACTGGAGACACATACAAACCACCATCACTTGCCAATTGCTAGCCCCTGGACACAAATCTGCATGATCCCTCTTATTTTGGAGCGGTAAATGGTATCCCAGCGAAGTCGGCAACAGTTTTTCTTTCCACTATTTTCGACAAAAGTTTTGATTCATGGTGTGCTTATCTCTTTTTTCATCTCTTTTGTTGGCTGTTGGCCAAAGCTTTTCTTATTTTTTCTATTCAGTGTCTTTCCGACCATTTCAGGCGTTTGATGCAGGGTAGCACAGCACTATGTGGCGAGACACGACAGAACACGACAACGGAACCCCTCAGGCAATGAGCACTGAGCATCACCAACAGACCAAGCATGACAGTGATCAGACACCCAGCGTGTTGCGACGGCACAGATATTTCAACCACCTGGGATGTGATTACTGGCATGACATGTCAACTGGTTGATTGGCAGGCTATTTGGTTGGTTTGTTGGTTCATTTGCAGATCTAGTTTGACTGGGGTGAAGTTCAAGGCGGTTTGCCTTTGGCGCGCGAGAATGGTCACAGTCTGCGAATCTTTTTCTATTCAAGAAGATGGAGCTGGTCTCTAGTTTGGCATGGTAGTTAATTGTTCATTCTCTTGGATTCATAGAAAATCTTAAACATCATTCATGATACGAGATAGGAAGAAAACTGATATGATATCAAGTTACACATGAGTAGTTGTTGCGAGGTCCTTAGCCCTCGCTCTCACCCTCCTATTAATTATATCCTATATATCCGCCCCTAGTACAGTCGTCACTCTATAGAGTAAATAACCCGAACTTTATACTATACGTCCCGGACTACCCTTATGTCACGGGATGGCCCGGGCAAACCCCACCGACTTACCCCGAGCTAAGACCAGCTGAGGTACTGCTACTTGTGTGCGCACCGCATGCGAGGAGACTGAGTTTCCTTTGGTCAACGGTGTTAGAAGTCTCTGTGTTAGTAAACGGCCAGCTGCCCTTTTCGAGTGTTACACGCCTACTCCTATCGATCCAACCAGCCCTCTTAGAGAATATTGCTAGGTTATATAAGCTAGTGCCTCTATAGCATTACTATATTGAAGACTATTTTAACTCTATAATATATCTAGAGATTGACACCTGAGTAGTAAAAGCAACGGCAATGTATTCATCTTTTTAGGCTTCAGTCGGACGAGGACTCTTATAACATCGGAGGTCGACCAATCGGTTGATCATATTTTAGCTATCTACTCTTTGTACCCCTGGTGTGGCGATCCATCACCCCGCGAAGTACCGGCCCGTCTCTTATTCGATCGTAGAAAATGATTCAAAAACGGACGGAGGGCAAACCCAATTTGAGGCATTATTCTTGTCATCACCCTGGAACTCAGCAAGAGCCGGCCACTGGCAAATAGGCCGAGTATAGGCAACAGTGTCGTCAATCAAGGTGTCCCCAATGCGCGTCACGTTCGTGTAGCGCGTGCCGACTAACATGTCGGGTGCAGAATCAGTCTCAGTCCACTCCACCAAGGCCAGTAAAGCATTGTGGAGCGAGTTATTTTGCGGCGGGTCAATGACCTGGGACGCGGACCCCAGGACCCAGGCGCCATCACCACTTGAGCAGTGTTGAAGGCCGGGAACCATGAACAGACGATAGAACGACGAAACATCCTCGCTGGTCGCGTTCTCATGTTCGCTGAAGAAGTCAAGGACGTTGCTGTAATAGAGGGGCGAGATGGCAGAGGGGGCGACTGAATCCTGCCATCCATGGTAATGCAAGATCTTGCCCCCATGATCACGAAAGCTGGTGAGATTGGGGGAGAAGGCGTCTTCAATGGCTCCGTAGGAGTTAATGAGCTCGGCTGTCTGTACATCGGCGAAAGTGATGTCGGTCGATGTGAAACTCGTATCGTTGAGAATCGCGTATTGGAAGAACGAGAGACCATACCCGCCCCCTACTGGAGCGTTGGTGTAACGCTGGATACCGCCCAATTCGGAGCCAACAGACATTCCAGGGTAAACAAGGGTATTGTTGGTGTCAACCCATGGGTCGTACTTGGTCTTGAGGTTTGCCAGCTGTGGGGGTGTGAGACAGGCGCTCAAATTGGTCGAGGCCTTGTTGCAGAGCAGGGTTTCGGGGTGGAAATAGCAACGCGTCGGGTCCGAGATGAGCCCATCCTTCAGCCCATCTGTTGTATCACACTGTCGCACTGCCTCATTATGAATTGCCGTCCACTGCTCGGTACTGATAAAGGTATCCGATGTGTTGGGATATTGCCCTATGGTGACATAGTTCTCCCAAGCTAAACAGACACGAACGGCACCTTAGCTCTGCCCTCAAAAGAGAAGTGTGTATACGGTGGCACATACCTTGCAAATGTGTTTGCCAAATGACAGGAGCGCCAATGAGGGCACCGTCAAAGTCGTCGGGGTACCTTTGCACTTCAGCAAAGCCTTGTCGCCCACCAGTAGAGCAGCCTGAATAGTAGGACCAGGACGCTGGCTCTTCGTAGAAAGCGTTCACGATCTGCTTCGCGTGCCCTACCGAAAGATGTAATGCTCGATGTCCACTTGGGACCTCAAATATTAGTGGGGAGTCAACGGACCAAACAGCGCTGAGAGGAGGAAGTCGAAGATACGTACAAATCGATGCTTGCCTCCTGGTCGGAGAACATGACACCGTCACTAGAGGGAGCTCGATGGCCAGTGTCACAGCTCATAGACGCGAAACCTGTCGAACCGCAGCTTGTCAGCTTCTGCACAGCCTACCGGCCAGTCAGGTCTGCACCCTCCAGAAGACCCTTTACCTTGCTTCAGTCCACGAGAGATGTCCGGATAAACAACGTTGCCTCCCCAGCCACCATTCCCGAAGGTGAGGAGTCGCGCATTCCACTCGTTCGCGACGGGCAGCCACACCTCAAAATTGACCGTGTTATTTACTGCCGTGTTGAACCAAGCCGAGACACGGCAGTGCGCTGGGAGATTTGTCAAGTTGATGTTTGCGCTTGGGTCTGTGACGCCGAGTCTCGGGATTAGTACACGCTCCTGGACGAAATAATTGAGACGCTACTCACTTGTCGTATTTCCTGTGAAGTTTGACCCCGCTGGGACAAGCTCGGCGATGTCGATTCTGACGTTTGGAGCAGTCTCCAATCCTTTTGAGAGATCGTGGCATGCAATGGCCTCAACCGGCGCTGCCAGAAAGGACAAAGCTGCGCCAACAAGCGCCAGTATCATGTTTAACCGCGAGTTCATGGCTATGACCAGGTATAACGATTGTGACATATGCAGCACTGGACATGCCGTTTACAACATTATTTATAGACAGCTCCGTCTTATCAGTCGACGAGAATCATTATACACTGGCTTCAACTTGCAATAACCTTTGGGGACCTTGACCGCCCTCAGCCGCTCTATCGTCCTCTATCGAGCGAAGTTTTATTGAGCGGATGCTCTCTATCAATAGCGGAAGTTAGGCGGCCGTGTTATCCGACTGAAAGCACTACCATGTAGATAAAAACACCCTCTCCGTACCCATTGAGTCTGTGGCGCTAACCAATAGAGGATACATTCTGGAGGTCCATCTCCTCCCCCACTCTTCACCCGTGACGAGGACAGTATGGGCCACGATCGATTTATGACAACATTCTCGACCTCATGACTCGTTCGTGCCTGCCAAGCCATATCTGTCACCAGCAAGAGAAGGCTGAGAGCCGGGTAGAGGCAAGGAACAGGTTGCGAAGCTCTTGCAGACGTCGAAGGCGGAGCCCATATCTTATCTCGCGAAGTGGGACTTTTCCAGCAAGAGTGGGGACTCAAGATGCTATCGGGTCAAACAATCATTATTGGATGCATCACGCACCATATCGTGGTCTATACGAATTTCCACCGGCATCTTAATATCGTTCTGGGACTTACGATGTTGTTATACTCTACCATGTCCTGATCGATAACCATCACTGAACTATGGCCAGTCTTTCGGAACTCCCAGAAGCGTTACCTCTCGTCTGCCTTTGCGAGACCTCGTTTGGATCACCTTTTCCCCTGCGACATGGAGAAATCAGCATCACCCACGGGCATGAAGCCTGACAAGGCTGGAGAAGCCGGCGAAGTAATGAAGGTTGTCGCCAAAAGCGGCCAGCATTCCTGCCATCGTAGACTACCAGTTAATTACGAACAAAGGTTCGAGTCCGTAACTATGAATTAATGACTCTATATACATACCAGTGTCCTTTGTTGAGTGCACTGGTCCAGTGTAGCAGTGCAGAAGTGCATTCGTGTAATGAACGGGCCTCTTATGAGCAGGCAGCGTATCGTGGGCAGGTCTCGATGAAGTTAGGATAATTCCCACCATGAATCGATCGAGAGGAGGGCGGACAACCTGCTTAGTTGCCCATTGTAGTCGTGCAATCCTGGTAGGTGCTGCTCTATCGATTGGAAAGGTACAACGTCCGTTAAACACTGCTCTGCTGAAAAAATTGATCCAGTGACGCCAGAACGGAATTTTTCTCCAAACTCACGGCGATGTTCCTAAATATATCCAAGAAACGATCCATCTCGAAGACCAACAACGACGTGATCAAAAGGGAAAAGCAAGAGCAACATCTCTCTATGCGTCTCACAACCTTGCGCAGCTACATCTGTGGCAACAAGAATCGTGCTTTGAGCTGCACATCTGTCCAACGATCGTAGTCTTGATTTCTGTGGCGCCGTCGAGCGTAAGCTCACGAACGGTTGCTTCCATGTTTGTAGCAGAGCAGTCAAGTGCTTCGGGGCTGCGATGCTGTGTGTGAAACTATTTGTCTTGGCCTGGAGGCTCTGCATCCACATGGCCTAGATAAACATCCTCAGTGTCTACTACTTACCTTATCAACGCCTTTACCTCTGCTGGGACTAGGGCCAGTAGAGTGAGTCTATTTCTTCCGGTATAGGCTCAACAAGGTTTGAGACGGTTTGGCCTCGGACATCTCCCGTGCCTCTCTGGCCTCTCTTACCTTCCACGTCTCCTTTGTTGCGTCTCCTTTGTTGCGGCTCCTTTGTTGCGCGGCGATGCCGTTTGCAAGGAGCGCCATCGTCAGAGAGAACACGTGGATTGGATAGGTGACCAAGTTCGTTTTCGATTCGGTGCTTCTTGCGAGTCAGCGCCAAGACAATCGCTATCTCCATCTCCGTCTCCAATTTCCATAGTCTGTGACCTCTGAGACAAAAGGACAGGTAAACTTCCAGAAGACCTCGGTCAATTCATAGGCTTTTCTACAGGCTAGTCGAGAGGCGAAGGCATAGGCGTTTTGAAGGGTGTTTGTGCCAAGTTAGTCTGGTTCTCAAAGACCAGACACCTTTCAATCACAAATGTTTTAATATGTACATGGCTCGATTCCCATAGGTACCACATGTACCTGTAAAGTCCGCTGCCTTGCCATCATCGGCATTACGCAATCTCCATTTGGCATTCATGATTGGTAATATTTCGGTGCTCGGGGTGGCTGTTCTGTTCCAATCGCTAGGTCATTTCACTGCCTTTGCATATTCGACCGTATGGTCTAGTTCTTCAGGTAAAAATATGATGTTGAACCTTTGCAGGGGTATATATGTATATAAGCACACTCTACCAAGGCATGTCAACACAAAGTTAGTACGCGGCATTAATCCCTTCTACTGACAAGGTTCATATTAACTAGACTAATACCGATTCATAAGATTGTTAGATGGCATTCTGCTCGATACGATCAACGACACATAATTCATCCACCATCCACTATTCACCAACAACTGCTGGCTAAATCAACTCAGAACCAACCATGGCATCCTCCTCTCCCTCCTCTGCTTCCTCCACCGACCGACCAAACAAGATCCTACTGCTCGGCGCTGGTGAGCTGGGTCAGGCCATTATTAGCTCAATCGTGGAGCATCCAATCTTCACGGACATCAAGGGCAGCACATTGACAATTGCATTGCGACCCTCAAGCCTAGAGAATCCGACAGATGCGCAAAAGGCTCTACAAACATCCTGGCTGATTAAGCCTCAAATCAGCCTTCACGGACTGGACTTGGAAGCCACGCCGCTCGCATCGCTGACTGAATTTCTTGCAACATCCAACTTCACCACTGTGATTCATGCCGGTGGTATGACCTCAATTGAGGGTACATATACCAAACTAGCGCGAGCAGTCCTCGACGCCAAAGTCGGCTTGTATCTGCCCTGGCAGTTTGGGCTTGATTACGATGTGATTGGGCCAGCGGCTGGACATGGCTTGTTTGCGGAGCAGTGTGGCGTGCGTGTCCTGTTGCGGGAACAGACACGCACAAAGTACAAGATCATCTCCTGTGGAATGTTTATGAGTTTTCTCTTCGAGCAGGCGTGGGGTGTTGTGGTCAAGGAGCCGCCAGAAGACGGCCAAGGTCGGGAAAGGATTCGTGTGAGGCCCGTGGGCGGCTGGGAAACGCCTTTGACAGTCACCACTGCAGAGGACATCGGCAGAGCGACGGCCGAGATTGCTCTTACTGCTGGCACTCGTGACAAACCCGACGACAGTCATGTCGCTGTCCATCGAGATGTGGTCTTTATTGCTGGTCAGACGGTGACGTACTCTGAATTGGCAGATTTGTTGGCGAGCGTAACGGGTAAGGAAGTCATCAAGGATGGAAGCTGGACTGTGGGGTATTTGAGCGCAAAAATGGACGAGGACCCTGGCAATAAATTGTGGCGATATAGAACCGTATTTGGCCAGGGAATTGGAACTGCGTGGCCGGTAGAGGGCACATTGAACGATGACAAGAAATGGGCGTTTGAGGGGATAGGAGAATGGCTCAGGAGGTGTTGGACATGAGGGTCAAGGAGTGAGGAAAGGAGGGAGAAATATGTTTCAAAAGCGCACAACGAGGAAGCCTACTTCCAAGCCTTTCTTCACTTGCTTCGTTGCGGTGTCCCGTCGGCGGCTTTCTTTCAGTCCTTGATCTAGATCTTTTGTGTGCCATGCGCGACCAATTCCCATCCCTTCCTGATTGATAGCGTGGGTCATTGTTGTATGTGGCCAATCGACCATACGATGGGCAGTTGGTTGTGCCCAGCAAATTCTGAAAAGCGTGAATCCCTTCGCTCAGATGTTCTTTTTAGTCCTGTCGTATCATGTCGTCACTCGAGGCATGTCATTTTTCGTATCGTTGCTACAAGCTTGCTTGGCTCGATCTTGTTCAAAGAGGTTTTTGCGCATACACCCAATGTCTAGCGCCATATTAACTCCTTCTGTCAATTCGGCGCGGCGGGTTCAACAACGACTTACATTGGACTGTACAAATGGATCGAGAGGTTGCGCAGATCACCTCGAACTCCTGTCAAAAGGAGTTCAACCTCGACTTGATCCCATCCGAGCACTCTGGTGAAAAGAGCGAGGCTGTAGGCTTGTAGGGCCTCGGTCATGAGTACATTTGCGTATCGCCCCAGTTCCTTGAGCCTTTTATCCTTTGGCCAAGGAGAGAGGGGGATCTGGGAGAGTCTTGGTCAGGTTTGCAATTTCAGTGGTTAAGGCTAGGCTTGCATACCTTGTAGACATCTTCTGTGATGTTTTCAAAGCCTGCCTCGGTAACCATTCGCTTGACTTGGGGGATGATGTTCATGGTGCGACCGATCTTCTCCCCGGCCTCGGTCAAGCTGTGCTGCCACCTATTGTATGCACTGTTAACCGGAAGACTGTCGTCGTCGGTCGAACCCCAAACTTCAAAGTCGCCAATCTCGATCCAACCACCAGGTTTCAAATTGTCAAGACACTTGCGGAAGAGCGCGGGCCAGTCGGCAATGGAGCCTCCCATATTGCGAATATGAATCCAATCAAAAGGCTCGTCAAAGGTCCAGTCGGCTTCAGCATCATCGACCAGAAACTGTAGATTTGGAGGAATCCAGGTGGGTTGAATGGGGCTGAGATCTGTGGCGATGACCTGTGCCTCTGGAAACTTGTCCGCAATGTCGATGGCCCAGATTCCGGTGCCTGTCCCAAGATCTAGAATACGTCTTGGATTCTGGACAGGCGCTTTGTGTAGCTCGCCTCCCAAGACCATGGATTGCACATGGTGGACGAGATCCATGCGTTCTTGTTCGAGTTCATCGTTGGGGGCAAAGTACTTTCCAGCCTTGAAACTATGGTACCGGCGCCCATTCTCGTATTGATACTCGAGGACACTGGATGAGAGAGAAGTGGTGTCGGAGAAAAAGCTGTCGCCATAGGCGGAATCTGCATCAGAATCCGGGGCCATGTTGGCCATGGCAAGCTGGATGGGCAATGTGTGGATGATCTAAGGAATGTTGGAAAAACGCGACTCTTGGGTTTACGAGAAATGGAGTTCTGAGGTCGCGCCCCCAAAAGTGGGATCAGCATCATTGTTGTCAGTGGGAATGCACGGGCTGGGGAAGGGAATTCGCACCACCTCGAATCCAGTGCCTGGCCACTTTCAGAAGCTTGTGGATTTCGCTCCGGGTGCTTGCTGCAGGCCAAAGGGGCCGAGGGGCGGTTTGGTCATGCTGGGGAGCCCGGCCCGTGGCTATGGGCTGGTGAAAGTGAAGATTGGACAGACTTCTGCTTGTTAGAGTTTGCAGCAGACCAACAGACCAGAAGAGGAGCAGACCACCCGCTGTCGTTTGAACCCGCAGGGCTGGGCATTCGTGCCATGCTCTCCACTCTGGCCACGAGGTAAGGAGGGGAGGATGGTACTTAGTAGCGGTAGTGGGACTCGACATACGCATACCCCTGACAATGTACCCATATGCATCAGCACTGGAAGAGCATGGACAACAATATCAGCAGCAGCATGCACTAACAAAACCTGACAGACTGGCCGATTGAGATTATGCCAGGGACGCAGATGAACATCTCCTGCCTTTGTAGCCGATCGCCGATCGATTGCACGACATGTAGGAAGGTGGGGTACCACTCAGTTCTGAGGTCAGGTTCATCGCTCCTTCCAAGTGAGGTGATCACCGTACACCTTGCAAGGCTTACGCGGAGGTACGCGTTCCTATCATCCATGATGCTACTACAGTATTTTTGCATCGCACGCACCCACGCACCCACGCTCTCAACATTGATAATAATTACCTTAGGTACCTAAGGTAATAATGATAACAATACTTCCTCCTACGAGAGAGGCTCTCATCTTCCACAGATCTTCCACAACGGCACCCCGCAGCTTTCTTGCCTGACTGCCCAGCCAACCACCAACCAACCACGTGTGGCGGTCAGACAAGCATAACGGTTCCTGCAAGACACAGACGGATGCATACTCCGTACACCTCCTCCCAACATCCCATCCATGACCTGCTTCGACCCTGGTCAATGTTGTCCTAGAACAATTCGGCACCTTTGTTGCATACGTCCCCGAGTAAGTTTCCAAGAACCTCGCAGCCCTTTCCATCCACTCATCCCTCCACCTTAGGTACTTAGCACAAGCTCGCCTACTCCGTACAGCAGCTAATCATGCGCAGGTAGTCCCCGTAGGCCCGAGCCCGCAGTAGCCCGAGGCCATCAGTGCCATTTTCAACCTCCCACCCATCAGCAACCCGCTATCACTGCCAGTGCCCCCCACCTAGTCTAAGGCATCGGTCTACCCTCTTGGTACCTATCCATCATGAGCATTCCCTCCTCTCTTCACGTGAAACCCACCATGAGTTACGCAGAGAGAGCCACCGCCCAACCCAGAACCTCACAAACTCACCTCCTTCCCACCTTCTTAATCCTCGTCCAGTTGGGACAGCCATAAACCTGCTGACGGTAGGAAATTTACTCCTCTTTGTCCATAATGGCTGTCCCTGTGAACTTTGTGTTACTCTTGGCTTCTTTTGGCTTGACCTCTTTGATCTCCGTGGCCATCTTTCGCCTATGTTTCCACCCTCTAGCCAAAATTCCCGGTCCCAAATGGGCGGCCTTGTCTCGATTTTACGACTTCTATTATGATTGCGTCCTCGGAGGGAAATATGCCTTTAAGATTCAAGAGATGCACAAGCAATATGGCAAGTTCATCTCACACAGTACGGAGACAACGTCCTGTTGCTGATATCCATCCCAGGCCCGATCGTTCGCATTGGGCCCAACGAGGTACATATTCAAGACCCCGACTTCTTCGATGAATTCTATACCATCTCAAATAAACTTGACAAAGATGCATGGTACTATGCTTTCGTTGCTTCACAAGATGCTGCCTTTGGTACTGCCGACTATGATTTACACCGAGCTCGAAGAAAGGCCATGAGCCGTTTCTTCTCTTCTTCCGCCATTGCCCGTCTCGAGGCTTCTTCTCGTGAGAAAATGTTGAAGTTGTGTAGCCGCCTGGAAGGCTTCCGCGATGATGACAAGCCTGTCAATCTATCCAACGCCTTTCGTTGCCTGGCTGCGGATTCCGTCACTGCATATTGCATGCCCCGCGGCTTCAATTTGCTGGATTCAGTCGATTTTGCCGACGATTACAACCAACAAGCGCGATCAATCTCTTATATTGCTGCTTGGCACCGTCATATTCCAATCATTATTCCTTTGTTCATGAAGTTGCCTCGATCTTTCATCGAGGCGACCTCCACTGAAGGAGGATTGATGTCGTTTGATTTTCAAACAGTATGCTCTCCATCCACCGACTTGTCGAAACTGCGAGCTAACATGTCCCAGGATCTCGCACGACAGGCAGAATCAGTTGTCAAGGCGGAAAAACGAAGTGACAAGTCTGTCCTCGATGGGATTGTAAACTCCGATGCAATTCCCGAAAGTGACAAGACGGTCGATCGTATCACGCAGGAAGCGCGAACACTGGTTGGAGCTGGCTCGGAAACCACCGGCGCTGCCCTCGAGTTCATCACGTTCCATGTCTTGTCCAATCCTGAAATCTATCACAAGTTGAAGAAGGAGCTTGCGGGTGTGGTGGCCAAGGCAAAATCAGACGACGCTTTGACCAAGTACGAAAACGTCCAACGACTCCCATATCTGACTGCAGTCATTCATGAGGGTCTTCGCATTGGTAATGTCGTCAGTGGCAGGATGGCTCGATCGAACCCACGCACGGCATATTCTTACCGCGGTTACGTTCTCCCGCCCAAAACAGTCATTAGTATGGTGACGAGGGGTAACCACAACGATCCCTCCATATATCCCGACCCTTTTACTTTCAAACCTGAAAGATGGTTAGTAAAAGGAGAGGAACTGAAACGGCTGGAAAAGTACTTTGTACCTTTTGGTCGTGGTGGAAGAAGTTGTATCGGTAAGGAGTTGGCCATGATGAACCTCTACCTCATGAGCGCCAGTTTCTTCCACAAATTCGACGCAGAGCTTTATAGCACCACTCTCAAGGATATCTCGATGGAACATGACCTGTTTTCACCATTTCCGGCTGTGGGTTCCAGGGGACTGAGAGTGAAGTTGAAGGCAAAGGCATGAAAGACGGCTGTCACAGAATTGGCAATTTAGTAGGAACGTTCCTGATGGATCAAGTGTGATGCACTGGCTCACAGGATGGTAGGGAGAGTGAGAGAGAGGGGGGAGAGAGAGAGACGGCGATGAGAATGACCCTGCTAGGATTTAGATTGGATAACGAGGTCCAGTAGTACCTAAGGTATTTCAGGTAATCTGGATTCCCGTCTTTTAGCCTTGTTCAATACGATGAAATACGAGATACGAGCAACCACCAATGAGATGAGTGCCCTGAGTTAGTTAGCGTCCCCGCAGCAACTATCAGTGGCATCAAAAGTTTCTCATCCCTGTTGGCGAGTGAGCTGATATATGGTCGCCAACAATCAAGTCGACAGATCAGAGTCGGGTTCTTAGATTGAGATTGTCCAAAGTCATTTTGACGCGACGAAGCCCTTTTCTTGCTTTATCTCCCTTCGACCATCTATCTTTTCGATTCCTTGTCAAAGACGTCAGAGTCCCTGACTGGCTTATTGTTTGCAAACAACTCCCAGTGGACACACAAGATGGTCCACGTAGAGAGATATCATGGAGGAGATCAACACGCCATGAGCGGATACTGGGGTCCCCCAACCGCGATAGCCAAGTATGAACTATTCCGTCTGACTCCCTCTCGCCGGCAACTGCCGACAACGTCAAATTGGGACACCAAATGCTGACTCGAATGTGAACACGATAGTTTTTGCGAAGAGGACTACGCCCTGGTGTTCTGGGCGGCCGAGTTTGTCAACTCGTTCACCAATCTCGCGTATGGTATGTGATTCTGTCCCCGTGGTGTTCCCTCGCCGTCCCCCATCGGTATCAGCAAGGATCATGTTGCAATTGCTCTCGTGGGCATTTGAGCTAACGGCCGGATGACGGCGGCACAATCAGTGTACTACGCATTTAAAACGCTAGACCGCGGCGAAAGCCTGATCTCGACGACGGCATTCCCCAATCTGGCACTCTTCTTCGTGGGAGTGACCAGCTTCGCTTTTCATCTGACCATGAAGTACGATGCGCAGATCATGGACGACCTGTCCATGTTCTGGGTGTGCGCGGCCATCATCTACGAGCTGTACACGATCGGACGGTCTACCAGCGTCAAGGTCGCCTTCGGCAGCGCTCTAACGGCCATCCTCGGATACATCAGCGCCCGCCATTACACCCTCAACCAGCTGTGGCTGCATAATTGGACCTTCATCATCCTCGTCACCGCCATCTGGCCCCGAGTCTTGTTCCTCATCCGAAACCGCCTCGACGGGCCCGAGAGGATGGTTGCTCGCAGACAATTTCGTGTCGGTGGCTTGTGCTTCCTCGCCGGTTTCCTGCTGTGGCTCGTCGATGGGGCCTATTGTGGTCCGCTCAGGTCTGCCAGGGAGACTTTGGGTCTGCCTTGGGCCTTCCTACTTGAGTTCCACGGCTGGTGGCATATCCTCACCTCAATCGGCGCTGGCAATTGTATTCGTGTCACAAAAGTCTTGACTGGCAAGACTCCAGCTGTGTCGCGATGATTGTCATGATTCGTGGCGACTGCGAGGTGGCTTGTCTCGTGGTGGGATGCCACAATGCGGCTTTGCTGCCCTAGATAGCTAGATCACATGCGTGATCAACTCGGATTTCTCGTGTACTTCTTGGAGTCCTCATCAGCAGGTCAAGATATCCTTGGAAACACAGCCTAGGATGGGCTAGGTTGCAGTGATCTCAACTGTGCCAAGTGCTTGACGTTCCAGTCTGAGTGCGGCAGAGCCATGTTCCGGCTCGTCTATCTATCGAAAGATGGCATAGCACGGTCACTTTTTGTTACCCACAATGGGTCTGGTTGGAAGCTGCCGGCCACACAATGTCAACACATGGTCCAAAACACCGCTACATAAATATAGATATAAGTATGATATATGCAGGAACATGAGGTATGAGGTCCACAAGACACCCACTATATGGCATCACCTTTGGCACACTCAATGAGCGACCAAATGTGTGCCGTGAGCCAGTCAAGCCTTTTGTTGTTTTAGCCTCTGACGATCATCCAACAAGTCCACGCCAGATTCTTGATACTTGATACCCCGCAATCTTGAGCCGCCACCTTTACCAAGGAGTTAACGTCACATCAGTGCGATCGTCGGCATCCTATTCATGACAAACCGTCCTTTGGCTGACAGACCACGCGGACTCTGCCCGTGCCACGGCATGCCCTTGGTACGTGGCCGAGCAAAGTCCTGGCTTCTGGCGGGCCAATTGACGACACACATCTCGATGGCTTCCATTGTGCGTGTGACTTGGGTGAAGTCTTGCCCAGCCTGCTATAGCTGGTCAAAAGTTGCAAACTGCAACATGATACCAACTCCTCAAGATAGGTACCAACATAAGTGTAGAGGTGACCAGTAAAGTGGCTAGGTGACGCTACAGCGCAGTGCACCCTTCTCAGCCTTTACCACCATGTCACTGCTTGCGCCCCGTGCCCATGCTTTTCGTTACTGTCCGCGGATCACAGCCGCCGCTGCCTTCGGACAGGTGTCCAACAATATACAGCATCGCTACCTCTCACACCACCTTCACACTAGTTTTATTACTCCCTCGTGGAGTCGGTCGTGGAGCTCGTCGTCTCATCGCCATGCCACCGCCGCAAAAACGGATACTCCCCCGATCCACGAGAAACTACCGGACCCCAAAAAGGTAGCATTTCGATTCCGCGAGTTTGACCTCAATGGCAAGATCTTTGTTGTGACTGGCGGTGGGCGAGGATTGGGGTTAGCGCTGGCTGAAGCACTGGTCGAGGCCGGTGGAATAGGTGGGTAGATGAGTTCCTTTTCTTATCTTGACTTCCCTTCTCAAGCAACAACAGCAGCAGCATTGCAGTGTGTGCTGAATCCTGACCTGAACATCATAGTCTATTGTCTTGACCGACTGAATGAGCCTGACAAAGAGTTCGAGGTCGTCAAAGATCGTCTGAGTCTAGAGTATGGGGGCTCGTTAAACTTCGACAAGGTTGACGTACGCGAGGCTGGCAACGTAGACCGAGTCGTCTCCGAGATCGCAGGCAAACATCAACGGATGGACGGCTTGATTGCAGCGGCTGGAGTGCAGCTGGTTCAGCCAGCGCTCGACTATGCGCCAGAAAAGGTCATGGAGATGCTCGACATCAACTACAAGGGCGTCTACTGCTCCGCCCAGAGCTGTGCCCGGCAGATGATCAAGTACGGATGCAGTGGATCCATTCTTCTGGTGGCCAGTATGTCCGGTCTCATCGCTAATCGTGGTTTCACCTCTTCTGTCTACAACTCGTCCAAGGCAGCCGTCTGCCAGCTGGCTCGTAGTCTCGCCATGGAATGGGGTCAGATTGTCGATGGGAAACCCATTCGTGTCAATTCTCTATGTCCAGGTAAATTGGAATGATTGACTTTTTGAGATATTGTTTGGTCGTTGGTAATTAATTCCCGCTTTTTCCAGGCAACATCCTCACTCCAATGGTCGAGCAGAACTTCAAGGACGATCCCAAGCTGAGGGCTTCATGGGAAAATGGGAACATGGTAATCCCCAGTCGATTCTTGTAGTATGTGTGACATCTGTCTGATGGTGGACTCTAGCTTGGCCGACTATCGAAGCCTTCTGAGTATCGAGGGGCGGCGTTGTTTGCATTGAGCGATGCCAGCTCTTTTATGACCGGGTCACAGGTGAGCAGTCATTCCGCCCTGGCATTACCAGAACCAAACTAAATCGTTGCAAAAGCTCATCATTGATGGCGGCTACACAGCTTGGTAGTGAGGACGTATGATCAATTCCGCGGCAACGACAGCTTTCATACATATACAAAGTATAATGGCACCTCCACGAATTTGGTGTCTATAGTTTGGTGTCTGATGCGGGTTGTATTCGGATATTGACTCGGGGATAGTGTATTCTCAGCACACCTTGCCCGACATTGGGCGTGCTCGCAATGACGACTTCATTAATACCAATGGAAACTAGTTCTCCCCTGTCACGATGATTGAAACCGGATTCAACAGGGTAGATCTCCACCATTTGGCCCTTTTCAAGCTTGAGCGGATCTAGAGGATCGATGTCGCCTTCAGACTCGAAAAAGTCTGAGTCGAGGATTGTCTTGACAGCTTCGTCGGCCGACAGCTCATGAGGTTTGTTCTGGTTCTGTATCTGCCTGGCCGTAATAGCCTTAACAGCACGATCGATAAAGGCAAAAGTCTTTGGAAACTGCTTGTCACTGATGATGTCTTTTTCGAGGGTGGCGCCCATGCCCATACTCATGCCAACTGTCCAGTGAAACACCCAGAGAGCATGGATGTCAGCGAGTGTTGGCTCAGGGCCCCCGAGAAGAAATTCCCTTCCGTCGGCCAAATGTTCTTTCTCCATCTGATTGAAGTACATGCGAGAGTGTGACAGACTCTCCGGGCGGGCTGCTTTCAGAGTATTGGCATCGAATGGTCGCCCTGTCATTTCCCGGCGGTCTTCGCACCATTCGGGGTCCTTTATGACATCGGCATCCCAAGGAATGAGGCCCGATGTCCTCCAAAAGGGACCTCCATCGATGACCCAGTTCTCAATAAGATGGTCCACTCCTCTCTCAAAAGGCGTCTTGCCCCCAATGCGAGTTTGGGGAAATAGCTCTTCGAGCTTGCTAATGATCAATCGTGTGTCACAGTAGATGTCTCTGCCAATAGCAAGGATGGGGATCCGACGATATTTGATGCCAAGCTTCTCTAGCATGGGTCGTGGAAGTCGATTGAGAGTGATGCAATGGAAATACTTGAGGCCGGTGAGGGCAAAGTACCAGTCCATCTTGCGGCCGAAAACCGAGATGTCGTAGGTGAAGAGGATCATTTGAGGAGGCTGTGCCGTTGCCATCGTGATCAGTCTGTTGTAGAGGTAATGGGAGGTCCACTGGAGCGAAAAGAACCTGTGTGAGTGTCAGTCTCAACAACAAGACTCCAGCAACAAGCAATCGCAGATGAAGCAACTGAAGATACATACCGAGGGTCCACATCCACGAGGCCCCTCCTCTCTTCCCCGGATTCTCAGACATGACGTGCACTTGCTCTTGGGGCGTCTCGGACAAACTCTGAGAGGCACAGAGGACAGAGGTTGTGTGGTAGAATGATGACTGTCAAACTAATGACTCGTCTTATGCTGACTGTTTGACTCGACGTCTGTTGGCACGTGAGGAGGCGGCCCCGCAGTCTGGACCTGCACCTTCCTAGTCCGCCAACCATGTGTCGCTCCTTCCTGTCTTTGATATGCCGTCTCCATCATGAAATTCCAACCTCGGACCAACGACCACATCGGCACAAAATCCCCCTCCTTCATCCATCCTCTTGACTCTCTCGTGCTTCTCAATTGATTCATGTACAGACTGAGCGTGTCAGTCATTGTTCTCGAGTCAGGGTCCTGATTCCAAATCCAGACCCCACTACATTTAAACTAAACTCAACACGAGTAATGGCTGGAGATTCATCATGCCACGCGTGAAACCAAGATCTGAACGTCTTGTCTTGTTTCATGATCTTTTCTCCTACGATTCTTGAGTAAGTCTTCATTGTTCGTGTCTGCTACTAATACACCCTTCTTCTCTTCTTGTGAACCCTGGTCTTACCTCCAAACCACCCACCCAACCCTCACATCCTTCTCATCATGTCCGACGCCGAGTTGAAATGGGTGCAACCCGAGAAAAGAGAACTCCTTGGAGGAGATTTACTCGCTCAAACCCTTCGACATCTAGGTGTTGAGGTCTCCTTTGGCGTCCACGGCGGCCACCTCGATGCCTTTCTAATCGGAGCCCACATGATGGGTATTCGTCTCATCGATACCAGACATGAAGCTACCGCAGTACAAGCGGCTGAAGGATATGCCAAAGCCTCAGGTAAAGTTGGCACTTGCTTTGTCACTGCAAATAGTGGCTTCTGCAACGCTATACCTGGCATCTCGACCGCCTTTGCTGACCGCTCCCCAATCTTCGTCGTCACCTCCTCTCCTCCGCTGCGCGACGCCGAAACCAATTGCTTACAGGGTTTCCATGACCAAGTCGTCCTGGCTAAACCTATTACAAAGTTTGCCCATCGAGTGACCAACGTCGAGGAAATCCCGCGCATTGCCACCTATGCTGTCAAGACTGCCATGTCTGGCATCCCAGGGCCTGTTGTGGTGGATTTCCCTATCGATGTCCTTTTCCACCCTCCAAGAATGGACGCAATTTCTTATGGCTCGATCATGTGCGACATAGCCATCGCTCCATATCCCGATCCAGCAGCTCTCGAGAAGCTCCTGACTCTATGGAAGGCAGCCCAACGGCCGGTCATCATCGCCGGTACCGGTTCTGCACGAACTACCACCCGAGGCTCGAAAACTAGTCCTCTCCTCCAACTGGCCGAAGCCACGAATACTCCTGTTTTCTACAACCAAAAGTACACTGCCGCCTTTCCCCACGACCACGCTCTTCGTGGCGGCCCTGCTGGAGGTCTAGCATATCTGCCAGCGATACAAAAACAACAACCAGACTTTGTCCTGCTTCTGGGTGCCCGAACTGGCTTCCTTCTAGGAGGACGCTCCGGCGCCATCATTCCCAATAAAAATTGCCGACTTGCCCAAGTTGACCTGGACGGCGCTGAGATTGGCAAATCTCACCCTGTCGACGTCGGCATTGTATCGGACGCCACAAACTTCATCACCGCACTCGTGTCCAAACTCTCGTCCTCCCCACTCCCAGCACAAGAAGCCTGGCTTCAAGACATCAAGGATCTCAAAGATAGACCCTCGCTCTACGCCAATGATCCAGAACTCATGGGAGAGCACAAGAGGCTACACCCATATCACACTATCAGGGCCATTTATCGGTCTCTACCGGAAGACTCGATCGTTGTCATTGACGGCGGCGAAGCAGGTGTGTGGGCGGGTGAGAATCTCGAGGTCGCACGCGCCGCCACTGGCATCGTGTCAACCGGCTATCTAGGCTTCCTTGGCAATGGATGGGGTTACAGTATGGGCGTTGCAGCCGCTGATCCCTCACGCCTTGTTGTGAATATCCATGGCGATGGATCCGCAGGCTTCCACATTCAGGAACTAGATACCTATGCCCGGCATGGCCTCAATATCCTCACGGTGGTCATGAACAACTATTGGTGGGGCATGTCAATTGCCGGTCAAGACATGATCTACGAAGATGATGATCCAGCTCGTGTGGCTAGCAAGCTCAGTGAAGCTTGTCGATACGACATTGTCGCAAAGGGGTTCGGCTGTAAAGGCGCCATTGCCACTGATAGTATCTCCCAGGTGGAGGAGGCGGTGAAGGACCTAACAGCTACCAAGGGCGCTGGCCTACTTAATGCCATCATCTCGAAGGAGCCATATACCCTGGTCACAAAGGGCATGGTTGGAAAAACGGCAGACAAGAATTACATTGTTATTCCCTACTATGACAATGTTCTTCGACCACATTACAACGTCACGGCTAACGGCACGAATGGTCACTCTTCATAGGAAGATGGAGTTTGATGGTGGTAATGTTTGACCGCTGAGCGAGAGAGAGGGTTATAGGTTATGGATAAGGATGCCGGTGGTTCTTGGGATAGAACGGGGATGTAGTATACTGATGAAATGACATGATGACCCATCAACGTGGGTCTCGTGGTGGGGATCCTCTCCTCCCGACACTGATAAAGATTGGAAGAATAGTGCCTGGGGCAAGAGATCTGAAAGTGAAAGAGTCTTTTGGTCCACATATCCTATCTATATATACAATGCAAAGTTTACAAGCCTGCAAGGGGGCGACTAGCATGTAGACAGAGACACATGACCAGGCCCGATCAGAGCCCCCCATGCTGGGAATAATTGTAGATACCCTCTTACATCGTCCGTGCATCCAGTCCATGCATTCACCTATGCAAGCCCGGAACAAACGGTTTGATGAGAGGTGTTGTATCTATATTCCCCTCGGCCCTTTCCTCCTTAACGGAAAGACACGAATGGTCGTATTGTGCCCCTGGAAAGGCTGATCGGTCTATCTTTTGTCGCGGTTTCTCCTTTCTCGCTCGGCGGCGATCTCTTCCTTTCGCAACGACTCCCAATTGGCTCGCTTTCTTTCGCGAGCCTTGGCATCAGCCTTGTCTTTGGACTCTTTGAAAGAGCTTCCAATCAAGCCCTGCTTCCACGACTCTTTGGCCTTGTCTACCCTTTGGTCGATCCAGCTGCGGTTCTGGCTGGGTCCGGCGGGTAGAGATGATGATGGGCTAGATGATGGACTTGAAGCTGTTGATGAGGTGGTGGATGATGGGGAGGAAGAGTGAGAAGAATTGGGGGGAGTACCCTGACCAGAAGCCACGTTCATAGACCCGTATGAGATAGTGCCTGCTTTGGCTGGGTCCGAGGGCCTCGGCATAGGCGGTAAATTGTACCATCTTCTGAAGGCTGCGTTCTGGAAGATGGACAATTGGGTGCTCTGAGCCAAGCCCGTAACCAGGAAGAACAGATTCGTCGACACGGGCTGGAAGCACATGAAGACAAAGCTGAACCCAGGCAAGATTGTCTTCAACATGTTCATCATGCGGCTATCGGGCGCAGTCCTTGCGCTTTGTCTCAAATTCAGAAAGGTCACACCGCCGATGATGAGGGGAAGGGCATATGTAGGATCTGAGGTTGACAGGTTGGACAGCCAGAGGAGCGAGTCCGATTCGAAGCCTGGGACGGGCAGGTGACCGGCTTCTCTCAAAAGGCGAAAGGCCCCGTATGAGAAAGGAATTTGGAATGCCATGGGCAAGAAAATGGATGAGAAGGAGAAGTTGGCCTGTTTCATGGCAGCTTGCATGTCTTGCCGTATCTTCAGGACTTTGACTTTGTCATTCTGCTCGGCGGCGGCTTGCATTTCTTTCCGCAGAGGATCAAGTATGGGTTTGAGCTGTTGCATCTTGGCACTAGCCTCAACAGACCGCAGACTCAGAGGAAGTAAAACGACACGGAACAGAACCGCAAGTCCGACGATGGACATGCCCCAGGAGAGGCCGCCCCAGATGTGAATGTGTTCAAAAAACCATTCCATGGTCGCTGTAGGTCCCCACCCAAAGTCCAGGCCGCATACATCTTTCAAATATCCAATCCCTTCTGGAATAGAAGCAAGGTCGATTTCAGCGCCCGGTGCATTGGGAGAATGTGCCCCAGCGGGGGTCAATAGTTTGTCTTCGAGGCGTTCTAAGATGTTTTCACTAGCGGGGTGCGACAGTGTCGACGTCGGAGTTGGCGTGGAGGTTGCAATGCTAGGGTCTGGTGCATCTGAAGTTCCATGACTAGCTTTAACAGTGCGCACAGTTTCGAGGGGTGGAGGTGCCTCGGGTACAGAGGAAGAGGAAGGATGAGCTTTGGCAAAGTCGTCGGGCTTGGAGGGTGATCCCCAGCCAAACAGCGAGAGCGATCGAGACTGTTGTAAAAAGACTGAGTTTGAAGTGACCGGGGGATGAGAGTGCGACAAGGATGACCGCAGAGTACGGAGGGAATACTAAGTCAGGTTAGCGATCAGAAGGAGGAATAGTGATGATTCAAGCATACATGGCGCACACCGGCCTGAGGAGACAAGACTGTTGTCACTCTGTGTTTTCCATTGGTGATGCCACGTCCGGACCACCTCAGCCCTTGAGAGATTGTCATCGCACACCAAACACAGCGGACTCTGCAGGTCCGGAGAAAGTGGAATCACGACGTAGATGAAGCTTGCGGTGGTGCTTGGGACAGGAATCTTTTGTCGTCAGAGAATGGAGGACATTTTGGGAAGGTTGGCCGACCCCGGACCAATTAACGCGGGAGAAGATGATGCACGACAATTATCACGAGATACATATCAAGACGAGAACTAAAAACAGAGCCCATGGTTCAAGTCGTTTTGGACACTTTTGGGGCGTCTTATTTTCTATCCTTGTGATGTCTAAATCCCTGGTAGTGGCACAACGTATGTGGAAGCGCCAGGGCAACCCTTGGCTTCTCTGCAGGTGATATCATACGTATTTCTGCACAACCGCGCCACCTCGTTTGAAGTCTGCAATGTCTCCCAGAACGACAGTGTGGTCCTTGTATTCAGTCGTAGGGAATGTGGTCTGCAGCACAAATTCTCGCCCTCCTGGTTGGGCCCTGCGCACAAAGTCGTAGACATCTCCGATAGTTTGAGTAGTGTTGAATCGAGAGGTCAAACGAGTACCCGATCCTAGGCTGATTCGCAAAGTGATGGTAGGCTTAGACTCGTCTACATCAGTGGTAGGAGGGCCAGCGGAGGAGGTGTTGGAAGGTGCCGAGGTGGTTGATGGGGTGGGATCGGATGTAAATGCTCCTGGGATACTGGGCATGCCTGGAGTGGGACTGCCTAGTCTTTGACCAGCTCCTTCAAATGGCCGATACTGCTTTTTGGGTTTGACGTAATTCTCCTCGTGCTGTTTGATCTCGACGTCGACTTCCTGATCTGGTTGAACATTCATGATGTTAAGCGGAACTCTACCCTGGCGTATCAGATTGAGAATGTCGGTGTTGCTGCGGTCATCGAAACGGAACAGCTCTCCATCGTCGATACTAAAACCATCCTGCCAGAAATGAAGAACACGTTCGACTCTTTCGGCACGAGGACGAGTTTGTGGAGCGACAGGGATCTCGCGCGAGGGTTCATCGTCTCCGCCCAAAGTACGGGCAGCACCGGTAAAGTGGGATTTTGCAGGTGGCGCCTCCTTCGGTGGTGGACCTCGTCTCTGTGCCTTTTCCAAAATTCGCTTTTTGAGATCGTCTGGGTTTTTGACCGCGAGACCAGATTTCTCTCCTCCAGCAAAAAGGTCTTGTTTCTCATCGTCATCGGAGTCTTGATCATTGTCTGCGTTCGAGCCAAAGTCTCCCAGTGTTGCAAACTTTTTCTGCGTCGCGGGTGGTTGCCTTTTGGGCTTGGAGGACGAAGCGGCCGAGGAGACAGGAACGGAAGAAGAAGAATCGGAGGGGCCATCACCTAAGCGACGACCAGCACTGTGAGCAGAAGTCGACGTGGGTTGGGCAGCTGGTTCGAAGTCATCGTCGTCGACGTAATCAGAGTCATTAGTGTCTGGATCTCGAGTTGCAGTGTAATAATTGGCAACGGCGTCATCGATGTCCCAATTACTGTCTTGGAGCCATTGTCGGGCCTGCAATTTGTCAGATTGTGAAAGGAGGATATAATGAAGGGAGACGTCTGACCTCTTGAGCCGAGGTGCCTACGACAGCCGTAAATTGATCGATGAGGGTGTCATGAAGTGAAGCGTCGTCCATGTTGATGAGAGACGCAGGACATCAAGTGCGGATTGAGTGGGAGAGTGAGAACAAAGGGAAACGAAACGGGCAAGTCGATGATGGTGTAGAATATGAGGAAATGGCTCCTCGTCTATGAGGTTGAGGATCGGCGATGACACTGAAGTCTGGATAAACAAGAGTCAAGGGTTGAGATGAGGGTGATGTGAGGGTTGTGAGGGATGGTGTTTGTTTGACTACAAAGTGCAAGTCAGGCCTCGACGTCACTGGTAGCAGCCTTGGGAAGTGAATTCTGTGCATGAGTGGCAGGCTCGACAGGCAATGATAGAATTGGCTAGACTGGAAGATGGTTACTTTAGGTAAGCAAATGAGTCTCTTGGATGCCTGGGAGGCCGAGGGGGCCTCGGGCTTCTCGAGCACCTGCGGCCCCCACGACAGGCGGTTGAGACCCCGGTGAATGCTCGTCCCGAGCTGGGGGTGATCAGGTAGGTACCTAGGTAGGTAGGTACCTAAGGTACATACTGTACCTACAGATCTGCTTACAGGGCGGCATCACCTTCGTCCCAAAATGGAGTGATCCAGCCTGCTAGGCGTGAATTCAAGTGCACGTCTTGGCCATGCAGCTTCCTTGACAGATCTGCAGACACCAAACCGCAGGCTGATCAGTTGTCGACATCCCATCGACTTGTTCTTGCCCACCAACGACTCGAAATACTCCTCGATTGCGCTGATCACTTGTCACACCTCATCCGCTTTATCATTCAACTTCTATCGTGTCGAAAATGCCTCTCTGTGTCCCCAGACCTTGATCTTGAAAACCGCCAAACTTGCCTCCATCTTGCACATTTAGCCACACCTGGGCCGCCACTTGACCACCAGCGACCCTGACCATGGCTTCTCGACCAGACCAATCTCCTTCGCCTCCTCAAGATCTTTCTGGATCTCAGTTGACGATTCCCTCCGATTCAGAACCATATTCCTCGCTGTCACCGCCTTCATCGTCTCCTCCACAATCTTCGGACAACAATGGAGGGCAGCCTGTGGTCATATATCAACCTCCTACGGTCTGGGGTATTCTGAGAGGAGCTGCAATTAATCTGCTGCTTCCGTTTGTCAATGGCATGATGTTGGGCTTCGGAGAGTTGTTAGCCCATGAGTTTGCATTCCGTCTGGGGTGGAGAGAAACAAATGTATCTTTTCCATGTTTCTGGTCGTGTTGGTCGGTGCTAATATTTGTTACAGGTTTGGCCACGTCATCGAAACGCGCACTCGATTGGTCCGGGAGTTGAAGTGAGAGACGACCCGGTGGAGCGAAGACGAAGAAATCGAGGGTCGTTGGACAAAGATGTCAACGATGCTGCGTCTCTAGAGTAAAAGAAAAAGGACGTCGTATACGGCGATTCATTCCCATTCTCAAGAAAATAATTTGCACGTCGAGCAAAAGGCATTTCCTGGTCATGTACATATAACGACAGCACAAAGATTGAGCGACTCTCCTGACCAGTGTTGTTCGAAGGTAAAAAGCACTCGGGTGGAAGGAGCCCTCAGTCAGGTAACCAACAATCGAGGTAACTACCTACAGTCTCTCTGGCCATTCTCCCGTTCTGACTGAGGCAATTGTCTTCTTGGTCTCAATAATTCCCAAACGCGCACATTATTCTTCTGTTGTTAGCATCATCTTGTCGATGTTTTGTATGAATTGTCTATCCGTAACACACGCGTCGTTGGCCGAATTGTCTTTTCTCCTACTGAGACATATCGGCCAGAGCATCATCAGCCCCATTATTTGGCCTTGGGATCACTTTGAACCGATCAAGCAAGTTGGTGATGGCGAGGCCCCAATGATTGGTCTGGGCAAGACTAACAAAAGAGGCAGGCTCAGCACCACCATCTTTCAGGCCATCGACATGAGCAACATTATCGACCGGTCAAATCCACCGGATTACAAACTGTTTGGGATTGTCACGGGGGCGATTGCGGCGATCGCTGTCACCGCAGCTGTAATTGGATGTTTGACTGCAAAGCTTTGCAAGAGGCGTCGACAGAAGCAGATCGACAAGGTATTGGTTCAGCAAGCTGCGAGTCACGATGCCGATGCTGCTGCCAACGCCAACACCACCGCACGGACTTCCACCTCGACTGGATCGTCGTTGGCCCAGACAGTGGTTGCACAGCTAGATGAAGAAGATGCCGTTATGAAACGGAGAACAGAGGGGCTCCTAGCGCGGAATGCCTTCATCGGACGTGAAGAGGAGGGGTACCAGAAAAAGATTCGAGCCAAACAAAGAGAAGAAACGGAGCTCCCCGTGCGCCTTGGGGATCTACTCCGTTGGGCAAAGAGGACGTTGTCGGGAGAAGATATAGCTCCTCGTCAAGCAGGTATACCAGAAAATAAAGGTCACGTGGATATACCTCGAGAGACGAAGACGTCGCCAACGATGCGGCAAAGCCGGGTTGCGGCACTTGATACAAGCACGAGCTATGAGGATCCGCAGCAAATTTTGCTTGACCTGGAAGCCCAAGTTCACAAGCCCGATTGGACTAAGCAGAAGGAAGAAGGTGGTGCTATGGGCCGAGAAGGGGGACAGGATGGTGGCATAAAAGGGCGGCAATGAATGGACAATGTTTGATGTGTGCTTGGACTGGGTGGTCAGGCCTTGAGTCAAGCAAGATTAGATGGCTAGAGAGCAAGTTTGGATTGTTATTATTATAACAAACCTACCACGCCTATCCGTAGACAATAGTATAGCACAGTGAAATAGTAGGGTGCAGCAAGATTCATGTCAGTGTGCTACTGATATCAGACATTTTAATGGCACGGGACCATAGACATGAATAGATTCCTATCTAACCGACCTCAGGTAGATAGTTTATTTGGTTTGGTTGCACGTGAATGAGCATGACCTTGTTCCGTTCTGTCCGTTCTCCGTTCTGCCTTTTTCCGGGGCAAACTTGGGGATTGGGGCAGATGGCTAGGGTGTGATTTACATGCGGTACTCGTACTGAAGGTACTTGACATGTGTCGGCTCCTCGGTCGAGAGGGTGGGTGGTGCCGAGGCAGTGGCAGAGGTAGTGACAGTCTATACATATGCAAATGCAAGGTAGGTACATACAGTAGTAGGTTAGATAGGTAGGTACCTAGTAGGTTAGATAAGGTACTCCGTACATACCTATTGTACTCGTACGCAGTAAAAGTAGGAAGGGAGTTAGTATTCTTACTATTGTGGAAGAATGCCGTGGAGGCTCTCCACCATTGGCTCCGGTGGAATCGGAAAATTGGCACCGGCAATCTTCTATTTGCCGGCTCCAGACTGGGCAAGACTATTCCAACGAGTGTAGGAAGAATGAAAGTGATGTCGATACTACTGAACAAGTCGCTTTTGATGTCGCTGGAGTTCCGGATCTCGGTGGGTAATGCTTGGAGCCGGTAGCTTCTCTTCTTAGAGCGAGATGTTCTGTCCCTCTTCTGCTCTGCTCGAACCTAAGCTCGAGGTACCACCCTCACTGCCCTCAATTAGGAGCTTCCCGCATTTCCATAATTCATTTCGGTCCCGCAAAGTTAAATGTTACCAGCGCTCGTGGATAATGTCCCGGGGGGCGATGAGTATTCCGGGCCTCTTGTAGGGGTAGAGGGACAAGTTAGACGTAGAGAGTAGGTACCTACCTACCTAGTCCTAGATGGTGGAGGGGCGAGGGTTGAGGGTATGAGGCCAAAGGGGTTTCCGCCCATTTGGGGGTTTCCGGCGTCCAAACCCACGGAACAAGAGTGATTGAAGCAGGCACGGAACTGCTCCTGCTACTATTGTATCATAGGGTGAGGCAGGTACCAAGAACTACTAATTCATTACCTAGGCACCTTCCCTTGGTAAGAACTTCTCGCTCCGCGGGCTTGCAAAATCTGTCGTCCGTGGTACACAATTAAATACTCCTACTTATCCTTCTACTTCTACTCTGACCACGTCCATCTACACGAGAGAACAACAATCAAGACAACCGTCCCGCAGACATCATTATTACCTCGTCACCCTTTAAATCACCTCCATCACGGCATCCGGTGTCAACTGCCTCGAGTACTAGAGTACACCCTCCTCCTACTCTTCACCGTGATCGAGCCTCTAGCCTCGGCCTGCCCGCAATTCCCGTGGGGCCGCCCTGTAATCTGACTTTGGCCGGTTGTCACCCGGCTACCCTCCGGCCTCCGGGGGGAGTTCATCAACCCCAACTTCGTTCGGAACCGAGCCAAAAGGCACGTTGCTTGATTGGACCTGCGTTGTCCCGCGACCCTGTGCGGTTATTCACGCCAGTCCATTTTCCTGATAAACCGGTGAATGGCCAAACTCCGCCCGAAGTGGCAGTAAATCCAATTAATTACTTCCTTTGACATCCTGCGAAAATAAGAAAACTGGTTGCATTGAGCCAGTCTGTTTGTTTGGGGAGTCGCAGCACGTGAATAGAGATCTCCCGCAACCACAACAATCATGTCGACCCAAGAGTTGGCCATTCCCCGGAAGTTATGGGAGCATCCAGACCCGCAGAGCACTTACATGTGGAAATTCAAACAGAGCGTGGAAAAACAATACGGTCTGAATCTTCCGGTGAGTCGCTCATCCATCGAACAACTGTCCGCGACAACTTGTAGAATGACCACTGATTTACCTTCCATCCATGACAGAACTATGATGCTTTGTACCAGTTTTCCATAAGCCGTCGCTCCGACTTCTGGCGCCATGTCCTCGAATTCTTCCCCATCGTCTACTCCGGCACCGTTCCCAACCCCGTTGTTGACGAAAATGCCCGGATGGACTCAATCCCCCGTTGGTTCCCTGGTTTAAAAGTCAACTTTGCACAGAATGTTCTCTTTTCTGGGGACAAGAACGGCAATCCCGTCATTGACGCAGCAAAGGCCGATGACAAGGTCGTCGTCACCGAGGTCCGAGAGGGCAGCTTCCTCGAGCCCATGGTGAACGTCACCTGGAAGCAACTGCGTCAACGCGTCGGTAGATTAAGCCAGGCCATGAGAGCACATGGTGTCAAAAAAGGTGACCGTATCGCTCTCGTAGCCAGCAACAGCATCGACACCCTGACCGTCTTCCTCGCCTCTGCCACTCTCGGTGCACTATTCAGTTCCAGCTCCACCGACATGGGTGTCAAGGGTATTCTCGACCGTCTGCTCCAGATCAAGCCGAGATTCTTGTTTATGGACGACGTCGCTGTCTACAATGGAAAGACAATCGATCTGCGACCCAAGATGGAGCAGATTGTCCAGGGAATGAGCGGCGTCAACGAGTTCCAGGGAGTCATTGGACAAGTGCGATTCCACACCTCACCCAAAGACCTCTCTTCGGTCCCGCGAACCACTACCTGGACCAACTTCCTCTCCAAAGCAAAGTCAGACGCCTTGGAATTTGAACCCACCGACTTTTCTGATCCTTTGCTGGTCGTATACTCCTCAGGTACCACTGGTCAGCCCAAGTGCATTGTGCACGCCATTGGGGGCGTCGTCATCACCGCTCACAAGGAAGGAGGCCTTCATCTCAACCTCGGACCTAACTCCACCAAATTACAATATACCACAACTGGCTGGATCATGTACCTGTCGAGTGTGCAAGCTCTGGTGCGTGGTTGTCGCGCTGTCCTCTATGACGGTAGTCCATTTGTGCCCGACCTCCAGAGTTTCATCAAGCTCGTCGGCCAGCAAAAGGTCACACATCTAGGGATCAGCCCGAGATTTCTACAAACCTTACAAACCGGTGGTGTCATTCCCAAGAAGGTCGCAGATCTCTCGAATCTGGTCAGCATGACAAGTACCGGCATGGTACTCTCCGACGCCTTGTTTGAGTGGGTCTATGATGAGGCCTTCCCACCACGAGTTCATCTCGAGAACATTTCCGGCGGCACGGATCTCGCCGCATGCTTCGGCGCCGGTGTCCCCATCTTGCCGCTGTATGTGGGTGGCTGTCAGGGCCGAGGGCTCGGCATCCCAGTCAAAGTTTATGACCAGACAATTGAAGGTGGGAGAGGCGTCAAGGGCGTAGAGCTGCCCGATGGCGAAGCTGGCGAATTGGTCTGCGATAAAGCCTTCCCCACCATGCCAATCACCTTCCTCGGAACCGATGGGCCAAAGAGATATTTTGACAGCTATTTTGCTCGCTTCGACAATGTTTGGACACACGGTGATTTCATTCAGATCCACCCCATCACAAAGCAGATCAACTTTCTCGGTCGGGCAGACGGAGTCCTCAACCCCAGTGGAGTTCGATTTGGATCCGCCGAGATCTATAGCATCATCGAGGCCAAGTTCGCCGACATCGTTAGTGATAGCATCTGTGTGGGACAGAGAAGACCGCAGGATAACGACGAGAGCGTTATGCTATTCTTGTTGATGAAACCAGGACACAAGTTCACAGGAAAGTTGGTGAGAGAGGTCAAAGATGCCATCAGGAAAGCGACCAGTCCCAGACACGTGCCCAAATATGTCTTTGAGACCAAAGAAATTCCGGTAAGTCAACTCTTTATGCACCCACCTCGTCGCGAGCAGAATCAAAAATTGACAAACTGCTGCTACAGACCACTGTCAACCTGAAAAAAGTCGAATTACCCGTCAAGCAGATTGTTTCGGGCAAAATCATCAAACCTTCGGGAACATTGTTGAACCCCCAAAGTCTGGACTTTTACTACCAATTTGCCAAGGATGAAAACTTGATTGATACGGCAGATCCCAAGGCGAAGCTATAGATGTCGTCGTGGTTGAGAAGGTGGTGGTGCTGGTAGTAGTGGTGATTGCAACGGCAGATTGCTGGCGATATCAGGTGATTTCACGTGATCTGGTAACAAAGGGTCGTGTATATAGATCAATCATGGCCAATCGCTATGACAGCTATCGAAAGATACAGATAGAGGAGGGATGTCGGCAATAGATTTGCGTCCTGGTAATGGTCGCATATACGGAATATAAGAAAACGAAGACTTGCCCAACAAATAATCACGACATTGCTGATGATGAAGCTGATCGAATATCTTATGGGAAGGGCCTGTGGGATTCCACCAATCAAAGACTGGCTCTTCATGTCTTGGCGGTCACGTTGATGCCCATTGCCCCTCATCTCCATTCTTCTCGACCGACAGGAAGCCTCCATCCCAGACTCAAAAGCCCTCAGCGTTGGTGCTACGACATGCTACGACATGCTACGACCAGTCGGCCATCCCAAGACCAGGCACAACAAGTGCAGGGAGTTAGAAAGTTGCGTCGAAACAGGTTTGAGTCCCAAGCTGGGCTGGCTGGCCCTTTTTACCACCGCAACTCGCAGGCCTCAGGGTCAACCAAAAACATTATGTGTAAGATGATGGCAGATAAGTTGAAGTCTCTTTCAGCCCGTGCTTGCGTCCATGATGCGGCCGGTCATCCATTGGAGACTGCAGGTCGTGGTTATAAAAAGCCAGAGCAGCTCGCGGGTGGTGAAACAAAACGGCCGCCAAGCCGGTGGTCACCTCCGACCCGAAATCCAGCGCGTCCTCCAGGTTTGTTGATTGCGGACTCTGTTACCATACATTATTTCCTCCTTCACAAGTTCACAACCCAGTCTGATCACCTTGACTGCAGGAGTGCTCCATTCTGATCTCTTTGTTCTGAATTATATCTTTTCTAAACTTATATCCTCATCATCGTCATTCACCACCTCTTCCCCAGTCTTTGCAGCCAAGTCTCCCCTCAGCCTTGCCTGCAGCTCCACAGTCTCACTGACGCGTGGGCCAATTTAACGCGTCCAAAAGACCCGACGGCACGACGCGTTAAGCCCCTCAGCCCAAACCCTCAAACCTCAACCTTTGGCCTTCGAACTCTGTCAAACTTGATCTGCCGGCCTGCGCCTCAGGTTGCGTCCCACGCCTCCTTGGACGCTGCTTCGTTTCCTAGTCCAATCGCTGCCACAGGAGTCAAGGAACACCTCGACTCAATCATCCACCTTACGCAGACCTGCAGTAGTTCTGCACGCTAGGACATTGCTTTGCACCACTCCAACGTCAAAGCTCGACTCTTTCCACTGGCTGCACCCATCCTTCTCCGTCACATCCAGGCCAGGATCTCGCGTTCAACTCTCCCACCAAGAACACGACCTCCACTGTGCCAGCTTGGTCATAGCACCTGACGGGTCTTTCCCATATACCCTTTTGCTTCTCCCTCTCTGTCCCTCTCAGTGTCGTGCTCGCCTTTCTCCTCATCACCCTCATCTAGTAAGCTACAACAGCTCCCTCCGCCTACCAGTATACAACCTGTTCCACTCGAGAGACGCATAAGACTCGTCTCTTCCACCAACACAGAATACCGCGTGCCAGACCATCCTACACAAAGGCTGAACAGAGACAGCCTCGATCGGCCATGGCAACCCTTGCCCCATCCAACACACATATGAGGCAACCATTTGGGGTGTTGAACGAGTCCAAAATTCGTAGTCTCCAAAGTGTAAAGAATAGACAGAATGGTTTGTATTCCCCATTTAACACCATTGTTCTTTGACTGACACGCCTACCACAGCCACCAGCTCAAGTCCAGCACCATCTCGCAAACGACGAGCCGTCTCTCCTGAAATCTCGGATTCTGAGAATGTCGATCCAAACTTGCTCGATTCCCTACACAAACGTAAACGGTCGACATTTGACGATGATGTCCATCTTCACAAGCCACGGTATTCCCTGAACATCACCTCGACAACTCCCAAACGCCATCTAGACAGCCCACTCATGTCCACACCACGGTTAAATACATCGATGAAGCCAACTAGTGCTCCCATGTCAGCGCCTCCCGCAGCTGGTCGATCGCCTACCCGAAGACGGCCCACAGGTCTGCTCAACGCAAAGAAACGCTTTGCTCAACCGTCCTTCGGCGCAACATCGTCCAGCCTTTCAATCTCAGCTGCTCTCAGCGGCACACTGGCGAGCCGCAAGACTCGCAACTCAGTTTCGACGAAAAAAACTCTAGACTCAAGACCAAACTCCTGGTTCTTTGATATCTTTGAAGAGACTGAACAAGTCCAGGACTATCGTATGAATGAGTGGACAATGACAGAGTCGGCCTATAGCTTAGACATATCCGACGATGAAAAGAAAGGCAAAGAGGGTCTCGACCGAGGCAAGGAAAATGTCGATCCAAATGAAAGCTCCGCTCCAGTCACTCGATCCATGGCTGCTGCTGCCGCTGCTGGGACAAACTCTCTTGCCAAGTCTCGAGCATCAAAGAGATCTCCGGACGACATGGTCGACGATCGCATCCCTCTTGGCGACCTGAACCCGACCGAGTATTATGGCGAAGGTCTCGACGCCACCTCGGTAGTTCTGGTTCATGACGACGCGGCTGTGTCCGAACCCGATGTGCCAAGATCGCTCGTCACGGCAGAGAAGGAGTTTACATTTTTAGCCGCAGTGACAACCGCCACGGCGTCTTCGTCAATGTCTCTGACGGCCCAGGCCATTGAGACCTTGGACACACCATCTATCAGCCAAATTCTCAGCTCCGCATCGCCGGAGGGAACCCTGTTGATGGCCAAGGTTGATGACAACATCCAACCCGCGGGTTCAGAGACCATGGACCATGCGGACATTGAGATCTGGGAGAGTGAAAGTGCAAAGGATGAAACCGAGCAGCCTGAGTGTGATCACCTTTGTGACCAGGGTTCAGTTGACCACGAGCAGGCGTTTGCTTTGGCGGAACTGTAAAAGGATCACCGCCCGGTCCACTTTGCGTTTCTGTGGGACCTTGCACAGCTTTTTACTGAAGGGACACCTCCTTTAAACCCATCACATCTTCCCTCCCCCCCGTCCTCAGCACACATGCATTCTTCTATCCACTCACCCATTCTTCGCTTCAGGCATTGCTCGTCCAAGTTGTCCTGTACGTCAATGCCAGTGCACAAAGGCTGGTTCCTGTAGAAGTGTGGAAACTTTGCAGACTAAGGGGCGTATGGAAGGAAGTCTTGAGTGTTTTCGTTTTCTTTGGGAGTGTGGAAATGCATCTATCTGTCTTCGGTGTGATTCTCAAAGTTAAGCTATGGTTGACCCTTGAATTGGATTGTTTGAAACAATGACTTGAGCTGAATACGGGAGTCGAATGGAATTCTATAGTATTCAGTCGTGGTTGATACAAATCAGTGTGGGGGTCTGGCATTGCCGCTTGATTGCTTGAGCCGCACCTGGTAACATAGATATAAATAAATATCTATCATTCTATCAATTAACTGTGTAACCTTGTAAGTGTGGAGCACTTTTGTATGTGTTTGACATGGCTACTTATTCGGGGGTGGATTTGAGTAGAGGGGAGAAATGCCTATATATTTCTCTATCGTTATATTATATTCACCTCCATCTTGATAATGACCCAGTCCTAGTGAAGTCTCTACGTTTGTGGGCCGTATTAGTTTACACCTCTATCTTTAGGTATGTATCTTGCTACAAAAGAGAATCTGAAAGGTTGACCGGTTTCAGTCGATGTTTCTCTATCGTCTCGATCCCAGTCCAGTACAAGAATACACAATTCAAAATTCAAGGCGAAACTTCAACCCCAGATGAACAAATACCAAGTACTAGTCTCTAGAGGGTAGGTGCACCATGACCAAAATACAACAGACAGCAGTAGAGATAAATGTCATTGTAAAACAAATCAACATGTCACGCAACAAAACCACCATCTAGATGTCTATCCTCTAGAAGAGAGCCATCTAATCTAATAGTCTTGTCACGCTGCTCTGCATCATGCCCCTATACCCCTATTTTGAGCCATGCGCACAAAAGGCTCTTGAATATCAAAGCAAAATTGAAAAAACCCCTCCTAGATTTCGGTCGTCTCGTGGTCAATCGATCCCGTTCATCCTGGTATCAATGGTTTCCATCCTTAGCCCCTCGTATGGTCGTCCGTGGCTTCTCTGAATGCTCTCCACTCTGCCATGTGTGCGCTGCGCTGCCCTTTGCTATTACATGCCAGTTGCTGTTGAACACGTTCTGTAGTCCTCAAAACACATTGGAGATAAGAGATGCAATATGTCGTCATGTGGAAAAAGGTCATGGTTATGACCAATGCCTCCAAAAGTCCCAGAAAGTCCCTCCTATGCCCCCATTTGACAATCATCGCTTGCCTCTCCATAAACTGCGCGCCGATCATTCATGACATGCTCAGCACTCCAGGGTCATCAAAGTCCTCTAATGTCGGTTGTCTGGCTCAACCAATCAATTCCCTGTCGTCGTGCGTCCGAGGCCTTATATTCAAATTGGAGCTGATACCGTTCCTTCCCTCCCCTGTGGTTGGGTCGTCTCGCCGAGATAGCTCATCAGGATCGAACTCCGCTCGCAGGCCACAATTCAACCCAGTCTTTGGAAGTCGCCATCATCGTAGCTTTCATCAGCCCACCCGCCAAGGGCTTGCAAGTATCGTTTCCTGGATAGTCCATAGACGATGTCTTGGTCCAGCCCATACGCCCCCTGCATGGGCTCGCTGAAGTAATATGCTCCTTGATGAGCAGATGCTCTCTGGACGGCTGCCAGAAGGTGTCGAAACCTCGTCTCGACCATGTTGCGCTGTTGTCGTGCACTGTCCCATTGGTCGACTAAGCGTTCCAACGCTTCTAGGCCACTTGAAATCAAAGGCATTACATCACCGTGGCCGTCCATGATGTCTTTGAGAGTGCCTGCCGCCGTGATGGTGTCCAAAGCTGCTGTGATGGCAAACCCGCTAAATGGACTCGACGCTGCCAGTCGAAACATGGCCATATCTTTCTTCTGGACGTTACTCAGTCTTTGGACCATTTCCAACAATTTCTTGGCATGGAAATATGCCCCCTTGACATGGGAAATGATACTTTGCCAATCCATATCTTCGTGACGCACATGTCGATTCATAAGCATCGCGGTGTAGTGGTACAATATGTGCAGTCCACTGACCGGGTCTGTTTTGTCCTTATTGTCGCGAAGGAGTCGTACATGTTCTCTTAAAGATTTGTCCCACGCACCCAACTTCATGGAGAATTCTTGGTGAAAACTTCTCAGTGCACTAATATATTGTACCGAAGAATTCGGCCTGGCTCGGCTGATGCGACTCAGCACTTCATTGAACATGCTAGCGATATCGACCAGGTAGCCGAGGAGGCCAACATTTGATAGTTCGGGCGAATTACCATGGCCAGATGAAGGACCATTGAATTGCAGAGGTGTTGGAGGCACGATGCCCGCTTCGAATGCCTGTACATCACAAGGAAGTCGAAGATGGATGTCGGAATGGTAAACAGCGGGTACAGATGCTGAGCAACACCCATTGAAACACTCCATGATGAAGGCCGACCAAAACGTTCGTCTGCGGCACTCTACCACGGCTGCTTTGTCCAACCCAAAAATCAAGTCTCCTTCTCGAGTAACGTTGGCCACGGTATCCTCCATGTTGTAACCGAGACCCATGCCGATTCGCAAAGCCGTCCCAGAATATTCAAATGCACGGTTGTATTGACCCTGGGAGAATGAGAGTAATGCCAAGATGAGCCTCGTGTGCAGCAGTTGCAGACTGAAGCGATCGCCATTATTCATGATTGCTTCGTGTACAATGCCTGTGAACAAGGCCGGATACGCTTCTGTTCCTCCTCTTCGCGCGAATGTGGCCCCAAATGCCAACATGGCGTAAATGAGCATGATATCGGCAGAAGACTTTGATTGACATGTCTTGAGCCAGTGTGTGAATTGCCTCTGGGGTATGGTGCAGTCTGTAAAGCAGTCGATATGGGTAAAGTACTTGTTGACATAGTAAAGTGACAGATCAGGATCGAGCTCGTACGGATCAAGGTGATAGAAGAATCGCGGGGTTGATGGTGGCGACACCAGTGAGGCTGAACTCGTGCCGTTGTCGGGGAGATTGCGGCCGCGGTTCAGCGTATCTGGTCGAGGGGGCGAGCCAAGTTTGCTTCTTTTAGCAGGAGGCAGACTTTCTGGGCTATCTCCGAGGTTACGTTCACCGACAGAAGTTGGAGATAGTAAACTCTCGACAGGCATGGACGATCTGTGCGCCTGTTTGGGGTATGCTTGATCCTGATGAATGTCGACTGACACTGTAGATGACCGAGTAGGGGACGGCACTTCGACCGCATGCTCTGCAGAAGGTGCTGTCATACTCGCCGCCATGTTGGACGCTTGCTTGGGTGTAGTACGTGTACTGGAAGTCAACATCAGCATCCAACCAACCGCACAGGTCAACGTGTCTACACTTACAGAGACTCGAATTTGCATTCCCGACCAAACTTTTGACATTGGGCGCATTTTGGCGTGCTCGGGTCACACTTGATCTTTTTCTCACGGCAGGTGTTACACGCCTGTCCTAGACGCTTGCGAGGTTTGCCAGCTTTCGTGGTGCCCCATTTCGGGTTAACAATTTCTCCACCGGGCATCTTGGGGCAGATCGAACCATCCTGGTAGACATAACATATTCCTTTGCCGGGAATCTCCTGCTCTGCAACATGGTGTCTTCCTGATTTACTGTCAGGCGGTGAGGTGGGCGTGTGATGTGAGAGATGGTGATTGTCATGAAATTGTGAGGTCGAGTGTGACCAAAATGCTGGCTGTGGGGGAAGGTTATGGGCTCGTTGATATTGTGTGACATGATCTGTTTGGTCCAACCTATTTGGAACAGATGCGTTGTAGTGACCATGTTGATGAACGTGATGGGGTAGCGCTGAGTTCCCTGGCTGTACGGGAATGGACGGGGCCAAGGGAGGCCTCAAATCCCCCGGTTGTGGTGCAGGACCCAGTGGTGCAAGGTCTAGGTTGGGACGTGAATCGGCGACGGCGAGAAAATTGCTGATGGAGGGAAGTCGAGTTGTACTGGATGTGTTTCCACCAAGGGTTTCCCTTGTGGGAGGTGAACGAGGCATCGAGCCAAGGGTGAACAGGCCTGGACCCGAAGAGACAGGATCGAAAGCTGGTGTATGTGGGCTCTGGGGCCAGTTGCTCCCTCGCGCGTCTAGATATGGTGCAACACTCGTGGCCATGGAGTCACAGATGGCGGATGTGAAAACGAATGTTGGCCTTGGTGTCGGTGTCCAGCCAGACCCAAGTGATATTGGTGAGAGGTCAGCGACGTCGAGGCAGCTGAGCCACCGTGAGATGTGAGTTTCTAGAGTCCGACTTGGAAGTGTTCGAAGTCGAGACCCGAAGGCTCACCTCACAGTGAGGAGAGGCTTGTGGGTGAATTCGCCACAAAACAGTTCACAGCCTCGCTGAATAGAGATCTGCTCCGTGAAACTTTGGAATTGCGCCGCATCGCAAGGCAGCAACGAAGTTATTAGACGGTATTGTTCTGATTCGGCGAAGATGGTGACAATTTTGTTTCGGGATCCTTGTGTCAGTGATACGCAACAACGTTGCACAAGATCGAGTGCCCTGGTAAGACGGGATATTCGCACCAGCTGGGTTCCAAATGGTATCAGTTGGGACACTATGGCTGAGTGGACAAAAGACTTTAGGATTGCGAAGTCAGGGACGGCGAGGCAAGATCTAGAGTTAGAGGAGGTCCTTGAGTGGGTGACTTCAAGACTGACTTTGGTGATGGGTAAGGGCGTTGAGAGGGGGGAGGGAAAAGGTAAAAAGCACCAGACGTGATCATGTAATAACGGTTTCGTCGAAGCGTAGAACGAATGGACAGGGCCATGGATGTTCAGTGGATGAGGGCCACTTGCCAGGTGCCAGCCATGTATTCCACTTCACACATGTAACGGGCACAGCAGATGAGGGACGGGAACTGGCCAACGACGGTGAAATGGCAAAATGGGTAGGCGAGAAGCCTGAACCTTGTTTTCATGCGCCTCTCATCGGCTCATAAGACAGCGGAGTCGGCGACTGACAGGATGGTGGTCAAGTAGGGGTGGGAATCCAGGTTGGCACGCAACGCGAGGATGAAAATGGACTGGTGCATCGGTGGAGGAGGTGGATGGACATGGGTGTGGTCTCGATACTGGAGGTGTCCGGAGCTTTTAGGGATTCGGAATGTGAAGATATGATTAGCATAGAATTCTCCAGGATTCAAGAGACTTGAGAGTGATCAAGGAGCACGAAAGCATGGGCGGCGTGGGCTGTGGAGTGTGGTTGCTTGCCCAGGGTGGCATGGGCACTTCGCCTTTGGCTTGACCCTTGAACAGAGAGTGCATGACAGTGCAGCCAGTCGGTGGCCAGGGGCTGATGTGCAAGCAAAGAGGTGGAGCTATCGCCTGAGCCAGGTTATGAAGGCGCCGACAAGTGGATTCAGAATAGCTCGATGATGGGCATGAGGATTTGTGGGGAAGAGGTGGACGTGGGAAGGGTGGACACAGATGACGGTGGACGCGAGTCTACAGGACGGGATGGAGGCCGACTAACCAGGTCGAGATTGACCAGCGGTCCCAAGTGGCACAACTAGGCTTGTGATGGCTGGGGGCGGCAGGCTTTTGCCGACGGAGTACGGAGGAGGGAGGATAGTCTTGACTTTTGTCTAAGAAAGCTAAAGGATCCCGGCTGCGAAACACTGCAGCACCAAGCGGTTAGTGATACAAAAGGGTCGAAGAAGAGAGGGAAAGGCACGCTCTCGCTAAAGGCAAACTAAGCAGGGGAGTCTTGACGCCAATGCGTACGCTACGCATATGCGTAGTATTTGTGCCCACGGTCTCCATAGCGGCATCTTGCCTTACTCCGTACAGGGGCGTGAAAATCTCTTCGAGTGGACCAGCTAGTGGGATGTCCCTGTGATCCTTGGAGGTTGGAGCTCACACTGGTGAGGATCCATGCCAACGATATGATGCTGATCAGGCTGAGTTTCCTGTCCAATCTGACCTCTTTAGTGGGATTCAACCCTCGAGAGAAACGACCAGTGGAGGGAGGCCGCACGGAAGCCACACAGTCCAGTGCTGGTCTGAGAGCGAGGGGTTGTCCTGGGTGTCAATGACGGGATAGCGCAACAGCCAAGCGAGGAGATCTGATCAGAGCGGACACTACGCGAGCGGCGGGCTCCTGGACGGTGACCACAGATCGATGCGATCAACGGAGACTCGCTAGACCGGCGCGGATGTTCTCAGCAGATGCTACTGTGTGTGTACGAGTAGAGTATAGATACTAATATAGTCTGGGGTGGAGATGGAAGGGGTTGGACGAGATGAAATGAGACGAAGTGCGGCCTGTGCTGAACATGGAGGAGGGGCAAAACTGTAAGAAACCCCTGAGGGTCAAGGATGGCATGTTCGTAGGTACGAGTAGTGGAGGAGGGGCTTATTCTGTTCCAGAGGTTAGTTGAGAATGACCACTGAACAGCTGACGCCAATGGACGATTTTACTTTGCAGGAGATGCTATCCAAGGGACGACCCTGGCCTTGAAGCAACCAAGAATTGGACTATTTTTTGGAGACGAGAAATTCAACAAGATGAGATACAGTAGGGACAGTACTTAGTAGGGATGGAGGGATGCAGGCGTGACAGGGTGTGCAGGTTGGCATGATCTCGCAAGACGGAAGATGGTCCGATCCAGAGACCAAGGCTACTAGAGTTATTAGTGTTGAGACTTGGGGTTCACTCAGACACTGAGCGCAGGACTCAGGCCGAGGGGGCCGATGGGGAGGCCGAGGGGCCAGCCCAGGCTACAGCCTTAGTGCCTTTAGGTGGAAAAGTGGAAAAGGAGGGGTACGGGGTAGGGGAGTTGGAGGTTAGGTTAGCTTACACCTAATACTTAAGTAATAGTAATGAGCAGTCAATTCAGTAGTAAGTTATGCTAGTGCTAGTTGGTGGTGGGTGTATAGGACCAATTCTTCAGCGACTTAGGTGACCACTACGACTTCTTACTAGGGGAGATTCAGGACGAGTCGAGCCAGCCGTTTCGGAGCAGGCCAACTGCCTTCTACAAGGGTGGCAGGAGCGGGAGCGTACTACGAAGTATGTACTTTACATGGGCTGGCAACTGTGCACGGAGCTATGGTTCAACGCCCCGTTTCAATCAAACGCAAATCATCAATCTCGTCAATGAGTTTGTTTGCAGGAACAAAACTCAATATCGACGTTGGTCGTCTGAAAATAGTCCGTGCAAACACTACTCAATTAGCTACACACTTCAGCCTCGCCTCCCTTATTGTTACGTTATTTTCAACTCCACTGTAGCTTGTAGAAAGTGCCCATAATCCAAGCAGCCAAGGGGAAATGAATGGGGTTTTGTGGGTTGAGGGGCAGTCGTCACATTGCCTCGGGGATCGTATGCAGCTCCACAGCCCGTCTTCATAAGAAACACCCATCTCTTGACTCTCCTTTCCAATTCAAGACAATTTAAACGCAGCACAAGGTCAAGTGATGTTCAAATCTCCTCTTTTACATGATTGCGAGCTACGACCCAAGTTCTGGGCATGCTAAACTGTTCGATCGCTTTAGCATTACCATGTGGTGTGCCTTGGCGCATTGTCCGACTGTCCGACTATCCGACATATTGACAGGTTGCTATCAAGACAATAGGCGCGGTGTACTGGATCTCGGTCGTCAGGCGAAGGTACTTGGCCTGGCCCAGTCTGGAGTGCATGGGGAGGCGAAGGACACCGGGGGGTGATCGCGTGCACTCTCTTGGTGCTCTGGACTAAGTAGACACTCCATACTGGACGTTGGACGTTGGACGTCACGGTGCTGCCGAGGGGCCCCTAAGAATTGTTACCCCGTTTGAAGTTAGTAACCCAGGTAGGTGCCTTTTCAGTGGTGGGCACTGTGACGGTACGCATCGCATCGTTGGGTAGGTACGCAGACACAGGCTCGCTCATAGCGACTTTGCCGACACTGAAATAAATTTGACAATCGCAATAAACAAACCATGTGTAAATAAGGTAGGCACCAATGGCATCGTGGCACCCACGCTCCCATCCACGCTCCTTAAAGAAGCGATACGCCTCAGAAAATAGACGGCATGCCCCAAGTCCAAACCAACCCCGGATGATGTTAGTGTCAGGCGATTTGGCACTCGCTGCACAAGGCCTTCTGCCAATCGCCAGCGTTCCATGCCCTGAACATTGTTTAAGACTGAGTAAAATGCCAACCGCCTGGATCGGCATCCGTCATCATCGTGACTTGTTATTACAGTGTTTAGATGTTTCGCATCTCATGTGGCTGTCATGACGCTGCTCGCTCTCAGGTGTTGTTGGTCAAAAACAACCGTCACCCCCTTTAGCAGTGCATGTAACTGGCTCCGAGCTGAAAACAGATCAAGTGCTTGTCACTAAGCCAAAAGCTGCAGAATCTTCGCTTGATGAGACCTAACCCGGCCCAGAAAAGCGCCCACAACATGAACATGGACATGGTCCTGGGAGGTTGGAATCATTCTTGTTGAGAGTTGTCACGAGTGTTGAATCGAAGAGCCACTCGGGGTTGACTAGGTGGTATCTACCAAACGGTTGAAAAGTTGGAGGTGTTGGCGAAGGTGCCAGTGGGTGCCTTAGTGGCAACATGGTTTCCACGAATAATTGTGCTCGGGCACCTGGTCTGTCTCAACGGTCTACGGATATACTCGTAGGCGTGCTTTAGGCGCAAGAGATGGCCCGAGAGCCCGTGGGGCGGCTGGCCCGGCACGAAAGGTAAAGGGCCACCTGCGAATCGCATTGCTGCTCGTCACACCTTGCCGTGGGCCGTTTGGTGCACTCCTCGTCTACGAGTCTGTCATGAGCCGAAACTGCGAGACCCTCCTTGGACAAACTCTCTCGCCTGCCTGCGGCAAACTGCGATAGTCTCGTCTCCTTCGGCACACTTTCTCCTCCACAAACTATCGTATGCATACGAGTAGTAGTTACTCGTACACCACTCTGACATGGTTCTAACCACAACAAAGGTAGCTACCGTCTCTGGTTACCCACCTGCAATGGACTCTCTCAGAGCTTCCTGCATCAAGTCAATCAGTCAGTCGATCACGCTGTTCCTCTACGCATAGCGGGTTTACGCAACGCCTACATTGGCCCGTCGTTTTACTCCCATATCTTACTGGGGCAGTCGGACTGTCCTCAGAGTCTCAATCTCGCCGTCATGGTCAGTCGATGTCCATTTCAACACCGACTGTGAACTGTAAATCAGGCGCTGACTTTCCACCCAGGCACGCCAGGCTGGAGACACACGTCTCAACTTGATTTCAGTGGAGGTCTCGCCCAAGCCCCATTTCCCTGCCTAGTTCGACCTACTTGAACAGCCACCTTCCACATCAAGACGACTATTTTAGGTCAAGTGTGACAGCGGAACCAATCTTGCCCACAACGCCCGCATGGCCGCGTGATTGAGAGGACGGATCGTCATTGCCATGAATCAGTGTGGATCCTGCGATGTGTGCATTGGCCTCGACACGAGCACTAGCCATCCGGCTGCAGTTGCAGCTGCAGCCCAGCCAGAGGGAGTCCTTGAAAATCTGGAGAGATCCAAGTGCTTTGAGGATTCCAAGATACCATGAACGCTTTGTCCTAAAGAAAGGTAGCCAGCACCGGCTGGTAGTAAGCCCACCGACAAGAGAGAGTCCTCCTTCTCTACGATGATATGCAGCGACAAAAAAGGGCCCAAGATTGCCAGACTTGCTTTACGTACAGTGATGCCCAGAGAGTGCTTAGAGGCTACATATCCATAGTTCCCATGAGCATCATACCACAGGAACTGGACGACTACTAGTCGACCTTTGCGACCTCAAGACAAGACCATGATGAGATGATTTACCCACGAATACTCTAGCCTGTTGCTCCACCAGAAAATCCGGTCGAAAATGAAGACTGAGATGATATTTCTCCAGCCAGGCGAGTGATGGAAGGCGGATATAATAGGCTGGCACGAGACACCTCAGCTTGGGAGGTTGCTCCTGCCCACCATGTAAGATCTCATCGCGCTCACCAAAGCTGGTAGACAAGCCGTACTTGTTCAACTCATCGCGCGATGCACTCTGTTGAAACTTTCTTTTGTTACGATCAACATTTGACTAACTAATTGCAGAATTCACATCCAGCTACACCACACCACCTGCCAGGGAGGATCGACCATTTGTGGCTTTGGTCAAGACGCATTCTGGGGTACAGCCGGCGAAGCACATGTGTACGGCGCTAGACGACCTCGACACTGACAGAGACGATCCAGTGTTTAGGGCGAAAGTTTGAGCACCGTGGCACCGACACTCAAAACGGCTTCGTGTCCACAGGGACCAACACTGCAGATTGTGCAGCGACGTAGGACAAAAAGATGGTAGCAGTGCAGCACGAACGCAAGAGATGGGTGATCCCGGAACTTGTGTTGTCCACCAGCAGTTGACACTGGTCCAATGAGAGGCGAATGGCAGACACTACTGTTTTTGCACAGGCCTCGACAGCAGTGGCGCCAGGGACACCAGATTTGACCTACTTTAATGGGGCACCTGGGGTCCATGGGCGACCTAAACCCCCTGTTCCAACCCCGGGTGGCTGAATCCGCACCACCCCTATCGTTCCAAGCCTCGCGTGGATTCAGCATCGAATGGGCCACTCGGCACTTGGAGGACGGTAGTGTGTCATCCGGAGCTGCAGCTAAGTGTTGGTCAACTCTGGGGCGTCACTAGACCTCTTATCGTAGGAACACTGTATCATTTCTGTTGGAAGAAGTCGCAGACGAGGTTTACGTGTGATTAACGATTAGCGAGAATGCCGCTTCTCTGAAGGCGAATTTTAGTACTTGACGTTGCCTCTGTAGTCTGGGCTCTCTGGTCTCTCTGGGCTGTCGAGACTCGAGAGGCAACGACTTGGCTCCGGCTGGAATTTAGTGCTGGTCGATGAGCATTGCATGCTGTGCCATGCAGTTCAATGGCTTGAAGATGGCCACTATTGACCAAGAGGGCAGTTGGAGGCAGAAGGGTAAAATAGAGAGATTTCTACAGGTGTACTCGTATGCGTTGGTGACTCCGGTCTGCATTCCACCATCGGCGATCAATCAAGGATTCCACGGACGTATTATGTACAAATTTTATTAATGATCCACGACCCCAAAGTAGCTGGTGTTACAGTACCTTGTAGCTATCCATCCCCGGACCGGCAGCATAAGCCTCCGCGAAATCCTCGATTATTTCTTCACCCCAGGATCAGTGCCACAGTGCCACAGGTGAGTAACTCATAGGCTGCCAGGGCACTAAATATCGGCAGGAACATGCGCGTGACGCTGAATGATGCAGGGAGGAAGTAAGGATTGCAAAGCTGCGCAGCGTGGCTACTGGGCTGACGGGCTTCAGCAAGACGATGAGTTGAAACTCGTCAATCATGATAATGAAGCGCCGTCGAGCTAGTTAGGTCTCAAGATGGCCGGGTTGGAGCATCCGTGGGCGAATTATCGACTCTCATTAGCCGGTCGACAACTTAGGGTGGTTGTCCCAGACAGTCGGATTGCACACCCTGCTGTGCTATGTTGTCGTGTCCTCATTCCAGCTGCAAGTGTGTCCACTTGTTGACCGTGGTCATCTGCCCCAAGACAGTCGGTCTTTTCAGTTTCATAAATTCCAAGCAAATATTATTGATCATGACAATGAATGTAGATCCTGTTACCTGGGCGTCTACGTAGAACGCATCGAGCGCGGCGGTTGATTGATGTTTTACGACCGTGGCTGCAAGGTGGAGGTGCCAGGTGCGTGTCAAGGGCGCTTAAACCCATCAGCTGGAAACAAAAGATCTGCTCAAGAGATTAATCAATATTGTACGAAAGAAAGAAGATCGCCGATGAGAATGCCGGCATCGTGGTTGAAAGACCGATATCTGTGAAGCGTGGAGCGTGCAGCGTGCCGGGGTTTGAACACGAGATGAGATGTGGCAGCGTGCAAGAGTACGAAGTACAGTAAACGCCACCACGAGCACAGATGCAGCAGTAGGGGTGGGGATGAACCTTTGTGTCATCCGTCTGTCATCAGGGAATGATACGAAGAGATGACCAGCTGTTCCAGCCAGCGACACTAATAAGAGACTGAAAGTGTATCGATCGTGGTGATTGAGACCAAACAGAGGACAAGGACCGAATTGGCCGGCGCACCTCTACCGTCCATGACAATGAATGTCCAGAAACAATTAGAATCCCAGGTTGAGACCCAATGGTATGGTAACAGATGATGCGACCTCGCTGTTGTACTACGACTGTTGCTGCTACTGTTACTGCTTCTGCATCATGCACAGACATGCCGAACCAGAGGGAGAACCACGCGAAGCTGGGATCTCCCTTGCCCATCACACCGGCACATGAGAAACCTGCATCATCAAGACAACATGTCCCGAGGATCTCTCGTCCCTCGTCCCTCGTATCCTCGGTGGTCTCAGTGACCCCTTGTGCCCCTCACCTGGTGCCTTTGTCTTGTTGGTTCCAGGATCAAATCTGTCATACTGCAACCATGCTGGATGCTGGATGCTGGACACGGGCCTGACCAGAAGAGAGGAACTAAATTCTTGCATCTCACCATCACTCGAATTGTGATTCCTTCTCCGTCACACCCTAATTGCCAAGTTGGTGTGTGCTTTGACCAAAAATGATATTCGTGCATATTTTGTTGAGCCATCGTCCCAGTCCAACAATAGCGAGGATCAGCCGGGTGATCAGCAATTTTCATTCGAACCAAACGACGCCTGATATAATGCCCAGGAGTGGATAGGTGGCTAGCGACAGTACCTTAGTCATGGTGTTATGCCAGGCATGGTCCTTAGGGGTGAGGGACCACCTATACCCCCGTATAACCGCAACTGCAACCCCAAGGCTTGGGAGATTGGAATGGCACGATGCTTACGACCTACGGGCATGGGCATTCGGTCACCTAGAGTCCCTGGAGCCCCCACATGGCAGGGTTCGAGGTGCCCAGGACTAGCGCCTAGGTCATTGTGATAAGGGCACAAGAGGAATCGAGTTGCCAATGTCCAACCCAGTTGACCGCTTAGCCACCCGTAAGCCCTCCAGCTCCTTTGTTTAAAACCACGAAATACGCACAGAATCATCATTCACAGCGGCCACGCCCGGCCCCTAGCGACAATGGCGCGACGAGTTCTCGGGTGCTCCCAGCCTTCACCCTCTGCACATATTAATCTATTTTCCTCTTTATCTAATGATTGACTAATTACTGTAGTCACGAGTCATGTCTCCCACCACACAGTCTTCTAGTCGCTTCAACTCTGATCCAAACGGCCATCAGTCTCACGATCAGTCTCACGATCAGTCTCACTCACTGACATCCTCATAACCAGGTCTTCCCGGTCCAGTATCCACGTCAGGCTGTCTGTCCGGATCGGCCTTGATTACTGTTTTGATTTTAGTCTTTTTTCCCCTTCATGGGTTTGATGAATCGAGTTGGTGATGATACTGATGCAGAGCCTTGCTCTCCACCACTACCATGTTCGAAAGACATCATGGCACCTCCAAGGCATTGTACACCCTTTTTGTCCCACAGGCCAATCCACGTTGTGGGTCATCCTCCTTGAACTGGCCCAACTGACCAGCCGTGCCACCTCTCTTACTCCGTACTACTACAGTAGCACAGTATGGAATACTGTAGAAGCTCCACCTCGTCTACAGAGTTCTCACTTGCGCTGGTTGGCCTGAACAGAGCCCCTGTGCTAACCAGTCGTGCCAGTCCCTTCGACACGCACATCCACACCTCAGTGAAATCATGCCAGCGTGGCCTCGAAACTCTATATTCTTCTGGTGTAGACTAATCGTAATTCAACGGCTTCGACTGCAGCCCGGCTCGGAGCCGGCACCATGGACATCCACTTCGCCGATCATCCGCATGGTGACGTCTCAGACTGGGTCTTGATATGGAATATCACGGATATGTCTCTGCATACGGAGTAGTATTCAGCCCGTCCACCATCACCACCTAATAGGGCCATAACTGGCAGACATATGGACGGAGACATTTTCCGCCGTGTCTCCTTTACCGAACGGTCCCGTACCAGTATGTCTCTTCACACGTGTGATGTTTCTCAGGTTAACGACTATCACATATTTCGATTTTCTATCCCATTCTCGGTAATGCAGATCCCCCAAGCCCTTTACATGGATATATGCTTTGCATGGATGTATGAGCCTTCCAGAATTTCAGGACCCCTCGTCGCCATGTCCTCTTACGCATGTACACAAGACTACCACGACTCCACACTCATCATACAGAGATACACAGCCCTCCAATCCAAGCCACATTCTCCTCGTGATAACCTCGGGTCTGAAAGCAAATCCACCAATGCTGCCGTCGCCCATGCTCAAGCGAATGCCGCTTTTAAAGAGGATTTGAGTTTGTTAAACAAAACTCTCCTCTCCATTGTCAAGGGTCATTGCGTCTCGGCCCTACTTATTCTGTGAAACTAAACTGCTGACCTTGATTGTCAACTCCACGTCCCTCTCAGGCTCCCACCTCTCAAAGTCGAAGCACCCCCCCTGGTCTCTAACGGGATCCATCTTGATAGGAAGTAGGCAGCAGCCGCTGCACATAATCAGCCGCCGGACTGGAGACCATTCGCCGCAGGACATTTAGTACGGCAATCGTACTGATATTTACTTTGACTTGGCTTCAGTGAATGCATATTACTCTTGTCGAAGCAAAAGACTGCGAAGGTCAGTAATGACGGCGCAGTGGAACTAAGAGTTGCAGGACAAGAGAACGATAATCACAATGCACAGGTCGAAGAAACAGTTGGAATTCGTTTGAGCTTGACTTGATTCTGATCCTTGATCTTGGGAGTGCTAGTCATCTATCGACAGAGAATGGTAGACGTAGGAATTCAATGAGCTTCACTTAAAAGTCAACCGTTCATTGCTGGCCCACACCGAGTCTTGCTGTTCGAGTGAGAGACACAACACATGTGCTGTCCTTTTTTTTGCGTCTATTCTCGCTCCAAGCATACTTCAGAGTTCATCTCAGATCCCACGCTCAAACCATGGTTAGTTTCTCATAACCGCACCACCGGGAGACTAAAAAATTGCATAGCTTTGTTTTGCATAAGACAGGAAATCAACGGCAGTCCGCTTAGTTCTCGTGCAGAGTCTCGAAGAACTTGTCGCTGACGGGAGTAGGCTTGCCCTGGTCGCCGAGGGATTTCTGGCCGAGCTTCTCCTTGGAGTACTGAGCGGCGTAGGGGTTGAGGCGGAGCAAGACCTGTCTGTTGCGCAGAGGATTCTTCTTCTGGACGGCGCCACGTTTGGTAGTAGCATAGCCCTTGGGCTCCTTGAGCACGGACTGAATTTCGGAGCTGTTGATCAGACGGGTGACATCGGCGTTGGACACGACGTTGGATGGCAGGAGGAAGTCCTTCTTGAGCGCCGATGGCTCTGTGGTCGATCCGTACACGCTGTCAAGCGCCTCAAACGCCGATGAAGTCCAGATCACAAATCGGCCCAGATGTCCACCGGGTGCGAGCTGCAGCAGGTTCAACGCATAAACTGACGAGGTCTCCACACCGGGAATGTTGCGGAATGCTCGAACCAGTTCGCGTCCATCTGTCTCTGGGTTGTACACCACCAATGGGCCTCGGCGTTGTCTGTATCGTCGTCCTCGCAGCTTACCCTTACCGGCTCGCAGCTTGCGCGACTTCTGAACCTTGACAATGTCTGGTCCTGCACCAACTGCCTTCAGCAGCGCAGCAGCAGCAGATGTCTTGACCAATGCAGCGCCTTCAAAGGCAGAGCTCGACACGACCAAGGGGACTTCGGGCACGGTGGAGATGCGGTGGCCACGGGCCAGAAGGAGAGCGGGGACCGCACTGGCGGCAATGGCAGATGCAGTAGCGAAACGTCTGTGGGAAAAGTAAGCCATGTCGGCAATCTGCGCTTTTCCCTGTTGGTTCATGGCAATATAACGTACCTCTGTCCGACATTGACCTTTTGATGCCACTTTCTCCAGACCTTGGTGGGTGCAAACATACGACCAGATCGACATTGGTTACCAAAGGCGGCTTGGCCAGCTCGATGGGTACCACCTCCAGAGACACGAGGGATACGGGCGACAGCACGACCTGGATAATTCAGCGCATTAGAGTTGCCTGTATCTATTTGCAGAATTCGACAGCAGTTCGCTTGTCCCACGTCTTTTGCTGCCTTGAATTTTCAAACGTACCAGTTCCCCAGGATTCTGCAGAAGTCTGTTCGCCGGCCTTTTCGCTCACGGCATATGGCTGTCTCTTGTTCTTTGCAAGGCCGGTATGGACGGTCCTGTAGGACGCAGTGTCAGTGATCTTGAGTCTTGAAGACCCTTTTAGGCTGTGTCTCATGGGGAGGCTTCGTACTGGACAATATCGGGTCGGATGGGTGCGCTGAAGACTGCAGGCAGAGTGTGAGTCTTGCCGCTGCTCTTGCCATCAGCGCCCAAGATACCAACGGTAGGACGGCTCGACATCTTGAATCGTAGAGGTGGAGGTAGAGGAGGGGGTCGTGGTGGTGTTGAAGATTGGGATGGGAAATGGTCGTCGATGAACGGAGCGAGTGTTCAATTCACAAAGTCGGGCTGCGGATTTTCCCAGTGTGTGTAATTCTTGGCACGAGCCTTGGCACAGTCGAAAATATTGTTGGTGCGGTTTTTGTCTGACAAATGAGTTACTATTTCGTCTAACAGAATGTCTTAGGTCCTCGGGCCAAATAATCGTGAGAATGCTGTCTGACAATTGGAATATCTTCTACCTACTAACCTAGCCAAACGGCCTTGATCCAAGAATCCAGGTGACTACAAATTGTAGCTAATATGAGGTTGATTGAGGAATTCTCGGTAGGTACTTATTGACAGAGAGCCTACGTACAAATTCACGCGAAGGCTTTCGGCACGTCTGGCCCAAGTCAAGGCCATCACACTGAGGCCGGTGGAAGGCACCTCACATACGAAGTTTGGCGAATTCTAGCACATTGGTTGGCTTTGATAGCAACATAAACTGCCGAGGAGTATGGTAATTTCATTTCTTCATGGTCCTAATTTCCTTTGTGATGGTCTTCCAAGTCATCATGCACTGTGACCCAGCTATTCTGGTTTACATGTTGATACCTTTCCGGACGGAATGTACCCTTCTACGAGATGTCTAGACATCAATTGCATCGACAACGACGCCCTTGACCCATTCATAGGACAAGAGCCTTGCGACTTCTTGGGCACATTCGTGACTAACAAGAGCGGAGACAAGATACAAGCTGGCATCAAGACCGCTGACGGCACCACTGCTAGTGATGACTCGCAATCCACCAAGCTTCATGCTCTTGCGGCGAGTGAGATTCTCAGGCTTGGCGTTGCTCTCCTTGCGGGCCAAACTACCCTTGCGAGCACTGGACTTTGTGCGGGACTTGCTGTAAACATAGGGATTCTCCTCTAGGTCCTCGCCAATGTCGAAACGGGCATTGTTGACCACGTAACGCTCTTCCATAACGTCGGTACGCTCTTGTGTATCATTTGCTGCAGCTTCTTGACAAGCGTGCTCGAGTTTGATGTAGTAGTCGGAGTGAGTGGTGGCTCCAAGACCTTGCAGGAGACCTTGGTTGGCAAGATACAATGCAGCAGTGTCAATGGCGAGAAGGGTTCTTTCGCGAGCCGGATTGGCTGTTTGCAGATCGGCAAACGCCTTGACGAGAGGGAGAGGAATTCCTCCGGCCTTGATGACTTTGGTAACATCCGGGCTTCCGGGGACGATGAGAACGTCGTAGTCCTCCAAGTTGTCTTTCGCCTCCTTAAGGGGAATTTGAGCACTGAGTTGAATGCCTTGGTGAGTCATGATTCGTTGGTCAGGGGCGGTGAAGGTGAGTTCGAATGCTTTGGTGTCTAAACGGAAGGGGAAAATGGTAAGCGATGTGAGTACAAGTCAGGACTGCACCCCACTTACCTGGGTTATTGATGTCATGTTGGGCATTGGTAAAGACCTGAACAGGACCAGCAAAATCGAGAAGACTCATGCCATCATAGAGAATGACGAGCGCGTTGATGGGCTCGTTGTCCGCGGTGTCCCGAATTGCACTCATCTTGACGGTGTTGAATTGGAGTAAGGTTTGGATGGGAAGCAAAGTGAGAATTAAAGCAGTTGGAGAAGCTTGAGGATGACTGAGGCTTGATGATTGGATAGCAGTCACAGGTTTGTAAACAGCAGACGTTGTTGGGCGAATTAAACTGTGTTTTCGATGTTGTTGATTCTGGTGGTGTGAGAAGCTGAGGGAGTCAGGTGAGGGAAATGGTTGGAATGTCGTCAAGCAGGCGCAAGTGCAGTCTGGCTTCTTTGTGATTCTGCGGAGACCCCACGATTTGGCCACTTCCCAAGAGGCACAAAACGTGGGGTAAAGAGCTTGCCAAGATACAAAGAGGGCAGGAGGGCAGTTACTGGTGAGGGGCTCTTTCCTCACACAAGAGCAGTGCAGATATCACTTCTTCTGTCGTGAGAATATGAGATTCACATTCATGTGCTGCATAGAGGGTCAATTCTATACCAACAACACCTTTGACACTTGTTCCTTGTAATTTTATCTCCGTCTGGGGTACACAAGGCCCTCAGTGAGCCCTTCTTATGTGCCTAACACTGCTTTGGCCTGTTTTAGCATGGAGATCAGGTAGTAACATGATGCACAGCCCCTCAAGTGGACGAGGGTATCCAAAATGCTCATAGTTCATTGCCCAATGTGCCTTATGCGCAATTGGCTTGTTCCTAGACTACAACGGCAGAGGTAAGTTTCCTTTAAATAGGGCAAATACTAAAGTCCTGTCCACATTCATCCTACAATTTGGACGCACCCGATGATACCTTCAACTTGCTAAATCATCAATAACCACGAAATAACCATTTCAACAAGGTGAGAGCGACAGTTAGTTACAGATTTCTGCCGAATTCAACATCAAGCGCGTGAATCAGCATTTCCAATAGCATTCTACATGCCGCCCATCTGTCTAACGCCACTATTCGCAAGACCCCTCAACAAAGTCGAGTTCTAATCGTTTGCACGGATGGAACAGAGAATGAACATGAAAAGGCAAACCCCGCTACCATACTTACAAGGATCCAGCGTTTCATCACAGCCGAAGATCACCTTAGAAGACCACAGGTTACTCATTACATCCAAGGTGTAGGTACAGATGGTGAGTCCTGGGTTGACCACAAATACAAAAACACCATTGGCTCTTTTAACGTCCCGTCAGTATTCTAGCCCCTACCACTCTGTAATATCAAACGTGAGAAGGAGTTCGATGACCAGGGTGGATGGTCCAGTCAGGGGCACCACGGTAGTGCTGTGGGAGGAGAGGATGAGCGTCGAGGAACCTCAGATCCTGTCCCAGGCACTGAACAGGTACGACGACATAATGACCCTGCTGATATGTGGAAAAGACTGGTTGATGAATTGGGCAGTCACAGGGGTTTCACGGTGCTCGAGAAAACTCGGCAGCTCTCAAAGGCACAGGCTGTTAATGCAAGAGGCATCGTGGTGCCGATATCAGACTCAGGTCTGAGAAACCTGATATAGGGTCTCTCCAGTGCTTGCCTGATTGCATTTCGATTTGTGTTCAGTTTGACTGTCTTGGTCCCTCACCGAATATTGATTTTGCGGCTGATCAATATGTATAGAAGCAGCCTCTCACCGGCCACAAGCCAGCCCGTTTCATACTTTGTAATGAGATTGGATAACATTATATCCAAGTCGTTTGTCTAGGATAACCCTGTGCCCTGGAGAAAGGTTTGACAGGACAGAATGCTAACAATGGAGTTTTGTACTGATTGGATCATAAGAGGGAGACGACCACATGTGCGACATCAGAAATATGGGCTTTGCGATCTCATCTGACGGAAGACCGCGTAATTGATATCAAATGGGTAGTATTTCTACAGAATTGACTTTCCAACTATTAACTACCGTGGAAGAGTCGTTATGAACTCCATACGAGGAACACATAAATATGAGGGACAATTCCGTTATGCCAGAGATTAAACAGTCCCGATTTCCTGCTCATGTTTTATTTCGTTCTCATTGCGCCCAGGTCGACAGCTCAGGTGAAAGAGTGCTGCTGTCAGGATGGTTAACCGGTTGATTGTGGTGGTTGGCGCAGGTCCTGGGCTTGGCCGTTCGACAGCTGTGACGTTTGCGACGCAAGGCTTTGCGGTTGCCTTGCTGTCGAGAAACACAAAGCGGCTAGAAAAGGACGTGACAATTGTCAAGGATTCCGCTCCAGGCGTCCAAGTCCAAGCGTATGCAGTTGACGTTGGAGACCACATCGCGCTAAAGGCGACATTGGAGCAAGTGAAACAAGATCTAGGTCCTCCTGAGGTGCTCTACTTCAATGCCGCAAGGGTTCAGCCTAGTCGGATTGGCCAAACGAATCCAGGATACATCCTCGAAGATTTCAAGGTGAGTATAGGTGATTAGGTATGCATCAACGGCTAGGGTTACTGAAGACGATATAGACGATGAATATTGGACTTTATGTGGCAGCGACATGGGCAATCCCTCATCTCACAGCTTTGGCCAAGAAGAGAGGAGCTCATCCATCGATCTTGATCGGAGGAAGTGTGATCATGGACCATCCCATTGGAGACTTCTTCAGTCTTTCGCTACAAAAAGCTGCGCAATATAACTTAGCTGGAAGTTTGGATCAACTGGTGGGGCCTCAGGGAGTTCACGTAGCGAGTGTCACAATTGGGGGGATACTTGACGATAGCGATCCTGACATGAACTCCGAATTGATCGCAAGCAAGCTGTGGGAGCTGTATCGCCAGGAGAAGCACGAGTGGCAGTTTGAGATCAAAGTTGGTGATATCATGGATCTGATCAAAAAGATGCAGATACGCCAGACATAAATTCATGAATTATGAGGTGTGCATTATATTTATTATTCCTGTGGGAAGGTACGGTTCATTGGTCACATCACACCTAGCAAGAGCGAGGCACCATGACATTATTAGGAAGGAGCTATGATAGTCTTGTGAATTGCAACTGCCAATTACCATGTTCGCTTTACGAACCAGACATGAGAATTCCCGTTGAGTTGTGAACTCTCTTCAACTGGCTACTACAGTACTCCGTAGTATGTACGGAGTAATCGAAAACTCGTCGTTGTCGGGACTCCACGTGGTTGCTGAGGAAGCCAAAGTCTTAGGTGGCGGGTTTGGTGGGGTTGGGCGCGAGGGGCCCAAGTGGCCCGGAGTAGAGCCGCACCTGAAAGAGTTATCTCCGGAGACGATTATTGGTGTCCTTCGGGGAAGACCCAGACCCTGGAAGCCCCCCCTTTGCCCCTAATGCTCCACGCCTAGACCAGTTTTTAGGCGGGAATGCGGGACGATAGCACCAAAGACCCACCTATCCCGTTCGTGCGGTGGAGTTGGCTCAGAAGTGACGCGATAACCTCATACAGCCAAGGTTCGATCAGCTTCGCCCACCATTTGTCTCCGTGGTAAATAGACGAGCCGCTTGCCTGGCCCAAATCCTGGCCCAAATTACCAACCTCTGTCTTCCCATCTTGGACCATTTTTTCCCTTCCAAGGAGAAATTTCACATTCGGGATTCTTCTTCTTGTTCTTGTTTGTCACTCGTGTGTTCTCATTGAGCCATTGACGACGACCACAGTTTCCTGCGCATTGACTATTGATTTGCGCAGTCTGGACTTATTCTGATAGTTGCTCACACCACCTTTAACCTCACAATGCATCTGTCTTCATGCCTGTTATTGCCTGCCCTGGCATCCATGGCTGCGGCGCAAGCTCAGATCCCATTCAAGGACAAGGCAACAGAGTGGGTCAATAAAGCAAAGGACCTCCTCCCTAACTCGGGGCCTATTGAGGCCGGCTCTGCATACATTGCGGGAACCATTGTCGAGCGCATTAATATCCGCAACTGGGAGAGGAAGCTGTCGCCTAAACTTGATACCGAGGAAGAATGGATGGTTTATGTTACTGGTGGTAACAAAAGCTGCTTCGGTCGATGCGGGCCCATCGATGCTGTGTGGAATGTGAGTTGATCACCAGTGGCTGGTCCATTCAAAAGAGAGTCCTCGGCTAATGATATCCAACAGCAATCTGTTCCTCTCTTGACTGCCCTTCCACAATCCTCCACTGCACCTCTTCACCTAGGACTCGTCAATTGTGAGAAAGACGCAGTGCTTTGCACCGCCTGGGCGACTGTCCTCCCGGCGATCTACCACTTCAGTGTCCCCAAGAAGACGGAGCCTCAAGCACCCGTTCCCCTCCACATCATCACCCTCAACCTGACATCCACTACCACCAACGACATTGTGACGATCCCCAGCACTACCAAGGCTCGATACTTGGACTACCCTGAGTACAATGGCGCATTGCATCCCTTTGACGGAATGCTGGCCAAGCTTGGACTCCATATTCCATTTGGCTATCTGCTGTGGGGATTCGGTACCATTCCCAGCTGGGCCATGATGTTGGTCATCAGCTACTTTTCAAGACGACTGATGAACAAACGAATCAACAATTCGCCTGACTACGGCGCTCCTGCTGCGCAAGCTCCTGCGGCACCAGCAGCCGCTCAGGCCCCGACGCCCGCCAGACCGGCTGGGGGTGCTCCCAAGTCCGGTGGCAAGAAGAGAAAATGAACACAGGAATAGTTGGATTAAGTCGTGGTGGGTCAAGAACAGGATATTGTGCAGTTGGATTTGAGAAAAAGGGATAAATTGTATGATACAGGTATTATAGTGTTCGGCCTTTTTCAGGTCGGCCAACTTAATCTGGTACATGAGCAATAACACAGTGATGCTGGAACAATGTGATGATCCGGACGTGAATGTCCTATGACATTTTCCCTTTGGAAAGTCGTTCCTATCCACCATTCCACAATACAACACAGCATACCACACAGCGACAAGCGATTTCATACATTTCTAATCGCCCTCTTGGGGAATGACAACGCCGACTTCAGAGTGCAACAAATCACTCAAGCCACTGCCATCTCTGAGATAAATCCACTTGCCACCTGCACCGTCATCGCCGGGGTCGACAGCGGAGCCTTCCTTCTCATGCTGGCCAGCACCGACCATGACCCAGTCGTATCGTTTGGGACCCGACTCCGGGCTCGACAGCCAGATCTGCTTGTTAGGCGGCTGTTTATTGATAACCCAGCTTCCTCGGTCCATGTGTGATATTGTGAGCACACCTGCCTGTGTAAATAATACAGAAATGATGTGAGCCAGGGTTGGTTAATACGAGTCGCGGGTAGAAAGACTTGTCCACTCATCGCACAGTCGAGCCGGTCGAAGCAAGGAAGAAACCACGTACCGAGAATTCTGTATCCCATCCTTCCTCCTGATTCTCACTCAACTCCTCTGCCGCATATACCAGCCTGTCTAAGTACTGATCCGCCAACTCGTGGTACTCGCCATCTGATAACTGTACTACACTCCCACTTTTGGAATGCCCTTCAGGTTTCGGCGGTGCTGGGTCTGAACTTGTTGGCTGTATGCCCTTGTACCGTGTCGTGCTTGTCGTTAAAGATCTTATCGTTGTTGATGATGATGCTGTGCTCTTTTGTGACAGTCTTGCACAGTGGTATGCACGGCTAAGAGGTAGAGGTATGGGGAGAGGGGTAAGAGGAGTTGATGGAGTTGAAGGAGTCGAGAGGACGACGCGGCGGCGCAGAGAGGAGGCGCGAGGACATATTCGAGAGCAGTTGACGGTACCAGTTGTCTGGGCGAGGAACCGTGTGGCTTTCATGGCGGACTCCAACCAGTATTGGGTTTGTTAGAGGTTTTCTTCAGGACAACTATGAAAGCTGTGGGTTCTCAGTCAACGAGTAATGAGAGGGGCTTTTCAAGCTCAATGCAGCAACCCCAGATACAGGAAATCCGAGCAGCTAGCAACAGATCGAATGCGAATGCGGATGCGGGATCCTAGTTTGGGTTGTAGGCGGTGAGATGCGCAGTCTGATAGACAAAATCTAAGTAATGTTGTGGTTCTTTTTTTGTCATCGTTGGGGTGGACTGACCACAGACATGACGACAATTCCACTTACAGTCAGTCATTCGACGTTCACGCTTCCCATGACATATCAGTTTTCTCAGCTCAATCATTGGTTCCTATCTACTTAGTCTATTATCGTAGCAGATTCATCTTGTAGCTGGATTTCAAGCAATGGTACCTGAACTGTCGTCTTTCCTCTGCGCCATAGAAAAGGATATACAAATTAACATACGTTCTCAGCGCCTCGTATGTAATACATCATCTTTGATCATATAGCGCAAGTGCATGCACCTTGTTACAGCCGTTAATTCAGTCAAGCAACCATTTCTACTGTTGTAGAGAAAGGTATGATGAGAGCCCCAGGACGAAAGTGACGTTTAGCCCAATCCTAGTCCTCGACACGCCTCTTGACTCCCTAGCCCCCCTCTTCATCTTCCAATACACAGCTCGTGCTGCACACATCAAATCCGGTAGTAATATATGGTCGTGCTCGCTTTGATTGGTTGTTAGTGTAGAACCATGGAGCAGTGTCGAGTATCGACGTGTCGAAACTGAGCCACAAGACCATTGATCGGCAGAGCTGTCATGAGTGGGCTATATCGAACGTCGATGGGAGAATTATCGACTTCAAACCTTCAAACGCTTTCGTAATGTTTGCAGCTCCACTACGTGCATCGAGGTCGTAAGACTCGTATTGGGGTGTCTCTGTCGAGGTTCAAGCTTCGCAACGAGGCCGACCGGATTCGGACTAGGTATAACGGAGACATCCGTGCAGAATTGCATGGTGCGAGGGCATTTCAGCCTCTTGCGAAAAAATAGAGGCAGGGTTTGCTTGTTCCCATATCCAATTCTCAACTTATATCGCTCCGTGTGCAGCTCTCTTCTCGACGTAATATCCCTTGTCTGGGACCCTCTCTCTATTGATTTCTTCCTTGGTGAGGGCCTTGTCAACTTCAGACACGGCAACCAACTCTTTGACCTTCATGATCTGACCAGCAACAGACAAAGACACTGGGTGATAGACTGTAGCCATTCTCTTGCGCAGGCCGAGAGCTTTGAGGACATTGGTAGATTTGGCAGGTAGCCCAATGGCAGACCTGATGAGGGTGATTCGAAAATATGTCATGTTGTCGAAGTGGACGATCAAGGATAGGAGTTGCAGAGGATATTCGAGCGAAGCATGTAGAGCATAGAGAAGACGATGTGTTGTTGGTGTTGGTTGTGAGTTGAAGCTCTGGAAAATGAGATCAAATCTTCTAAAGTCGAATGGGGGAATTTTGAGAGTCTTAGAGCGGCGTCTTCCAATTTGAGAATTGTGCCAGGTTGGAACGTTGCCGCTTTTACACAATAACCTCCCATATCACGGTCTCCATTCCCTATCAACCTGACCTCCTCACCGTTTCCCATCGATGATTTGACGGTAGTTATTGCCCTGCTCTATGGTTTGAATGTCCTGAAGATGATGAGCGGGAGAGCTGATGAGGCTTGGTACCCCTCTTCCGTCGACTCGCGAATGAGTATCCCCATAAGTTGTGGTAAGGCCCAAGTCTCTCCAGGACGCCTGACTGTTCGCTCAGACATCATCAAATGAAGCCCCTGGGCCCTCTGTCATGGCGCCAATAGCCAGGTCTCTGTCCTGGTGCTCCAAGACTCAGGCGTTCTAACCTACAATGAGACACATATAAAGGATTATACGCAGCGGGATTAGGCTTTGGACTATCTCCAACCACTTCTTCACGGAAAAGGTATTTCTCAGTTAAGCTTGACAGCAATAGCTATCGCCATGGGTCTCTACACGATACTCCCCGACGAGCTCCATGACGTGGATATCGTTGTTGCTGGAGGTAGGTAAGGTTAGTGTCGGTTGGTGGATGTCCAACTAAAAAGGTCTATCTAGGAGGAGCTGCTGGCTGTGTCATTGCTTCGAGGCTAGCGGATGCTGATACGAACTGCACCATTCTCCTAATCGAAGCTGGCTCTGACAATCAGGACCAGCCAGCAATCACCCGCCCAGCCTTGTATAAAGGCAACTTCATGCCTGATAGCAAAAGCATCCAGATCTTCATGCCCGTGCCGGAAGAGCAATTGAGCGGGAGACGTGCAATGGTGATGGCAGCTAGCGTCCTTGGAGGTGGATCATCTATCAATGGGGCAATCTACAATCGGGCCCAGCGAGACGATTTTGATTCTTGGAAAACTCCAGGTTGGTCAGCTGATGACCTCCTCCCGTATCTGACCAAGGTTGGCCTTGCCCAGCCTGCAATACATGCAGCCACACAGAGCTGACTGACAATAACCGGTGCTAGCTCGAGAAATATGAAGGCCAGGGCGATTCAGAATGTCACGGTACAAGCGGGCCTATCAATGTCTCCAGTGGAACATACGCCTCGAATGACATGGCAGATGACTTTACGTCCGCCATGAACGAGATAGGATACCCAACTGTTCGAGACTTGCAGGACTTTGTTATGGCCAATGGAGTTTCGCGTTCTTACAGCTTCATATCCTCACAAACCGGTCGGAGACAAGATAGCGCGACGACGTATTTGCACCCTCGCCTCAAGGACGGCAAACATCCGAACCTCCACGTGCTGGTTGAATCACAGATTGTCCGCATCCTCCTTGATGAAGACAAACGTGCTAAAGCGGTAGTATACAGGCCAAACCCTCAACATCACGGGGACGAAGCAGCGCAGGTTAGACATACCGTCAATGCTCGGAAACTTGTAGTACTGTCAGCTGGAACTCATACCTCGCCATCCATACTTGAACGATCTGGGGTTGGGAGCAGCGAGATTCTCAAAAAGGCAGGGGTGCCCCTGGTCCATCATCTACCAGGTGTGGGACACGACTATCAAGACCACCAGATGAGCGTCTATACCTACAAGTCAAATATGAGGCCTGAGGGAACTCTTGAAAGTCTGGTGGACGGCACGAGAGATGTTGAGCAGCTGTTGTTGGACGATGACAACTTCTTGGGCTGGAATGGCATCGATGCGGGGGCCAAGTTTCGACCTACCGAGTCGGAAGTTGGTACCTTGAGTCGCGAGTTCCGGGATGCGTGGGATAGGGATTTCCGGAATGCTCCCACTCGACCGCTGGCAGTGATGTTTGCGGTTAACGGGTAAGTGCGTTGAGAAAAAGGCGGCGAGGGGGAAAAGAGGCGAACAGTTGACGTTTGTGGACTCATCTAACCTCTGTGTCACAGAATCCTCGGCGATCCCAGTCCATTCCTGCCCGGCCAATTCTTCTCTTTGGCCTGTTTCACTTCATATCCATACTCCAGGGGTCACTTGGTAAGTCGACGATGATGTCGGACACGCCGTTGTAATGGTTAACATAGGTCATATAGCATATTACCGGCCCGGAGATTGGAGACCCTCTGGACTTTCGGACTGGATATTTGTCTGACCCAAACGACATTGATTTAGCCACGCAAGTCTGGCTGTACAAGACGCAACGTCAAGTGGCACAAAACATGCGGTTCTACAAGGGCGAAAGTCATTTACACCCTCAATTCTCACCTGAATCGACTGCTGCAAGGCTTACGGAGGCCTCCATGGACAAGGCAAAATTACCAATCGAGTACTCTCGTGAAGACGATGAGGCCATCAAAAAGTTCATTCGTCAGAATGTGGGTACGACTTTCCACTCCATCGCCACCTGCAAAATGGCCCCAGTTGAACAGATGGGCGTTGTGGACAAAGACCTGAATGTCCACGGCGTCCAGGGGTTGAAGGTGGCTGATTTGAGTATTGCCCCAGAGAATGTTTCGGGCAATACTATGAGCACTGCTGTCATGATTGGCGAGAAGTCGGCAGATATTATCATCAAAGAGTTCAAGCTTGGGTTAGCTTGAGAGATGAGGAAATGTATAAGTTTATGGCGTTCGATGTCGACAGATGGATAGTGAATTCCGTATACGAGTATAACATGGATGCTGAGAAACGCATTAGCCGTGACGTGCTTGAGACAAGAGAGGACAGGGGATTGTTTCAGGCGGTGACAAAGCCTAGAGGCCTCCAGTTGAGGTGGTGGTGTTATAGGGGGTATAGGCGGCATATTGGGTTTCTCAGTCCTTATATAAGTGTCTATTTAGGTACCGGCTTAAGCAGTGCCGCCCCTTGGCCCTGGGATCCCACCCAGCCTTTCCTGCCGTGCCACGGTTTGCCCCCATCGCGCCTGCCTTCCATACCCACACAAGACACGTGCCACAACTGATGAATTCAAGTCAATCCTCCCTCGACTCTCTGTCATCACCACCTCAATTACCACCGCCGTTCTCTCTTTCCAACAGATGGAATCTCAATTTGCCACGAACGTGACGACAGACTTGACTGAATTCCCCATCATGAAATAATCCACCCAACCACCGAAAGGCGCGACTGCCAAAGCCCTCTCTACTCTTTTGGGATAGAACAACCCTCTCCACCCCAAAATGGCGGCCACTGCCACTGCGAATAGTGTGGGCATGCCCCGGATTCAAGATGTCCTGCGTACTCCAGAAGACCTGGAGAAGATCATTAGTCTCAAGGCAGAGATCAACCGGAAAAAGGCCGATGTGGACGCAAGACTGCGCGAGGGTCTGAAAGAGCATTTGGATACAACCCAGAATGGCATGTCAACCCTCGCTGAAGGCCAGAAACTCGTTGGCCAGATCAAGGATGAGATGAAGAGCATTCATGACTTATGCGAGCAAGCCCAAGCTATTCGCAAGAACTTCCCCCAGCTCGACTACCTGGCACGAGTACACCGAAACTTCGAGGCCACTCGGGCCATGCAAGCCGGTCTAGACACTTTTGAACGAGACTGCTCTTATGTCCAGCGACTCCTAGAGGATGACGAGACTGATCTCGAAAACCAGCCCAACCTACTAGAGGCCCACATGCGCCTGACCAAGCTCCGTGATTTTCGAGACGAGGCCCTTGATCAAATTCGAAGAGCAAAGGACAATAGTTTGGAGCAAACCCTTCTCGACTGGTTCCAACAGTTGGACAATGTCATTGACCTTTTTGACGAACACATCGGCCAAATATGCCTGAGCCTTATTGAACTCGTCCAGAGAGACAACAACGGCATCATCGTCCGCCTTGCCATTGTCATTGCCTCGGAAGAAAAGAATGACCAGCGTGTCCGAGCTCTACAGGACGCTCAGAAGGACCACCAAGACCTTGTCAGCAAGTTCACATCCTTTACCATTGGACCTAAAATCATCCGTGGATACAAGGAGAAGTTCATCCAAGCCATCCAAGCTGTCGCTCAAGCAAAATTTGAACAAACCCGACAAGACTTTCAGGATGACCCAAGCAAACTCGATAAACACACTAAATGGTATTTCAACGACTTGTTTGTCTCCAAGCAAGGCATGCAGAACCTCTTTCCCAAAAAGTGGAAAATCTACGACACCTATGTCAACATATACCACCAGCAGATGCATGACTTCTTGGTCGCATTTGTTGACGACCAGAATCTTCGCTCACCCATGATGTTGGCGATCGTCCATTATATCGACCTCTACTACAAGAAGATGAAGAAACTCGACTATTCCTCAAATCAACTCAAACCCCATGTACTCGACTCTCGTCAGGGCGACCTGATCCGTGATTACAGAAATCTCATCACCAAAGCTCTCAATTCTTGGATCGATCGAATGTATGTTACCGATCGCAAGAACTTTTCTTCTCGCGCCACCGATGCCATTGAACAGGACCCCGACGGCCACTTTAGGACCAAAACCCTTGGCGACATGTGGCGCATGTTGCACGAACAAGCTGTTGCAGCCGGTGACTCTGAACGTGAGGATGTTGTTGAAGGCGTTATGAGCGCCATGTTCAGCGCCCTCAAGTCTCGACAGCAGCAATGGGAGAGAGCAGTCGACGAGGAAGTCGATCGATACAAGAACCCGACTCCAGATCTGCTGGAAACCCTGCAGCCACTACAAGACTGGCTTCTGGCAATCGCGAATGATCAGATTGCCTGCGTCGACGATGCAGCTGGGGATATTATTGACGACCCAACCGCACAAAAGGGCTATTTGACCCGCTTCCGAGAAGACTTCACCAAGCTGCCGACGCCCCCATCGGCCAAATTCATGTCCACAAATGGAACCACTGAGCTAGATGCTCTTCGTGACGGCTATGTCGATCTGGCCACTCACTGCATCAATCGCTTTGTCCAATTGATTTTCAAAGTCGACTTTCGCACCATTATCGGCGAGCTCTTTGTACCCGGCAAGTGGTATGAACAGACAGCATTGCAGAGGATTGTCACCACCTTTGACGATTACATTTCCGACTACAATACAGTTCTTCACCCTTCACTCTTGGACATTCTGATCGAAGAACTCTCCGATACTCTGTTGGTGTCATATTTGACCGCCATCCGAAACAATCGTGGCGTCAAGTTCCGAAGAGGTGAACCTTTCCCAGCCAAGTTTAGAGACGACGTTCTTGCAGCATTCGCCTTCTTTGAAAAATACCCCGATGCTTTCAATGATACCATCAAACCCAAGTGGAAGGCTGTCAATTTTACTGTCCAGCTGCTGGAGGTTGACAAGATGGAGGTTGTTGGAGTCTATGAGAGGTTCAAGGCTGAATTCTGGGATCTCCAACTGTCCTGGGTGGAAGGTCTGCTCAAAACTCGAGATGACTGGGATCGTGGAATGATCACTGCCGTCAAACGAGCTGCCGCAAGCACATACACCGAAAGAGGCATGGACACCATTATGGGCAAAGTCAAGTAATTTGGCCTTGAGGCGACTAAAATTGTCGTCTAACAACCATGTCACCTACGAAGCGAGTCCGAGAGGTTTTCTCAAGCAGGTCAAAGCCAAACATGTTGCGGAAGTTCGAGTCCTGGAAGCTTGTGCCATGCTCCAGTGGTTGTTACCACTCTCTGAAAGGACCGAGCATGACCTCAACACGGCAAACTGCTGTGCTGCATCCCATCTGATCACTTGCTCGATAAACTGGGCACGTTGTTCAGAGGGACGACTGAGCCTGAGCACCACATTCGGCTTGCCTGTATCGAGCCAGGGTGACACGTGGTTGACCAGTATCATTGCACCCGGCCTCTGTCAACTGAGTCTTCAGGTACACAAGACTAAACTTGCATAGCCTTACATTCTTTCGACCCTGAGCTTGAGTTCATGTTGAACGATGTTGGAACGTCCTGTGATATTGTTACCTAGTCTTCAATGAATACGGGGATCTGAAGTTCGGTCTCTCACCCCTGTACGCACGGCAGTTCTTCATCAATACTGTGATGAACATGCTACATTGACGTTGATCTGAACTTCACCCAGTCCGCACATACTGACCCATTTTGTCTTCGTTCGTCTGAAGCATTCCTATCGCCTTGCGAATCATGAGGGCTTCGATCATGACTACTCGAAGGCGCTAAGGCGTGCACTGCCAGGGCACCAGGGATACGTAGTCTGCAGTGGTATAAAATCCTCAGATATTTCAGATATTCCAGATATTCATCGATTTACTTGTCCGTCATCTTGAGACCACCACGACTTGAATCCTCAAAGATCTCGAGCCAAGGTCCATCCTCGACCTAGATACCACTCACGTCCTTTCGACCCACTAAGCTATCACAAGTCGTCGCTGGCTTAAAGGAAACATGGATCCTGTTCTCCAAAGAAGAGAAGCGCAACATGACCATCTAGATTATCGGTATCGTGCGATACAAATTTGAGCTTGAAGCCTTGAACGGGTCCATCATCGCGTTGGCAGTCAACAAGTTCGACTACCAAGACTATATGAACAACACCCCTTCCAACACATTTGAGCGCATTGGGCTATTGACTAGCCTAAATCAAGCCTTTGAGTGTGTGGATTTAGATTTTGATCGCCCCCCTCATCAAACGATGGCCAACAAAAGTGGTCTTGACCTGTGCCGTGCTTGTCTGTGATTTCATGACAGCAATCCTGTTGAGGTTGACGACGATCCTCTCGATTCTGATGTTGCTTCCTTGTCAGATCGGAGGTATGTTGGCCATTAGCTCTCCACTGTGACTTCATCGTAACCAGACCGTTGCTGTGAAATGAAAAAGTGAGCCATACTTTTATAGACGACGTCCATGTTCCTGCTCGACCGACGAATATATCTAGAGAGAGGGAGCTGGAATTGATCAGGTCACGAGTGCACATGGCACTGTAAAGAAGTCATCCCTTACTAGTTCAATGCTTAATGATCAGAGAAATCTTATTACGTCTTTCTCTCTACAACATTGTGGATTAGTGAAGAAGAATAGATGAGGAAGAAGTCAAGGGGGAAAAGAGGATCCCAGAGTTCATGTAAGATATAGAAAAGTTATTTTAACAACACTATGCCAAAATGCAAAACACTAATGCCCGCTCCATTACTCAATGCCGAATGCCCATGCCAATGCCGAGGCTAAGAGTCCCATATGATGGTGACTGGGACTTATATACACGAGAAGTCATGTTGGATTGACCATCGAAGACGAGAATGCGCACCCTTCGGAGTTGAAGAACACTGAAGAAGGTTCATTTCCCACAGGGAAGTGGCCAGTTAGGTGTACTGGTCTCATCGTCCTTGGCTGATCCTGAATGTCCTGTCATTGACCTTCTGATCGATCGACCACAAGAGTCCTCCGCGCAGAACCGGTGCCCCTTTCATGGACCTGAAATAGACATCACATCTCCAGTCTAAAACATGACACCGAAAATTGCCACAGCTACACATCCCGCAGCGCCCGTAACGAACGTAGGCAATTTCATTTGCGTGGCACCGCCAGTGAAGGTGGCGATGGCAGGTCTGACGTCCGTGGCGCTCGTTGGGGACACTGGTTTAGGAGCTGGAGTATCGCTAGCGGGTGCTACGCGAGTCGACGCTGCGATTGGTACCACGGGCACGACAGTTTCAGTTGTTGCCACAACATTGACACTGGACGACTCCCAATCCAGCCAAGGGTAGGTAGAATCAGCAGTGGTTGAGGTCTCTGTCGGAGCAACAGGGATACTTGAGGTAGTGGTCACTTCCCAGTCAATCCAGGGGTAGGATGTTTCCGTTGAAGTTGGGACAGGGTCGATAATTGAGCTTGTTGATTCCCAATCCCACCATGGATAGTCGTCAGTGGACGTTTGGATGGGATCGACGGGCTTGCTGGAAGTTGTGGTCGCCCAATCTTCCCATGGATCAACTGAGGTGGAGGTTGGCACAGGCTCGACAGGCTTGGTTGATGTAGTCGTCGCCACCCAGTCGCTCCAGGGATCAAGGCTCGAGGTCGAGGTTTCGATAGGTCCGGCTGTGTTGCTAGTGGTCGCGGATGGCCAATCGGACCAGTTATAATCATCAGTCGTGGTTGTCTCAATGGGGTCGACAGGTCGCGTGGTAGTTGTTTCCCAATCTTCCCAGGGTTCCAATGGTTCAGACGAAGTTGTGACGGGTCCTACATGGGGAGATGTAGTTGTTGAGCTGGAATCTGGAAGAGGTGGGTGGGTAGATGAGGTTGTGGGCAGAACATGGGTGGTTGTGGTGGTCGACTCATCAATAGGCCCAACAGTGCGACTAGTTGTTGTAGTGGTCGTGGTCGTGGTCGTGGTGACTGGCGGATGAGGGAAATCATGCGTGGTAGTTGTTGTCGACGCTGGTGCTTCAGTCGTAGTGGTGGTAGTAGTAGTAGTATCGATAGGTCCGACAGCATGTGTTGTCGTGGTCGTTGTGGTGGGCTCAGTTGTGGTTGGGGTTGTGGTTGTCGGAGGAGTAGTGGTAGTGGTAGTGGTAGTGGTGGTGGTGGAGGTGGTCGTAGGAGTGGTTGTCGTAGTGGTGGTGGTGGTTGTAGGAATGGTTGTGGTTGTCGTAGTGGTGGTGGTGGTTGTAGGAATGGTTGTGGTTGTGGTTGTGGTTGGTGGGGTAGTGGTTGTAGTGGTAGTGGTAGTCGTCGTCGTGGTTGTAGTGGTGGTAGTCGTTGTGGTGGTGGTTGTGGTGTGGACTGGTGCGCACGACAGCTTGCCCAAAGCAGCCTTGATGTTATCGGCAAATGTCAGGCCATTCGCTTGGATGTTTCTTGCCGACTCGGTGGCTTCCCATAACATGACGCCCCCAAAAATGTCTTGATATCTAGTATTGCAACCAAATTCTTCAATCAGAGATGTCGCTTCCTGAAGGTTCAAGTAGTAACCAGGAGACGCAGCAGCGGGCGACGCGGGTAATCCGAGGAAGAGCTTCACATTGGGATTCTTGGAGTTTTGCTTCAACCAGCTGGCCCACCCAAAAGTAACATCGGTGTTTGTGTTCAAGCTACCAGAGCCGAACAGAGATCGGGCTGAGCATTGTTCAGTGTTGTAGTACTGGACCCAGACATAGTCGATGACGGAATTGGTGATGGCATCGGCCAAATGGACATCAGGGACGATGCACTGAGGTGCTGCTGAGACGATGATAGGCTTGTTAGAAAGAGCAGCAAGTCGTCTCAGTTCATTGACTAAATCCGCGTATCCAAAGCCACCTTGTCCAAAGGATTCAATGTCCAAATCGAAACCGTCGACAACAACGCCAGTGCCAAAGGGTCTGGGGAACAGGGTTTGAGTAGGATCCTGGAGAGGGCCAAATGAACCCCACAAGAACTGTGCGAAATCAATGGCGGATTGTTTGCTTGCGATAAAGTTACCAGGCGAATCGCCACCAAGGGAAGCCACAATCTTTTTTCCTAGTGCTTGACATTTGGGGATGTCTTCTTCGATCTGCCAGCACGTTGTGAACATGGTGGTTTGTGTTCCATCGGGAGCGACCCAATAAGGGGCACCGCAAGCATTTGCGTAGTTTGTACCAGGATATCTTTTGGGCTGTCCATTCGATCCGAGCTCATCGGGAAATGTGTTGACGAAGCCGATAGGGATAACGTCCAAGGTGGTGTTCTTGCAAAAGTCGCCAAGTCGAATCTGGTCAAAACCATTTCCCCAGTACGAGACCAACTGAGGTGTGGTGAATGTTCGTCTGGCCAGCCTTGTTTCTAAGATTGGCGAGGATGTGGATGAGGTGATAAAAGTAGCTGTTGCCAGCAAGCTGGCGATCAAACTAGTAGAAAGCATTGTGACTGTAAAGATTGGATTGGTAAAAGGAGAAACAGCGCATTCAACAGAAATAAGAAGGAGTGACTTGGGTCAGTGCCCGTGAGCAAGGACTGGACGCGAGCAAAATGCTCGCTGGCGCAAGAAAAAAAGACCGTGATAAAGGAAAGTCGGTGGTAAGGGAAAAAGGCAAGGGAAAAGAGAGTCAAGATACCAGAGCACAAGGCAGATGGTGGTCATAAAGGCCTAGACAGACGTTGAAGACCCCCGGCTAGTGGATGTGGCTTCAGTCTTTGCGTCAGCCGTGGGAGGTTCCACAGTTACCGCGTGTCTGGCGACTGACGGACAGGTCAAAAGGCCTTCGGGAGTGCAGTTGCTGGGCCATATCCTTTCGGCTACATGTATCCATATTTTGAGGATCTGACCATTTAACTGCCATTCGCTAGGCTCCACAGCCGGAAAAGTCATGGGTATGATTTGTTTGTTTGCAAGCAATTTCTAGATTGCCCATTGCAGGTTGTTGGACCGATACAACAGCGGTTAGTTAAATGAAACAGCGAGGTGTGATTGGGTCGGGCCGAAGACATGTTCTTGAGCTGGATCTTGGAACTCGGTAAAGGGAGGAGGAATATACTCCGTACACCTGAATCTGTCTCATGATTAGGGTACGAACGACTCCCGTGCCCCTAGTGCGTTTGGACGGGGTGCACTTTAGCTCTAACATGGCCTATGCGTGTCAGGTGCTTGTTTTGGGGTGGCAGGCAAATGCGTAGGACTTTGAGTTGGGCGCATGGTGTTCAGTGTGGCGGGAGGGAAAGGCTTCGCAAGCGGTGACAAGTGACAGCTGTCTACAGAGCTTACTCGTACACTCAGTTCAAGTGGTGAATAGACTTGACCACAATTTCCCATGGAGGGCGGAGTCGGCGGAGTCAACGCGACAGTGGAGTGAGAAAACATTATTGAGTGGCATTGGTGGTAAGAAGGTTGGTAGAAGGTTGTGGAGAGGAACAGGAGAAGAACAGGAGGTGAGGTTGACGAGAAGTGGAGAAGGAAGAGCCAGGGGCCGAGCGGTGCCTGACGCTTGACTTCTTTGAGAGTAGCGGAAAGCAGAAAGGGAAAGGTTGGCAACCACGTGGGAGCCAATCGCAGTCATTTGGTGGATTTGTGGAGACCGGGCGCTTGACTCTGGGCGCCTTAAGTACTCCGTAAGTACCACGTATCTAGGTAACCACTCCTGCCACTGTTCTCGGGGTTAAGGGATCCCAGAGGTCGTGCCCGACCAGCCTTCCGGGGGGCGTCTGTGCCCTGGTGTCTCTCAAAAGCTTCGCCTCCTGCTTTAAACCACGTAGGGACCTTCCCCAGAGCGCCTTGTGGTCCGTGGCTGCCTCCAGCAAAAGCCACCTTGCGTAAGCAAGCCCAAAAGAGAGATACCTGGTTGTCACCGAGGGGCAATTCAGGCACGCTGCACAGGCATAACGGTAATACGCATAGACCTCTAGTCAAGACTGATTAAGGTATCTGGGCGCAAATTTCCAGCGCTCAGAATAGAATCCTGAGCGTACTCCGTAGCGCGATGGAGACCCAAGAATTTTACATTGCCCACAATAACGTTCAGCTTGCAAGCGACTTGGTACTTGGAACCCTACACCGGTCAGAATTATTGAGACAGTCAAAGCATCAGAGGTGATTGTTGCGTACCTAAAGGAGGGGGGGCACTGGGGGGGCACTGGGGGGGCACTGGGGGTTGTTTTTTCCTTCCCCTGCAGCCGTGATCCATATGGTTAGATCAGGACTATCTAGTAGTGTGGTTGGTTGCACAAGTCGAAACAAAAAATAGACCAACGTCATTGAACAGGAAGGGAAATTAGTAGGTACCGTAGCAAGGCATGGTAAGACACCTGATCAGGTAGGCACTTGGCAAGGGAAGAGTAATACCGGAACTCTGCCGAATGAGACACTCTCCAAGCCCTCCTTGTGTCTGATATATTCAAAGTGTACGTAGCCCCGATTTGTTGTGCAAGTTTCATGGGGACATTTGGCCATCTCATCTTGCGTGCATGGCCAGATGGAAAGTTTGGAGTTCCAAGAAAAGGACGCACACATCGAGATGGTTGTGTTGAGGAAATCAATCTCATGATCGACATTTTCTATTTCTGGATTATGTTGATCACTAGGTACTCTACATGATAGTGGCCAGAAGGCATGACGCACAATCTCAGGTTATCAGTTGCCCAGTTTCCTTTGGCTGATCAACAGATGAACCTGGCACTATATTATGGGACTGATCTGATCGACACATGCGTTACATGGATGTGTTTCTCAGATTTCTGGCCACTATATCGGTATCCTGAAGCGTAGATCGATGCTTGTTCCAAAACTCCTCCTTCGACCAGAAGGACTACATAACAAGTATGTACTGTATGTGGCGAGGAGTTGGTATAGCATGCATTGCTTCTCTGCGAGGCTTGTCTATATTCACCGCTTTTCAACACTTTTCAATCTACGGAGTAGGAGTGGAATACAACGTTCCACTTGGAACCACCCGTCCAACCAAGAAATGATCCTGTATAGTGTCGGACTTAAGAATTTAACCCATGGAGAGGAGAAGAAGAAGAAAATGAAGGGGAGGATCACGAGGATTCATGGAAGATGATGCATACCCCGGAGCCGGAAAAACGCAAGCACCGCAACCATGTCACATGTATTTCCCCTCACGACGTCGCCCCAGGATTTGGAGAAATCCAGTCCCAAGTCGATGATTTTTTCGACCAGCCTCGTTTGGTTGCGCCGTGAATAATGATTCGAGTTCTCATCGTTTGAACCAAAGGTGAAATCTTTGACACACTGATCCTACACGAAGATCCGTATCGATCTAGATTCCAATCGGTCTATCAGAGTGATATCCGAGGTCCGTCTGGACACATTACATCTCCGTTCATTGTTTGAGATCTACCACATCTCGACTTCACTTGTCGCGTCAACAATTCATCATGGCAACCTCGACGGAAGACGTGACAAACATTTTCCAAGAGTTGGGCACCTTGGAAAGATCATTCGCCGAGGTGGAAATCGATGCCTGTAAGTATAACTGCGACAGGCGAACCGTCAATCTAACTTCAATATTTTGACGCCGGTTGCTGACACAGCTCTCCGCTCACAGTGCGACGAAAAGAACAAGCCTTGAAGCCCCTCTACGCGCGCCGGAACAAGCTACTCTCCCGAGTCCCTGATTTCTGGCCGACCGTCTTTGGCAACGGCCCCGAGGATGTCCGACAGTTCATCTCACCCAACGACCTTCAACTTCTCTCCTCAATCACCTCCTTCTCGGTCGAGCGGTATCAAATCAAGTCTGAAACCGATGGCGAGCCGAGATCTCTGCGGTTCACCTTCGAGTTCGCCGACAATGACATCATCGAGGATAAGAAGTTGGTAAAAGAATTCGAGTATCACGCGGCGGAGGCCGGCCCAGGGAGCATGGTGTCTAAACCTGTCGCAATCAAGTTCAAGAACAAGAAGAAGGATCTGACATCCGGGTTGTTGAATGCAGCAGCCGAGTTGTACCAGGCCGAGGAGGTCTTGAAATTGAAGAGTGGCGATGACAAGGAGATTAACATTGTCGATCGAGAGGCACTATGGCAGTATGAGAAGCTCCGGGAAAAACTGTCCCAGCTCGACGAAGATGCCGACATGGAGACAAGCTTCTTCGCTTGGTTTGGCTTCCGTGGCGCTGTCAATGCGACAGACAAGGGAAAATCAGTGGACGCAAACGGTCTTGACGGCGCCGAGGAGGAGGACGAAGATGATGACGAATTCTCCGAGTTGCTCGAGGTCGAAGTGTTCCCCGCTGGTGAAGAGGTTGCCATTGCTTTGGCTGAGGAACTGTGGCCAGACGCCATAGATTATTTCGGTATGTCTCCGCCATCCCGCGTGATTGGAAATCCTCTTCATACTAACCCATGCGTAGTGTCAGCCCAAGAAGAGGTCGCCGACGATTTTGATGGAATGGACGAGGGTGAGCCGTCTGATGACGAGAATGCGCCTGAGCTTGTTGAAGTGGCGGAGGATGAGGATGAGGATGACGCCGACCAAGACCGACCGCACAAGAAACAGCGCAAGGCTTGAGGAGATGTCGTGCGTCGTTGTAATGTCCTTGTATTGTGCACATTAGTAAATGAAGATATGGGTCCAAAAGTCGTTGGGAGTTTGCATGGTCGGATCTTGGGGTGTCTTGTCGCTTTGATGGCAAACTCCGATGGACTTTCGAGAGAGATGGCAAGATAGATTACTAGTGGGGAATGAGAACGTTGAACATGGACGCATGATCCCTCTTCGAGACCGGTCCTCCACACTGTATGGAACGTGCCGCGCCTTCTGCGGTGGTGTTAAGCCATGCTAGCTTCATAGAGCGATCAGCAAGATGAGTAGAATGATCAAAACGACGATCAAGACGGCGATGCAACAATTGCTGACTGTATCTTCGTTGCGGCGAATGACCTCGCCAACACGCTTGACACCAACCTGCAACTTGCCACCGACACGGTCGGCAAGGGCATCGACGTCGTCGAGCATGTGACCTTGTTCTTCGAGTTCGCGGCCCATGTCGACAGCCTGGCCTCTGAGGACGCCGACGGATTGGAAGACGCCGTCGAGCTGTTCATCTTGCTCCGCCATCATGACCTGCTGCTGTTGTGCCTCAAAGGCGCCGTATGGATCATCGTCATCGTCGTCATTATCGTCTCGATCGGCATCCCAGTCTAACCGTCTAATGCCGTTGTTATTGTTGTTGTCTGGCTGTCCATTCTTACTCCCGCCACCATCTCCCCGTTCATTACTCCCACCTGCAGCAGTGGTGACACCTCCAAGCTCCTGCCGCATACTCTCGACCTCCTCGCCGACATCGCGCACAAATTGGCGCCTGCGTTGCACCTCGGCCACGTCCAGACCAAACCTGTATGGATCCGACTCCACGGCAGATATGGATTCTAACAACTCGCCCAGGTCCGATGTCAGGGTCTCGAGGTTGGTTCGGAGCTCGGCTCGTGACTGCACTAGTTCTGGAGATGTTGGTGAGGTGGATAGTGTGCGAATGCGTAGATAGGATGAGAACAGGTGGCGGGTGGCCGTCAGAGTTGTTTGCACGTCGCTACCGCGGAGAAGAACAATGACATGGTAAGCTTGAATCCTGCCAATGTTGGGACAATCAGCATGAGTAAAGATCAACATACCTTTGGACTTCGAGAAAGGGATCCTCGGACTGAGGGTTTGCCATGGTTGGTGGTAGACTGCGTGGTGCTGCGAGGGTGGTTGATGATTGAGTGATGACTGAAGCAAGCGTAGGGGCGCAGGGGCGCAGGGGCGCAGGTGCGCAGAACGGGGATGGAAGATATCAAGACATTACTCTGACGATTCTAAGCAGTGTGAAGTCTTCGTACACAACAAGTCGAAGGATCGAAGGTGACTTTGGGTATGTTTGTTCTGGTGGGAATTGAGTTGTGGTGATGTGTGACGTTGATCCTATTCTGGATGCCTCCGCCTCATCTCCAATTTTTGAATTTCCAACGAGAAGTGAACATGTCGTGTATACCTAGGTAGCATGTAATCTGCGACACTTGGTTTCGATTATTGGGACATGGAGATCTATTCAACAAGGCTGGCATCTCATTCAGCCAATCTTTTGTACTTTTCACAGTTCCCACTCCTCAAGTACTATACATGTTGCTATCATGCCCTTGGTCAAAGCCACTGGCCTTGCAACGACGTCTTCACACTGCATGTGTCGCAGTCTCAAAGATGACTCTCTTCCTATGCTTGATCATACAACTCCAGCGCTCTTCTGGGTCTGCCAGCCGCCTGCTCTCGAACAACAGGCTCGAGCTCCGAGATTCTAGTCTTCAATACTTCAGAAGCTTGCTGCAATTTCTCCTTCAATTCTTGGTCCAGCTCGAGTTTCAGAGCTTGTTCGACCGCACTTTTTCCAAAAATGGCTTCTTCCAACAAGGCAGCCTTGCCCGGAGGTTTGGAAACGTCATAGCTCGAGAACACCGTCTCAATTTGGGGTGGATGGTTTACGGCATAAACCACCTTTCGAATGTACCCCACGACCTTCTTGTTCAATTCTTCGTCTGCCGGCTCAACCTGGGCGGCCTTGGATGCCGAAAGTAGAAGCAGAATGTTTAGTATGGCTGGATCGGCCCTGGCATCAACATCAAATTGTTTCTTGTCCTTCGAGTACAGCGTCAGCTTCCCTCCACAATGTTCCTCATCTTCCAGTAAAAGAGCAAGTTTTTCTGCCCGAGAGTATGCTGAATCCAGCTGTGGTCCCTCGAGACCAGCTTCCATGGCCCGCTTGTATAGGGAGACGTAGAGCTCTCGAGCAACGCCCGGTATCGAAAGCCGGACATGTGTGTCACGAGAGTTCTCCACGCAGCGAATAATCAACGATTCTTTCCCCACCTCACAGCCTTTTCTTGTGATCTTTTGGTAAAACCAAGAGGGAACATTGCATTTGGCCAAGGCAAGTCCTTGGAGAAACGGTACCAAGTTGCTCCAGGTTGCATGGTCCGAATGCTGATTTAGAATCTCCACAAAGGTCGAGAGGCTTCCTCTTAGTGAAGGTTTATCAAAGTAGTCCATTGGTTTCAGAGTGATCTCTTCTTCGTCCGACATGGTCACCGTGACACCGGGCTCCGCGGTTATGTAGGCATCTTTGGATCGTTTGTAAATCAAGGCACGATGTTGCTGCGAAAGGGCAGCTGGCATGAAGACTTTCTCTCGGAAGGTGGACAGAAGTTGGTCGAGTTCGGGCGATGCACTGGGTGCGAAATGAGGAATGGCTAGAGATCTCGTTAGTTGCCATTGCACAGCTGACGGGTACAGACATGCAGCGTACATTTTGACCTTTGGGAAGTGGTGCTAAAAGATCGAGAGGGCTTGGACAAGTTGTGGACGCCTTTGCGACAGGACCGGCACAGGAAGCGCAGGGGCTGTGCAGGGGACGCCATGATTTCAAGTATCAGGCGAAATGATGTTGATGCGATTGAGGTCGAGGAGCTTCAAGATAGAAGACGTGGGCTCCTCGTTCGTATGATGGACTTGAGACAAAGTTGAGGAAAATGATGCTGCAAGACACGAACTCGTCGGTGCTGGTGCTGGTGATGGGACGGAATAGAGTTAATCCGCTCCGATCCATCAACCTCCTCTCATCATGCAATTTATTTCCATCCGCAGGGACAGCATCAGCACCATCACCACCAGACTGATCATTGCCTTCTCCTTCTTCCACCTCAGATACCTTGACTCTCAGCTCAGGATGTCGCATACCCTGACGCCGCGTGCATCGGCATGCTGTCGAAGGGTCCTCTTCAGCGACGTCGTTCCTCAGCGACAGTTTCGCCGGTCATTAGTCCAAATCCAAACAGCTCCAGTCCCCAAACTCGACGTTCCAGCCGATCTCCCCAAACAATTCTGGCCTCAATTGACCCCGAGGCTACGACCTGATTTTAGTAAGCTGCCTGAAAAATGTATAATCTCTCGTGCAACTGCAACCGCTGACCGATCACTCTCCTCCGACAGAAAAACGCGAGATAATAGTCCACCCTGCAGTCCCTTCAGAAGCACAGAAATGTAAAAACCCTGTCGCATTGATCGACTCGCAGCAACTGTCGCAACTCGACCCAACAGGTGCTCGAAGTCGGCTGTTTGATACGACGAACAAAGAATGCGTCAAAGTCGGCGATATCCTCCTGACTACCTTTAAGTCGGGCGAACCGTTCTCCGGCGTGGTGCTAGCAATCAAGGGATCTGGCCCGCACACCTCAGTCCTCCTCCGAAATCAATTAACAAAAATCGGTACCGAGATGTTGATCAAGGTACACAGCCCGCTCGTCCAGAGCATGGAAGTGGCATGGCGGGTACCCAAACGCAAGAGGAAGGCTCGTCTATACTACATGCGCAGACCTGACCATGACATGGGCAGCGTCCAGAAAGTGGTAGATCAGTATCTGAGACAACGGGCACTATTGACTGGTACCAAGAGAACCAGTCAATTTGCTGATCGGTCGAAGAAAGGAAAGAGACGATGAGCATGTCTCTGGCGGGCATTTGTATTAACAGCCTCGAGGTTATGTATTGGCGGTTTATTGATGACCCAACTATAATTTTCATCTCTGGATCCGAACACTTGGTAAAACCTTTGCGTTTTATTTTTCTAAATAATGCTTTTGTTGGTCGTTCATGTGACTTGTTGGAGATGTGTTGGAACGTTCATGCCAGAATTGAAGTGGGTGTATCTCGCCAAAATCATCACTGTATCTGCATCCGTCATTACATCGGATTCTCCCCTCATCTCCATGCCCATCTAGGTATCTCGGTCTTGGTCAAGGGGTCCTGAGGTCCTTTCAAGAAAGAATGATGGTATGGTCATCATCAATGCGTACCACAGCATCAAGCACAACCTTGCCGCCCCCAACCACCACAGGACCCTTGACTGCCAAGCGACCACTCGGCTTTTGAGTGCCAACGAATTCTTCCTCACCCTCGAGATGGATTTCAACCGAACTTAGTGGTGCACCGACCATGACCACGTCCTTGCCCTTGTCCCGATAATCTAGAATATTGGTCTGAGTCACGGCGCCAGCAACCAGAGGGGTGGTCAAGGCATATCCAACACGGGCCGTTAAAGTAAGGCGGAGAGTTGACAGGTCGGAAGAAGTGAGTCGCGAAGACGAGGAGGATGTCACGCTTGTGTCACCCGGGATGTGCTGTGGGATGAAGACAGCGCGGAGATTAGAAAGCATTGCCGAGCTAGGTTGGCCACGAGACGAAGGAAGATTGCCTGATCGCAACGAACGTGACCCAGTGTACACGGCCAATCCGGACGGGTGGATCGTGCTTGGGTGCTTCAGGTAGTTGGTGATGGTCGTAGGTGAGGTGATCAAGATGGATGGCCGAGCTAGAGAGACCGCGGCATCCAAGGGAACGCCGTCTCCGGCAACCGAGTTGATGGACAGTGTTGCATTAGAATAAAGAGCCGCCAGTGCCCATGCGAGCGGATAGCTGTTGGTGAAGCTCAGGGTCGAAAGGACCGTGTCCGAAGTGGAGAGTTTGTGAGTTCGCGGCAATGTTGCCAGCAGTGCTGCCGTCGCGGATATGAGATTCTCCGAAGTGTACTTGACGACGTCGTAGCTGGTAGCGGATATTGGTGTAAATATAGATACAGGTGGCACCTGAGAATCTTTGTCCAGTGGAAGAACTTCCGAGTTGGTGGTAGCCTTGTTCTCGTCGACCAGAGCTTTCCACGAAGTCACGCTAAATCCTCGAGGGGACTTTTCAGTCCAGTCGATGTGTTGGCCAGCGGCTTTGGAAACCCAGATGATGTTCTTGATCGACTTGTTGGCGGAGGAGATGTCGTCGAGATCAATTGTACCAGCGTCAGCGATCAGGTAATCAGCCGTAGTTTTGGACAGGAGAGATTTGAAGACCTCGGTAGACACGCCATGAGGGAGAAGTGTGGTTGAGAAGCCATAAAACGAGCCAGCTTAGGGGAAAGTTAGAGAAAGCGTTCATCTTGACTTTGGGACGCGAGTCGAGTCGTTGATACAACTTACCGAAGATGGAGGACAGCAGTTCGACCGAGTTGGAGAGACAGACAGCCACCGACTGACCATTGTTTCTCTTGATATGTTGTCCGATGACATTGATATCGAGAGTCAGGTCGGCGAAATCGTGATCGATGATTCGTTCTCGTCCTAGGACGGTCTGGATCTTGCCCTTCTCACCGGTAGGAGTGCCGTCTTCTTTGACAGAGCCACTCACAGCTCGTCTCCAGATATCACGAAGGTCACCTGGCCTTCCAGCACTCCATCTAGGAGTGCCGGGATCCTTTACACCCAATCCTGCCCGGAGTGGATAACCATGTGGAATGTCGATTGCTCGATAAACGGCCGACTCCCCGGAATGGCGTACTGGGGCAACTTGTGCTTGCCTGGCTAATAAAAAAGGGTGTGTGTCAGGATCCTTACTCGTCAGCAACGGGTATGTGAGAAGTCCGATGACAAGGAGAACGAGAACGGTGGAAACAAGGTTCCACGAGGAAAAGAAATCCGCGAGGATGGCATCGATTTTCTCTGCCAATCTAGGTTCTTCCATCTTGTCTGATTTGCTTGATCGGACGGTAGAGTGTCTATTTTCAATGAATCACGTTCACATTATAGCATTCGGAGCTGGGAAGTGTTGTGCTGGCAGAATCAGACTGCGGATTCGGTTCCGGAGGATTCGCCAGGTTTCTGGGAGAACACGTGACTACTTCCAAGACCCAACGTGGGACAAGATTTCAGTTTGGCCCCGTGGGGAGAAGAAGACGGAGGGGAGCCCGTTGACAGCAAATGAATTCTAGATGGGATATTCTAGATGCCTCTGTCCATTCTATAAAACATACAACAAGCTGTGCACCCAACCCTAATTTCAAAATCATAGCTTGCTCTGGGGCTGGTAAAACTTGCTAGTTCTTGCGATGGCGGCGGCGGCCTCCTTCTCAATTCTGCGGAGGAGCTCTTCACAAGTGGGCACATCATTGATCAGGCCAATAACTTGACCAGCGGTCCACACGCCGAAATCCTTGTCACCGTTGATAAAGACTTCTCGTCCACGCTTGCCGGAGACAAAGGGAGCGATTTCCTCGAACTTGCCAGTCGTGCTCGTCTTCTCAATCCGCACGGCTTCCGCAGTCACCTTGTTCTTGAATAGACGCGAGGTATTAGTCCATCTTCTCATGACAAGCTCAGTATCATGCTCTGAGGCGTCGACAATGGCTTGCTTAATCTTTTGGTGGATTGGTGCCTCGACCGTGGCCATAAAGCGAGTTCCCATGTTAATGCCCTCAGCGCCCAAGGCCAATGCGGCGGCGAGACCTTGACCATCAGCAAATCCACCCGAGGCGATGAACGGCACACCTAGGACTTGTCTGGCTTTAGAAAGGAGGATGAAGTTGGTGATGTCTGATTCGCCAACGTGGCCGGCGCACTCGAAACCGTCAATGGAAAGGAAGTCGACGCCGAGTTTGACGGCGGATTGGGCGTGTCGGATGGTAGTGCACTTGTGGAGGATGATGATGCCGGCCGCCTTTAGCAGCTTGATGACTGGGCCGGGGGAGTTTCCAGCAGTCTCAACAACCTTGATGCCTTCATCGATAACGACTTGGGCGTACTCGCCATAAGGAGGAGCATTCATTGTGGGCAGGAGGGTGATGTTGACGCCGAAAGGCTTCTTGGTCATGGTTCTTGTCCTGCGGATTTCCTTGCGAAGGTCTTCAGGGGTAGGTTGTGTGAGGGCAGTCAACTAGGTCAATGTCAGCATTTTGCTCTCAGTCGGCATTGATGCCTCGGAACTCACGATTCCCAAACCACCAGCATTAGAGACGGCAGCAGCCATTTCTGCGTAGCCCACCCATTGCATACCACCTTGAACGACGGGGACTTAAGGAAATGTCAGTGACTTCCTTGAAAGATACTAAACGGATCAATGGTACCTTCAATGCCGAGACGGCGAGTCAATTCAGTATTGAAAGGCATGTTGAAGGCAATGAGAGAGTATTGTGACCGAGGGTGAAATTACACAGCGTAGGGGCGGAGTAACGTAAAGGCGATGGAGTGAGTGCCGCGTCGAGGAACAGATATATAGGTAGGCACTTGACAGGAAGTGAAAACTCCGGGCTGGAAGAACAGAAATCAATGCAGACGTGTGCTTGGATGCAGTTGGCACACTCAAGCGCTGGGCTGGCCGAGGTGCAGATGAATACTGGTAGACAATTTGAGTTGTTGTCTGGGGTGGGGAGCGTCGAGCCGGGGACCGAGGCTCAGCTCTAAGGTGGGATTGAAAAGCCGCGGGCGCGCGGTGTGGCGGCCCATCCACAGATGGCAGTCACGAAGCATGCGAAACTCCCTTACGTACGGAGGGAATCACGGAAAGTCCGAGCCTTGTGCACCAATAGGGATGGCTCAACTCGAAGGCGGTAACTGATCGACACGTGACTGGTCTTGGTAACACTCTTTGCTCTGACTAGCCACGTGATGAGATCGTGCATGGCTACGGACCGCATTATCAATCTTCCGACCACGGCACGGCTACCACAATTTGTCTCCGACTCCGAAGCTCTACAGACAATAATGGCCCTGATGCAGAAGAACGACAGTCGACCAATAATATAAAGGCTCTGATTAACACTCCAACCATACTCCTTGTCTCCTTTAGTATCAACATGTAGACTAGCTTCTCGGCTAGCAAACCTGAGATGCTAACACTCTTCCACCCCAGAAGACGACAAAGCAACCAAGGTAACATGTATATCCTGTAACATCCACATCCTGCATTAGTATGGAAGCATTCTCTGCATTCGATTACCATTGATCGCCAAGTCAACCGGAACAGGGATTTGTGCACTTAGGTGTTAGTGGCAGCGGTCTGGAGTTCGTATTTCTTACGTCGACGAAATTGAGTCAGGATATATTCATTGCCTGGATTAGCCGCCATTCCAGCTCGCACTACTTCTTGGGGCCAATTCACTCGGTACTTGATGTGATTATCCTGGTCACTCGAATTCACAAGATCCAACGATAACTTAATTGACTGTGCATCTTTAGAAAATGTCCAGAACAGCCATAGTGACTGGTGGTTGCCAAGGGATTGGATATGCCAATGTGCTGCATCTATTGTCAAAAGGCTGGAAGGTCGTCGTTGCCAACCGCAGTGAAAAGTCCTGGAAGAGTGTGGCATCGACCTTTGACCCCGACCGTACAACGTTTATACCCACCGATGTATCATCATGGGAGTCTCAGCTCCACATGTTTCAAGAGGCCTTCAAATGGTCAGGGGGACGCATCGACTTGTATCTTGCCAATGCAGGAATTGCCGACATAGTGTCCCTGGCGCCGGATATGGATCTGAGTCAACCGCCACCGAGACCGGACACCAGTGTTCTGGACATCAACACCACTAGCGTCATCTACGGCATCAGACTCTTCGCATACTTTACTCGTCTTACACGTAAAAGTCTACAGGCTAGCAACGGAGGAGCTTCCTTTCATCCCAAGATGATCGTTACAGGTTCTAGTGCATCACTCTACCCATATCCGCCTTGCCCAGTCTACTCCACCTCCAAGAGCGCCCTCGAAGGTCTAGTCCGATCTGTTGCTTCGAGACTATATGAGTCGGACGAAATTGCTCTCAACTTGCTTTGCCCTGGTTTTGTGCCAACCGCCATGTCGCCCAAGGGCTTGAAGGAGGCATGGCCTCCTGCGTGGATTACCCCTGTTAGCACGGTCAATCGAGGAATTGACGAGCTGATCGACCTGGAAGGAAAGGTGAACCAAGATGGTAAGAGCGAGGGCCAAGATGGTGTGATCAAGGTCGGCCAAGTCATCGAGACTGCCCGAGACAGGGTCTGGTATCGTGACCATATCCCATTTGCCGACGACAGTCAGCGATTTTGCATGGAGCAGGGCTACACAGACGATGGTCTTTGGCAACGAGCATTTCGTGGCGAACTTCCAAGTGCATAGCGCTCAAAAAATAGTGGTGATGGAATACATGAAGACACACTATATCTTGGCGCCATATTAAATCTAGAGTGATAATATAGCGGCATCACTTTTTATCCAGAAATGTATTAGCAGCCTTGGCAGACCCTTTTCAGACCCTCGTCCAGGCTTTGGCCTCAAATCCTCAAAGGCCCAGCCCTGCATTGGCCTTGACGGTACGTAACCTATGAACCTCCAACCAGACAACCTAAACTGCTGGTAGCACAGATCTCGTTTGAGGCTATTCCACGGCACGGCCCTTGTCGACCTCCATGATTCAATAGCATACCTACCTTAGGCTACCACAAGTGCATAGGTCATCTGTCCTCCCTCATTTTGTCACAGCCTTATTGTACCTGCGCCTGAACCGTCCTTTTGATACCCTCGAATCGCCCTGCACCCTCTGGCCAATCCTATCCCCGCCAGTGCCATAACTCTTATTCATTCCACCACCTTGATGCGATGCTAGTCCATCATGGGCGCATCAGAGTCAAAGCTGGTCTTCAAACAGGGCATCTTTAGACTCTCCGAAGAGAGAAACATACCGGCTAACGACCCTTATTGGACAGGTGTAAGTACCTAAGCTTAGCACCCTCACATGCTCAACTCGTGTTGACTGGTTCTTCTAGTTTTGGGAATTGCCAGAGTCGGTGGATGATGTCTTCAGCTTATTCTCCCCAGCAGACGTTCGAAGAACTCGTGATGCGGCGCCCGAGAACCTCGAAACCCTCATTCTGGCGGTGACATCTCGCCTGAACGTTCTGAGAAACCACCCCTCCTTTCCTGACCCGGAACTTGCTCCAGAAAGAGATGCTCTCAACTGCATAAGAGTTCTTACACGACTCTTGCCCTTCATATATGAGGCCGACCACTTGGCAGAATGGGAAGACAAATTCTTTTGGGGCATGCGCCGACGGAAGACGAGGAGAGCCCAAGTTGCTGGTGAGGTCTTGTTCGATGACACCCAAACTCAAGACAATGACACACCCGTACCGGATGACGTGTATGAACAAGTCAAACCCCTGGCAGAAGAACTCATCGACAGCTTGTCCGACCTTCTCTTCTTTGCCGAGTTCACCATTCCTCTCCTGTCTCAGGCCAAGAACAAGGTTCATTATGCTATCTGGCAGAGTGGCGTCGGCTGCAAGTCCTCCATCCCAACAAACAAGGAGTTCGAGAGCAACCGATGCGAGGTCCTGAGATTACTCCTCACCATGACAGGAAAGGCCATGTATCTCCCATCAAATATACTCCCGGTCCAAGGTGTGAGAGCGACCACGTACTTGACCACCTGCTCCGACAAGCAAATCGTCTTGTCAGTCTTGTGCTCTTTGATCAATACCACCATAAAATCCAATGTTACCTCGTGGCGACTACCATATGACCACATGGTGCGGAAGGATTCCCAACAAGCCCTCGTTGTGTACAGTCTACAACTGCTCCTGGTACTGCTCCTCTACACCGTTCCTGAAGAGGGGAATGGAACACCACCAAAGAACTATTATCGACATTACCTAGGACGATTACATAGGCCGGAAGATTTCCAGTTTCTTGCAGACGGCATGACAAGAGTTCTAAGTCAACCAATGCAAGCGACGGCCTCCTATCTACCCGGGAGCCAGAAGTCCATCAGGTGGGCGCCCGAAATGATCATGCTGTTTTGGGAAGTGCTGCAATGCAACAAGCGCTTCCGCTCCTTCATCATTGAATCCAACCGAGCACACGACTTTGTGATATTAATGATCTTCTACGCCATTGAGCACAAAACAGACTCATCGCGACAAGGGATAGTGCGAATGTGCGTGTTTGTGCTGCAGACGATGAGTGTGGAGGCAACATTTGGACAGAACCTCAACAAGAGATTCGAAGCACAGGAAACATTACCACAGTCAATTCGGTTGGCCAATTTCCGGGGAACATATGCCGACTTTTTACTGGTGTCAATTCACACCTTGATCACAGGAAGCAAGGGAAAACTCGATGCCGTGTACCCTGCACTGCTGGCCATCATTAACAACATTGCCGCTTATATGCAGCATCTGTCACTCGCTACCAGCACTCGACTGGTGCAGCTGCTGACATCAATGTCGATGCCGAGTTTTCTGCTAGCCAACGAAAGCAATCACACTCTCCTCCGGGCATTGCTGGAGTCCATCACAACAATGATCGAGCACCAGTACAAATCCAACACCAACCTGATCTTTGCGGTATGGAGGGCGCGACGGAGGATTGAAGCCTTGAGGCAGTTCACACTCGAAGGTGGCCAACAAGAAATCGAGAGAGCGGCCCAAAGACAAAAGGAACAAGTCTTGACCGATGTCAGCAACGGCTTGTCGAGATCGCCTACGGCAGACACCATCACCTCACCGACAGGGGGAAACTCGACATCGTCCGGAGCGGACGGGGTGGACGATAGCTTTGTCATTGGGGATTCAGATGAGTCTGACGATGATGACAAATTGCCAACTCCTTCACAATCAACCCGATCCCCACGAAATTCGAGGACACCGTCTTTGGCGTCGTCTTCGGCGGCGGCCGAAGATCATGTCCCTGTTCAATTGGTAGGCATGTCTGAAAAGGCGCGGGGCAAGATGCCGGCAGGAGCACCGACCTTTTCCCGCCAGAACAGCACGACAAGTCTGTCAGCAACTTCATCCTATGGCAGTCGTGGTATTTTCACCCCTACGGCGGAGTGGCTCGAAACGTGGCTACCAGACTTGCCACTGCATACAGTGCTCACGGTAATCAAAGTGCTTTCGGCACATCCCAGTGCCCCAGAACGTTCTAGCGGTTCTGGTCAGTCACTTGGTAATAACCCACCGTCGGTGGCATCATCTCGTCGATCGTCAGTAGCCAATGATGAGCATTCGATCACCGATTTCCGAGCATACATTCCAACGACGGCGAACCACCCGGCAATTGAGCCGATTCTAGCATCACCGACATCGATCCGAGTCCATTTGTTCGAGTGGTCCCCACTTTCGCTGGGGTGGTATATGTCGGTTCTGTGGTCGCTCATCTTCACGGCAGAAATGACCATCGCTCCCGCTGCCGGCACTGCAGCAACCCTGACAGGCAACGGAGGCACTGCTGGACCTGTGGGAACATGGAATTCAACCCACGTCAAGCTATTCCAAGTGGCGACGGAAGGGCGACGAGAGGGACCTAGCCTCAGCCAGCCACGAGGGGCGGTAGATGCTGTTGGCAGCCGACTTGTTCAGGGAGTTCAAGGGTTGAATCTGGGAGGGTTGGTGGGTCGAGTTGGAGGAGGTGTGCGCAGCCCAGCGCAGCCAGCATCTGCTGGCTCTCAAGACGGACGAAATCCCAGACCTAGCATGAGAGAGGTGTAGGGACTGACAGGCGCCGCCGGGGAACGGAATATTTTTACAGGGACGACGATTGAGAAGTGGCGCATTCGAGCAAGCCTGCGCATGAGTCTTTAATTAGAGTCTTTATCTTGGGGGTCTTTTTTTCCGCGGGCCAAAGGTACCAATCTAGGAGCCAGACGAGTCACGTGAGATGTGTAGAGAACTCATGGCGAGGGCAGGAGCGACCGTCAAGAAGGAAGGGACCGAAGGGAGTTGGTCTACGGGGCAAGTGCAAGGCGGGATGACACTTGGGTAGCTACACTCTAAAGGCACAGCTAAAAGCCCTGCTTTTATGTGTACCTTGGCTGCATCAATGCCCTTAGGTACGAAGATAGGAACTCATCAATTGCATAATTTATAGGTACCTGGCCATTGGGACTTGGTGGGAGTTTGTTGGAGTTGTACCTATGCCGGAACGTATATCCGTACCTTAGGCTACTACTTAGGCAGTTTTCAGATTTGGAGATGTTGTCTGGCACCCATGGTACCTGCGCACCCCAACTCTCCCGCCCCCTAGACTTTAATTAATAATGATGATGACAGCCCCTCAGCCCCGCTAATGGCCCGAGGTAAATCATCTCTTCTAAGTGCTCCGTAGTAAATCCTGAGTACCTGGAATTGTGGCCCCCCTTGGGTGTACGGAGTACGTACTGTGAATCTAAGCGCCCAACGTACCACGGTACCTAAGGCTTGCACTCGTAACTTGACTCGTCTGTGCCGATAACCATGGTGGGGGTGTTACAACCAGATCTTCCCCTCCCCTCTTCTCCCGTGTTTCTCCCAGTCTCCATTATTGATGAGAAATTCACAATTCCGTTTCCGCCTGATGCTGCTGCAAATCACTATCGCGGGGAGAGAGTACCGAAGATTAGCATCGTGGCTTTCCGGTTGGACAGTTCCATCCTAGCCTGTGATCACCCGCTGTGCCGCTGTCCATGTCGCTCGCCTCCCCCATCACCACCATGTCGTTTCTCTCACTCCCCAATTAATTCTTCCCCTTGAGTCTACTCCGCCTTGGTATATGCTCGCTCACTTTTGGTATAGACGACCTGCTTTTGCTGTTCAGCTGCGCCCGTCCTTGTGTAGACTGGTCCATTCTCGAATTCCTCCTGGTGTTCACCATCCTTCCGTCTTTGCCCCAAACCCACCCACAGACTCCATGGCTCCTCCGGCGCACCCTGATCTTCCTCGCCCTGCTCACGCTGACCGTGACTCTGCCCTCGGACGAAAGTTCGGTAAAGAGGTCACCAATTATTTTGGAGGTGGGTGGTGGTCTTTCGGGGGCAACCAGCGTCTTCACCGCTAACTGGGTCCGTAGGCTCTCCACTGAACCGACTGTCCTTCCTCCGCGACGACTATGACTTTTTGAAACAAGCCTTCGCCCATCCCTCGGCTAGGTTCATCCCCTATAAGAACTTGAACCCTGTCATCAACTCTCCGAGCGAAATCTACCATGCCACCTACGACGAGATCAAGTCCTTGTTACCCTTCAATCCCTTTGAAAAGCCCGAGAAAGAGCAGATTCAGGACTTTGATTCTCGAATAGACGTGCCTCAGGTCGTCTTCCTGGGCTTCGATGAAAGTGTCAAAGATGGCATGTCCTTCAAGGTCTTCACCGGCTCGCCTCACTGGGCCATCGACATTACACCCAAGCCAACGTACGAAAAGGAAGCCAATGAGCTGTCTGAGAAATTCCAGACTCAAGGCCTGAAATTCAGCGAGGGCATGAGAGCCATGAGTTTCCCTGCCGACGTTGGTACGTACCCCTCACATTGAATGTGCCCTGCCCGTGAGACTAGCACTGACGTTCTCCAGCGGCCGAGTATGCCCAAGGGCGGCATTATCTTGACTGGAATTACCGCAATACTTTCTGTGGAACCTGTGGTCACAAGACTTTATCTGTGCATGCTGGAGGCAAGCGCGTCTGTCCACCAACAGACAAGGCCGAGACCCCCCAGGAGCGAGAACCCTGTTCTACTAGAACAACCTTGTCCAACTTGACGTTCCCCCGAACAGATCCCACCATCATCGTCGCCGTCCTGAGCCATGACAGCAAGAGGTTACTCCTGGGTCGTCAGAAACGTTGGCCTCCATATTGGTTCTCCACTCTGGCTGGTTTCATCGAGCCCGCTGAGAGTGTCGAGGATGCTGTCCGTCGGGAGGTCTGGGAGGAAAGCGGGGTTGTCTTGTCGCGGGTCCTCGTTCATTCCACCCAGCCCTGGCCTTACCCAGCCAATCTGATGATCGGTGCCATCGCCCAGGTCGCCAGTCCTGAGGACGAGGTCATTAAACTGGAATACGATCCTGAGCTGGAGCTTGCCAAGTGGTTTACGCTTGAGGAGGTCCAAGAGGCTCTCAAATATGGCACCAGTGGCTTAGGTGACCCCGCCCCAGAAGGATATAAGGAAGGAGGGCTCAGACTGCCACCACCCACCGCCATTGCCAATCAGTTGATCACTGCCGTTGTCGAGGGTGGCTTCTTACAAGGAGTCACCCCGATCACTGGGAGTGGCAAGTTGTGATTCACGGTCGTTTTGACCACCACTGGTCCATTGGTCTAGTGCCTCGACGGGATACCTACTAGACCATAGGTCATAGATCGTCATAGACAGACTTGGTATATGTTTGCTACAGAAATCCTGTCGCCTTTCATGGAGCAGCATTTTAAATCAAGGGGGTCATTGTGTGCTAGAGCGACTTGATCTGAGGCCTCATTCGACCTCTGCAATCTGCTCTAAGGTCACGTGAGATTCTCTCAAACCACGCCGCTTTTACTCCTGCCCATATTTTCACTCACCTTAGTAGAGAGAGAGAGATCTTAATAAGCTACGCCCGATAATAAGAACCTTAGTATCTTCTCTCTTATTTTACTAACCCGACCGTAAAACCCGTGGGTTAACCGGGCCAAAGTCAAGGTCTAATTGGTGCCGTAGATTTCCCGACTATGGCTGAGCTTGGCATTTTGTACAAGATTTCTCACGAGGCTGAGATCGTCCTTTTTCTTCAATTTGATTACCTACTGTCCCTGAGTCGTACTTCTTTGCTAGACAATCAAAGTCGATCAAGCTCTGAATATGATTTGATAGTGGCCTTTTACACAATCGCCACACATGGCGTCCTCTCTTTTTTCTCAACGAGGACACGGTGCCTGCCTCTCCCTACACCTCAACCAGGACTGGCCTTCAGAAGAAGAATATGTCCAGTCCCTGCTCACATTCGCAACGGGTTCTGATATCTTTCGAAATCTGTGTGGTGGGGTACACATTCTTGACTTTTTGACTCGTGAGCCCGATCTATATACAACAGTCCTTCCGGAGTCGTGGCGGAATTGGTTTGACCTGGTGTCGGTTGACAATGTTCTCGATCTGCTGCTTCGCAGTGGCCTCTCAAAATTGTCTTCGAACACCACAACTCCTCTAGACCAAACTCTTCCGTCCCCTCCTGAGAGCCTTCTCGACTATGTCAGTATCATTCGAAAACACTGTTTGCTCCGCCAGTTCAAACCTATCTCGGACAAGATTGAGGAAGTTCCCACCCACATCGCTATGGGAATGAAGCCCAAGAAAGCCCACGAGGTCAAGAACTTTGCTGCCTATGTAGCAAATCTGTCGTCGTATGTTTCAGAGAGTCTTCAGGAGCCAATTGCTGTCGTTGACTTTGGCTCTGGTCAAAATTATCTGGGCCGGATGCTGGCAAGCCCTCCCTACGAGAAGCACGTGATTGCCATTGAACGCAGACATCATAATATCGATGGTGCAAGAAGTATGGACGTACATGCAAGGTTGGCAACCAAGGAGAAGATTATGCGAAATAAGAAGGAATGGAAAAGGCAATTAGCTTGGGCTAACGGTGTGCCAACTCCACCACCAGAGCAGGCCCAGCAACCTCTTATACAGGTGGTTCCAGATGTAAACTTGGCAACAATCGACCACCCAATCAAAGCCAATGCTTCCACATCTGGCTCAATGACTTATGTTGAACATGACATTCAGGACGGCCACCTGGAGGATATTCTCTATCCCTCAATGGCCGCCGCCATCCCACATGAAAATGGATCAGACGCCGTCATACCCACCCGGGAAGAGACCAAAGCTCGCCCAAAAGCCATGGTCGTATCTCTTCACTCGTGCGGTAATCTTGTTCATCATGGCTTACGCTCCCTGGTTCTCAACCCTTCTGTCTGTGCCGTGGCAATGATTGGATGCTGCTACAATCTACTCACTGAGCGCTTAGGGCCAGCTACTTACAAGTTGCCCCAGCTGCGGCCTAATCACCCGCGCCTCGATGCAACTGGAAATGCGTACGATCCTCACGGGTTCCCCATGTCTCAAACTTTGGAACACTTTGAACATGAACAAGGTCGAGGGGTTAAGCTCAACATCACCGCTCGAATGATGGCGGTCCAAGCACCATATAACTGGGGGCCAGATGACAGTGAAGCATTCTTCCGCCGTCACTTTTACCGCGCCCTACTCCAGCGCATTCTTCTCGATGTTGGCGTTGTCAAACAGTGCTCGGATCCTTCAAGCCTTGCAGGTGGGAGCATCACTGGAAAAGACAACAATGGCACACCTCTCATCGTCGGATCCTTACGCAAGGCATGCTTTGTCAACTTCCAAGCCTATGTCAAAGGAGCCCTTGAAAAGTTGAGAAATGACCCTGTCGACGGTCCCACAATCACCCGGCTGACTAAGGATATTACCGCAGAGACCATCCAGCGGTATGAAACTGATTGGGCTTTTGCCAAAAAACGTCTAGCCATCATCTGGAGTCTGATGGCTTTTAGTGCTGGCGTTGTTGAGAGTGTGATTGCTGTTGATCGATGGCTGTTTCTCCGCGAACAGAAAGATGTTGCTCAATGCTGGGTTGACACGGTCTTTGATTATAAACAAAGCCCGCGCAATTTGGTCGTCGTGGGAATAAAGAAGAAGCAAGAAGATGGTAACTGGAAAGATTGAGATGAAGATCTTGTTTGGACACTTCTATCGCAGGCTGGAACCATTTCGCCTCCACGCCGAAAAAACACGTTCTTTTCTACAAGACTTGAATGGACGCTCAAGGGAAATACTATGCAAATGCCCGAACACCTCACTAATGCGTGACCTCGCTCAATACACCGCCAGAGACAAATGCTTTTCAGCCGCAGAACCACATTGCTAGCAGAAGACAACCATTGATGACCACATCACTCTTTGCAGACCCTTGGAGCTCTTAGTCATGTCTCAGAGGAAAGGCGCATTGTGGTAGTCCAAAATCGATGATGTTTGTCTCTTGTGGAGGAAACACTCCGGGCCTCGGACAGACAAATGCGTTCTTGCTGATATCTTGAAAATCGAGCTTCAACTGTCGGAGAAGGAAGGGCAGATCTGAGTTGAACTCAAATCCCGCACCGATTTGAAGACATCTTTGAGGCTGTCCAAGTTAGCCAAGAAGCTCGCAGCCACCTCTTTTGCCGGGGTTCTGTACTCACTCTGACGTCGCTGGCAAAGAATCGGAATTCACTGCACCCATCCGGGTCAACAGCACAGATATTGGTGTCACTACATTGGCTATTCGCTAAAAGACCGAGGGTGAGGCCTTGTTTCGACCAGATATCAGCAATGATGTTTGCAGCCTAAATTTTGAGATTAGCCTTGGATACAATCGTACAGCCATGAGACAGTGCGGAGATCCAAACGTACCGTTTGTCTGATGATGGAATCGGCCGCTTCTTGGATCAACTCGTCGTCGGTTTGAGTGATGGCATTGAGCAAATCACCATTCTGCAGGAACGCCACAGTCTGTCGGACTGTAGGATTGAAGAAAAGATCGGTGATCCCCGTGTCCATAAATCCTCTCAAAATGGCCCGCAGGTCTGCCTGCATAGGAGCATATGCTTCTCTCAAAGATTGGACGAAGGGCCTGCCATCGGCTGTGGGATCATCTGCAAGCAAAAGTCTGATATTTGAGCGGGTTGCTTGCTTCAGAGGATCAGCATTGAAAATGCAGAGGGTTATTGGAATGTCCCTACCTTTGCACCTGCTTGTAGGGTACCCCTCAATGCCAGAGCAAAGCTTCCACCTGCTCTAAGGACCGGCATGACCAACGAAACACCAGTGAAAAACCCCTGGAAGAAGGCCCCGACATCAAACTCCTTCCGGTTGCGACCAAAGGCTGTCGTGAAGACTGCTTTTGCTAGTTGTTGATTACTATCGACTGGTGATTAGCAGAGATCAACAGTAGATGAATCTGTATCTCCTCTCGAGATCTCCACCTTTTAGATCCGTCGCCAGCGAGCTAGCAACTCTGTGACCTGAGATCGACGGGCAATACCTACTTTCTGTCCCATGTCTCGATTGCACGATCATATCCTTTAATTTGAGCTCTGGTCAGGCGCCAGAAATTGTGCAAGGCGATGGAAATCCAAGGCCCTGTTGATTGATCGTAGGAGCCGCAATCCGTAGCCACGACGCAATTGTCATTCTCTCCGAGACAGCTGAAGCCAGAGGCTGGAGAAATGGCTAGCTCGTCTCGATAGAGTCGTCCTGTCCAATCATCAACTACATGATAGAAAGTCAGACACTTTGCGCTCAATTGTAGGATGCATGCCGAAGAACTCACTCGGAGGGTTTCTCGTCAGGTATTGCTCCAATACGCCATTTAAGCCCAGGAAGTCCCAGGTCACCTTCCCTTGCCCGTTGGGTAGCCCGTTGCGATTCGTTCGAAGCGTTCGACACATGTCGGCGTGCCAATTCAACTGGTCTTGCGACCATCGTGGCGTCAAGATCGCTGAATTCTGAGCAAGGATAGAGCAAGACCAGATTGATAATATCAGGATTGAGTATGATTGTGCTGAGCGTGGGAACATGATCATGACTGTGGAATGTGGAAAGAAAAAGAACTGCAAATAGGTTGTGTGTACCTAGGTAGCTAGGCGTGTGTAGGTTTGCGACCTCACGCCAGTAAATACAATGTATATACCACGAACAGTTGAACGAGGTCAACTTGTTCGGCAGATATTGTAATCAAAAGTCGATCTTAAAAGGGGATCTCATCTATAAGCCTGTGCGTCAGCCATTTGCACTGCCGAAACAACCAAGAATATCCTCAGTCGACACTAGAATGAACATTCAGATCCGCATAAGGAAATGCGCGGCTTTTGATTATCCATGGTCCTGATGATCCCTGGACAAGAGACTCCACGGCTCGTAAGTACCAGGGAACTTTCACTCCATAAATTCTTAGTCACCGACTTCATCGAGGCACAGCGTAGTGTCGGCAAACCCGAATGCCGTGTTATGAAACAGCCACATCTGGTCAACGAGAGACCATCTTCCACGCTCATGACATCCACGGGAAAAGCAAGACGGACGAGACTACTGGAAATCATTTGCCGTGGGACGGGCTACACATCCAAACCCTTGTTGATTCGGTAGATGAAACGCGGTCTCTCCATCCATACTATCCTCTTGACCTGCCCGAGATAGAGGCTGCTGAAACAAGCACTCTACAATAGGAAGTGCGTATGCATAAGATTCGTTTTCGGGACCTCCCGCTCATGCATTTCCCATGTACGGAGTATCCTTCCAATCGGACTGCTGCTCCAAACTTTCCGCACTACCGCTTTGGGACAGATACTTAGAAATATAGAAATGGGTCTAGTATAACAATAGTTGGCGCCATGGGGCAATGCGCCTAGAATTGTCGGGTATGTGGATTGTTTTCCACTGCAGATTAATCATCCCTCCATATTTCCACGGACTGGGGACGTCATGGAAGGAGGTGAGGGAAGTAAACTGTCCAACAAGAGATCCCGCTGTCGCTTCGCCCTGCCTCAATGCCTGCTTCATCTCAGCAAATGTGGAGGTGGATGGCACCCTTGAAGAGGCTGTGATTGCCACAACTCTATATTTGACTGGGGCTTTGACTGGTGCTTCAGACACCTGAAACGGTATCACACAAGCCTCATTTTGTTTGCCTGGCTTCATTTTAGTCGCAAGGCTTGATTGCTCGCTAGGCTTGTAGGCAGTGACAGAATAGGATACGGGCTTCAGGCTGGTGAACACCCTAGCTCCCGTCATTTCATATAACAATCCTTTCCCCAACAACTGTTCTGCCCGCAAAACAAACAATCACGCACATTGACATAAGTATCACACCTAGATTATGGAACCTCTTCGCCAGCCCTATCGTGGGAGTGTCGAGCCGAATAACCAGGATCACCACGACCATGGTACTGAATACTCTCACAACCAGCAGGAGCATTCGAATTTTTTATTGAATGCCCAACCACCATTGCCGCCCCCATTAGGATCACAGGCCTACAGAGACCGAGTTGATCGCCAGTCATACCTGTCTCCACCATCCAAATCCAGGAATTCACACTCTCCGCCAACCACCGACAAAGACCATCCTCTAATCTATCGAACACGGCTCATTTTGCGAATCCTCAGCTTTATCCTCTCTGCTGCTCTAGTGGTGGTTCTGAGCCACGCTGTTTCAGTATATTACTCGTCTAAAGACGATGATACATTCGATGCCAGTTTGCAATTGACATTGCCGGTCTGGCCGAGGGAGATGAAGATGCAGCCAACCTTGTTGCTGTTGGGAGCGGCGAGTGTGGCGACCCTCTTAAGTGGAATTATTTGTGTCGCGAGTTTCTCAAAGGTGGTAGGTTTCTCCTCCTGCTCCTCCTACTCCTCCTACTCCATTGATCCAAGATCAAATCCTGAATTTGATTCTCTGTCCCTGACCGTTTTCACCATTTACAGATTCGCCGCCTTACCCCAACCTCGGCCGCTGTCTCCCTCGCCATCTCCCTCATCGCCACTCCATTATGGATCGCCGTGGCTGTCTACTACAAAGTCGACGACCTCGACCCATCCAAGCAGTGGGATCTACTGTCTTTTACCTGTGGCCGTCGCCATGATTCCACTCTTGATCGTGCCATTGGTAACCTAGGGTCTTTGTGTCTCCAGATGCGGTATGCTTGGTGGGGCGCGCTGGCCATTGGTGTCCTAGAGGTATTGACTTTGTGCATGGCCGTCTTCATCTGCTTGGCGGGCCGGAAGAGATTCTCGACTTCGATGTCTTCTGGAAAAAGAGAAGGCAGAAGTTTCAACATGTCTGTCCCCCGAACTGGAGGCGGTTACCAACAATTGAAAATGGAGAATTGACGATAGATCACACAAAGCCTTCAGGCCAAACATACATTTGCATGTTTGGTTCTTGAGCGACCTTGTATCTAAAAGCACTCGATGGCATGTCTCTAACGGTTAGATGTGGATGGTTGACATGGGAGAACTTCTCAACTTGTCGATGTTTATGGCGTCTGGGTATTCACAACGTGCCTCGATATAGGCGATGATGATCAAAACCCATATTTATCCGTCAGCCGATGTTCATGGGGAGCTAGTATCTTAATCGTTCGCCATTGACATTCATACTCATATCCATCAGCCGATGTCCATGACGTCCCAAGGTTCATAACGTTCATCGATGGCAGTGAGGTAGTTATTGAGCTCAAAGGAGTAGATGCTGATGGACACCGAATGAATATATCCAAACGATGCACGATGTTCGTAGGGAAGCAATGAGCCTTACAACATTCGGTGAGTATGTCTAATGGAGATGTATCGAATCCAGACCCGATGTCCACTGTTGGTCCAATATCCAATGTTTGTCTCCCCACTAATCTGCATTCCTTTGCACGATCTTCACCCCAGGGGGTTGATGTGATTTATCCATTCGTTGACACCAAGCACATTTGGATCCAATCCATCCTCTGGCTGCGACATTATCATGTTGTAGCGTATCTCTTCAAAGTGTCTTTCAATCACAGTGGTTGCAATTTCTTCTGCTTCCTGCAGCGACGGCGGTCCGGTAGAATCACTGCCACCCTCATTCCACTCCACAAAAACTCCCTCGCCACCAGTCTCCAGTGAGTAACGACGGAAGGTCTCCAAATCCTCGACACCAGCGATGATTCTCATGGCGCTATCGTCGATGGTGACTTTCAACGGTGCTTTGTGACGGCGGGCTTCAAGCAACATGACCACGTTATGCATTGTGGCCGACCAATATTCACATCGGATTGATTCCAGGCCCTCGGGCGTTTCTGGGAGTTCAAAGAGGTCCGGCATGCCTAGTGAATCTTCCTCGATTGTTGAAGTGGCATCGATAGTTGCTGACATCGTTGATACTAAAAACGCTGCTGTGGCGATTGTCTCTCTAGCGTCCGTCAACACCAAGTCGTTTTCCATCCGATGATTGTTGTCAAGGTAGCGAACCAGAGACCTCCGCAATTCCTCTTCTTTTGTTGACAGCTCCCTGTACTACAGTGCAGTCATGTCGTTGTTCTTCACCAACTCTGAGAAGACGTACTCGTCCAGATTGCTTTGGCCCTGGTCGGCCTTTTGCGCCCTGGCTTTGGCGTTGAAGTCGATTTTGGTGGCCACCTCATGCCAGTCAAGAAGGAAGGGGTGGTCGGCGGGGCGAAGATCGGGGTCAGTGGGGGAAACGTAACGATTGCGCTCGCTGACGTTCCGAATCGTGAATCTGGTTGATCCAGCAGCATGTAAATGCCCTGTGACAATTCGTACAACTTCTGGATCTCCCTTGTAGACCCCGAGAATAACCTCAAAGGAGTCAGGAACCCCCACAAGTCTTCCATTGTCGTAACGATTGCCGTTGGCAATATGTTTGGTCTCAGTTGTAGGAGTCATTGTGGATGGGATCTGTCGATTCTGAGGGAGAAGGAAGAGACAGTGGCCGTTTGGTGACGACGAGGCTTGAAGACTGACAAAAGGCTGAAAGAACGGATGCGAGGCTGTTCTATCGTAATGATCAAAGTCTGGCAGAGAAACAATTTTGCTCTATAATGAAATCAGATGAAACGTGTGAACAATAGCCCAGCCGCACCTTGCGGCTCAGAGAGCCACAAAGACACTGCTACCTTGGCAAGTAGGGCTCATATGTGATTCAGCAGACTGGTTACTAGCAGCAATGACGCTTTTTCATGCTCCTTTCACATTTTCAGGGCCATGAAGCCCCAATTGGAAAACTTGGTCACCGAGGCCATGACTTATCATCTATATCTCTCACTAAAGGAACAATGGATGCAGGCTGGCCAAACGGAGACCATGATAACTAGATCCGGTAGGATAGCAGAAGTATGTCCTCTTCTCTGGGCTTTCCGAAGCAAATGATCAATTGAAGGCCTGGAAAGCCTGTGTACCTTACAGAAAAGACCGTCAATGACTTCTATCAGCGACCCAAAGTCATGAAAACAACTTTTGGAGCATGAAAGAGGCTATACTATTCTGAAACTATGGTCTGGCTGCCATCATTTGTGGGTATGATCATCATTCATCATGAATTTGAGACAGTCGGTGGTTATTGGAGTCCTATCCACTCCCCGTCGTCTCCTTCTGTATCCATCAAGCTCCTATTTTCAAGGCTGTGGGACTTGGCTGTCAGGTTCATAGCATGGTTCCCATTCTGTTTTGGACGCTGCTGACAGATAAAGTCAATCTCGAAAGCGTTCCTCTCTGACAGATTGCGAACGGTTTTGCCAATTCCATCCACGCCACGCAAAACAGCTCGAAGTTCACTTGCGTATTGACCATGCCTTTCTTTGATAAAGCGACCATGGACGCTCAAAACCTCGCTGACCCACAGCAAAGCAAATTCTAAATGAGGGCTGTGCTCCATCTGTTGCCCTATGAGTGACAAGAGTCGTCCTAGATATACCGGTGGAAGCTCTCGAACCACAAGGGGTATAGCCGAATGTGGTATAGCTTGATACGCTTGCCGTGTGAGGTTGCGGTCGTTCAACCTAAAAGCCATGACAAGAGCCTTCAAGTAATCCGGTTCGGCATGCTTCAAGATGGTGCGAATGTTCTGTGGCGTCACATCTATGTCCAACTCAAATGGATCAAAGTCTTCCATGCCGGTGTCGTCGAGACTGAAGATCAACAGACCTTCAGTACTACAGGCGCAAAAGCTCCTCCCAGCAGGAGAAAATTCGATCCCTGTGACTCTAACTTCATGCCGAAGTGTTCTCGCTGTTGCGTCTTTGCCCCGTTTCACACCTGGAAGACTGCGGTCGATCCGATCATCCAAATCACTGGCCTCTCCCTCGGTATCTAACATATCGCGAGGAAGCCCATGTGACATTATAGCTGAAGAGTTGAGAAACTCCTGTGTCCCATCGAGGCTCAAATTGATTGAAACGGTGAACTTTTTGACAAGAGTCAAAGTGCTGACCGCGTACAAGCAGATGTACTTGCTGGCTCCTGCGGCAAGAAGACATGTCCCATCCGCCGAGTATGTGATCGTGTTGAAGGACTTTGTTCCAGGAGTCGAAGCAGCTGTGCGGCGAGAGGTGAGAGTGCGTCCCCCACTTACATCACGACGACCATCGACGCCGGAATCTTGGACGGAGGTACTGAGGTTCCAAAAGGTGATCTGGCCATCTAGAGTTGACGCAGCCAGCTGAGCTGAATCTGGTCGGACAGTCACGCAAAGTAAGTCGGATGTCAGTTGAAGGACCTCAGATGTTTGGGAGCGATCAAAGACCGACCAGACACGAATAGTACGATCCCAAGATCCCGAGACCAAATATCGTCCATCGGGAGTAAACGCAAGCGTCGAAATGGGACCTTCATGGCCCGAAAGCTGATCAAGTAGCGCGCCGGTTTGGACAGACCACAAATGAATGTCGAAAGAATCGTGGGAGGCTGCACATACCACTTCGGCAGAAGGATCTATAGCCAGGCAGGAGAACGAAAGGCGTGAGGGTGCCGTGAATGTTCGGAAATTTCGATATCTCAGCATATCCCAGGCTCGCACCGAGCCGTCAAGAGAAGAAGTAAACAAGATATTGCCTCGTTTCGAATAGGCCGATGCGGTGACGGCAGAAGTGTGTTCGTTGAAGGTGGCAATATGAAACCCGGAGGAGACATCCCAGATCTTGATTAGGCCATCATCGGCACCGGTGATGATGCGCGTCGAGTCTGGAGAATAGGACAAGGTGGTCATGGTGTCTAAGTGTGAGGATTGTTTTAGGATATTGGATTCAGAAGCATGCTCCCAGACCAGTAATTGTCCGGTCTTGGAAGAGCCGAGAGCCAACCATTCGCCAGACTGGTTAATAGAGGTTGCGGAGATTGGTGAGGCGGCCATGGACAGGCTATGGATGGTGGAAAAGGAGGGTAGTTCGTAGATGGAAAATAGACCATTGGCGAAACATACGGTGAGAAGAGAAGTCCGAGGATGAAAACACGCACACTTTAATTTTGCGTTTTGCATGAAGAAATCACGTTGGACAATTCTCCATTTCTCGTCGTTGAGGTTGGAAGGTTCATCAACATCGTCATCTGGCCGAGGCACAAACTCCCAACGGAACAGAGCACCATCTTCACTGACCGTAAAGATGGACTCTTGATTGGCCGAGAACCATGCACCCCTGACCTGTTGTCTATGTCCAGCAAGAACAGTTGGCTCAAAGCCTTCTTCAGGGTCCAGACTCCATAACCTTGCCGTTAAGTCTTTGGAGGAGCTGACGAAAAAACGAGAGTCACCAGACCAAGACAGATGCCTGACTTGGTCAAAATGACCGCCGTACTCTCGGTGTAGAACGAATGGTGCAAACTCAAGCTCGCCATTAGCGCTGCTGGTCGGGGTTGATGGTGTTCTCCAAGCTTGTATTTTTCTACCCAACCCCACCACAAAATAACGCCCATTGGGAGAGAAGGCTAGGGAAGAGATTGGAGACTTGAAGGTGAAATAGTATATGGCTAAGCGTCGTTGAAACACAGACAATATGGCTCGACCATCCTCGTCAATGGTTAGGAGTAACTTGCCATCTGGGGTAAGGTCGAGGTGGGTGATGTTTTTGCGATGGGCAAAGGGTAGGGTGTAGCTCGTGTTCCTGAGATTTTGTCAGTTTATGCTACACATACTGCGTGGAGCAACATTACTTGGTCAGGTTGAACACGGATACCCTGTTTCCCACTGGTGAGAGTAATGAGTTGCCATCTGGAGTGAAGACGAGGTTGCCCCGGCCATAGACAGTGCCGAGGAGGTTGGAGAACTGCACAAAAGAGTCAGAGATGGACGAGAACTACTGCCAAACATCATCATACCTTGAACTCGGTCTTCATGGTGCCATGGTGGAAGAACAGTTGGGTGCGACAACATATGCAGGACACATGGCATGACAGACTGCGGTGCGGGCAACGATGAATAAAAAAAGTCATGTCGGAGAAAAGATTCTGGGATGCCGAGGCTAGTCCAGAAATGGAATGGTGGGATCCGGGGAATTTTTTGGCGTGCCACGGCCGTGGCGTGCGTTCCTGCCATTCAGGGGCCCGTTTGGCTGGCCGGATTGGATTCAGGGCAAGGCAGGCGCAGCCCGAACAAGGCAAAGGGAAGGAAGGGAAAGTGGAAGGTACGACCCAAAATTGAGTTGAAGCCCCTAATAAGTTTATCACAACTGCAACTCACCACAATACTCTCATCTCTCCTAACAACTCCCACACTTCTGTCCATCACCAATTCTGTCCTGTCAGCGCTTTCTTCGTTTGGTTTGCATCCCCTTATCTCCTCTCCAACCTCTACAACGAAAGAATAATCATGTCCCGAACCGCCCAGCAACAGCCCCAGGGCGAAGCTGCCTCCCCCATCGGTATTGCAAACCTTCCCAACCAAAGACACAAAATCGTCGCAAAGAGAGGGGCAGCCTTTACTATCATGGTATGACACCTTTGGGAATGTCCACTCACTTTTGGCTCTTGCTGACAACATGACCAGGTCGCTGGCGAATCTGGACTGGGCAAGACAACCTTTATCAATACGCTCTTCTCAACCACTATCAAGAACTACCAAGATCACAAGAGACGACACGCAAAGCAGGTTGACAAGACTGTCGAGATTGAAATCACAAAGGCTGAGTTGGAAGAGAAGTTTTTCAAAGGTAGAGCGAACTCCACAACGTTTACTTTAAACCCTCGTCTGATTCATCTTCTTTAGTCCGTTTGACCGTCATCGACACTCCTGGCTTCGGCGATTATGTGAACAACCGCGACTCCTGGCAACCAATCATCGAGTTCTTGGATGATCAACATGAATCCTATATGCTTCAAGAACAACAACCTAGGAGGCAAGAGAAGATTGATCTTCGTGTTCATGCCTGTCTATACTTCATTCGCCCAACCGGTCATACCTTGAAGCCTCTGGACATTGAGGTTATGAAGCGCCTCTGCTCCCGCGTCAACTTGATCCCCGTTATTGCCAAAGCAGACACCTTGTCCCCCGCCGACCTGGCTCGATTCAAGCAGCGCATTCGAGCAGTCATCGAGGCCCAGGGCATCAAGATCTACCAACCTCCTATTGAGGATGACGACGAAGCGGCCGCTCAACATGCTCGAGCATTGACTGCTGCAGTCCCTTTCTCCGTCATTGGCAGCGAGAAAGACGTCAAGACTACCGACGGACGTATCGTCAAGGGCCGCCAGTATGCCTGGGGTGTTGCTGAGGTGGAGAATGAGGAGCACTGTGATTTCAAGAAGTTGCGGTCCATCCTGATCCGAACCCACATGCTGGATCTCATTCACACGACCGAGGAGAATCACTATGAAGCGTATCGTGCCCAGCAGATGGAGACGAGGAAGTTTGGTGAGGCTCGACCCCGCAAGCTGGACAACCCCAAATTCAAGGAGGAAGAAGAGGCACTTCGCAAGAGGTTCACCGAACAGGTCAAGGTGGAGGAGCAGAGATTCCGCGCTTGGGAGCAAAAGTTGATTGGAGAGCGAGATCGCCTAAACAAGGACCTGGAATCGGCTCACACCGCCATCAAGCAACTAGAGCAGGAACTCGAGCAGATGCAAGGCAGTGCAGCCAGAAGCCATGGTCGCCGTGGTTAGCCAGGAGCTTGTTGCCTGTGCGTGTAGAGGAGTGGCAAAAGGAAAGGACCGAATTCTGGCAATTCCATCTTATCCAAAGGATCTAAGAGCGAGTGGAGATGAGCGAATGAGCTTTTGATTTCATCAAAGTGCGTCCTCGATCATGGTATAGAAGCCATTTCAGTATTCAGCACACCATGAATTATTTCTCCTAATGTCATGTGTTTATGGTTGATTCTTCATTGAATTTTATGGTTGAGGAACCAGCTGATAAAGCTCTGTTTCTCGATTTTCGAATCAGAGTTTTGATGTCTATTGCAGTTGCCATCTCTCGGCGTCTAGTGGTTGATGCCTGCTCCTCAGCCTCGTCGTGTAATATACACGCGAAAGAGAGAGAAAGATTCCTGACATTCTCAGCCCGAGGAACCAAACAGTTGTCTACTGATGTGACCGTTGACTCCTCGGCCACCCATAGGATCAGGCCTTCCCTTGCTGTCCTCACCATCTCCTTCGACGAAGCGGTCGGCGTCGGCAAAGCCTTCGTCGACCTCGACGTCATCCGGGTTGTCAGCCTTGTTGGCCAACCCCATCCACGCATTCATCTTCTCTCGCTTGAATTCCTCAAAGTCCCACTCCTTGGTTTCGAGCTTTGAATCTCCGTCTATCCAAACATATGCCTGAGCCAGTACGTGTTCGACCTCGGTGGTATCGGTGTTATTGTTGATGTTGTTCACCTCTTGGCCGTGACCTTTCTCGTCTTTGGGCTCTGGTGCCGGCTCATCCAGTTTGGTTTCTTTCAGAACAAGTACCTTGACTGTCTGTCGGTCGTACTGAGAGCCTTCGAAGAGGTCAAGCCGAGCAAGGTCTACTGATTTCAGGCCCGATACGATGGTGCCCCGCACGCATGATTTCGGGTCCGCGTGTGGAATAATGGCGGGATAGTCCGCCCAGCGTACACGGTGGCGCTGGAAGCCATATAGAAGACCAGGCCGGACCGTCAGATATTCACGTTGCCATGGATCTGGGTTGACGGTTCCATGGATTACACGGTGGAGGACACCGGGAGCCATCAATGTGCCTAGAGGAAGTGAGACCCAGAGTGTTAGTTTGCTGTGGGACAAGGAGGGGTAGAGGAGTGGGAGTCCTATATTTCAGATCGGATGAGGAGAGAATTACCATAGAAGAAACAAGTGTTGTTGTCAGTGTTGTCAGCCATGGCTCTTTCCTTTGGACCAATGGAGGAGAAGGAGTCTCTGAATAGCCCTTGTGGTGGTTCTGGTGTGTGGTAGAAATTGCACCGTGGCCAGTAGATTTCGAAAGTTGCGAGATTGACAGTGTTGGAATGAGCAATCAAAGTGACCTAGGAGGGAGAAAAAGAGGAATGTATATAAGAAGAGAGTCGCAGCGCCGAGACTACCTGTAAAGATGTCTTTACACAACCTCTCCGGATGGTTGAGGTATGAACTCAACGGAGAAGAACAGTGAGGCGGGGTCTCGTGGCGGTGGCGGCAAGTCAAGACCCAAGCAAGATATACAAGGTCTTACTCGCCGTGGACCACTTGCGGGTATTGGGAGGATGGTAGGAAGATAAGATGAGGTTGAGGGTGGAGGGAGAGCACGCGGCCAAGAACAGGTGTTTTGGTCTCCGCGAAGTGGAAGAGATGAAGGGAATTTGTGACTGGAGTGTGGTAGTGTGGCTCTGATATCAAACCCTCACCTGTTCTACCAGCCTTTCATAGTACTCACAAGTCATATCAACATCAAATCACAGATTATCATCGACTCACATCTTATCATAGCAGTTCGCCTTGTGTCATGGCTAAGATTACCGCGTCCAGAAATTTCTTACATAGGGAAGGTCTGCCGATTGATAAGTTTGGATGACAACGGAAGGTGGGGGGCAATAGTTTCAGCCTCGTAGCCTTGTTATCAACATGTCCCGTGTCACAAGATTCAGCTCTCATGTTAGGAGTATAATTATTTTGAAGACAGGACAGATGGAGAGTATTGAAAACACAGGCAGCGATGCAATATTAAAATCTCTTATTTATTCTTAAAGGCTATGGATATTTCCTCCCATCATACTCCAGCATCAGGTCATAAGGGCTCTTCATCCTCTAAAATAGAACAATCAACGCCAGGCTGTGGTATAGAGCAAGAACAAACAAAAGAGAAGGACGAGTAGAACGCCTGAAAGGGTGGAAATCCTCTAGCAGAAGCATGCAGATATGTCATCCACGGCTTCAATGCTTTGAACTCCATCCCAGGACTAGAACAATAATCCGCCGAGGAGAACACCACCAAGAAGACCACCGGCGACAGGCAGACCAAGGCCGCCACCCCGATATGGACCATAAGGCCGGTTGTATGCATAGGCTGGTCGCACAAATCTGACGTTGGGGTTCGCATAGAGTCCACGTGTATAGGGGTTGATTCCATAACCGCCATAACCACCGTAGCCAGGCCCATTGGGTGGCTCCACATAGATTTCCCGTCCATCCCGGTCTCGAGCGAAGAACTGCGGCTGACCGGTAAGCTGTGCTCTCTGCATCGCTTCCCGGAATCGGACGTGGGCTTCATAGTATCGTCGCTCTTCCTCATCCCGCATTTGACGCTCTTGAACTCGCTCATCATGTGTCATGCCTGTAACTTTGTCCTTGAACTTCTCGCCGAAGCTTTTCTTGGGTTCAGCTTTAGAGTTGGAGCCGCTCGGTCTTTCGGGTAGAGGAGGATATTCATGTCGCATAGATGGGCTTGGTGGCGGTTGGGTTTGTCTCATCCGGCTCTCTTCGTCTTGAAGTCGCTCTCGCTCCTCAGAGCTTAGGTTCTTGAGAACTTGTTCGTTGTCGAGAGGATGCTCCCAGTATGAAATGGGAGGATTCGCCGTCGTATCAACAAAGAACTGGTGGTTTTCTTTAGGGTCATATTGTCGAACCCACCCTCGCGGCAGAGGTCTTTGTAAATCTTCCATAGATCGACGGGCCTCTGCGGGGATGCCATTCTTGGCCTGCGGTACTTCGAGGTGGGTTGATGTTTGAGGTTTGGTTGATGCGCCCGAGGAGCCGGTGGCTGCCTCGTACGATGGGGGAGGTTCAGAGGGCTCGGGCATGTTGGATGTCTTGCAGGAATGGGTAGAAAGTGGAGGATGGCACTGTGAGTGACGCAGGAGACCAGGTAGAAATAAAGGGTGAATGCTTGTCAGTGTAGATGCCTACAACAACAAAGAGATGATGAGGGAATATGCTCGAACAGCGAGAAGCTCCTAGGGAGGCTTAGAAGCAATCCAAACTGTAGCGATTCGTTGACTTTTGTGTTTCTGATGCTTGTATGATGAGGGTGACGTAAGTGTTCCTCTGTTGCACCAGTCGCGCCTTCCAAGTCCAACTTAAGCTTCGGAATAGGCGGATAAGTGTGGCGGAGAGAAGCTGCGCCACCCGTGGACACTTGTAGTCACGTGCATCGGACCCTGACAGCCTGATTCGCATTTGTCAGTAAAGGGGATGGCATGTCACGTGCTGAATCTCAGCATTTACACATTGATCATGCTGAATACTCCAGAGGTCGTTCATGTCGTCGTCTCTCAAAATTTTATGCAGGCTTTCCAGGCTTGGAATATTTACTGTAAAAGCCTTCCTTGGCTCCACAACGCGAGTTGATCACCCTCAAGATCCCGGGAACGGCAAACTCCTCCAGACAACAAGATGGGCACTCGGCGCTCCTGGTCTATCTATATTCGGCATTGTTCTGTGATTATCTTGATCCTTCCTTTCATAGTTGAGTACTATAGCCAGCGACAACTCATCATCTAACCGCCATTGTATTCGATCTGTCAAAGATTAATCACAGACAGCGGATGGTGAAGGGCACGAACAGCCGCGAATCGTGTGGATGCGGACGAAGACAGGATTTAGTGACTACTTAGGCTGCAGTCTGGCTTATCTGTCTGTACCTGCGGGCTGATTGGTCTCTGGGAATTGATATAGATGCACGATCGGCCTCTCTTGATACTAACACTCAATTGCCCATCAAGCCCACTCTTGAACCAGCCCAAAAAGATGCCGGTGCGCCGTGCCTGCTACATGAAGTCCAAGATCCTTCTCATTCATCAGCGACATGCCTTTCACCTTGTCAAGAAGCCTCTGGCTCCCGCACAAACAAAGAACGTGTGAAGCCAACGTCCTCGGCTGTCGACACACTATCAGCTTTCTCTTGTGCGTTAGGATCGATAGGGTGGTAATGAAGCCGATTAATGAGAAGAGCCAACCGAATCCGATCATGATGTAGCAGTTGCGCAAGATAATGCTAGGCACATGCGACCGAATGCTGAGGATATTGTCGTAGAGGGGGGTCCAAACAGGCGGGAAGAAAACCATGGCAAATTGCTCGAACAAGCTGATCAAGCTGGCATACGTGAGTTCACCAGCCGATGTCTGTGCTTGAGCTTGGTTGACTGTATCTGATTAATACCTCTTGGTATCATTATACACGCAGAATGTCGATGGTGGATTCGACGGGTATTATTTCATCCTCAGAGATTCGCAGGGTTCCCCATGGTGAGACTGAGGAATTTCACAATGTCATCCACACCTTGAGGCTCGTTCACCCAATGACCCCCATCCGCGTACTCGTGCAATTGAGCGTTCGATTGTAAGGAATGCACTAGGACATCCCGCATTCGCCTTCCATTCTTAATGGGTACAGTGTCGTCATCGATTGAGTGGCCGAGAAAGATGGGAGTAGACCGGAGGAACGGCGGTGATGGTTCTTTCGTGGTTTGATGACCGAAGTAAATGCTCTGAACTGCATTGAAAAGCTGCTCGTCATTGGCACTAGATGCTTTGAGATCTTCGACAAGGTTGGAGAAAGGCATCCAGCTACATAGGCCAATTAGGCCAGCGAACCCCTGACCGTTTGCGAAGAAGGTAGCCAACGCTGTCGCGAATCCCTGGCTTATACCTCCTAAAAAGATGCTTTGTCGAGGCACATGAGTTTCTTCGGTTCTTATCACCTCCAGCAAGGCGCTAACACTTTGTTTCAATCCATCCCTTTGAATTTCGACTTGCTCCTCAGGATCCTCGACTGACCATATATCGAACCATTGCGACATCGTGATATCGAAGCGTTTCGAGTAAAGAGCTGGTGCTGTGGGAAACACCCATCTGATACCTGGAAACAAATCTGGAAGGGTGCGTGGTCTCCCAGTAGGCTCGGATGCCTCGCTCTCGAAGAACTCGTCCGCAAACTCTTGGGCGTCACTGTCTCGGCCGTGGAGGAAGATGATCGTGTGGGTGTGTTTGCTGGTCTCCATGTGAGTAACGACAGACATGTTGGCGGGATGAGTGAGTGTAGTCGTGATGGATATAGATATGGACGAGTAGATATGGAATGAGAAGATGAGAAAAATTGATAGAGGAGGGAAACTGGTTGTTATAGAAATGTATAGATCGGAGCATATGCTTGGGGTACTAAACTGAGAACTCCAGACAAATCAGGCTCCCGCCCAATGCGGCTACACTTGGGCGGAGACAGTACCAACTGTGTGGTAATTCTTTCAAGTGGTACGTCCAGATGATTTATGGATCGGAGGAGGTTTGTGACTCTTAGTTTTTAGGCTCAAAGAATCCGCGTGACTAAATCGGATCGGAGAGTTTAAGCATCGGCATTTCGTTGCCATCTCCACCTCTAAGGCTCCGTCCGTAGTTAGAAAAGAGCTTTTCTGAGGACCTCAACTCACTTCGTCTTAGGAGAGGGCACCAACAGTGACACGGCCAACGGGTCTGACGGTGAGGGATTTGATTAGGCAGCTCTCTCGAGTTTTTGGGCTTTGTCTTCTTACCTTGGTTCTTCCAAATAGTCTCTGGTTTGGCAGAGAGGATTTGTGAGGGTTCTATGAGTTCTGTACAACAGGCAGCACTGATGGGTGTTTGGCGTTTTCGGGTCAGAATTTCTTTGGGTATTGAACAAGACCTGCCTATATTTTGGTCTTGTTCGCCAGATGGACACGGTGTTCCTGTGCTGACTTGATTGACTGGTTGAATGAGTGGATTGTGCGACTGATGAGGCTCCTGCACAACATCTACTGTGATATTGGCCGAGCCCAGTTCAACTGGAAGAGCGGAATACTGATAGCCCTCTGGTTGTATCGGCGTAGCGTGATATTGGAAAGAAGGCAACTGTTAGACTTTTTGATAGGCCAGCTAAAAGAGAAATCTCTGGTAGCTTTGCGCTACTAGTCATATGTATGGTACCTTTTTATCCAACAAAATCAGTTAATGAAGAGAATATCAACGCAGTAGATAGGGGCAATCGTTGGACAAGGCTCTTTCATAAATGGCAATGGCGTTAATTAGCGAAGACAAGGATGAGGGAGCAGAAGCAATCCTTCTTCCGTGGCAAGTTCTATCCGACCTGGACGCAAGGGATCTGCGAGCACAACAACCCATGCCTGCAGGAGCTTGAGCATTACGGAGAACGTATTAACTCTCGTAGTGAGGGGTCGGGCTGAAGGTAATCATGCATTCATTTACAATGGGTGTACGTGCATGACATGACTGCAAAGATGTGTGATATGTCTGACGAAGGTCGATCCAGCCATGCTATACTCCGTAATTGGCGGAACGTTAACCGGAGGTGGGCAGGGCGCACTTTGACACAGGTCATTCACTCTACTCCGTAAGTAATCGAGACAGCCTCGAGCAAGCTTAACCAAGAATCTATCTTGCTTAGCTTGGTTGTCGAGGTCAGCACCGCCGAGCGCTAAGCCTACGAACGTCTGAGATACGAAGCAGATCAGGCGGTAATTAGATAGAAACGGACCGGAAGGAAACGCCTCAATGCTAATAACAGGCGACCATCCTATCATTTTCCACATCATCTTTCATCTGCCCTAATACCTGCTCAGTCGCCATCGCTAATGCGATAGCCAAGTGCCTCAGATCTTTCTCCGCCTTCGATGTTCTCAGCTTCTGCCAGTGGTAAGATTGGCTGTGTACCTTTCACAAAATCCGGGTGGCCCATTCTCTTGGTGAAGACGATATCTTCTGGTCCTTGAATCCGAGACCGCTTCCCACCTGATACGAAGTTCATGGGAAAACCAAGATCGAACGGATATGCTCCATCGATTTCCTCGATCTCTTCTTGCGACAGCTTCACAGTTAACGCTTCAATGTTGGATTTGAGATGTTCCACTTTCCTGCCTCCAACAATCGGAAATGTATAAGGTGCTTTGTGCATCACGTATGCTAGAGCAATCGATATCAAGGGTACAGGTCGGCGGCGGGCGTTAGCAATCCTTTCCAATACTCGACTCACTTGCTCTTCTGTTCCGAGAGACAGGGACGCCATATTTCGCCCGGCTTCACTTATCCCACCTCGTTGTGTCGGCTTAAACATCCCGCCTCCTAATGCCCCCCACGGTGCAATGCCCATTCCCTGGTCCAGACACATTGGAATGATGTCTCGTTCAAAATCTCGTACCGCTGCAGACCATCGTCCTTGATAAACAGAGAATGGTCGCAGTCCATGGAATCTCGCGTATTCATTGGCTTTGACAACGACCCAGGCTGGCGTGTCGCTGACGCCAAGGTACAGTATCTTTCCACTGGCCACCAGATGGTTGAGACTTTGCATGAGTTCCTCCACGCCCGTAGTGAAGTCCCAATAATGAACATACAACAGGTCGATATAACTGGTCTGCAACTTCTGCAGCGATGCATTTACACTGGTCAACAGGGATTTGGAATTGTTGGATCCAAAGTTGGATTGCTGAAGCCTTGGATCCGACAACACCTTGAAGCCATTAGTGAACTTGGTAGCAATCACCATCTCATCTCGCCGCTGCGACCCTCGAGACATCAGCCACTCTCCAATCCACTGCTCTGATTGCTCGGCCTGGTAGTCGTTGGCCCTGTCGACGATCAGCATCTATGACACTCTGACACGCGCCAAACGCAGCGGGGACTCACGTGTCCAGGAAATTGCCGCCCTGTTCATAGAAGTAATCCAAAATCTCGAATGCAGTCTCCTTGGTGCATTTCCCAAGCATGTTCTCCCATGCTGTGCCAAAGTTCATTGCACCGAGACATAGTGGACTCACAAGGACTCCAGCACTCGGGGCGAGGAGGCGATGCCGCCCCAAGGGTGATATGGGCAGAGGTGCTTCTGGTGTCGTCAGTATAGGTGCTGGTGGTGTCGTCATGCTGCGATATCTCTGATGAAGTGTAATCAAAGTCGTAGCTGTTGGGCCTGATCTACACTAAAGCTCTTGGTCGAAGGGGGCTCGGCTCGAGTTATAGCATTGCAAATACTCGACGGGCTTAGCGGCGATAGAGGTTGATGTATACGGAGTACACATAACCCCGCCTTGGCAAAAGGCTTCGAAGCAATTACAGAACACCGATCATTGCTTTGCTGAGCCTTGCATACATTCTAGATGATGTGGCTGTATTGCTATTGGGCGTAGAGACAGAAGGTTTCTTCTTGTTGGTAAGGGGAGACATCTCCAGTCTTTCGTGGCGGCTGGTTATCACCGAGGACTGCGAACGGGCCATTCTTGAACATGTTCCATTGACTAGATTTGCTCAACGCGGCTAATGTATACTTTATACTCACTATGAGTGCATTTTGTCATATTGCGCCAGCAAGTATCTGATCATGTTATTAGATTGTGCCGCAATTCGCTCTCGGGTGTGATTATGATTCTGGGGCATTTTTCCGGCCGAATGGCGGGCCGCAAAGCTTTGCTGTGCCGAGTCTTATCTGGCTATTTCTTGCATTACATCTCCCTACACTCAAAGCCGTAACGAGATTCTCCTCCAATTTCAAGCAGATGGCTGAAGATTACCCAAAGATGCCTATCCAAAGCAAGCAATGGGTTCTTAATGGGAGTGGAAGTCTCGACAGTCTGAAATGTCAGACTGTCTCTATTCCAGCATTAGGTCAACACGATGTTCTGGTCAAGCTCAAGGCGGTGTCGCTGAACTACCGTGATCTGGCTATGGCCTTGGTAAGACTTCATTTCCCTCTTCTACAGACCATCATTGTACCAATAGACATAACGAGCACCTAGCAGCCACAAAATGCGTTCGAAGGATCTGACCGCTAATTATTGCGCCTCGGACAGGGCAAATATCCTCGTGCACAACCACCCGGAGTAGTTCCAGGCTCCGATGGCGCCGGCGTCGTCGTTGACGTAGGTAGTGGCGTCACTGAGTTCAAGCTCGGTGATCGGATCGCCACATGCTTCTTTCAGGATGGTGACACAGGCCGCCCAAACCGCAAGCAACCAAGAATATCCCTCGCAGGAGAAGCAGATGGCGTCTTGCGTGAATACGGGATATTTCCCGAGCACGGCCTCGTGAACATCCCTCAACATCTCGATTGGCGGGAGGCAAGTACTTTGACCTGTGCAGGAGTGACTGCTTGGAGCTGTCTTCATGGCGATAGGCCAGTAGCCCCGGGAGACTATGTCTTGATACAAGGGACTGGAGGAGTCAGCCTCTTTGGGTTACAGGTATGCCGAAAGATTGCCCCAGAGACTACTGGTCCTCTATGCAGAAAACTCTGACTCTGCCCTTTTATCTGATAGTTCGCTATTGCTGCCGGAGCCCACGTCATTGCCACCACCTCATCAGCCGACAAGGTCGAGCTACTGAAGTCTCTGGGCGCACAACATGTCGTTAACTATCGAGAAGAACCAAATTGGGGGCTGAAAGTGCGTGAGCTCACTCCAGGTAAAGTAGGTTGTGATATCATTCTGGATGTTGGTGGTCCCAGCAACTGGGCACAAAGCCTGCAAGCAGTGCGGACAGCAGGTGATATCCACCTGATTGGCTTCCTTGGAGGAAGTCCTGACGACCAAGACCCCAAGGAACCTACACCTAGTTTCTGGGATCTTCGGCAGAGACTCTGCAACCTCAAGAGCGTCGCTGTTGGCAGCAGGCCTCAATTCGAGGCTATGAACAAAGCAATTGATACCTTCAAGATTCGGCCTGTGGTAGATGTTGCGAGATTCGATCTCGATCATGCCAAAGATGCCTATCAATATCTGGTAAGACTAGGACACGATATGGTCGAAGTATTCTAACATTGAAATATTAGATCGATGCGAAACATATAGGCAAGATCGTCATCGATATAGTAGACGCGGGATATGATGTAAAATTATGATCTCGAGCCAGGTCTGTTGCTAAAGCATAGCCTCTCCACATCTCCTAAATCTATCGCGACACCATGAGGGCGCAGATCACTATCCTAGACTGCATCTGTGAAACTAGATCTCAACCTTCGTCCTTCTCAGACCTCCCCTCGCCATGGTAGATTGGCATTGGTGTGCCCATGAGGTCAGCCTTGATCTGGAGAGCGACGTGTCTCGAAAAGTAACGACTGTGGCCGATTGGCCCTCCTATATACCAAAGACCGTGATCTGTTACGCGTGAGCTTAAGGATAATGTATTTCTCGTGGCACTGTCATGATCATGAGACAATGCGAAGGAAGACTTACGACCTGTTGGCTTAAAGGCGCCCTTAAGCTCCCCTTCGGAATCCAGCCCGTAGAAATCATCTACTTGTGCAGAAATTTCCTTGCCGAATAACTCTTCAACGTTGGTCCGCATGTTGCCTCTGAATCCTGTGCAGAAAACAATTACATCGGCAGCAATCTCGCTGCCGTCCGCAAATGCCAGGCCATTGGATGTAAAGTGTGTTGCCAGAGAATCTGACTTGATTCGGATCTGTGATTAGAACATTTGTTAGCATCAAAGGTTTGGGGCTCTCGAATGCATGTCATACTTGTCCTTGAGAAATCTTCGCTGAGCAACCTACATCCATGTAATGCCCGCCAAGTTTCTCAGTGAGTTGGTAGATCTATATCGGGTTGAGAGTCAGTCCTATTGTATAAGCTGCGGAGACATGCGATCATTCAATGATATTCGCAAGGTGCCGAAACCACTTACAATATCGCCGTATCGCTCTACCTTGAACCCCACCTTCTCAAGTGCGTCAAACCTCTCGGGCTCCTTGCTTGCCATGGTGTTCAAAGCGTCCATACTGAGTAGGCGTGATATTGCTGTCACCTGGCTATACTGTGCCCTGTCTGCATCTTCAATTGGCGTCTTTCCATTGTACATTCGTTCGGAGATGATCTTGTAGTATTCGGCAGGAAGCACATATGTGCGGTTCCGTTGGACCATTGTAACCGACTTGAGGCCAGCGTCAACCATGTCAGCAGCCACGTCGTGAGCTGTGTTCGCCGTTCCAACCACGATCGCCGATTTGCCTCGCCACTGGTCGGCGGCACGGTAGTCAACGGAGTGCAGCACCTCACCGTGGAACTCTTTGCGGCCGGGAAAGTCAGGCATCAGCGGTGTTTGTCCTCCACCGCCAACAGCGATAACAACGTGGCGGCATGTTAGGATCTGTTCGCTTCCTAATTTGGACACTCGAAGCGTCCATATTCTACGGTCTGCATTCCAGGATCCGCCTGTAAGGGTGCTTTGGAACTGGATGTTCTTCTCAATGCCGAATATGCGGACATAGTACTGGTAGCCTTTGACAAGATCGTACTTGTCGAGGAAGTCCTGGTACGAGGGATCGAACGTGCGGCTGAAAGGCAGGTGATTGTAGTCCCGAGGCGTGTGTAGCCTGGCTGACTCATATCGGGTTGCCCAATTGTCTCCCACGTGTTCATGGGTTTCGAGAACAACATAACGGATGTTGAGAGCTTGTAAACGGCCTGCCGTGCTTAGACCAGCTTGTCCGCCTCCAACAATAACAACATCGTAGTCCAATGGCGGAGGCGCCTGGTCGACACCTCCTTCGTTGGGCAATGGCGTCGTGCCATTTACAATCGTGGCTTGGGAATTGAAACTGGGAGTCGATCTGCTGTTCAGAACTTCGGCAGGGACAGTCGGGAGAAAGTCAACATTTGGGCAGCCAACCAGTTGCTCAAGAATGGTTCTTATGGTCCAGATTTTCCAATCCCCATCCTGGTCTAGAAGCAGTGTGAGAAATCCACGACATTCAGCTGCTGGTGGTCTTGACACCGAGAAAGTAAAGGCAAGTTGAATCCACCCGATAGTCGAATTAGGTCGAACTATTGCCCCAGAGCCTGGGATCAACTTGAAGCCTTGGGCCCCTCGAAGTGTGAGGGTTTTGGTCCACGCGGTCGTGATAGAGTTTGCAGAGTAAATAGTCCGCAAGGTCCCCGTCAGTGCAAACAAATCGCGCCAGACAGGATTGGTGGCTAGGACATCGGGAACCAGCTGTTCTAACGAATTAATGAATGGAATCGCTATGCTTTCGACGTCAACAGATGCATCAAATCGGGCGACTGGCAGGCTGCAAGGCAGAGACTGAAGGACGTATTTGATGGGAACGTCGACGGCCATGGGAATGAATGATTTGCCTTCTCTGTTTGCGTGAGGTACGTAGTTGTGCACAGAAGCACTATTCCCGGAGAGCCTCAAGGCTTGTGTTGGGATGGCTGGGTGCTCTGGCTTCTTGAGCGACATCAGATATCATGGCGTCAAGAGCCGTTCTCATGTAACGGATAAATCATCAACTGCCGAGGATGTACATGCTAGCAAACATCAAAAGCAACTGATTGGCTTATTCTTTCTGGAATGATCCCAACGCGTGTACTGGAAAAGGCGCCGCAGGCCAGATGCATACGTCTATGGAAAACGACTTTGGGGAAATCATCCCCGCTTTGAAGGCCTTGACAACTGCCGATCCGAGGATGGGGGCGGCGGCACTGGAGGGTTTGGTCTCTTGTGTCTGAAGTAAGGAATAGGTTATTCTGCTGACACGTGGTACTTCAACCTAGACACGTCTGGACGTCTTATGGGACTAGGGTGTTGTTGCTAGGATCCTCATCGTCTTTTTCTCATTTCATCAGAACAAGCTATATTCTGTTTTGCTTCCTGCCGACTGTTTTCTGCAAAAATGGTATTACAATAATCGACAGGAGTCAGTAACGGCAAGGCCAAGGATTTATACTGAACTCTCAAGATTCTAGCAATACTTGTTGAGACAAGAGTTTAGGCTGACTTATTTCTCAGCCGGCTACGGGAGATCAACTTCATGTGAAACTGATAACACCGATGAAACGTAATCCCGCCATTACACATCAACAATTCAAGGATCACCACGAAGATGTCCATATTCCGATCTACCAAGATTGCTGGAAGCAAGGAAGGCTGGAGCGGTAATCACGACGGTACCTGACACCAATCGCGGGCATGTTCACCTCACCTTCGAACCACTCAGGATAAGATGTTGTCATGGAGGTCTGGTTCACAGATAGGCAATTCTGTGAAGACTTCTTGTCTGGCCGGAATGGTAACCAGACGTCCAAAGACCGAATTAAGCTAGACGAGGGTATCTTCTTGACCATGCTGAACCCTCTTTCAATGTCGTTGAGGAGTATGAAGTCAAGGATTGCTAGTTTCACCCGCAAGGAGGTGACTATCAAGACATCAAGGAGAAGTTCCCGCTGGGGAAGTGATTTGACAGCTCTCGATGGAACCAGAAGCTAGCCCCATGTTTCATTTGATCGTGATTACACAAAAAGCGCCCTGCTCCAGGATCCGACATTTCCGTTGGTTCAAAGCCGAGACACCTTTTCCCGGACCTTGAACTTGACCAAAATATCTGACTGTTTCCAGAACCAAGCCGCGAACAGATCCCATTCAGGCTTGGGAGAAGACCACTCGATGTCGAAATGCCGCAATATTTGTGGGATAAACTTCCCCATCTCCATGATTGAAATGTTCTTGCCAATGCAAGTTCTGGCGCCATACCCGAACTGCGGAGAAATGATTAATCTTGACTTGCACTTCCGTTTTGATGATGATGGCAACTTACAGTTAACAAACTGCGATCCATTAATTTAATGTGCTCCGGGTCAGAATCCAGCCATCTTTCAGGCCGGAACTCTGCAGCGTCAGGGCCAAATATGGCAGTGTCTTGGTGAACCACGGGAGCTGACATGCTCACTATAGTTCCACCAGGCAAGTTCTTTCCAAGTATCGTTGCCCCTTCGCTCGGGACATATCGTTCTAACGGGAAGCCAACTCCAGGATGAACTCGCATGGCCTCTTTCATCACAGCTTGCCTAGGAGGAGGGAGTTAGTTATCAGCAGCTGAGTACTAGTGACGACGTACAGATAAGGCAGTTTCAAGCATTCTGAGTAAGTGATGTACGGGGAGAGTTCCCCTTTTTGGTCGGCTTCCAGAATCTCGGCCACAAGGCGCTTGTAAACTCTCGGGGTCTTGATCACGTAGTAGAAGCATGCGCGTAAAGAGATGGCAGTGGTATCACTCCCTGCAAGCCTGAAGATAAGGACCTGGTTAGTTCTCTGAATTATGACCCATGGAACGTGGACTCACAGGTTATTTGTCAGATGGTTCAGCATGTCCCTGTCCGAGACTTTGCCATCTTTGGCCTCTTTCGCTCGTAGTTGAGCCAAGAAATCGCTTCGTTCACCCCCTTTCTCTATTGAATCGTATCGTTGAATCTCTGATTCCGTGATCTGCTAACATTCAGCTGCTGAGGGAAAACAATGGATATGGTGTGAAAACTGACATCAAAGAACCTTGTCAATGGGTTCGGCTTGTCGGGATTCAACCGGTCCATGATGACTCTAATGAATCGGTTGCCCATTAACCAGGGGTGCCAGGCAGGGAATTGACCGACAAGACCAATGTAGCGGATGCCTAAGTCCAGCGATTCAATCATATAGTCAACATCTCTTCGCTCCTCCAGAAATCCAAATCGCCTTTGAAAAGTGATGCATGCAATCACGTCAAAGGCGTACCACTGAAGCCAGATCGCCAAATCAATTGTTTGGCCCTCGAGGTCCCTCATAGCGCGGTCAAAAATAGCAGTGCACTCATCGGCGTAGGGCTCATAGTTCCGCATATTGGTCATCGAAAACAATTGCGCGACGGGAGTTTTGAGGTTCTTGTGAGCTTGCGGGTTACGCTCGGTGAACATGCTGTCCAAGGGGCTACCCTTGTATACCGGTGCCAGGGTGGAATAGAACGGTGTCTTCAATGACCAAGATCAGCATTTATTCGGCCCAACCTTCGACACTGGTTTCTCCTTGTCTTGCATACCTTCAAAAATTTGCTTCCTAACCCGTAGATCGTTGGGATTACGGATGCATCAGACACCGAAACATGGTTGGGGCCGACTCTCACAATCTTGCCATAGTCTCGGTGCACTCGCTCGTAGCTTGATGGTGCTTTGCCTGTAGCGACCAGCGAAAGTCGATACAGACCGGAAATACTGGCTAGGAACGGACCTGGTACTTTCCGCAGCGGACTCCAAACCGTGAGACGGAAACTTGAAACGAGCACGTATATGACAGCGATAGCCAAAACAATCCAATACCCGTGTAGATTTAGGGCCTCTATATGTTGCATCTTTGCCAGATACTCCATGAGGTATTGAGATGAAGTCTGACAACCAAAACTGTTGCGATGCTGGACGAAAGGCGAAGGGTATAGTTGAAGAAGTTCAACCAGATGACTCTTGCTTTTGCCTCCTGTACCACAGTTTCATATAATGCAGACACCTCCATGTGGGACGAATCCAGGATCATTCTGACCGTCTCGACGATCTACTGACTTCGACCGATTAAGAGATTCCCGCGGTCGTGGAATGCGGGGCCCCAGAGAGCGGTAATCACGGGGTAGATGAATGCCGTCCTCGCTCGAACGCGGGACCAAGGTTCAACGGGACCAACATTCGCACTGATTGTTCGGCCGTTTTCCAATATACATAGTGAAAGGATCACACGCAGAATCTTGAGACTTCAAAATGCGGCCGATGATTACCTTTGCCCATTTCTTTAGGGAAGCTTTGAGTCTTACAATAGCCTCTTCGCACAAACGTCCGAGGACTGAGCCTCACCAAATTCACTTGTAAGTCTCTCGAGGCCGGGCCAATCGTGTCACAGGCTTTGTTCAATGCCCTTGGGCCTATCAATTCCTCCCCCCGCAATCCAAGATGCCAATCTTTGACCATGACGATGCGGGGGAGCCTATGCCATCATCCATTTGGAGACAGAGCCGAGGGTCGTGACGATGACTTGATGATAGGGATACGACAGATTAACAATTGACACTGAGGGCAGATAACAAGTATCAATGTCATGTTAAGATAGATTGTGTCAAAGTATTACTCTGACCATCGGTGATACCTGTCTCGCCATGGCCACTCAGCAGATTCAATCTAAGGGAATCTATCACGGCCTGCCAGTCTTTCCTCCCGAGTCCAATGGCCTGACGGCAATCATAACAGGCGCAAATGGGATTTCAGGCTTCTATATGCTACGTGTTCTGGCACAATCGCCAGAGCGTTGGAAGAAGATTTACTGCCTCTCGCGTCGCCCGCCCCTTGTACCAGGAGGACTTCCACCCAATGCCGAACACATCGCGCTAGACTTTCTCAAATCCCCGGATGAAATCGCCCAGACCCTGAAAGAAAACAACGTCAAGGCTGATCATGTGTTTTTCTTCTCGTATATCCAGGTTGAGCCCAAGCCTGGAGCGGGCCTCTGGTCCGACGCTGATGAAATGTGCCGCGTGAACAAGCTTCTCTTGGATAACTTCCTGGGCGGTTTGATCAAGGCCAACATCAAACCTCGGAATTTCATGCTTCAAACAGGAGCCAAAAACTATGGTGTTCACCTGGGCCCAACAAAAGTACCACAAGAAGAATCCGATCCGCGGGTCGAGCTCGAGCCCAATTTCTACTATCCCCAGGAAGATTCACTTTGGAAGTATAGCAAGGAACATGGCGTAAGCTGGACCATTGCGATGCCAGGTCCCATACTTGGAGCTGTGCCGGACGCGGCCATGAATGCGGCCATGCCGCTCGCGGTGTATGCAGCGGTGGCCAGGCACCTGGGAACGGCGCTCGAGTTCCCAGCCGACATTGCGTCGTGGCAAATGTACCAAAGCATGAGCTCCAGCATGATGAATGCATACTTGGAAGAGTGGAGCGCGCTCACGTCAGCGGCCCAAAACCAAAAGTTCAATGCTTGTGATAATAGTGCCTTTACCTGGGAAGGATTCTGGCCCAGGCTGGCAGGCTGGTACGGCATCGAGTGGAAAGGCCCCGATACTGGAGCCACATGGATCGAAAGGGAAACAAGATTCAATCCGAGAGGTTATGGTGGCAAGGGTGTTTCTAGGAGAAAGTTCACTTTCGTCGACTGGGCGAACCAGGATCATGTTCAGACGGCATGGAAGCAGATTGCAGAGGAGCATGACCTGCAGCAAAAAGAATTCAAAGATATTGACCGTATCTTTGGTTTCTTGGATGGCGCCATCACAAGAGCTGGCCCGTTGATTTTCAGCACCGACAAGGCACGCAAACTGGGATTTCACGGCTTTGTCGACACGTCAGAGGTCTTGCTCGAGGTCTTTGATGACTTGGCCAAACTCAAGATGATCCCGCCTGTGCCAAAAGTTGTCGTCAAATTTAACTAGGCCTGGCTAAATCTCACAACTCTTCTCTAACTGCGACGTAAAATGCATGTACACGAAGGTGGGAGAAGCGCCACATAATTTTTACAGCTCGTCTGTTTGATGTTTACATCAACGTATCGATGTTTGATCTTGTGATTTAATCGGCACCTGATCTCTCTCGCTCCATTTGCTCTTTTCTTCGCTTCTTCGCTGCCAATTCTCGCCGTCTAGCTTCTTTCTTGAACCACTCACTTTCAGGCATCTGGCTCTTCTTAGACCTTCTCTCTTGCTCACGATACATTGGAGCCATAGTGCCACCACCGCTAGCATCTGCCATCATAACGGCAGAGCGACGAACTTGCAGTTTCTTGGCTTTGGCCTTTGCAGCTGCTTTACCACCACCACTTAGGTGACTCCACATGTTATCGTCGATCTTTTCCACCTCTGCTGCTGTTTCTTGCTGCAACATGACATGGGCGAGAAGCTCGTTTCGTTCATGGGCAGTCGTGTATGCCAGACCAGGCATTTCATCCATGCCTGCGAGATGGGTGATGGTTTTGAAAGCGTAGCCTTGATCAACCAAGAAGGCTTGTCGCTTGGCGCTATAAGCCATTTCAGTGGTATCTTTTGACACGAGTGAATAGAAGAAAGCATTGAAGCCTTCATCGTTACGTCGCTTGGCTCGAAGGATTCTGCCGAGACGTTGAGCCTCCTGACGTCGTGATCCGTAGTGTGACGAGATCTGGATGAGACAAGTCGCTTCGGGTAGGTCCAGCGATGTATCACCGATCTTGGACAGGAAAATAGTATTGATAAGTTCGTTGTGCTGGAAGTTCTCGAGAATATTAATGCGCTCCTGGTTGCTCGTATCGCCAAAGATGAATGGTTTCTTCATGGAGATGGCATAGTGTTGGAGGGCGAACAAGTTGTCGCTGAAAACAATGATCTTGTCCCCTCGTTTCTCATGGTAGTCGATAAGATATTGGCAGACCTGATATTTGACAGGGTTCATGATGTAATACAGAGCCTGCTTCCTGGTGGTTTCCTTTTGATATTCCTGGTAAAACTCCATGGACATTGGACACCAAACCTCGGCGCATTGGACCTTGGCTATGTGGCCTTGATCAGCTAGCTCCATCCAGTTGGCTTCGTACAGCTTTGGGCCGATGATGAAGTTGAGATCGGTAATTTTATCGTCTTCTCTCAATAGGGTTGCAGTAAGACCCAGTTTACAGTGGGAGCGAATGTTTTCTCCGACCTTTCGAAACATCTTGGCTGGCACAACGTGGACTTCGTCCAAAATCATGAGGCCCCATTCCTTGCTGTAGACCCATTCCATCATCTGTTGTGTGTCATGGGCACGTTTGCCGCCTGCAGTAATCATAGAGTATGTCGTGACCAGTACGCCTGCATTACCACTGAATCGCCGCTTTTCTGATGCTGAAAAGACAGCAATGTCCTCTTCTTTGACATCTGACCACTTTTTGAATTCGTTCGCCCATTGGTAACTGCTCATTGCACTTGTACACAGAACAACGATGCTTTTCTTGATATGACAACCCGCTGTGATACCAACCAGGGTTTTTCCCGCACCGCAGGGCAGAACAATGATGCCACTTTTGCCACGACCGTTGCCGAACATTTTACTTAAAGCTTTTTCTTGGTATGGACGGATCTGGGTGGCGGGCCTCAGGTCAATGGGAAGTGTTGGATTGATATGATCGTTGGCAAAGTCGTATTCTGATATAGCTGGATAGCCAATATCGAGACACTGTTTGGCTACCGTGTCTCGTTTGTTGGCGGCGATCTCAAAGTTGGACGCTTCTTTGAAGTTGTCTTCTTCATCTTCCTCGTCTCTCAGAGCAGCGATCATAGTTTCGTTATCTTTGATGGCATCATCGCGCGGGATTTCAATGTTTGACGTTTGGTCAGCCTGCCTCATACCTTTGGCATTGGTGGTTCCCTGGATGACTGTGGCCTTGGTCTGGATCTTGCCTGTCTCCACGGTGGTGCCTTCGGCCTTGCAAGGTCCGATGACGGAGTCTTGAAGTAGCATATCAATAATTTCTCTTTCGTCAGATTCGACATAGAACTTGTTGTTTCGAAGGACAAGTCGGACTTTGCCATAGGTTTTGGTATGTCTGTTGATGAAATCGACTACAGTCTGCGGTACTGGAGTTTTTGATAACTTTTCTAATGCACGGATAATGTCTTCACCACGGAGACCTACCGATAGAGCGGCGTACAGACTGTGTTCAGTGAATCTGTACTCATGGAGGTAGGAAGGTCTTGATTGGGGCTCGGCGATCGTGGTGAGGAGATCGGTTGCCTGGGCAGACAAAGGGGAGAAGCTTTCGAGGGTGATTTTAGGCCCTTTCTTGGATCCAATTGAGACATTTGGGTCTATCCATAACGGGCGGTTATCATGGTCAGTCTTGAGAGACAGCCACGAGAAGTCCTTTTCGCCGAAGATGGATGGCTTTTGTCTATGTCTGGAGCCTTGAAAAGAGCTGAAATCAAGCTTTGCCCTCGCCTTCCGTATATGTTCTTTCTCGCTGTCGCTGCCATCCTGCGACCTGGCGTCTGAGCCCTCGTACTCATCGTCACTTTCCAGGCTGATGGGAGTGGAGGGCGCGGGAGTGGAGCGTTTCGAGGATCTGGCACTGCCCTCTTCGAGGGCTTTTCGTTTGAGCGACATGCTCAACAGAGGGATAGGACCATGAATGCCAGGAACCAGGAGAAAGTCAGTAGCAGAGAAGACTGATGAATAAAGAAAGAATGTGTCATAGATGGTGAGGCGAGGTCACAAATAAGACGACGGACGGTGACATTAATGCCTATTTTACGGCGGAATGTTGTTCCTGACCCGGAGGGACTGGATGGCATGACGGGTCAGTTGGCTTTTGATTCACCGTAGCAAAACTGGCAGCTGGAGGAGCAACTGCGCTAGTCTACCGGTGATTCCCGGAACAATTTCGAGGACTCTTTCATCTGGAGGTCATTGCTAGTCACCTAACAACCCTGTCAATTTTCCTCGCACAGATTCTGTGGACAGACCCTGTGGAAGCGTTTACAATCTTTGATTGTTGCAGTTAACTTGATCAATCGCGGCATAATGAATACAGTAAGTCGTCTTGAAATGGAGTCTTTCTGCGCTAACAAGAACACAGATCAGATCAACTTGGTACTTCTTCCCCGCGAACTGACGGCTTGTCTTGGATGAAGTTAGAGAGGTCATAATTTGACTACTGGCTAACATTTACGCTTCTCTAGGTATGGCTGGGGTATGTTGTGTGTCGCCGGAGGTGGAGCCTACTACTTTGCGAAGAAGTCCATCAACGCGGATCGAGCAGCACGGTTCGAGGCAGAACAAACGAAACAAGCTCGACTGCGAAGAATAGAATCATCCGTCTACAAGGAGCCGTCGTCCAAGTCAAAAGGCAAGGCCAAGGCCAATTCTTACCCCGAAGTCCTCGATCACGCCGGCAGTCCCAGCAGCGAAATCAGTGAAGAGGTAGCCGCAGTCAGTCATGCGCCTGTCACTGGAGAGCAACGTGTTCGTGAGAGGAGCAAGTACGAAGCCGCCGAGCCGTTCCGAGGAAAGAAAGGTGATCGTTTTAGCTGAAAAATGCAAGGCATAGACGGCGTGGAACGGAAAGCATGGCTGGATATTCTCAAAGGAGTTGCTCACTTCTGATGCTGAGCATCACATCTTGAAACATTGGCATGTACAGATGATGGGCACAAAACCAAGATATCTGATGAGTGCGCTCAACATATTCCTCTCTTCAACTGGAGTTTGGTGGAGGCTGGAGTCCTTTATGCTGTATACTAGTTTATCATTGAGCCCGACGACCATCAATGCAAGGGCTATGCAGTTCCCAGATACCCAATCACCGTCAACGCCTGCTCGTGGGAAACCCTGCATTCAAACAAACAAACAATTTGTCACTGGATCAGGCGTGGCTGCATAATGGTGCGTAGTGTTTTTTCGACGCGTTGGGATGGCCCAAGTCTCGTTCCTTTTTCGATTCGATGGCGGGAGGGACGAAAGGCAGAACGACAGCGGAAGTGATGAGCACACCGGCAATCGTAGATTGTAACCTAGTGGCTGGCTTGGGTGCTTGTGCAGAGAAGTGTCGAACGGCGGAGTGTGTGAGTGTGTTTGTGACTGCGCCTGAGAGACTCATGGTGGGCGGCCTGTGGTGAAAGGTGGGGGTTTTGAGGTGAGGAGTCGAAAGGCGTCGGTGTAAGAATCAGACTGCGCAAGAGGATGATGAAGACAGGCAGATGGAGACGGGGACCATGTATTTGAAGGGCCTCACAGCCTAGCAAGAGCGTGGGATTGTAATCTGTGGATGATTTCCAAGCAACCAGATTGGTGCAGCCTTGGATGGAGCAGTGCAGGACTCTTACTTGCGTGGACTGAGGGAGGGAAGGGCAGGGCACCGCTGACTGAAGAAGTCGGTAATAGTATGAGAGGAAGGGTCACCACCAAGGCTACAGAGGTGCGTCGATTTGGGGAGAAATGGCGTGCTAGACCGTGCCCAAGTCGAGTCAACTGGGCGTTGGGGGAGAGTGATGCGGTATCACCCGCCAGGAGTTCGAGTAATGGGGTTGGTACTATATACCTGGTGGAGAAGGGAGAGGTGGTCTGAGTCGGTAGAACTTATGGCTGCAAAGAAGAGGTTCGAAATACCAAATGTTGCGTGTCTAGATTCATAATCATGCCACACTGAGGAAACAGGTTCGTGCCTTGAGGGAAGCGCGTTGTGATGGCGACTTTACCCGATGTGTCCCCGCAACATGATTGTACATATGATGTGATATCTCTTGTACAAATAATCAGTCGGGAAGTGAGTAATGACTTTGAAACCAGCAAGCGGAACAAAGCCGATAATACCGAATACCGTGCTTGGCAGTCGTACCTGCCGCAATTCGATAGCAATGACGACAATCGAACCATGTGACATCACGTGACATTCCATCGTTCCTTCCAGATCTCAAAGTCACGTGGTTAATCTTCAAATGACAACCATAATGGGATGTTTAGTCACATGACAAGGCCTCACTCATCCTCCAAACTTCATTTCTTTCTTTCTCCATCGTCTCCTCGTGGTTCGTTGTCGAGAGCCAGGCGCGTCTCTTAACAACCGCCACTTCATCCTAGTGAACGGTCATGACTGCCCATCACTTATCCCTGGCAAAGGCAACTTTCGCCGCATCGCTGTTTCGCCCAGATGTGACCAAGGTGACCCGCGACGACCTCACGCAGTTCCATTCTGCTCTTGAAGTGGTTTCCACTCAATGCTCCCCTTACAATATCCAGGTTTGAAGGATCCCGGGGCGACGTGAATCTTCGAAACCAGGTTTACTGAACCGTTCTAGACTTGTAAACAGTGGCTCTGTGAGCATGTCATATCCTCCTCTAGCAGGACAGCTGCTCTCGGCAAATTCCTCGTTTCATTTTCCAAGGACCTTGGCCCCGATTCGTCCAACAACGGCTCCTCCAGCATTTCGCGTCGTCGCCTTCACATCCTATACCTTCTGAACGATGTTTTACATCACGCAATATATCACACCTCGGCCGCTCCGCTCGAGCCCCCCATCTCACATATCCTTCAGCCATTTGTTATAGAGCTCTTCCAATTGTGTGCCGCCGAGCGGAAGAAAAGAATCTCGAAAAGATTGCACGATCTGGTAGATATATGGCAAGTAAACGCATATTACACCGGTGATTTTCCTCAGCAATTGCATGATTACATCACTGGCGAACAAGTGCCAATCCCCAAGTCTGACCTCGAAACACCCATCGTGCACAAAGGTGTCTCGGACTTACCATACCTGATGCCAGCCACCCATGGAGACCCCGCTCTCGCATTTCATGATCTCCCGGCAGCCAACCTCATGCCACTCATTGTGCCCAATAGTGCCCAGTCGATCCGTCCTGAAGATGTAAGACCTCTTCGATTTTCTGCCGGTCCAGCCGACGAAAGCCTCGTCAATGCCCTCAAGGATTTTTTGGCAGATATCGACAGGGAGGACGAGGCAGCGACCAGAACGGACAGTGATGACATGTTGCACGAGATGGATGAGATGGGGCAACTGTTGGATCACGATGAAGCGGGCGATCCAAGAAGGGACACGTATTATGGGTGGTCATTGGCATTCTGTGAGAAGATGAAAGCGCGTGGCAAGGAAAACCCAGACAGCTCCTCTCGCCAAAGTCGATCCAGAAGCTCGAGTCAAAGTCGCGGTCGAAATTACCAGAAGCGACGACGTTACAGTCGATCGAGCAGTGGGCACTCCAGGTCTTCCAGATCGTCTAGATCACGTTCGAGAGATCAGCTCTCACCCCGAAGAAGGACTTTCAGAAGTCGAGACCGAAGAAAAGATCGATCGAGATCTCGGTCATATTCACCTAGCCGCCCCCCCTCCTTTCCACAAAATCCCAACACCGCCGACAGGAACAATTTTCTAGCATCATCAGTGCCTTTCCCTCCGCCACCTCCTCCTTTGGCTCAAGGCATGGCCTTCCCTCCCCCACCACCCCTCCTTCATCCCGGCGGATTTCCAATACCCCCACCTCCACCACCGAATTGGAAGGGAGAATGGCCCCCGGCCCCTCCAGGCCTACATTTTCCCGTTGCTCCACCTCCGCCGCCAGCTATCAATCCTTCTCATACTACTACGCGATCCCCGTTTCAGCCGAGATATGACGGGAACATGGGTGGATATGGCCGGTGATAAAACACTGGTCCATCGACCGTGGAGATCAATCTTGACATTGAAAGTCGCGGCAATCCATGGTCGTCGTGCCTCTACAAAGATCGAGCCTGAGAGTCAGAGGATCACAGATCATGACGCTATCAGTGACGTTATGCTTCACCCACTTTTCAGGTATGTGTCGACATGACGCGACGTTCGCTCGCACCCGTGGTCAGTAGCACGTACGTTGTCTGAGTATCTCCCAGGCATAGCAAACCCTAATCCTGACAGGCTCCTAGTAAACAGGTGGTCAGTAAAAGAAGCGTGTTTTGCGCTCTATATCGTCCAGTCGCTTTCTGTGCGAAATACGCTTAATCAACCCACACGTAGGCTTGCAAGGCTGGGGCTTGCAGCCTTTCACCGTGGAGTGGAACCCCCATGAGTTGATATTCTGGAGGTTCCATCATTGTGCATCAAGAGTGGCCACTTGTCACTCGCTCATCGATGTCATGACGAGCGAATGCGAAAGTTGGTGCGGTTGGTGGAGATTAACAGAGGAACCTTAATGTGCTCTGTGTGCCCATTCCTTTGAAGCTCTCAGCGGCTCCAGGCGTTGCTATGCTCACTAAGAAATGCATATATGCGAGATCTGAAACAGACAGGATCTTTTTGATGATGCAAGAGTGTCCTTTGGATACCTTCCCATGCGTCCTGGCGTAATCGCATCATTCCAGCGAATGAATCCCGTCGCTGGATGAGTAAACTAGTTTGTTCTGCGATACCCATATCGACCTCCTTCTTTCTGAGTATGCTGATACGCTATCTCATCACGGACATCCATTTCAAACTATATTCATCAGCCTCACTGCAGGGACAACAAAAGCATCCCCACCACCGTTGCCAGAGACATCGCACTGACGACGAAAAGCATTTCGCAAACCAGATAGAGTTGATGCAGGGCATCTTGGCATACGCAAGGCTGGCCTTATGATTGGCTGTTTTGACGTCATCTCTCCCCTTTGTATTGTCTCCACCCGCTGTTGGAATTGATCCATGATCATCACCCATCAATAATGAGAGTCCAATACACTCTCGAACTCGCTCCCACCCGTCACCAAGCAATGCCACTACTGTGTAATTGATTGATGCAGCTGCCAGCCATTCAAGGCGTAGTTACTCAACGGGGACTGATCAGGTCGAGGTCTACGAACGCAACGATGCACCCTATCTTGATTGGGTCCTGTTCCTCTCTCCTCCCCAGCAGTCACACAGCTATCAATCTACCGCACAGATCAGTATAAATCCCCGCTCATCTCATCGTCATACTAGACTCAAGTGATGCCTGCCATGGCGTCTACACAAATTTAGGATAGACGTCCCCAGTTTAAGCCGTTGACACAGGGTCCAGACTCAAAAAACTGAAAGCGGAACTCCTCTGTTATGTGGAGAATGTGGTCATCCTGCATGGCGAAAACTATGCGAACTTGAAATCCCATCCCACATGATCGGCAGGGTCACCCTGGGACCCGACCACACCAAAGTATTCACTTTGACTGGCTCGATCCCCAGCACGTCGCTCACAATCAGACTTTTGGCTGAGGATCGAGCATCAACTCCTGGTTCTGATCGGCGTCTTAAGCTGGTCTCGCCCGCCCGCATTGATGCCAGCGTGCATGATCTCGGTGGATTTCTGCATGTCGCCATTGGACAAGCTCAGCGCCACCCGTCTTCAGAAACCCTGGGGGACTTGTTCATTCATCTGGTCTCTTCGACCCTTGTCTAATTGGCGGTTCTCCCCATCGCCTTCAGCCTGGTCTCTTTTTTTCGATATAATCCTTCTGATTTCCTCGAGCTTATCCGTTTCCAATTCTACACTACCCATCAAGCTTGTTCAAGTACAGAGGCAATACTATACCGATAACTTCAAACCACTCCAACAATCGTCCCATCAACTACAGTCACCTCTTATTTCACCATATCATCATGTCTGCCAACGTCGAATATCTCACTCAACCAACGGAAGCTGTTGACTTCGAGGCTGATCCATTGGAAGCGATGACTACATACGCTCGCAGAATGCATCAACACACCCAACAGCAGATGGATGCCGCAACCCGATCGGCTCGGCGTCGAAGTCCTGTTCTCGCTGATGCTAACAACACGTTATCAACCAAGAGCAGTATCAGTAGCTCTTCATCACGAGCCTCATTTTGAGCCGCTTCGACATCATTTTTTACAACTTCTTGAAGCGTTCGAGCCCTGTACAAATTGATTTTCAGATCAATCATCCTAGCTAGCAACGCATGTGCTTCCACCATACGACTTCGTGCTCACCATTTCCCGATGCATCTTCGTGTGAATCAGCAGTGGGGCACAGCCACCGACGCCAGAGCACTCCCACCAAGCCATTACTTCATTTTCCTGCCTTGGCAGATTCAGTATGGGCTAGGGGCTATAGCCAGCTCACCTATACTTCTTCACATGGGGGCGGACATGGTTGTTTCACCTCTGTCCACGATATCATCCAATTAGATATGTATTACTGAATTATGACAATTGAGATCATTTCAGACCTCGCCACATCGCGAGTGTCTTCCTCAACACAAAGTTTCCAACCTTTAGATATCTGTACCTATCCTCCTACTTACATACCGATGATTACGATGAGGTCTCGTTAGCACGACCTTCTGGCACAACCGCATATGCTGAACTATAGTCCATCCAAAGTCACTGATGTCCTCCCAGTATGATGGTGTACATAGTTGCCAGAAACTGTCAGGTGAGACCGGTGGGTCATGAACTTTCCGCAGAGAACATCGTCATCGGATCATTGGACACTGAAATGCTGTAGTGTTGTCAATGTCGATCATTTGCATGTTAGCACCCATGTTCACAAAACGTCATTCGACAAGGGCGGCCCCAACGTCGACGACAGATTATGTACCAGGCCGAGAAGCGGCGTCATACCGAGTCGAAACCCCAGGAAATAAAGTCTCCATTTTTTCACGTGGCGGAGCAGACTCTGTGTTCTGAGTGCACGCCGTGTTATCGTGGCCTGAAGTTAGGGAGAAGCTGTGACGACAATGGTCCTTCCACAATCCCCTTCAGTGACGCGGGCTCCAGTACGAGGTCGACCAACAGTGGATGGATGATCCGTCTCGTCTGTAATGCCAAATTTGTGTTCCCACATACACTAGGCTCCTCATCATATCTCACAACCTCATCGACATCGACCAAAATCCATGTGACGTGCTCGTTAAGGCGTCTTCTTATTCACCGATACATCATGCTCGTGGAACTCTAAGATCCAGATCGATCCCCTGGTTCGCCTTTGCCATCGTCTGTCTACCTCCGCCTGTTGACATCATGAATTGTTGAATTAAAAATCAGTGATCTCGATTAGTTGTCATCATCGAAGTTATCTCGACTGCGCACCGTGGCAGCTCCGTTCGAACTCAAAAAGCAACCTTGAGCTCTTTGCAGGCTACGATGATCATCATTTCACTAGCTATACGTCGAAGAAAGAAATCGCGGGTGACGGAAGGACCAGTAATTGTGGCCCTTTTGCTGCGAGCGGACCTATGGCGGCTGCTACAGGGCACATGATTAAACAATAGTCGACCCTGGGCTTAGGCCGAGTGATTGATTGACTGACATCTCTACAGTTGGTAAACAAGCGTTTCAGTGCCAATCAGTGCGTGCGTCCGAGGGTGGTGGACACCCACGACACCTAAACGCTCGAGTGACTCTACGTGGTTGCTATGCAGGTCAAAACCTAACAGTCCTCTGGCGACCATGCCAGACTACCACACCTTCATAGCCAGCTAGTAAATGTACTCGCCGAAATACTTGATGGGGCGGCCCTCTAACCCTCCGCTCCAGATCCTACAACCTCTTGTGCCTCTGTAGGGGTTTGCCACCCTCCTTAATGATCGACATGGTCGAGACAAATGCCATGACGATCTAAAGGAAACTCACCACGCTCACCTCGTCTTTCCCTCCGTGACCATGACGGCGAGTACCCACTCACACCCACCCACGCCCACAAGGAGCCCCTTTGATTCCATGGCATCAATGTGAATCCTCTCCCAGAAGGTGTGCACCGCGGTTGGTTGCGCATAATGGTGAAAATCGCAGAAAGGCCAGCAGAAACGGCACCTAACATTATGACACCATCAACAACACAATCAACTGGGCTTTTGCCGCTGACGAGCCTCATGAACCCTGCATCATATTAGAATTCGACATTGCGGATGGCTGAAAGTGCCTCGTCGGGGACACCATGTCAGAAATGTCATCAAGATGTGAGTTCATCATTGGACGCTTTTCACATTGATTTCGAGGGACTCGAGATCTTCGAGGCTGCAAGGGCTGAATATGGACTGCGGCCTCACGGGCCTTCCATTGAGAGGCTGGAGTGACAAGGCATGAAGGAGAGGGAAATTGAGCCCCAGCATAGATCGAAGATCTCTCGACCTTTCGTCTTGTCCGCCATCAACCTCAGTGGAAGATCGCATCGACTGCTTCAACTGCCAGTGTTCTTGTCACCTTCGATCTTTGGTGTATCACCAGATGGGTGGCACAGTGGGTGTCTCGACCCGCTGGATAACAATAGCGTCATATCACGCATGCCCACCTTCTGAGTCCCCTTGTCCAACCTCAAAAACTCAAAGTTGCCATGCACTCCGTAGGGGTTATCGTGTCGACGTCAGATGCTTTCAAAGTCCTGTTGGTGGGAACTGCTCCGGACCACGTCGCCTTCCAAGGTCCCAGTATAGGCAGATTCTGCCTGTCTCCTTCCCCACTTCTTTGACGACAACTTCCGATTTATTCTCATCCGAGAAGATGCTGTCAGAAGAACGGGAATCGCATCCACTGGGAGTGTACTACCGGGCTATTCGAATGTTGCGACAGTTTTTCTGACTTGCTGTTCCTCCCCTTGAGAATCCATCCAAGGAAACACACGCGATTTGCCTTGGAAGCACCTCCAGCGACATAACTTTTTTACTGCATTTTAAACAGTTATCTTTGATCTTCCTTTTGCTCTTCGTACAATAGACATTACAGGAATGTACAGTTGGAATAAGCTCATGAATGGAATGCGACGTCGCCGGCAGATATATCCGACAGGTAGGTTAGGCTAACCCCAAAGGGTGGCTTTACAACTCGCCCTTCCAGGAATGGGGTTCCAAAATCCCATCTCAGTTGGCAGATTCCCATGAATGGCCCACCCTTCCGAATACCTCTAGTCGCTCTATCTCGCTCGCTTCCTCGTAGCCGGCGTATGCATCCGAGATGGTTGGATCCGATATTCAGGATGTGCTTACAAGCCTATTTCAACGTCTTGCTTGGGCAAACCCAGTCAACTGCCATCTTCGGGCGTGCAGCAACATTACCGGCTCTGTGGACTTTTCTTGTTTCGCGCCCTCGTCAGTTGAGGATCAATATCAACAGTATATCCAAAAACATAAAACCGAATATGACCGTTCATATTTAAAACATACGTATCTTGCCCATGAGGGGTTAACTTAATCATGCCCAAAGAGATTGAACCACATTCCTCTCAAATATCCTCTCTTACAACATCAGCCGTAGTATTTACAGCCCCAATGGGTTGTCTGCTGTCTGCTCTTTCCCTCCAATTTCTTCCTTCATTCTCTTGCCCTCGACCTCTTGTTGCTTAGCAGGTCCACCTTCTTCATTGCCGAAGCCGACTCCGACTTGGTCGCCAAATCCTTTGCCCATGCGCATGACACCGCCGACGGTGCCATCAACAAGGGAGCCGATTGGGGCGGCCCCCTTTTGCAGGACGTTACCTACAGGCTCACCCACAGGCGACAGCGTGTCTTGGATCTTTTCCCCGTACTTGTTCCCGACCGACTCAGGCTTTTCATACCAAGAGCTCGAGTCTCCTGTCACGCGGAAGGTCAGCAGTTGTAAATAGATGCGTTCATGATGCTTGCAAACCCTGTTTCTGAGGAGGCGCATTTTCTTTATTTTCCGTCTTGTCCTGTTGCGGAGGAGAGTTCTCCTTGTTCCCTTGATCAGACATATCGGTCTTGCAGTTATCTAGTCAATAAATAGGGCTGTGCTCGTTATTGCTCGTCTCAAGTATAATTGCTCATCTTCCACGTCTGATCAACGAGGAAGAAAGGTATTACATCGCAGCGCCAGCGCACATAAAAGCACCGACATCATAATCGGCAATCTGCTTTCTGGGGAACAGGGATCTTGCCAGGTCTTGTCGGTTTTCGAAATCACATCTTCCACAATGACGTAGCCACCCGCCAACCTTTCTCAGACTGGACGACCAGGGATCCAGGCACGTAGGGCGATCACGCCAATCATATGCGTATGTCTCTTTGAAAACACGTGATCAACTCAAAGCTGCGAATCGTCAAAGTTCGAGTCAAAACCTAGCAAATTTAACGACTATTTGTCTCATGAAGTTGCTCAACAATAAGTGTAGACGAGTATTTACTGTCAAAGCTGCCTATGTGCGATAACATTGCTGCCTGAGTGTCGCGAAAGATCACACAATTAGTATCCCCACACATCTGACGATTGAATGGCAATGCGCTAAAGACACAACATATGTTGATACAATTCCCTTCGTCCCAGGCCATCGCACACAAGACCTGTTCAGGAGGTGTACAAAACAACGACTTTCTGGGGCTACTCGGACATGTTTCATCAGACATTGATATCTACAATGATCATGATCATGGTATTTGAGGCTTCTAAGCGCGCGCTACTCGCTTGCAATAAAGTGCCCATTAGGGCAAAAGCTCGCCTATTTCTGAAACCATGGTCTAAGTAGACAAATACCTTCCTTTTTCTAACGTTATCTTTTCCTTTTTCTAATGTTATCTTGCTTCTCGTCGTTTCCCGTCTTTGCGACTGTTGTGCAAGAAGTGTGCTAAAACTCCTACTTGAAATGCGACGCATATTACGCAAAGTACTTATCACTTGGCTCCTACGTCCCCTGTTTCACTTCTTCATAGATTCCATCTATTGTCGCTTTTGCAGGTTGGTGAGCATATATAGAAATCCACCGCTGCAAGAAAGAAAGTTGTATACCTACAAACCATTGGAATCCTCAAGTCATATCCGGGTGTTTGAACTTTCCTCCACTGGAGAGCCCTCGCCGGATTTGAAATGCAGGATCCATCATACCACCGTAACGGACGACAAATATGCCTATATCGGAATATCTTATGCATGGGGAGATCCTACCTTACCGAAGGTGCCAATCGAGTGTGACTCTTTGCAGGCCTTAATTCCACCAAGTCTACACTCAGGGCTAAAAAGATTACGGAATGCTGCTCCTGACGTTCAATACTTATGGGCCGACGCTGTTTCCATTGACCAGAATAAGGAAAACCAAACTGAGAAATCGTTGCAGGTTCGGATGATGGATCAGATCTTTGCGAGCGCCCAAGAAGTCATTGTCGACCTCGGCCCTATCGACGCAGATCAACACGCCATCCTGCAAGGCCTTGATAGATATCAAGCAATTCCCGAGGACCGATGGTCTCTGTGCATAGGCAACTCCAGTGTAGCAGAATCACTTAAAATGCTACAAAAGGAGAACGTTCCCGGATTCGCGGCGGACTTCTGGCCCGGCTGTGCAAAGTTTATGCAGCGACCTTGGTTTACTCGAGTCTGGATTATTCAGGAGTTCGCACTGGCGAAGAGTGTCAGAGTTATGATTGGAGAAGAGTTCAGGGATGGCAAGTTTCTTGAAGATGGCCTCATGCGTGCTGCATACCATCTACAGTGGCTTTACATCTACAGTCGCCACTACCCCAGCAACAGCAGCTGGCTTTCGGACTTGTGGGCACCTCTATGGGACATCACATCCATCTTAGACGCTTTGAGGCAAATACTGATCCTGCGATCACGGAATCGTGATCTGAACAAGTTTTGCAATCTAATCAGCGTGTCGAGCGTTCTATTCAAGGCTACAGATCCTCGAGACAAAGCATACGCGCTCTTAGGAATGGCCTCAGATCATCAGATCAAGGACAATTTTCCAGTCGACTATAACGAATCGGAAGCAGCTCTGATGCTTCGTGCCAGCCGATATCTGATCCGTCAGGAATTCGGTGTATTCCCACTTTACCATTGCGTAGGGGACAAGCCAGGCTTTTCATCCTGGGCTCTGAACTTGACGGATACGTCTCAAGACTCACTGTCCCTATTGATTGTATCCACAGGAAATACCTCGTCACCAGGCCTATATGACGCTTCTGGCACTCGCGGCTTCAGTACGTCCTTCTCCCAGCTCAGGGATGGTGGCCTTTTCGTTCGGAATTGCGCGTTTCTTGACACTGTCGATCAAGCTATGGCAAGCTCACTGCCTACTTTGACAGGCTTAAGTGTTATCAACTCGCCGGCGGCACAGGCTCCATGGCTCGATGAAGCCTATGACTGGATGCAGTCAATGGACATATTGTTAACCATGGAAGGTCTTTGTGGCCAGGACTTTTACGAACAAGGCTGGCGGGCACTGATTGCAGACCTCGGCGCTCTCCAAGGCAAAGACGACCAAGGGCTCAGCCGCTTCAGTGTTTGGACTAGTGCCGATCGCTGTATTAAAGTCTGGGCCCATCTACACAAGGAAGCCTTGAGTCAGAAACGGCAGGTCTCTAACCAAGCATCACCACCAGAGCTCCCTGGAGAGGTCTTGAGCAAAGATGACGTGAGTCTTGTTCATGTCTACGGCGAGAGTTTGAGATATGCATTCGGGCGACGCTTAGGATTAACCAAGAAGAAGAGGTTGCTCTGCTTGATACCCTCAGAGGCAAAAATCGGTGATCACATTGTCATTATCCGTGGTTGCTGTATCCCATTTGTACTCCGAGAATACGTCGATGGGAAGGGGCACTACTTTAGAATTGTCGGCTGTGTCTATGTGCATAACATGATGGACGGGCAGATCCTACTGGGAAAAGAGTGGGACTGGAGTAATGTTGAAATTTGCTGATATCTACGATACAACGTACGTCGGGTGTTCTTCCTCTAAAGGTTGAATAGATCGATTTGTCTAGGCCATGATTGTAGATGATCATTTCCAAACTCAATATTATATTCGTCAGGTTATAGTCCGTTCAGATACACAATACCATGTATTACGTACCTAGTACACAACTTGGGAGGGACGTAGCTTGAGCAGAATAAAACTGGGATGGACTGGGTGTTTCTGCAGACAAATGTTGGTCCTGTTGATGGAGGAAGCCGAAAACTGTGGCCAGATGAATATATGTATGTCGAGATAAAAGCAGCGATAGATTTCATTTCCTCATTGGAGACGATTGCCACGCCGTTTTTGCAGCCTAAGTTAGTTGCGGGGAAGCAGCGACTCAACCAATTTGGTTAAGCAATTGCCTGACGTGATCGACATCAACGACAACTTCACTTGTTCCGTTGCTTCTCTTCAAGGCAGCACACACATATCCCTTCAGAAACTGGATGTACAGCATCTGAATGTCATGTTCTCCTCATTTTTCCCTTCCTCTCTCCCAAAATTGTCATTCAGCCGCGGATGGTCGGGAAGAGCTGTCAACATCCCCGCTGTTGAGATCCATGACGTTGAAGTCCTGAGCGACAAACGAGGACGAAGACTCAAGCATCTTCTTCGCCTCAATCATGCTACTTTCTCTATCCTATACAATCACCTCAGATTCCACAATCACACACCGCATGTAAGTCATCAATCTTTGTCCCCAAATTCCCAGGGTCTGCCCGACAGTCATTTTGTTCGAACATTCTAGAGCCTTGTTTTCACTGCCTCTAAGATCTGATCTTCATAGCTACTTGGCTCTGCATGTCTATTAGGCGGTGATGCCGACCACCTAAATTCGGTTTACGAAGATGCTGCCACGAATGAGGGCCATGACCATTGGGAAGATGCTCCTTCGGAAATCGCTCTCCACGATTACCGAGACTTCCTAGGGAAACGCGATTACCAGCGAGCTTGGGTCGACTTTTTTGAAGACCAGCTTGTGCTACATGGCTACGATTGGAAAGAGGTGGTCTCGAAATTCCTCTTTGACCGTGGCACTAAAGGCTCTGACACTGAGTGGCCCATGTTCAACGCCCTGACATCCGGTCTCGGCCATCCACTGATTCATCTGGGATATGCCTATGAGCTCAACAGTAGAGAAGTCGGAATGGAGGCTTTGGGGCTGGTTGCCACTTGTTATGACCCCAAACTCGCCAAAATACTAGAAACGAAGATCCCCCAGAATTCACAACAGCAGATTATTAAGTCCCACGTGAAGCCAACAACAGACTTGTTCTCCATCCTACTCAAAGTCCACGATGACACACGTTTTGACGGGATGTTTGATCAGCCCGGTGGTGAAAATCTGAGTCATCTCCTGGGTGATGAATCACTGGTGTCAATCCTTGTCGAATATTGGTCATCGTGGCAAATCAAGGACCCCACCAAGGACTTTGCGCAGTCGCAGAACCTGGCCATCGCATTACTGATAGCGAGTGCTTCTTCAGTGGGAGGACATGGTTTTGATTTCTTCCTTGTCCACCTCCTGACTACCTCACACGCCGTACGGATTCTGATTCCAGTCATTGAACCCCAGTATCATGTGTTGCTGGTCCGCGAATGGTTTCTAATCACCCTGGCTATTTACATAGCACAATCACGACCTGAAATCAAAACATCCAATATTACGGAATATGATGTCAAAGGACGAGACTGGGAATTTGTCACGACGACGGCCATCCAAGGCCCCCACAAGTTTGATGCCCATTTCGTCAAGGCATGTCGAGCAATTAAAGAAGCAGAGAAAGTCTGGGGAGAGACTGAGGATCAATATTATCTCAAAGCGGCGGTCAAGTTCGCAAGCGAATTTGACGGATGGGGTGGATTTGGCGCGGAAGATGAAGAGGTGGAAAGAGAGAAAACAGTCAAGGGTGGGTGAATTATGCCACCTAAGGTAGTTGCCGAATTACGAGGCTGGATGACCAAAATTGTATGATCATGTCATAGCATAAGGAGTCTTGTTGTTGATATATAATGATACGGGCAGTTTGACGACTCTATGATATAAGGAAGTCACGAGAGTGATTCGCCCATCTCTCGTTGCTAATCTTGACTTTAACCTGTAATGTCTATTATGTCTATTGTGTTGACTCGACGAGTGTCGTCGACGCGTTGTAGCTGTGTTCGCTACGCGGGAGCTTGACGAAGCTTCCACCGGATCGTTGCAGGATGCACTGGTCTGGAGAACATTGACTGAGTGGTAATGAACAGAGCAGAACGTCAGCATATGATCTTTGACGAGAAAATTAGCAAAGAAATAGTCGATCAAAACTCACCGAGTAATCCGTTTTGGGAACCGGTGCCTTGGGATCAACCTGCTCCCACTGTAACAACCTGACCAAGGTGACGAGAATGGAGCCTAACTGGGCATATGCAAAGGTCTCGCCGACACAGCGATGGCGTCCGGCTCCAAAGGGTAGATATGGACTGTATGCAGCCTTTGATGAGACGGCGCCGTAGCCATAGTCGATAGTATCTGTGTCTTTGGAGCTAGAGTCTTTGGACTGATCCGTGGAGGGGGTCGTCGATTCAGGCTGTTGGTCCCATCGATGCGGGTCCCAGTTCATGGCATCCGGGAAGAATTCGTCTGACCGGCCAAGAACACCTGGCGCAGCGAGCAGGATGTGTCCCTGAGGGACAACCATGTCAGAGTCGGGGATGGGCATATCAGTCTTGACTTTGCGCATGATGGAGTGGATGGGGCTATGTAACCGCAAGGTTTCTCGGATGACGTTGTTGTGCAAGGTGAGGCGCTGAAGCGACTCGTAGGTCAAGGAGGTCATTTGTTCGCCCAGCATCTCTTTTTGCTCTTGATATAGCTCCTCGATCAGCCAGGGCCGGTGTGCCAGGTGTAGCATGACCCAGGTGCCACTGGCGGCAGTGTTGTGCTGTCCACCCATCAGGAGCGCGATCATTAGGTTGGCGATCTCTAGGTCTGTAATGGCCGTGCCGTCCTTGTACCGTGCGTCTAGTAGTGCCCATAGCATGTCGTGCGACGAATCGTCCCGTTTTCCCTGCTGTCGTCTTTTTTGGACAATGTCCATGTACAGCTTCGCCATCTTCTTTTGTGCTCGGTCCCGTCGTATGTTGATTGGGATTGGTAGCCATGGGAACATGAAGTTAATCGGTGCAAATGCATCGTCCAAGTGTCGGTAGTACGTCGCAAACGTCGAGTCAAATGAGTCTCGAACTTCTTTCCCTTGTAAAGATCCCGCCGCTGTGTATAATGAGATTTCCGAGATTATGGATGAGACATCGCATATGCCTGTGGTCGATTGGAAGGCTGGATTGGTTTTGATGAAAAGCTGCACTTCGTGCACAAAGAGTGGGATATATGAGCGAAGGCTTTGCGAGGTGAAGCCTTCTTTCAATAGCTGTTGAAAGCAAAGTTAGTGGACAGCAAGCTTCAAGTAAAAAGGGCCGGGCGGGAGGCCTTAGATGCCTGTGGATTATGTGGTGTGAAGGTCATGATCGTAAGTGTGACCTACCCGCTTTTGATCCATGAACCTTGCATTTTCAACGGCGTAGACGACCCCAGGGCCAAATACTGGAATGGTCAATGGGCCATAGACTTCCTGGGATGTGTAAGAGATTGGTACAGAGATGGAAAGATGTCTCAAGTCTGACCTCTGCATTCAAGTCCTTCAATTTTCCATTGAGAATGAAATTGTTCCCCTTGGGACCCAGGTAGACTGTGACTTTCATCCCCAGAAGACCAAATGTGAAGCAATCGCCATACTAGAGGAGTCAAGAAGCATCATCAGCCGTGGCCCATGGGTTCAATTGCCACCAGACGTCTCTGGTACTGACCTTTTGGCGACACCGAAAGAAGAAATCATAGGGATCCTGGCCATAATCAACGGTGCTTCCGATCTTGGGGACCCAGTGCCAGACGACGGGAGGTCGGTGAGGGTCTCGGAAAAAAAGCTGCTTGAGGAGATTGGTCGCAATAGAGATGATGGTGAGTGAGATGATGGTGATGAGGATGGGGTGATTGTCGAGGAAGATACGAGAGGACATGTTGTAGGTGAGAGTGTGATATTGATAAGCCACTGACAGCAACAATGAGAGAGACTGGGTTGGTCTCGTGAAGAAAGTCCCTTGTCGCAGCCTCACTCCTTCATCGTGGGATGATTGCTGTATCACGATCAAATACTGCTCATGGAATCCTCCTGGTTGAGACTTGAGTACCGCGACAGATGATTGGTCAAATATAGCCGTGAATAGTGAGCAGCAGTGAGCACTGTCCAGGAGATGAACTAGAAGAATGCATAGCTAGATCCATGGTGTCATGTTTGTTGGGATGTCGGGGTGGCGTGTGGAATTGTCGCTGACCCCTGGTTGCCTTTTACTGTAGGAGTCGGTCTTGGCATTTATGTAGTGGGATCACGGATACGAAGAGGCTGACAATTGAAAGAGTTCTCGTCTATTGCAATTGACGGATCAATTTGTCTAGGGAGTATCGAACTACATTGTGATTATGATTCTCACTTGTCAGAGTCTCTCTCATGCCGTGTCGCACTCAAGTCTATACCAACACCTGCAAGGAATGACCATTGGTAGGTCAGCGATAATACTATATTGTACAATCCAGGTATATAGCAGATATCAAAACAACATCAGCCAGCCGCAACTGAGGCTTGGGGGATGGGGAAAGAAACGATGTGAGATCTGCAAGCCTGCCCCGGGTCGTGGTGTAGCTCATAACCAGTCTCTGGCTGATGGGCGCTGGCCGCTGAATTCAGTCCCTCATCTCAAAACCGACCTATTCCTCTCATTGGGCCACTAGCATGTTCTTGATTCTTCTCCAGTAATCTGGATCCACCAACTTCTCAACCTCTTCTTTGCTGACCCACTTGAAGTCGTCGAAATCTTTGTTCTCTGCAATGGCCAGGTCGGCTTGTCCTGCCATGATCCGGGCTTTCATGAAAAAAGTCTTTTCCCCCGAGGTGTCTGCTTCAACATCTTGCTTGGACAAAGCATTTGTTTTGGAAGGCGAGTCTTGCGATGAAGAAGCTTTTGCCTTGATTGCGCGTGTGGAGTCTTGATTGTAGTGGCCGACGGGGTGATTGCCGACGAAGAACGTGTTCATGTTGACGCCGCACGAGGCAAAGAGAACACGTTGGGCAGCCTGTTAATCACCAATGTCAGCAACCTTCTTGACTACTGTTGGACTCTGTAACTGTGCATGACGTTAAACTCACCTCCTTGAGACCCTCCTTGCCGCTCACCGGGCCTGCGGGAAAGGTCCAAAATTCCTTGCCTTTGGGTTTCAGAAGCAAGTACAAAGTTCGACTCAAGCTCCTCTCCAAGCTTCTTTGATCATTATTTTCATCGGCATCGGTCCTCCTCCTCAAGCCCGCATATTTGGGATCACCCTTTCCTGTGAACTCATCCTGTCGACCTTCTTCGGCAACTAGCTGCTGCACTAACTTGGCCGGTGAGCCGGTGTCATCACCCACAAGAACCTCATCGTTCCATGACACGTCGCTGTAGGCATTGTAGTTACCAACATCCCGGGTAGCTGTGCCACTTCGAGCACGTCGACCCTCGCGCCATTTTTCAAAGGCCGGCGTGTTGCGTTTGTAGTAAAAGTATTGGGTAAAGGGAAGAACAAGTCGTTCGTTTAATCGGCGTTGGTAGAGGTAGTATGCCGTCTCGAAGGGGTGAGGATCGGGGGTAATGAGGGGTGGCCGACTGATGACCACGCCGGCTTTGATGATGAAGGATGGTTGTGCTACGGGGGTAGCTGATGGTCCCGACGGAGTAACCTGGGAGATGGATGGTGTCTCAACGCTTGCCTTGGCGGCTGCTGTTGTTGCCAATCGAGTCTGCAGCGAAGGATGCCGGAGTGCGGCTCGACAGGAACGACAGACATGAGCTGGCGAACTCTTGCTGGTAGATTGAACTAGTGACGAGAGATTTAGTTTCTGCGACGATGGAGAGAGAGAGGTCAGTCGGTAGGGCATACTCAGAGAATCAGCAATCGCATTGAGTCCCCTCGATCTCGGGGCCATGTTGAAGATGGCACACACGGGGACCTTTTTCTGGAAGAGTGAGGTAGGTTGGCTCCTCTTTTTGAGTATTGTCGGTCTCGTCGAGTCTTGATGTTCTGATTGCTTGAGATCCAAAAAGTTGAGAACAGGACCACAAACGGGCCTAGTCCTTATTGGGACAAGGAAGGTTAGCCGAGTTTGATTTTCCGTTTCGGCAAATATTCTACAATTTCACTTCCACTTCCACTTCCACTCAGTCCTTCCAATACAACAAAAGCCTCTCAGCAGAGACCAAGTAAAACACAGATAATGATGCATCAATCGATCGGCCTGACATGCAGGCCCCGACGATGAAAGTAAATGTGTTTCTTTTGCCCAAGAGTACTCCCTCGGATCTCCCTTTGCCATCCCGCACATAAATAATCCCCGGCACTCATTCCTTATCATCAATTGCTTCTTCATCTCGATAGCTCTTTGATCATTATCAGGTGCCCAGAAAGACATCTCAGCTGGAGTCTTTTTTCGCTAGCAGGACCATACCACGTTACATGTCGGTACTGTTAGATAGACACTCCAGACAGCTCCATCTACACATTCATTTTTATATGGGGACCATCAATGGACACATAACACTGGCACCGCCGTCCACCACCATGTTCGCACCTGTGATGTAGCTACTAAACCCGCTTGCCAGGAATCCTGCAACCCTGCCGACCTCCTTTGGCAAACCAGCCCGCTCCAGACCAATGTTCATCTTTTGGGATTGAGGGCTTTGTAGCTCCGCTGGGGGCAGCTGCAAGTTGCCTCCTCGTGCATCAAACCCATTTAGACTGACGCCAACATCGATCTGCCCAGGACTTATGGCGTTGATCCTGACGCCGGTCCCCTTCAAGACGGCTACTCCTGACCGAACGACGCCCAGGGCGGCATGTGAGGACATGGTGAAACATGGACCCCAGCATCCTCCGTACGTGCTGGCGGTGGAGCTCACCACAATGATACTGCCGTAGCGGTGGTCCTTGGGTGCTGCATTTGTGTAGCTCCCCTTGGGAGTTGTCTTTTGCATTGCATGAGGCGCGTATTTGAGGGCAAAAAAGGGTGCCAGACTGTTGGCCTCGAAACAGTTTTGAAGATCCGCTGGGGTGGTTTGATCAATCGAAGGCGGACCTAGTAACCCAGAACTACACACCCACACATCGAGCCGACCCCAGGCATTGAGGGCTTCGTCAATGAGGGTCAGTGTGTCTTGCTCTGATGAGATCGAGTATGGATAGTCGATGACCTTGGTGTTGGGGTAGGTGGCGGCGAGAGTGGATTGGAGGTTGTTCGTCGAGGGCGATGAGGTGGTGCACGCGTAAATGCAAGCTGCGCCGTGGGCTGGATATGTGGCAAAGATACGTCTCGTCAATAAATACTCGTGTACATCTTCATGTTTATCGTCCACCACCAATACTGGCTCAAGCTAGGACCGAACAAGACCCACCTGCTAGCTCTGTTACAATGGCTCCTCCGACAGGCATGTCTGCGCCAGTGACCACGCACACGAATCCATAAAGTTTGCCGTCGGCTCGATAAGGGGAGAAGTGGTCGGATTCTTCTTGGATGGTCATTGTGTCCGACATGGTGTGGCAGGGCACGAGAGAGGGAGGGAACGAGAGATCAAGGAGGATGAAGCAGGCTGGATAGAGACAAACTGTTGCAGGCTGATCAGTCTCAGTACAAATGGAGATCAAACCTGGAATTCTAGGTTGGTGAATCGACTGGAAGAAAACCAAGCTAGGTCATGGTGTGCAGTCTGCGGATGATTGATGGCTACTCCGCGGCGACTGATGCATTTCCTCTCGTGAGCCGTTCCAGCGGTTCCCCAGAATCTGGCGTCGCAGAAGGGCCAATCATGGATAAGAGATGATCGTCTGGAGGGAACCATTCATCGCCTATCGTCGAGGCTTGGATGGGAAGACGACTTAAAGTGATGCAGTTTCTCCGCGCAGGTCAGAGATAAAGTCCCACGGGGCCAGTATTGGCGTGCCTGCCGCCGTGACTGCGTGGTTGCTCAATTTGCGTGAGAAATGCGGAAGGTGGCTGTTGATCCGTATCAGCTCGGGGGCACTCCTGCCAACTGATAAGAATTGGTTATCTGGGCACTGTGATTGGTGGTACTTCACAGGGCCGAGGGCTGGTACTCGTAGATCTCGGAGCGACCAACTGAAGAGCCCCATTCTCAGCAAAGAAGAAATGTATTTCTTGCTCTAGGCCCTAGGTTCATCGATCTGGGGAGTTGAACCAATAGAGGAAGCGCCAGGAACGACCCTTTGTTGTCGCAGCGCGAGAGCTAACCGTAGCAATGTAGACACTGGACAGCCATAAACAACCATAAGGCTGTCTTAGAAAAGGGGTCCACAGGCCTCCTTCCAGTAGTAAACGGTTTTCGCAGATATCAACAACATGTAGCAGACAGCTAGATCACAAACATGTTTCTGATCTTATGGTTCTTATGATCATCGATTCTGTGTCTTCGCACGTGGCAAATGTGTCGACCTTGCTTCGGTATAATGCCTTGTTTTTTCTATTGCTATCGGCAATGACGATCTCCTCAACCCATATCTGGAGTTCCACAGATCAGACGAGATAGGCTCGACCGGCGACGACACAACCTGAACATGAGATGAATTGATTAAAAATACGGTCAAATTTGCCAAGGACCATTAGAATCTTCAGCATGTTTTGTCATCGTGGTAGCATTCATGTCGCCGATAAAGGTAACAGCATACTCGACGGTCGTCTCAGCGCCCCTCTCAACGATGGCATCAACATAAATATCGCCAACATAATTATGTCAGTGGTCTATTGCAGCCAATCCACATTTCTCCACCGATCATGCATCATCGCCCCGGCCCGGTCATGTATCAGATGACGATCCTGACCTTGTGTATCGGATACAGCGGCCAGACCATATGTTACAACCTATCATGACCCAATAGCAACAGCCGATAGACAGCATTGTCATGCCATCTCTCCTCCGAACACAGCATTGGACACTGATACTCATGTAACGTCTTGAAAGCCGTTTCCGGTACCTGCATCGTCAGCTTTTCGAGAATGAGCTTTATACAGGCGCCACCACACCTCCCATACATTCATGCCTCCCAGGAATCACAAAACAGGCAAGCCGACATGCCATGCCAGTTCTCGAGGGTTGTGCTCCTCGTACAACCGACATTTAGGCCTTGGCCTAACTCATTGTTGTTCCGTGTCTGAGACACAAGCTCGTGCCGGGTCAAAGGATGATGTTGGCGACGAAAATGTGCCTAGGGCTGTTTTCAATGCACAACTTTTGCAGCCAGACACATTGGCCCATGCATGGAGAATGCACCAGCATGGTATAATTCGCTCTTGGTCTCTGTCCGGATGTCCTCTTCAAGCCAACAACCCCTCCTATCGTTCCAGCTGCAAAAGAGCTCTATTCTCCTCGATAAGTCAGCCGTAATACGCCGTCACCACCATCTTTACCAGCAGCCATGCATTTATGCTACGTCTCAGTGACACATGTCGACACACATGCCAGGCCATGTTCGTTTCCATATGGGCCGTGTGGCTCCGGTTATTTGACTTGCCTAAGACTTAGATTTGGCATGTGCATTTCAGCCTTACATTACTGGTGCCAGCCACGCGCATTGATGCATGAGGATCAAAAATCGCCAACACGGCGCACGAACTGCTGTCTCTCTTACTCCACTCCGCACTCGAGCTGAAGGCCTTGAACGTAAATACATAACAACGGTATACGGCAAGGTGTCTTGTTCATTGACCAAATAAAACTCAGTTCCACTGGGTCATCTGAGCATCATGAAAGCCCTCGAATGCTTTAGTTGGTGGTAGGGATTGCCCCACTGCTGCCCAAAACATCAAAACCTTTGTAAAAACTCAAGTCCTGTGTGACCCGAGCACTGCACCTGGTTAGTGCCCATGGTCCGTCGATAAGCGAAATTGACCCCCGAGGATGTCCCGGTAGGTCGGAATCAGTAAGTAGAGCGTCGAGATAGAGTCGTGAAAAGCGGCGACAGGCGCGACCAGCTAGGTTGATGATTGATTGATGCCCAAAATATAGCTAACGGCGCGAAGGGCAACCAAAAGATAGAGGGTTTGTTTGAACTCTCGACAAATCCGCTCCGTGTGTATGGGCATCGTTACGGCCATGTTATTTCTTCGCGCGATATGAAATGATGCATGTCTGGATGCCGTAGTAGGGCACACGGCCTGCACTTGGCGCCTATTCTCAGGTTTGGAACAAGCGTGGAGTCCGGGAAGGAAGATGTAGTTCTGGTATCGGACCACCCACACATGTGCACCAGCTAGAGATGAACAAGGTACATGACATGCTGCGGGATTACGGTGCTGTCTTTCGAACACGTGGAGACCTGCGGTTGTCAATAGAGACTTGTTGAGACGACAGGTTGTGGTCAGTAAAACACGGACGCGAAGGGTGTGCGAGCATTGCCCATGAGAAAGTAGGGCATCAAATCGCTCAAATCCAGTATTTTCGCAACCTATCTGGAAATAGCGTCGCCTGCTGCATGTCGATACTTCTGTCTTCCCGGGAAATATTATGGGCTGAGCGAGTGAGGAAGTAGTAGGACTTGACCCATCGCTGTAGATCTGGTCCTCCTTCTGCATATCGTAACAGCAGTGGTGACACGACAGGAAGGAGGGGTAGTACCAGAACGGCCGTCTCGAAGAGGAGGACTCGGCTCATCGCTGTACATCTGGTCCCCCCCTTTTCCGCACACCACAACCGCAGTGGAGACACGACAAGATAGAGGGGCAACAGTACAAGGGCCGTCTCGAAAACTGCCCTCCAGACCAAGTTAACTGTATGCAAGTCATCATGTTACTGGGAGACGATTTGCCACGAGGACTTGTTAACCGTGATGGTCAGGGGCAGAGGGTGCGGTTGGATCGCTTTGGTCTGGTCGGAGCATAATTCTCCTACTTGTTGGTAGCGGGGTTGGGCAACAATCGGAAAACACCGGAATCTGGACGGGAGAGAACAGATGGATGGGATCCAGGCCCGTCGATGGGACAAGGATTCCCTTGGAAAATCGAGGCCGCAGTTGTAAAGCTTGGGAAGGGACGAAAAGGTGGGTAGAAAATGAGGCTCAAAAAGACGCTGAATGAGAAGATGGACGACTGCAAATGGAAAATCGAGTTAGGAAGGAGCGATCAACACGTAGATTGTTGAAGTTGAAAGAAGGAAGGAACAAACTTCTTTAGTTCCCGCAACTGCCGCAACTGCAGAACCAGACGGGAGGTGCGACCCATGATATTATTAGGGGGGAAGGTACATCCACCATATCCACCACGTCCACCAAGTCGTCAAAACCATCGTTCGAGGCAAAGAGACCCCACACCTGTATCGAACGGCTTTATCTATAGACCAAAACTGTGAAAATACATGGAGGAAGCTGATTGTACTACAATTGTACACGACATTGTTCTGCGAGTCCTGGAGGGGTGATATGAGAACGGTACCATGTAATAGAGCCGAATTCGTAAATTGACCATCCACGTGGAATGTGCAATGTGCCGGCATCTGGATGCTACACTGCTTCAGTGCTCGGGTCTGCACGCGCCAGAGGAAAACTCGCTTGGGAAGGGATGCACTGGCGAGGGCTGTTCATGACCGTCAGGAACCTGGATTGTTACAAATTGGAGCTGCCCCTCGGATCGCTCCAATGGAAGCTTGAATACTCCTGTACATCGCCACTTAAACGAAGAGACCTTATCCCAACCAGAAATATACCCAGCATGAGCTGACACCTCTTTCCGTCAATCCTATGTGATCTGGCCGATATGATGCAACTGGCCCCCAAACTCCCTCTTCAATCAATTGAATGTCGTATCGCCCAAGAGGCACTTAAGCATTATCCTTTGCAACATGCACAACTGTTACACAAACACCCTGGGGGGACTTGACAAAGAGGGGAGAGGCATCCCTGGAATGCCACGTCTCCTCCTCCCACCAGCGCTAGCTTCGAGCACCTGACCTCAGCTTGCTGGGTCTATAGCGCTTCTAACGCAGCCGTGATCTCCAGCCTGAATCCCTCCGGGTCCAGTGGGTGTCTTAGGGCTCGCATCGGCAAGCTCATCATGTCTGCAGTGTCCTCTTCGGAAATGTCGCTTGATGGCGATGTGGTCTCGGATTCGAGTTCGAGTATCGTGGTGTCAAAATCGGGGAGTGTAATCGCCCGTGCTTGTTGGCACCAAAAGGTGACGGCCGTTTGCAACTGCGCGAACCACTCGGCAATAGTCATTTGTCTACCGCCAAATGTCACACTGAGTGCGTGGTACTTGTTCAGGCCAGCCCTGGATGCTTTGTGCCGCCAATCAGGGAAGGCGTCCTCGATCAAGTAGCGCTTCTCAGCTGCACAATGGTTGACATAATTGAAGTAAGCTTCCTCAGAGTCTTGGTCAATTTAGTAGGAACCTTCTTCTAGCGGCAGCTGTGCATAGGCTCACATTTCATCATGACCGAACCGGGGGAGTAGGGCAGTGGGACAAGTCGGTCAAACCGCTCCTCGATGAGCTCTTGCAATCTTACATAAGACGCGTACATAATGGATGTTGACTCTTGGAGTGTCCAGAGCGCCATTTGTACCGACTCGGGCAGCTGTTGGAGCATTGATTGGGGCAGAGCAGCAAAATGTGAAACGTCGCACGGGTCATGAGAATGTGGAGGTGCAAGAAATAGAGCGTCGGGTGGCATAAAGGACGTCATTGTATGACGAGTGTGCAACAAGATAGGAACGAGTGCCAATAGTTAGCTTCTCAAATGCAAGGAATTAATCAGGCGCAGTGATTCATGAGCAGGAACGGCAAGTGGCTGAGGGTGGACAGTGTCATATTTATAGTCGAGTCGATGGCGAGCAGATGGTATAATCATGATAGAGAATGAAGAGGCGACGGATGAGAAGGGATAGGTCAACATGGTGATTGGCGGAGGATTCCTGACGGAGTGATGAGAGGGACCAAGGTACAAGGTTACCTGTTTGGTAGCGGGTAATGAGTGAGCCGGGGTCGTGCTGCCGATGCTGATTCTGCTAAACCATGGTATTCCTGCAGAGCTCACATGTATGCCTGTCGTATCCACAATACCGTTAAACCAAAAACAGGCCTGACCTGGAACCCACCTCGGATTGGTGATGCCAGAAATGACCTTGCCGGCCGTACTAGACAGACTCGCAATGACATGACTGTCTGCCGGGTTGAGAATAAGGCAGTCGTAACATGGCCCGGGCAGCCAAGTAAGCCAAATCCTCGGCAGAAGACAGTGGGCTAGAGAAACAGCAGGCAACGCGACCCACCGAGTTCACACATGCTGATGAGAAGAAAAGGAGGAGAAACAAAGTTCCATGTTGAAATTGATGCGCAGCAGATCCCAGTAGCTGGAAAAGCAAAATTTCACCCAATGCACAAAGTCCATGTCAGACTGTTGGCCTAGGATGGAAGGCAATATACACATTTTGCGGTGGATGCCTTGACTCCCACACTTAAACATGGTTCACATGTTATGTTTTCGAATCAACGAACCTATTGGATCCTGGACTCGGAGTCAGTAATAAGCATGAAGGGATGAGCGACAAGCCAGCATGGTCAAGCTAACCGTTCGATCAGATGGACGCCCGAAGCCGTCTCCACCACTCCACTCATCTCGCCGGGCTGTAGGGCAAAGGCAGCATCTTCGAATTCCTTCTGCATCTGACCTTTGCCAAAGAAGCCCAAGTCACCTCTCTTGCGGGCACTGCTGCAATCCGACTCGGACACGGCAAGATCGCCCAGAGTGGTTGATCCGGAGCGGATCTGTTCTTCATAGCCTTTGAGCAGCTCTATGGCGTCCTCCTTGGACCGTGTAATATTTGTTTCTCTCCAACTCGAGGGCCGGCGACTGCCACTGTGTTTGACAAGGAGATGGGCGGCTCGAATCTTGCCATCCGACGCAGTTCCATCGATACGGGTGTTGGCAGAACTGTGATGCTGGGCCATGTAGATCTTGAGTTTATCTGTGTCGGCGTCCTCGGGTGGCTCCCATCTCGACTCATGCGTCTTGGAGTTGAAGTAGTATGGCAAGTTTTTTGAGTTGGAATGTCGGACCTCCCAGTCTGGAGGCAAGCCAGTCTCGGTCTGTCAGCGTTAGTGGAGGGACGAGGTAAGATGGAAGGACGATTGAGGAAGACGGGAGAGCATACCATGATGATGACAATGACGTTGCTGATGGGTTTGCGTGAGTCTGACACGAGGATGGATTGTAGAAGATGATTATTGTCGTCGATCAAAATGGTTGAACGTTAAAGGTAGGAACGATCGTCGAAATTGTCTGGTAGTCACGTTGGAGTGAGGCGGGCGCAGACACACCGACATGGGGCACGCAATGCGACAATAATAATAGATGGCTGAGGGGCAGATAACTTGAGGGACATGCGTTCTAAGTACCACGTAATGCTGATCAACAGCAAAGCCTAGGACAGGCACAGACAGAGGTAACAACCATGGAATAATGGCGGGGTTGAGGAGCCGAAGGCCATTATTAAGCCTAGCCGTGCCTACTGAGATCTCTAATAATCGTCCCTCAGAAACAAGTTCCTGGGCAACCCCAGCTACTTAGGTACTGTAAGAAGCCCGAGGCGCCCCCTCCGTCCATAGGGTTGGGGTTTCCAGGGGCGACCCTCCTTAGCGAACCCTATCGAATTGCCATCTCCTAGCGCATTGCTCACATCAAAAAAGAAATGCTTGAAAACGATCTTAGCTTGGAGCAGTAGTCATACGCACAGTTCATTCCTTCCTACATACTGAGTAAATGACCTCATACATGTTTCTGCTTTGAATGACTCACTGTGTCACCTGGGCTGGTGCTCGCAATCAAGCATTAGAGCAACCCCAGAGTTTGAGAGGGTAGACGCATAGCCACCTAACGTAGCCACCTTAACAACCAGTCACATGGACAATCGAGATGACTCGCACGCCTGGATTGTACCTGCAGGTGAAGCTCAGGGAGTCAGCAGTCGTTAGCCCTCGTGACTCGACACTGAAGAAATAAAATGCGCCTTGCACCCAATGGGCTGGTCTCCCAGTTCTCCCAGAAACAACAATGAAAACACAGACAAGCAGCATTACTACTGGTTTCTAGTACTGCGTAAGTTTAGGCACCTCCTCGGGCCTAAAAGAATAGGTACCTACCTAAGGAGGAGTAGCTAAGGTTGCCACAAACGCGCCACATACCCTCTGCCTGAGGGGTACGAATACTTTCAGACTAGGTACTCCGTACTCCGTCAGTAAAAAGTTCCCTCGGATTCGCCTTTTCGCCAAACAGCCTATCATCCATCATCAACCCTTCGTCTGCAATATCTGCCACGACTCGAATAAACACAATTTCTTACCACCCTCACTAATCACCATTTGGCCTTCAACCCCTCCACCCCCTTCGTCCTCCCTTATCCCATCTGTCTCAAGGACCATCTCGATCAACAGCGACATCTCCCATACCTTGGTGCAATCAGTTGTCATGTCAGCCGCACCCTCCCCCGCCGCCAGCGAGGGCGATAGCAAGCGAGGCGAAGTCAATTATAGATTTTGTCAAGAGTGGTCAGTCACCTAAATTCTATTCTTTATAGACGAAACTAATTCATTTCTTTGCAGTTCCAATCTTCTCTACCCTAAAGAGGACCGAGCCACCTCGACACTCCTCTACATCTGCAAGGCTTGCCACGCAACCACCACCCACGACTCGGCCTGCACCTTTCGACAACATCTGGGGGCTACTGTACAAGAGACGGCTGGAGTGACGACGGATGTTGCTAACGATCCTACTGTGCGTGATTCACCACCCACCGAATCATCCGACTTGTTCAGCAGCCCTCATCTTTGTACCCTGTGTGGTGATCAGTTGAAATGCTTTCAATGTGGTCTCCCATGAGTTCTTGCTTGTCACCTGATTTTCTTGCACTCAGAATCTCTGGCTGACAACTTCTCTTTGCTTTTCCACAGCTCCCTCGAGCCAAGCAGATCTGCCCCAAATGTCGAGAGGAGGAAGCCGTGTATTTCCAGTCCCAGCAACGAGCCGCTGACACTGGAATGGTATGTGCCTCGTCCATCTTCATCCTCCTGACCATTCAATTGACCTGATGACAGAAACTCTACTACGTCTGCATCGCGTGCAATCATGTCTACACATCGGTTTAGTATGGCGTTGGGGCTTCGCTGAAAGCTTTTAAAAACATGAAACTGGGCGCTTCGGTGGGTGGGAAGGGTTTGGGTTGCCAACGGCATGACTCGATGATTGCATCATGATACCATGGGTTTCGAATCTTGGAGTTTGTCATGGTGATGGGTATTTGTACAGATGTTGATTACATTTGAGATGCACCGCGTCTCGTTCAATCCCACGTCACCACTAGAGGGACATGGTACTCAGTCGTTGAACGACGGACGACAAATGACCTGTGTAAAAGACAGCGCTTTGTGTTCGCAATCATATGTGCATGGGAGCCAACGATAGAATCTTGGACCATTTCTTATCCCGTAGTTCCGCCCCAACCACACTAGACAATCGTGTTCCAATGGGATCGCCGTTCTTGTTGATGAGCACGCATGCGTTGTCATCGAATTTGACCAAACTTCCGTCTGGCCTCCGTTGTTCTTTTTTCGCCCTCACCACCACAGCGTGTCGAATATCGCCTCTCCGAACCTTGTTGGAAATCCCCAGACTTGTGCCACCTGGATTGTCGGGGCCGAAGCTTCTCTGTTTCTGCACGACCACGATGATTCTGTCACCTGTTCGGGTACACAATCAGTATCACTCATGATGATCCGTCCGAGTCCCTGGGCCAGTATATACCAATATTCGCAGCACTCGTCTTCTTTCTCATCACGGCAACGCATTCGACGACAGCAGCGCCCGAGTTGTCGATGCAGTTAAGCATCGTCTGTAATGGTACTAAGGTTAGATCCAAAGTCTAGACACACACGAAGCGAAGGAGGGAAGAATTCTCACTTTAAGCTGTATCATCGTGGCAGCATGTTGTGGTCGAGACTGACTGAGGGCTCTGTAGTTGGGCTTTGGTGGCTTTGGAGGTCAATGTATAATAATACTGATGATGAGAGTTGAATCAAAATCTCTCAGAAGTGAAGAGGTGGAGCTGGTGCGCGGTGGTGATGATTGGTTGACCAATTCCTCATCTCAATTGGTTACCAACAACCGCCTGGAGATTCTGGCGGCGGGATCCATACTTAAAAAGCTGGGCTGCGTGGCTGGAGTTTGCCCCTAACCCCCTTTGAGGCTGATGCCCTTTCGTAGGGTGCATTAGCTGTGCATACAGGCCGGACAAGCTGAACTGCACCCAAACATCGCACTCTTTTAGGCGCGTTCAGCCGTGTCTTCCAGGCGACCTTTCACTATCAAAGCCCCCAGCAGCGCCTACGTGTCTCTGGACCCCCACTGCCGCATCTTCTGTTATTTCAACCTCCACAAAAGTCCTTCTCTCCTCTATCCTCAGCCCTTTCGCTGTCTTCTCGTCCATCCCATATGTGGCCCCTCTTCCTCCACCCTCTCTCACTCCCTGGTTTTCCCTCTAACAAAATTGGTATTTCCTCAGCCAGCAGAATACCAGTGCAAGTCATTCTCTTGTCCTCCCCACTCGTTGCATGAACAGTTGTTTATGTTGATCAGCCCCGTCCTTCCGGACCCCCAGTCACCCAAAGACCTGACGCGACCACTATGCCTCTGTCGCAACACGCTCATTTTCTTGAACCTGCTGTTGTCAACATCGGGCTGGCCTGATCTCACATCGCGTTACAGGACTGCATATATCACCAACTGCAACCTCCTCCACTCGTTGTCGGTCAATCCCTTCCTTGTCGTGTCAGAACACTAGTCTTTCTCTCCAAATTCCGAGTCCTGTCCATCATCCCCCAAAAGCGTCAACTAGGTCGTGACAAGAGGTCATCTCCTCACCCAGTTGCAATATGGGTGGTAAAAAAAATAAGTCTTTCGAGGCTGACAAAGCTCAACGCCTGTCTCTTGCTGAGCTGGCTGCCCACGACGATGTCTGCTCAGATGTCCTCATTGATAATGTTGGTTGTTTCCTCGACTTTCACCATGTTTTTTAACTTACACATCCCTCTAGGCGTACTACAAAGCGCGTATACGAAAGAACCGGGCCAAGCATTTCCCCATTCGTGGTATCAAGGAGGAAGAGGTTCCCAAAATTCTCCTCCAGAAGGTCATTGTCGACAAAGACCTCGCCGGCGCGGAAAAGGCCTTGCTTGCACTCCCCGGATTGAGAAGATACAAGAAAAGTTTACGCACCAAAATTGAAAAGGAACGCTTTCTCTCGCATCTTCGCAAATACATAGCGCTGTACAGCACCGACTGTGCTTGGGAGGTTTCCACCACAAATCGGTATACTATCGTCACATACGAGGCTGCCGTCACAGCTCGACGGAGGATCAAGCAGGGGGACAAAGTCAAATACCTCATTGGAACGCTCGTCCCCCTGACGACCGAGGAGTCCGCTGACCTGGATATGACAAATCGCAACTTCAGCATTGTTGTCTCCAGCCGCAAGAAGAACTCATCCATTTTCCTCGGACCTGCTCGCTTCGCCAATCATGACTGCGATGCAAATGGTCGCTTAGTCACAACGGGGCCGGATGGCATGGAAGTTGTCGCCATGAAAAATATCGAGGTCGGCGACGAGATCACCGTGTCATATGGAGACGATTACTTTGGGCCAAACAATATTGATTGCCTGTGTCACACCTGTGAAATCTTGGAGCGAAATGGGTGGACTCCAACGAACCCTGCACTAGAGCCTGGAAGCCAACTCTCTACCCCTGGCCCGGCCAGTAGATCTGCTTCAAAGACGCGCAACCTGAAGCGAAAGTACGATCCTGAATCAACACCTTCGTCCTTGTCTTCCGGACCCGCCAAGAAGATACAGAAATCTACCCAGTCTCCGTCCAAATTGCAGCAGTCTTGGACCCCCCCTGCGGGCCCGGATGCAGATGTTGCAGACAATGCAGATATGAGCGCCAGTGCTGAATTACAAATGCCACCGATCGTAGCTGCTCAGCCCACCAAGTCGCAACCGGCTCTATCACCACCTCATAGTCCATCTCGGTCTGAGGAGATTGACGTCCGCCCCTCTCATTGCTTCTCCGCTTCTGCCCTTCCAGAAGGACTCGGTCAGATAACTCCCGTTGAGGAAAAACCGATAGATCCTCCCAAGCCGTCAGACAGTGCCCGCGAAAGCAAGATGGCAGCCCGACTATTGGGCAAGACCTCAAGATCTCCGTTGTCGCCTGCGCCTACTTCTCCTTCAAGCCTCGATTCTGTTCTTGGGGCTAATCGAACCGACCCGGAATCCCAGGACCAGGAAAGCCACGTGACGATCAAAGTTGAGTCCGTCGAAACAACCAAGGTTGAGACAGATGAAGATACTATCATCATTGGGCAGAATGAGCCGCAGGAGCCTCCATCCATTGCGAACAATATGATCAGCGAACAATCGACTCTCCCAGAGCTTGTCACGGAAACAGCTGGACAAGAAGTTGTAATTCCACATGTGGTCTCAACCCTGACAACAACTACCGTCACCAGAGACGTCCACGGACCGGGATTTTCTACTTCGCCTGGTGAGAATCAAGTACTGCCATCTATAGAACAGAACAGCACATCCGCAACCGTTGCGTCGTTGACCGTTCATCCAGTCACCGGCACAATTCGCATTGCCGGCGATTACATCCTGACACGAAAGCTTCTTGCGCAACCCCACGATCGCTGGGTAGAATGTCACAACACCAAATGCTACGGATTCTTCATTCAACCCAACGGGTACCAAACCCGACGAGAATGTCCACGATGTGAACGCCACAGTATGCTGTACGGATTTCCATGGCCCAAAACGGACCCCGACCCCCGAAAATTGCTTGAACGCAAGACGCAAAGTAAAAAGCGAGATGCACCAGCGGTAGAATACAGTGCATATCGAAGGCATGGCCGAACCGGTAAAGGAACTTGGGTTGAAGGTGGAGGTGACGAGGAAGAACGAGTGATGGATCACCGAACCATCCATAGATTCGTCCTTCCAGAAGAGGAGCGGGATCTGACACGCAAGGGACTGTTGCAAGCTGCAGAAAAGGCCAGAGAAGCGGGCGACAGGGTGTTGGCTCGGTTGGAGGCTCGTTTACGAGCTGGGTCACGTGGCCAGGGCACTGAAAGTTCGGCACGAGATGCGAGTGAGAGCAATGGATCTGCCACGCCCGATGATGCAAGACGAAGAAGTAACCGGTTTGTTACGCGTCCAGTGGGTGTTTATACAGATCGAGGTTGATCAGGGTGGCACCCTGATATCGACGAGGTGTAGTACATGAGGCATGTCACACATTGCATGGGCATGGGACGAGGCGTTGGGACCACATGATTCGGGTATTATTAGGCATCGATTATTCATGGCTGACTGGGATACGGCGGCATTCCTGAGACGACAACATGGAATGCCAGTAATGTTAGTAATGCTTGAACCGCTCCATAGAGCAGGAATATGCTTGTATGTACTACCAATATTTGCCCTGGTAGAAGGCTGATCTATCAGACTGACTGACAAGACTGGATGATGCATTTCCCAACAGTAGGCCCAACCCCGTAGGATAGTGCCGAGGGTGTATATCAAGTTCATGCCATTGACCTTCATTTTCACCCTGGAACGGAGCGCAGGAAATCGAAATCACTACCCAAGGGAGCCTCGTGGGCACACCCTTCAAGCTGGGTCCTCATACTGGCCTTGATCCATTTGGCCCTGGCAACAAGATCGTTTATGTCGAAGCGGGCGAGGACGCCGTACGGCGCACATCCCTGGTCAGCCATGATATCATGGAACCGTGTCCTGGGCGAGGTGTACTGCTGCAGTGCGTTCACCAGTGCCACCGTTTCTTCCTCACTCCACTCTTCTGGCTCAAGGTCTGGGATGGGAGCCGAGAGCGTCCTCACGTCCCCCTGCGGAGCGATCACAATGTCGTCGATGTCAAGGACTTGGTCACGGGGATGCTGCGGCCAGTCTTTCTGCATGACCACAAGTGGTTCAGTGTGCAGGATCCGAGATGGCTGCGGGTTGAATTGTGACGCTTGATGTCGCTGCGTGATCTCTGCTCGTTTGCGCGCCAGGGTCATGTTCCATTCCTGTAATTCTGCCGCTCGCCTCGCGTTGAATTCGCGGAGATATATCTCTCGGTGGCGCTCGGTCAATGCATATTCGTAAGTAACTATTAAGCTGTGGACGCTTTTCCTAATCGTGGTACGGGTCAGAGCTTTGATTCCCTCTTCGAGGCTGGGCCGTGGTGTCCACTCTCTGCAGATGGAAACGACGTTCTGTATCAGGTCGAGAACTCGCATGATTTCTTTATGGGCGTGGAAACCTAATTGCTCATCCCTGAAGCGAGCCTTGAGTATCATTTTCGCCAGCCTGATCGTCCCAGGTAAGATATGCTGGTACATGTCTTCTCCTAACTCTTCTCGTTCCATTCGTGTCCGGACTTCAGCACGAAGCTGGAGTTCTCGTCCGTGTTCGATTCTTTCCTTGAGCATACGAAGGTTGTTGCCAATGGACTCGGCTGCTGTTGCCGGATCTGCAGGCTCGTCTCTTGCGAGGTCTCGGTAGTGGGAGAATAGCTCGGCCAGTGGACGATGGGCTCCTCTCCCTTGAATAGAAGTCGGCGAACTTGTCGACCGACTCCTTTCGATTTCCAGCATGGCTGTGAGGAGCTCAGTCCAGGGTACTGCGAGACCATGGTACTTGACGGCCTCTTTGACGCCTTTGAGTGCGCGCTCTTGAAGGATGCGCGCCCTTTCAATCTTTTCCTTTTCAGCCTGAATTCTGGTTCTTCTGTCCCTTGCGGTCTCTGGATGCGAGACTCCGGCGTCCGGAGTCGCTATTTCCACGCCATCCTCATCGCCTATGTCTTGTGCAATAGCTTTCGATGGGGAAGGTACCTTTGTGGTCTGTTCTGCAAGCTGGATGATGGATTGTGGGGCCCTATTACCCTCACCTTCTTCATTATACGTGTTGGAAGGCTCATCGGCATCATCATCGCGTGACTCCTTTTCAAGATGGTTGATCTGTTCAGAGTCAACGAGGTGGGATAAATCTGCCTTTTTGCTCTTGCCACGTCTGGTATCAGCTTTTAGAGGGGAGAATCGGTTGCTGCGAGACAAAGCTCCTGCAGTAGCTTTTCCATCTACCAAGGTCGAACCTAGTCCTGGCGTCAAGGGTTCATCTTGCTCTCGCGCTGCGGCCTCGATCGGATCCTCCTCCATGATGGAATTCCTGACTAACCGGGTGGGCAAGTTGCGGCCCTGACCCTTGACCCGCTTTAGGGTTTTGATAGGTTTCCCAGAGGTATTCCTAGTCTTCTGTAAGGACTGTGAGATCTTTCCCAGCCATCTTCCTCGAGTATTATTCGCAGGTGAGTCGTCCAGATTCACACGGGCATTCCCCTTGGGGTCTAATACACCGTAGCCTTTGAACGGAGAGTCGGTGGTTTCTTTCTGTTTATTCAATGGCCTCAGCTTCTTGATTGGCTCCATGCGCGGTCGTGTGTCATGTTCTTCGACTGGTATTTGTACTTGATCAGCGCGAAATACTGGGGTTACCACTGGTAAAGAGACTCGAGATCGTAACCGGCTAGACGAGCGGCGGGGTGAGACAGTGTTGGGTGCAGAAGTCAGCTGCAAGGTGACTCTTCGCTTAGGTGTGGCATTAGGTAGGACTCTTGGATCCTCTGCGCCCACTTTGCGCTTCGAAGGAGTGTTTGTCTTGCTCTCGGCGAGGTCGTTCATGATGGCTGTCACTTCTTTGGCATTCTCGTCTCGGCCAGGGGTGGAAATTCGAGTAGATCGACTCATCTTGCGGCGCACAACCTAAAATGTAGGATCGCGTTCAGTAGGCGATCAACATCAGCGCCAGGCTCAAGTCTACTTGCGCGTCGTTGATATAGAGATTGTTGGGAGTTTGATTATTGTGTTTCATACAAACGCGGAGTCGCGGTAGTAGAGTTCATGATGCGCTGTAATAACATACGGCTGAGTGTTGACACGTTTGGTGCCTCGGAGATGGTGTCCACGTGACATACGCGACTACGTGTATGGTGTTTTGGTCCGCTGTATAAAGAATGGCCGATTATACCAACCAACATGCAGTCTTCATCTCCTCCTTCATCAGGTTCCCAATCTTAGACAGCACTTCATCCATCTTCCTCGATCTCGTACAGTATTGAGCCATCCATGACAAGAATCACATGACCGAACAGCCCGTGGCGATCCCATCCAACATTTATCATGGGCGAATTTCCCGTTCTGGACAGGTTGGATGGCTTGGAGGGGCATGTTTTCGAGAAACCAGTCAAACGCATCCATGATGGCACAGATGTCACCTTCTTTTTGACCTCTACTGCATACCGAGACATCATGACTTTTATACTACAGTTGAATCGATCCGTCTTACCACGAAAGCATGATGTTGATGGTGCCATCAAAACGACCACCTGGCCATTGCAATCCAAAGACGTCACATTCTCCTTTCCTATTCAATCGATACGAGCTCTTTTGAATAAATTGATCGATCTGGTCGATGAGGTTCCTCCAGACACTGGCCCCAGGCGATTTGGCAATATCAGTTTTCGCAGATGGTCGAAACTGGTAGAAGACCAGATAGATGATCTTCTCGCCGAATACCTCCCAGAGGAGTTGAATTCTGCCTTTGTCGAATTGGGCCCATATCTCCTGGGCAGTTTTGGAAGTCCTCAACGACTGGACTACGGAACGGGTCATGAGCTTAGTTTCATTGCATTTCTTGCCTGTCTTTGGAAACTGGGCTTTTTCTCGGGAGCGCAACCGGGTGTCGAGGAGAGGAGCATTGTTCTTGGTATCTTTGAACTTTACTTGTCGCTCGTCAGAAAGTTGATCAAGACCTACACACTCGAGCCGGCGGGCTCACATGGAGTCTGGGGATTAGATGACAATTCATTCCTACCATACGTCTTCGGATCTGCGCAATTGGCGCCAGCCATCACCGAGACCGACGAAACTCCGATAGAAGGATCACTCCCTGACGCCCCCGATTCCTCATCTGTCACCAAAGCAAACCTGGTCGACAAGGAGAAGGACTCAAACATGTATTTCTCGGCAATTGCATTCATCTATGATGTGAAAAGAGGACCATTCTGGGAACACAGCCCAATGTTGTTCGACATATCGGGGATCAAAGATGGCTGGGGAAAGATCAATAAGGGGATGATCAAGATGTACAATGCAGAGGTCTTGTCCAAATTCCCCGTAGTCCAACACTTCCCCTTTGGGTCGTTGTTTCGATGGGAGAAGGATCCCAATGCAAAGCCTCCACCATCATCGACACATGCTTCTAGCCAACCTCTACGACATCCGACCGACACCCACGCGCCCAGCGCCGTCCGGCCTGGCGCGTATCCATCTAACGGCCTTGCTGGATCTCCTTCTACAGCGGCTCCTTGGGCAAGACCAGCGGCTCAGGCGCCCGCAGGATTTGTCAACGGCGTAACTCAAGCACCGTGGGCTAGCCAAAGCCGTGCCGCTCCACCACCAAGAGGAGGATTCGTCCCTTCGCAGCGACGTCCAATGCCGGCGTTGAACGAACTCTCCCGAGGTCCAAACTCGTCCAGACCGTAATGAACACAGCTGCAAGCGCATGCAGAAAAATGGCATCTGTTATATAACGTGTGTATGACTATGAACCAGATATAAACATGGACGAAACAGTCCGGGGTATCATGATGAATCCGAATCGTAACCAACTAGCGAAAGAGTATTACGTTTGTCCTGGTTTCCTGCTTGACGCTTATGTTCGTGATCGTTTTCCCGTAACGCTTCTGACAAGTCTGCTTCTGGCTCTTCCCGCTTCCGCTTTACTCTAGGCTTCCAAGGGATGCCTTCTCGCAGAAAAGGGTCGGTTGCTATTCGCGTATTAGTCCTCAGCGTGGTCTGGAGGTGATCTTTGTGGTCATGTTTCGAGGCCTTCTTTGCACGCGAGGGTAGCGACTCCCGCACTGGGACGAACATAGGCCTGGTCGAGCTGGACGACTCGTCTTTCTGGCCGAAATCGATATACTTGACGCGCTCGTGGTCCTCGGGCAGCTCGGCGAGCATTTCGACCTCGAGGCCAAACTTGTCCTGCAGGGCGTCGCCAGTGCGCTGGTCTTGCTGTCGTTGCCGTCTGCCGATCCGAAAATCAGCCCTCAACTTCTTGCTCATCGCATAGGGGTCGGCCCAGTTCTTGTCACTCGCCACCATCAATTCCTCAATCCGTCTCTTTCGGCCATCGGCCACTGTCTTGTCCTTGACCTTATTCTCCATGACCCCGAACCCGCCATCACGCTCCATTCTCTGCTTCTCTTCCTCCGACGCGCCTGGTCTGCTGCCGAACCGCACCTCGGCCTCTCCGCCATCTTGGTCGTCTTCCCAATCTCGTTCGGCCCCGTAGTCCCTTCTCCGTCCACCCTCAATGACAAGGTATTCGGCATTCTTCGGGTCAGTCCGGACCTCGATCCACCCACCGCAAACAGTGTGCTTGAATCTGAAAGACCAGATGGGCGTTGAAAGGTAATTCCCTACTTTCCTCTTTTCCGCATTGAACCTCACACCTTGCCCGATGATCTGTTCCGGGTGACAGTTGGTGCACCAGATGGCAAATGGACACTCGAATCTAACGATCAGGATCCCCTCGGTCGCAAGTTTCGACGCTCTTGAACCCAGTGCGTGTCCCTTTCCTGACGCCCTGTTTGCCGAGACCACACCCTCAAGGTCCGGCGGGACGTAACGACCCATGTTGAATCCCTGCATCTTGGCGGTTCAAAGGTAATGATGGTGAGAGATTGAGGGTTGGGAGGACGTGTGTTCGAAGGCCGTGGGTTCTCAATCCGGAGTCTCGACCCAGGAGACTGCTGTCGCGCTCTTGATATTGATCCTGATGTCCATCACTTCCTTGCCATCAAAGGGCTGAGAACAGCTCTAGGTTCATGTGCGTCACTGGATGTGCGTCTGTCTGGCAAGAGGGTGGTAATTTTTAGTGACTTGAGATTCACAAACTGCGGCGAAAAGTCTTGCGGGGCGAATATCCAATCACGTAATCACGTGATGACTCCCCCTTTCTTTCGACTTCAACTGTGGCAGGAGCAGCCTCTTCGTATCAAATCCACAGTCCATGCTAACGACAGCGACCAACTGTCGACCATCTGCAGCTAGATATTCAATTTTTTCAAAAATGGACTCAGGATGGGCCAATATCCTGCTACTGCGGCCAGCTATAACACTTTTGACACCGAGCCTTTGTGTTGGCGTGTTCACAACTAAGTGGGCTAGGTAGCCCAGCTTAAATACTATTATTCCCCTGACATTGAGTCTTAGTGCTATGTTACCAATCAGAACAGATAGAGACTCTCGAGCTTTCTTTGCGACGCCTCATTACGCCATCCTAAGACACTATGCCATTGGGAAGAAGAAGCATCGCGAGTCTTTCTCTGTCATGGTCCTCAGCACATCACTTGTTGTGTATTCCTTGAGGTTGATAACCTTGGATGGACCCGGTCATTTCAACAGGAAAAATTTGTACTAGTCATCCTGCCTACTCCCTATTGCATTCCTAACAGGGGGGAATAACGCGCCGCCGCAGGTAGATCTTCATGGCTGATAGCATAGACCACGACAGGAGACACATTGTCCAAAACAAATGGTTACACACGACCGTTGTGGACACCACTTCCCTTCGGTCGAAGCAGCTGATCTATAAATCCTTGATCGAAAGGTCTAATATGATGACCTATACGCACACATCCTAGCTTGCACTACAAGTACATACTGGGGGTCCATCTTTCAGGCCCGTTTTGGGCTTAAGATAACCTCGGGTCCTTCCTGGAAGGCCAGGAAACTGAGCACAAACAGGATCAGCAAGTCGGAAACATTCATTTAGACTGGGCCACATACTAGTTTTTGACAGGCATAGCCTTCGTAGGATCTGCGAGCCGAATGTTGAAGCGTAAGAAGAGAGAAGGCAGAAGCTGGCGGACAGATAGAGAATTAGCATGGAGAACTATTGTCGCTCGAGTGGTGTCCTTCGTTACCTTTGACATTTCGAGCCAAACGACATCTATACGAAGGAATTAGAGCTGTCTCTGATGCATTGCAACATGAAGATCGTGAGAACAACTTACTTCTGCCCAGGCAGGTCCGAGATCCGCCCCCGAAAGAGAAGAAATATCTTTCTGTGGATGCATCAATGTACTGCAACATGAGTCGCCGCTTATGTGTAACTTACGCATCTCAGCCTTGCGGACAGGATCTAGCCATCGTTCAGGCCTAAACTTATCGGCTTCATCTCCAAAAGCTGTTTCCTGACGATGAATAACCCAGGCATTGGAGCCGACGATGGTCTATCGAAAGTGTTAGGGGGAATCTTTTCAACAATGTGCGCTGTAAAAGACTCACGCCTTCTGGTAGAAAGAATTCACCAACTGAAAGGCCACCAGCCGGAACAACACGTGGAAGATTGATTGCGAAAGGAGGATGAAGCCGTAGCGCCTCATACATGACCGCTTGGAGATACGGCCAGGCTTCCGCTTCCTCAAAACGGGTGAATTCGCTGATGGATCCCGCTGCGTGCCGCTCGTTTAGTTCGTCAAGAAATATTTTCAAAGCTTCCGGAGATGTCAACAAATAGTAGATCATCGCTCTGAGTGCAATTGCCGTCGTATCGGAACCAGCGAAGATGTTGCTGGTAAGTACATCGACGAGTCCGTGCTCCGAAAAGGAATCGGGTTTCTTGCGTCGAATTTCTTGAAGATAGGTACAGATATCCTTGTGATTATGTTCTTGCTCCTTATGTTCTGCTATCGTCCTTGTAGCCAGGCCACCAAATTCGGTGCTGCGCCTGGTGGCTCCTAGCCAATTGCCGATGACGGGAGCGAAGAACTGGTGAATATGGTACAGCCAGGGAATGACTCCGATCCACGCACCGCTTGCGAGAACCACCTTGGACAAGGCGAGGATGCCGCCAACATCGCCATTTTCGATGAAGCCCCAACGTTTGGAGAAACTGATCTCCGTGATACTGTCTGGGAGAGTTAAGTCGGCATGGAGAGCTGCAACCAAAAGGGTTTGAGGGTAGCAGCAAAGGTCATACCTATTGCAAAATATTGCAGTGCACGACCCAAGTCGATTGTCTTGTCTACATCTTTGCTCAGGTAGTCCAGAAAGAACTTCACCACATTGTCCACGTAGACCTCCAGGGTCTTTGTGGATGCCATAGAGTATGTTTGGCTGACTTGTCGTCGATTGAAGGCATGCACCTTCTCATCTTGCTCAGCCGTAAGATTCCACTTCAATTTTGCTTTGAAGGGTCTGTAGAACTCGGACTTATTATAACTCTTGCCAGCTCCTACAATTACAGTCATTAGATTACATTTCTCTTGACAGACTGCAAATCTTTGAGCTCGGAAGAGTACCGTAAATGATCTTGAACGCTTCCAAATCGGCCACCGATCTATGATCCTGTCAGCATAGGTTCAAAAACTTCATGATGGAGCGCAACAACACTTCATTCGGGCCTATGCGAACAAGAGGGCCATATTGCCTGTGTAATTCGATCGTATCCAAGTGCACCTTTCTCCTCAAAACCACTCGCAACCACCAGAAGTTGGTGAAACGAGCGACTAGAGGTCCAGGGATGTTCGCCAACGGGGAAAAGTACACTTCGTAAACGACATAGCAGCAACAGGCAAGAAGGAAGATGGCGGGGATCAACGCTGGCTTCATTATTAACCCCGAGAGAGGTAGCAGAGAAACCAACCCCGAACCGGATGAAGGAGTACTTTCGGGGGCCGTCATTGTTGGAGTGGGAGAGACAGTGCTTCGGTTACAATGACTTGCAATTCAAGATATGCGAGGACCCGTGAAAATATGCCTTTTCACCCAAATGCATCGCATGGGATCGCTGACGTTTGCCACGGATTAGGAGAGGTAGTAATTCCGAGACTTTGAGCCAGGCTTCGGTGGCATCGGGGAACAGGGCGCCCATCCGGTGAGGCCATGTACTAACCGTCGGATAGGCAAATCCGATCCGATACTATTACCTGCTCAGTACCCCACAGCCCTAAATGATATTAATGATCTATCATCTGTTGTGCGATGAGTTGCCGTTACGCCAGTATCAAGATTTTTTCGTTATTCAACATGGCCTTCGACCAGGCCGACTTCGCACTTTATACATTTTTCAGATCTACAAGCACCGCCCGTGTCCGTACCGCAGCGGAGTTGAAAAATATCCCAGTTCGCTTTCACTACGTCAATGTCAGGAAAGATGAACAGTTCAAAGAAGATTTTCTTCAGCTGAACCCAAACGGCACTGTACCGGTGCTGACAGTAACTCCTAAGGACCAAGGCGCGCAGACCGTTCCTAGTTTCTCAATCAAGCAGTCAGTGGCCATTTTGGAGTTTTTTGAGGAAGCATTTCCGGACAGGACGCCGCTTCTTCCTCCAGTGACTGATGTGGTCGGAAGGGCTCATGTACGAGATTTGGTGAACCTCGTGGCTGGAGATGTTCAGCCTCCTACAAACCGAAGGATCTTACTTCGCGTGAAGGAATTGGGCGGGTCGATGGAAGAGTGGGCCTTCCAGCTCATGGGAAATGGCTTGAAAGCATTCGAAGAAATTGCTAAACCACTTGCTGGAAAATATAGCTATGGAAACACTCTGACGCTGGCGGATGTAGTTCTGGCACCGGCAGTGGAGAATGGAGTCAGGTATGGTGTAGACTTGAACAAGTTACCGACTGTCAAAAGGATTTTTCAACATATCAGCTCCTTAGAGGCTTTCAAAGCTGCGGATTGGAGGCATCAGGAAGATACACCAAAGGAGGAACTAGATTCTTGACTGCCATCAACAAGGATACTGGCATATTTACAATGTTTCTTCCGCCTCTTCGTCTCCGCGACTAAAGAATTGATTTTCAGGATTGCCTCACTGGGCACTCCAGCGGAGATATAACTGCCACTTACATTTGTCGTTCCTGGTGCACCCTTCGGCTTTCTGTGCTCCAAACCAGTAATGAGGCTATTCGATACTGCTTACCTGATCGACATATTGAACGAGCGGAGTACACGGGATCCGTGGTGGCGTTGATTCCACCTTTGTGCAGGCTGATGTGCATATCTCAATGACGATATATCTTTATAATCCTACCTAAACGACATATGACTCCAGTGTATTGGGAGCAAACAATTCTTCGGGCTTGAACCGTCGCTTGGCAAGTCCTTGGTTGAACGAGTATTCTAGAAACTTGTCTAGAACGTGTTTGTTTTCCTCGAATCCGTCTTGCCACCATTTCTCCTGACCCATCAGCACCTTTGTTCTTTCAACGTGGTGCTCCAGCCATGGAAGCATATAACGCAAAGCCCCACGTTCAAGTATCGCTTCATAAGCAATGTCCAGCGATTTTGCAAAGGCTTTCTGTAGAGTTTTCGCGACCCAGGGATTTTTTTCATAGACCTCTCGCTTCAGTGCAATTACATGCATAATTGGAAAGATCTTCGTTCGCTGAAAATACTCGGCTTCCACTCGTTCGAAATCCTGAAACAGGTAGGTAACATGCTCACACCTGTGAAATGATGATGGCTTGGTTGCTGTGAATAGAGCGTCGATTTCGCCGTCCTCCAGCATCTGGGATAAGTTCTGTCCTGCTTTGATTGCTGTTATCGAAACATCCTCCGGTACTGAGTGGACGACTTTATTCTTTCGTTGCTCTTGCGAGGGCTCAATATTGCCAACAAAGAAGTGGACGGCACTAATTGGAACGCCAAATTCTTCCTCCATCAAGCCACGTTGCCAAACTGGAGCGGTCACTATAGTCGTGTTAGGCTTTGGTCAGTTGGCCTCGCTTCTGATTTCCACGAATTGGATACCTACTTTGGTATTCTGGTATTCCTATTCGCTTTTCCCTAAGGTCCTCGGGTTTCTTGATCCCTGATCGAGTGTTGACATAGATCGACTGGTGTCGGAAGAAGCGGCTGGGAAACACTGGTATAGCGATAAATGGTGGAACCTCTTGATTGAGAGTCAAAACATAGGAAGAAAGCGAAAGCTCCGACACATCGAATTCTCGAAACTTCAATTGACGGAAGAAACTGGACATTCATCAGAACATCTACCATCATGTATATCGTTCACCTGGAAACTGTCTTGAACTTACGTCTCTTCTACTCGATAGTTGAGGAACGTGAGGTCGATTCCTTCTGGTCTTACCCGTCCGTCTTCTATTGCCTTCATGCGATCATAATCCGCGCAGGCAAAAGTGAGCTTGATCACCATTGCGATTGTATTGTTCTTATCGAAGGGTGTGGTGTGCGTGGTAAAATATGAGAGACGGGGCTTGTTTCGCTCTTCCTTCAAACAATACTTACACGCGATACTCATCGAAGACACTATTGACTATAAGTGTAAGCTCTACCCTTGTGGACCAGACACGGTTGGCTTGTTCCAAGTCCGTGGACAAGTTGAGTTGCTCGGGTCGGGAGGCTTGCCGGGCTTCCTCGGCGCGAGTAGATGGCACCTCTTGGCTGGCTTTTCCGTGGTACCGAGTATTGTCTTGAGAATTCGATGATGTAAATAATGCAACTTGCTGTGTGGCAGCGGACTGCCACTGAATATGAAGGTTTCCATTCGGTCTATGATGCTGATGTCCAAGAACGGCAACCAATGTCCCTGTCTCGATGTAACCATCCTGTTGCGAGTGCGTAGAGCTTACAAGGTACCTAGTAATACTACTGATTTAGATAGACCAGTATTTGAGACTTAAAAACGAGCGTTGGGGCAGGTAGAGGGTAGTATCTAGCCTATGCTATCAGCTGCTCAGGAAGGTGGTAATCTGGAAACAGACTATGGCTGCCAGAGACTGTCATCATGAGAGCTCTTAGCTGATCTAAGAGGGCCTCAGGACGCAAATAGCGACCTTGAGCTACAAGAGCACGATAACCTCTGCAGAAGACGACTCCACAGACCCGCGTTCCAATAACAACACAGCCAATACTGTATTTGCATTCCGTGTCACTCACCAAATCAGCAGACTCTTTATCACTTCTCCTTGTTCCATACCCTTGACCGCTGCTTCAAACTGTGTGGCAGGGAAGCGTGTCAACATCCTATCCACCGGTAAAGAGCCATCTAGGGCCCACTGCACCAATTCCGGCAGTGCCTCAGCCGGGTCTCGATCTCCTTCAATAACTCCGACCAGCCTTCGGCCATGCATCATATGTGTGAGGATGTCGAGCTCGAGTTTTGCGCGAGGTGGCTTGGCTCCAACGAGGAGGACCATGCCATTGCTCCGCAGAGCTTCTAGACATCCCGACAACACCGCTACTGATGGGCTTGTGTCCAAGATATGAGTACAGCCAAGTTGGTGAGGAGTCACTTCCGTGAGCGCTGTTGGGAAATCCTGTCTCTTATCCTCAAGTATCTTCGGATGAGAGTGGAGCCCTTCAGTCGCCCCCATGGTTTTAGCTATCTCGATTTTTGATTCCAAAACGTCGACTGCAATGATGGTCTTCACGCCACGGCGTTTTGCTGCACAAATAGCTGCCAGACCGACACCTCCCAGTCCAACCACGGCAACCACATCATCAGGCTCACATTGTCCAACGTGAGTGATGGCGCCAGCACCAGTCATCATTCCGCAGCCCAGAGGCGCGAGTCTTTTCAATTCTTCGGCATCCTTGACTTGGTCGGACACATTGGAGGCGCAGCTCACTTTGACCGGAGTCAACGAAGCGAAACTGGACTGGCCAAAGAAACCACCTCCAATCACTTTAGACGTATCGGAAGCCAGGACAAAGTTGGCCTCGTTGGCGCCGGACGTAAGGGCGGCATGATTTGTGCAGTATGCTGGATGTTTGGTCTCACAATAGAGACAGTTTTGGCATGAAGCAGCCGACAAAATGACGAAATCTCCCTCTTTAAATTGTGACCGCTGCTTTTCACTTCCCAGTTTAACGATTCGACCGCCACCTATGGTGTAGACCGGGATTTGTTAGGGAGTGTCCAACTCTCCACGCAATCAGTGCTCGATGGTACATACCTTCATGGCCCAGCACTCGTGGATAGATGCCTCCATATCCAAGGACATCGGTATGACATATTCCCGTCGCAATCATCTCGACCAAAAACTCGTCTTCTCGTGGCTCTCGAGTCCACAAGTCCTCCATTTTCCATTCATGCTGCGAGTAGCTGACAATCCCCTTGCAGGGGATGGTGAAATCACTCATTCAGACGTCCGTTGCTCGATGACCCCGTATTGCTGGCTTGTAGTTGTAGTTTGACACAAGCGCCGGTAAGTCACAATAACCAAAATTGCACTGCGTCCACAGGGCGTCGAGACTTGCGACCATTTGCCCATCTTTAGGCTCTCCTTCTCTCCCAGCCGTGATGCGGAAGTCTTCCACGGAAGACTTGTCACATCCGGACGTGGAAGATTTGGATTCTTCAAACGCTCAAGCTGACCACAGGGCCCCATCATCGGAAGGGCATTACGGGTGGGAAGGCCCATGTGGGTCACTCGAACACGTTCCCATCCATCTTATCAGTTGCTCGTAATGCCTCCTGTGTCAGAGCTGGATTTACTTCCCCGTGATGTTGGAGTGCTGGGGTAGAACTCACAGTGAAAATCCACCTTCTTCCTCTATACGGAATAGGCTATCAAAGTTCAACGAACTTCAGTGCGTCATATGAGGAGATGCCCTCGGTTGACTGCTCCCCCCACTTGGGCCATTCTTTAGCTGGCCGGCACCATGATAATATCCCCGGCGGAATGCAAGGCACAGCCGATGATCTGCGCTATAGTACCTGACAGGGTCCGACAGCGGTCTAGCTCTCCGGCATCCCACACCTCACTTTGTCTTCCATTCGGCCTCCCACTGCAACGTGTTGGTTACTGTGTCGAGCTTCCAAAGTACCTCTGACTTGCGCGTAGTACGTGGGAACCGATATCTTACACATCCTCCTGCCAAGATGGATGCCCAGGAAGGTCGAGTCTCGTCCAATAGAGCTCCTTTGGCCGGCAATCCACGGCGGAGGAAGGACTACAGCGACGAGGATGACAACGTCTTTGTCTCTAAGAGACAAAGAACTGCGGTCGCGTGTAACTCTTGCAAGAATCGCAAGTCACGCTGTAATGGAGGCCGACCAACTTGCAGCACTTGCATCGACTTGGGTTTTGAATGTGTATACCGTGCTCCTTCAAGAGCCCAAACCTCTCAGGCTAGAGAAATGCATTGGATGAGGAACAGGCTTCAATCCATTGAAGAATTGCTACGTAATATTGGTGTACAAGCACACGAGCATCAAAATGATCCCTCCTCTCCCCAAGACCTGCCTCTCTCGTCGGACATGCCGCCCTCAACAGTGGGTGAGGCTCGCACCAATGAGGTTTCCCAACATGATAGTACCACATTTGGTGTCGACAAGCTGCCAGGAGAGGATACTGTGGATGGAATGGGCGCCATCACGTTTGCTGACGAGTCTACTTCCGGCCACTTCGGCCTATCCTCGAATTCGGCTTTCTTCAGTCACATCGGTCGATGCCTCGATTCGACGACAACCATATCAACACAACGCAATGCCCATACACAGCAGCTTGCGACAAACATGTCTAGACCGGCGTCTCCCCCAGTCGCGCCGGGACCGCAAGTCGACAAAACTCCAAACCCTCGCATTTTGCCACCGCAGGAAGACATTCTCAGAATGGTCGAAGCTTTCTTCTCAGTTACTGGCATGTTTTTTCCTTTTATCCACAAGAGGTCAGTCATCAACATGGTGGAAGAAATGAGTATCACAAGATTCAGCTGTGTGCCTCAATCCTGGCTCTGCCTGCTGAATGCGATTATGGCAATTGGTACAAGCCTAAGTGTCGGGCAAGACGACACTTTAAAACACCAGGAAGAGGAGTCAAGTGTCTATTTTCAAAGAGCCCTCATTCTGTCGCCGTGGACCTTATCAAATCCGACGAACCTGGAAGCTTGTGAGTGCTTGAGCCGGTTTAATGCTTGGTGGTTCGCTTTATTCACTGCTAACCACGCGAGAATAGTGCAAGCTCTGGCTGTTATGACTATTTACCTTCAAGGTGTCTCAAAGTCGGCACAGACTTGGAGATTACACGGTCTTCTCGTCCAGGCAGCCTTCCAGACAGGTGTCCATATCAACATCAAATCACCGAAAATATCTCCTTTGGAGCAGGAGATCCGAACAAGGATATGGTACATGTGCTTTGTGCTGGATAGGTATCTGTCTCCAACCATAGTTATGGCTTGCAAGTACTGACTCGGTGGTTTCAGAGTCCTCAGTGCGGCTTATGGGAGGCCTCCTTTGATCCACAACAGCTACATGCAGATCAATCTCCCCATGAACGTAAATCTCGACGACATAAATGACGATGGAGAATTATATCCACACTCGGTCCAGACGCCTAATGAGCCCTCATCGTGTTCTCTCTTTCTCGCAACAATGTAGGTTGACCTTCTGATTCTTGTTCCCAAATACACCCTCACACGTCTAGAAAACTCTATCTTATTCAGGGCAACATGATTGAAAAACTTTACCACCAGAACATGACTCCTTCCGTCGACCTCCAACCCAATCGGCTCTTCAGCCTCATAATGGATTTTGAAGAACACCTCCACGATTGGATGAAAACATTAAATCCTGCTGTCGAACTTATTCCCACTAGCGAAGTGAACAAGGCTCACCCTCACGAATGGAAGTGGACGCGTCCACAGACTGTTATGACTATACGCTTTCTATCGGTTCGTGTGCTCCTTTATCGGAGAGTCATAGAAACGCTCCTCGATGATATATCGACCTCCGGGGTAGGCATCCGGCAGCCAGAGTATTCATTGCCTATTGCCCAGACTTTGATTCATGCTTGTACCGAGTCGGCCATCGCCATCATCCAAACGATACGTGCACTAGGAGCAAAGAATGAGATGCTCCCCGCTTGGTGGTTTACAATCTACCACAGTTTGTTGAGCCCTTCCCCATACACTATTGTACGAGAATCTGATTATGAGCCAGTGTTCAATGCAGCATTGGTACTATTTGGAGTTGTCTGTTTACAAACGATTGGAAAGGTATCCCTGGATCCACATACCCCTTCGGAATCGGTGCTCTTCATGCAAATAGCCCTTGGGGACCTTGTCATCGTTGGCAGAGACACCAGGATCGTCCGGCGATGCTCCAAGTATCTGCAAAAGATGATCCAAATCTCTCTATCACTCAGTGAGTTCTCCTCAATCATAAAGAGTTATTTGAAGCTGGCTCTGATGTCGTTTAGCACGGAATATTTCGTCAAATCAGTCGCCACATCGCGCCTCCCCTATTCAGTCGTCGTTTCCTCCAAACAATAACATGCCCTTCCTCTCGGACGAAAGCATACCGTCTCCATGGGATGCCGATTTTGGGCAGTTCTTAATGAACGACGACTCCAACTTTCTTGACGGGTGGACGGAATTAGCCGAGCCTCTCCAATGTCTGTGAGACAACCGACTACCGACTCAACGTTCTCACGAGGACAGCGCAATCTAAATGTGTATCCAAGTCAGAACAAGCCCCCAGCCCATGTATTCTGGCAGAATTCGAACCGCAGCTTCCCCAAAAACCTTCCATTAGATTGTGTTGTTCGGTGGCTGACAAGCTGGGCGGAGTCAGCATTGAGAAGCAAATTTTCCCGAACGACTGAAGGAGAGCCATAGAGGATATCGGCACGCGGTTGGACTATATGTCCTGGACACTTAAGAACATTTCCGTCATGGTTGGCTATCAGCTTGACGTCGGTAGTGTTTTCGTCAGCTTCACCGAGACCTGACTGTCCGCCTTTGCTTCTGGAGCTCGATTTCCCCTACATTCCGAGTAATTTTCTGGCATTTCCCTCGCAGATCATGTGAAATTGCTCTTCAGTAACGATACCACTCTTTTGGAGCACTTTCATGAATTCCAACCCATCCTTGGGATCTTCGAAGGGATAGTCGAGGCCTGGTTTTGCGGAGCGTTATTGTTTAGCGGGTTGCTCTCTGCTTGAAAGAAAAATGGGGATACCTACTGTAAAGCACTCGGTCGGGTTTACACATTTCAAGGCAACACTTGAGAGGACCCAGATGGTACATCCCACTTGTCGTGATCCAAATGTTTTCGTTCCAAACTGACATGAAACTCCTCAAGCCACGCTCCTTGGAGACCCACCGCCTCGAGAACATCCGGTCAACCCGCTCGAGCATGAACGGCAGAGACTCGCCGTTGTGCCCAAGTATCAGCTTAAGCCGAGGATAAACATCGAAGAGACCACTTGCGTAAAGGCGAAGAATGTGTACGGCGACATCAGTATGCCAACAAAGGCCGGGTCCTGCGATTACATCCTGGGCAACTCGGTCGTAGTTCCCTGCATAGCGCTGCAAATCATCAGCAACTGTAGGGTGGAGATATATCGGCACGTCTAGCTGCTGTGCCTTCTCAAACATGGCCCTGTATGCCGCTTCGTCGTAATACCTCCCATTTGCGTGATTGGGAATTAGTGCTCCCAGAAATCCAAGAGACTTTACACATCGTTCAAGCTCATCAGCAATAGCGTCTGGTGTCGCCATCGGCAGAAAGGCAAACCCTCTGAAGCGCCCGCCACTTTTTTGGATGGCATCGGAGAGCTGGTCATTGACAGCCCGGCACACGGCTGGTGGCTGAACGTCCGGGATGTGAGAGACGACCTGGATATGCATGTTTCCTCTGTCCATATCCTGGAGTCGTTTCTTGCCCAGATCACTTAGATTCTCCATGACAGAATCTAGAAACATTGCATCGTGACTAGACTCAAGAACTGCCTGTCCGATGAAATGTTCCTCCAGTCCGAGCACAGATGGCGCCATGTCGCAGGCCGGGAGCCAGTGAATTATAAGTTTAAAGTGCAAAGATGCCCCTAGACTTCAAGGAGAGTTTCCCTTTTTCGGGATGTCCTGAGACGAGTTGCAGTTGCATATGACTATTCCTCTCCCAAGAAGTGTCCAAAAGCCTGACCAGTAGGTCTTTCATATAACCACAACTAACCAAGATCGTGGCCTGTCTTGACTTTGCGGGGAACGAGATCCGCGGGATTAGACGGTTTCTCATCCGGAACTTCGGCCAAGTCGCGTGGTGACGTGATCTCGACCGGTTCAAACTAAATAACACATTTACTGACGGGTCGGGCCTGCGCCTGGCATGTTGACTCTCTTCCGTCGGATTTGTGGTCGCCTTCTGATGAGATCCTTTCAAGTCGCAGGGTAAATTGTCAACCAGCAGGTTACACTTTGGCAGACAGAGCACGTAGCGCCGGATACTACAGATCATCATAAAATGTCCTGTTGCGTGCTGAGCATAAAGTTGGGTCTATACTGTCAAACCGAATGGCCGCCCTTGGACCATAAATATCTCGGCTCTCTGCCCTTTTTCGCCAGAGTGCTTAAACAAGCCTTCAAAGATAAAGTGTGGCTGTATCAGTAGACGTGCATATAGACCTAACTGAGACTTCGATTGGCCTCCTAGAGGGATGTATTTTCTCTATTCTATCAATTCGGCTCCAGCTTCTTCTCCTGCTCCCGTGCAATACTTCGAGATGTAAAAGCACCTATATAACTTGACCAAACTAGGCCTTGCTCCGTCGGCATTGAGTAAACGTTGAGTCAGAGTTTGGCAGCATACATTTCCAGTTTCTCAAGCAAAGGCCTGTCCGATAGCACGAAGAAATATGCATTCTCGTCTGTGCTGGCCCTGTGAGCGATGCGACTCCAAGCAGGGACTGAGAAGGTGTCGTGCTTGTTCCATGTGACCGTGGAGGTCTGTCCATTGGCTGTAGTAATCTCGGAATGCCCAGAGCCCGCGTGAACATGGTAAATGTATGCACATGTGTCTCTCCGTACAGGAGATGTCTTTCCCGCAGCAACTCTTTCGGCATGGGCACCGAGTGTTCCCGAGATATAGTCTCCCGAAGCATCACGATAGTGTTCTAGAGCCCAGTCTGTGCCTTGGCCATCGAGTTTGTTTTTCATGCCGTTCCATGGAAAGCGAAGTGGCGTCTCGCTCACTGGCCTATAAGGGAAGTCAATGCACGCCCAAAACATCATGGAGAAGCTTGTTATCTCACTTGCTCGGATAGCGGCTGTCCGTATAAGGCTCAGCAAAGTGCGTTGGGAGGTGATGGTAAAGTGGAAGATCCAAGCCATCTAGCCATATCATGGGATCAGTGCCCTCATGTCCATGATCATGCCATTGCCATTGCGGTGTCAAGATGACGTCTCCAGCTTCCATATAGATTCGAGCTCCCTCGACGGCTGTGAACGCCCGACTGCCTTCAATGATAAAGCGTAGGGCGAAAGATCGATGACGGTGAGCAGGGGCTGTCTCACCCGGTTTGATCAATTGTAAGCCAGCATACACGGTATCTGTTGTGAAGGGGGGCTCTTCTAAATATCAGCTTACGTGTTGCTGTTATGCCAAATTGCGACACATAGAAGTACTTACTCAGGGCTGGGTTCGTCAACATCAACACGCGGCGTTCCGCCTTTTCGCTCGTCACGACTCTGCCAGCTTCAAGTAGGAGAGGACGCATGTCACTGTATTTCCATATCGCGACTTGGGCCTTTGGTGACGGCTGTGGAGTAACCATTGCTTTCATAGCGGTCCATAAGGGCTGGACGTGGTGATCTGAAAGTTGACCATAGAACGCGTTTGCGTCCCCGTTGGCCGCCATGGCTTGTGTGTTCGTTGTTTAGATGGCAAAGGCGGATCCTTGAAAGAGGAGACAACTATATTCTTGCTCCAACAAACGACCTGGCCGACTTCATGTTCACGGATGCTATGCATAAAAGTGTTAACGCTAAAGGCCCATCCCAAGTTGTGGTAAGACCCTGGAAATGTCACTGCACATGTCATCGGCTGTGAACGCCCTATCCCCGGGGGGAGACGGATCCGTCGGCCGGCTTGTAAGGTACCGCCACCGGACGACTTAGAACCGCATGCACGCCGAAATAAAGAGAGTTTTGCTAGCATTCACGAATACTGATATCCCCGCATGGCTCGAATCAAGTATTCAAAAGATTCGAGTTCTGTGAAGATTACTCCTGCTGCTGACTGAACCATCAATTGCTTCGGTGTGATATTGTCAACTGATTCCGAGTTCACGACATATCTTTTCACCATGGCAGATCTGCATTCGATACCGGTACGCATAACCCTCTATTGCCAACTAACGAGCTTTTAACGTATGCAACAAGCTTCCTAGTTACCCAGCTGGCTCCCATAACTTTTTGAAACGTCTCCGAAGGGATGGTCCTGGCAGCAATGCTGTCGTCAATGGAGACTTGAAACCAGAAGGTCTCGATATTGCTATTGTTGGCGCTGGGGTTGGCGGATTAGCAGCCGCAATTGCTCTCAAGCGAGAGGGTTTCAAAGTGACGGTATACGAGAATGCGCCTGCATTGAGCGAGGTAATTCATTCCTGTTGCTACATCTGAGATCTCCATATCAATATGCCAACAACTGCAGATTGGGGCTGGCATACAAGTGCCGCCAAATTCGGCAAGGCTGCTCCATTCCTGGGGGCTTGAGGCTTCCTTGAGCAAACACTCGGTAAAGCCTAAGGGGCTGCTCTGGAGACGTTGGCAAGACGGTCGAGAAATTGGGCACGCCCGATTGAATCCTCAGTTTTCAAAATGGTTCGGTGCGCCGTACTACGTGATTCATAGAGCCCATTTACATGACATACTCCATCAGCGTGCGAGAGAATTGGGAGTAGATGTTGTTTTGAACTGCAAAGTGGTTGAATATGATCCAGATAAACCAGCTTTCACCACTGGGACTGGGTCTACTGTGACCGCGGATTTAATTATTGGAGCAGACGGCGAGTGCTTTTACTGCTTCAAATACCTCCGCTGACTGAGAAATCTAGGACTGCGGTCTGTTGCACGGCGTGCTTTACTTGGCAATAAGTATACTGGCCCCGTTTCTTGCGGGCTCGCAGCTTACAGAGCTACCGTGAAACGAGAAGAGATGGAAGCAGACCCCGATACTGCGTGGGTCGCCGAGAGCAACAGTCTTAATTTATGGTATGTATCAGACCGGATCTCAATGAGATATTGTATCGCTTGTATCTGACATCGTCGCTGTAGGGTGGGTGACAATACTCATGCGATGACATACTGTATTGCGGGAGGTCGACTATTCAACATGGTTCTCACTCATCCAGAGACAAAAAGCCCCGAAACGTGGGACCAAACAAATGCGCTCTCCGAGATGAAAGCTGTGTACGCTGGATGGGATCCTTCGTAAGCATACACAAAGGGCCAAAGCCGGTGTACACAACTCACGATTATCAGGCTGAGAAAACTCCTCGACATGGTTTCCGGTACGCAAAAGTGGCCAATCCAGTCAGTCGAAATTCCATCAAGCTGGACATCCGACTCAGGTCGATTGGCACTCCTCGGAGACGCTGCGCACGCCATGCTTCCAAACATGGCCCTGGGTGAGTCCGATCGAGAAGTTGCAGACTTTATACTTGATCAGCGCTGACTTGTCCAGGTGCTGCGATGGCAGTAGAAGACGCTGCCACTCTCGCAGCATGTCTCAAGGCTTACCCCCGGAAAGAGACGCTCAGACCAGCACTCGATATTTACGAAAAATTACGTATTCCACGCACCAGGGCCATCCAAGAAGCCAGTGTCCTGCATGGATACACCCTACACTACCCAGATGGGCCGCTGCAAGAAGCTCGGGACGCTGCAATGAAGCCCGAGGTCGAAGGAGAACACTTTATTGAGTCTCCTAATCAGTGGAGCGACCCGGCAACACAACTTTTCTGCTATGACTATGATCCCATCAGCGAAGTGGACAATGAAGTCCGGCATCTCAAGTCCAATGGGTCACCAACACATGAAAACCATGGCTAAACGCTTTACCAGTGGATGCATAAAGAGATGGATATGAATCGAATGGTATACGAAGGGTTCACATGAAATACTGAGTACTCTACTTAAATGGGCTATTATGTATAAACAGGTCTAAGCTCAAATTCTCTATATATAGGATAACCCAAGGGTCACCCTGGCTCCGCCGCCTTTGAATAGGTATCTCTTCCTAGATTTACGCATTGCATGTTCGCGGAATTGGTGTGTAGCATCGTTTTGTGCCGTTTGGCATCGAGGCTGTCTTTCAAACGTACCTTCTATCACGAAATCCGGAGGGAAGCTCGCGATGTGCAGGGCACAGCAAAGAAAGTTTTCAGAGCACTGCAAGATACCACGTTAGGTAATGCCAGAGTATCTGCTTTGTCAGGCAGGTAGAGAGTATCGAGAGAAGCGAGATAGGATGTAGAATCTCCGTTTTCAGCCTAGCAAACTCAGCCACTGCGAAATTCGTTCTCTTCTCCTATGTTCATCGCTTCGAGCGGTACGGCGGTCAGCGTTAGCGCCCTGTCCTCGTCAACGTATGCTGCCGCCAAGAACGGGAAAGAATTCATCAAGGCCGTGGAAGTAATCCGAATCCGATCCGACGGCGATAAATCCATAGACCTGGGGATTCACTTGTCACGAGGCTTGTGGGTGGGGACAATCGAGCTCCTCCCAATGCACCTAAAGTAGTCGATAGCGGTGACCCCTCGGCCGTATGAGTTCCATGTATTGTAAGCAAATGATCTATACGTACCGGTTGTGCAAGAACCTGAGATATACGAAGGTGATCGATCTAATATGTTTGCGAGTATCAGATTGCCAAATTTGGTAACCCCGCTTGACGGCTGGCTCCTCATAGTCGATTTGGCCAGAATGCCCCAATCAACCTGTCTTAGCATGAAGAGTTGTGAGCTCAAGTCGATTAAATCTAAATATTTTGAACGTCGAGAACTACCTCAGAGAGACTATCTTCAATCTTTTTCTTCACTTCTTTCGCCCTCCAGCCATTAATCACAGCAGGTAGCACTTGCAGTGACGGTTCGAGATAGCCGTCGTGCGCTAGACAAACCAGTGTGTCCTCTCTCTGGCTCAGTTGGTGAACTTTGGCAATGGTATTTTTTGCCTCATCTAGATCCCTGTGCATCGACGAGGCACCTCCTGGACCATGGCCCTCGGCGGGCTGTTTCTCACCTGTGAAGATCTGGCGATGGTGACAACAATCGCCGCCCATCAGGACATACTCATCTTCAGCGGTACGCGCAAGTCCCACAAGATGACCTACCATATGGCCTGGTGCATCGAGCAAGAGAAAACTGCCGTCCCCGAAAAAGTCAAATGCGCGTTCAAAAGGCTGAAATGACGTCCACGAATCCTTGAGCCGTGAAAGCTCTCGTAACCTCGGGTGCTCGAGGATTGACCCTAGGCACGGTGAATTGGGGTTGATGGGATAGCCGGGTTGTGTAGCCTCCACCGACCCGGGCCCAACCACGACCTCGCAATTTGGGAATTCATAAGGGTCGCCAATATGGTCAAAATGTAGATGACTTTTTCAAGCAGGAGTCGGAGGTTAGTATCATACCAATCGATGTGCACGTCGTCTCTCACCTGTAGACCACGAAGTCTATGGATTCGGTGGAGATTCCACTCTTAGCGAGCAACTCGCCAGCGCTATATGGCACTTGTGGAGCAACGACTGGGAATTCGTTTTGTATCACCTTGGGATAAGCGTCGAGATCCTAATTCAAAAAAGGTCAGAAAATCCAACCCTTCGACGCATGAGACTAAATGCCTACCTTCCTGATTCCAAGGTCAAACATCAAAGAACGACCTGAGGCCTCGTGGTACACGTAGAAACTATAGTCCGGATACAACGTCTTGGTGGTCAAGGAGGCTCCACTCAGTATCCATTTGTCGGGAAGATAAAGATTGCCTGTAGGGACGAGAGCCGCGCGCACAATTGGCTTAGGAGCGTATGATGCCATTATCAAGTTACAAAAGTAGAGGCTGTTAAATGCCACAACAGCAAGCAGTTGAGTCGATAATCATCTCATTATTTTCTCAGGTGGGAGTTTCGAGGACAATATACATACTTCCAGGCCCAACGGGAACCCAAAAGCTATTCCGTCGGCACAAGCTAGGCCTCCCAGCTTTTTCGTATTGCCCGGAGACATCATCTAGTCATAGTCAGGGTTTGATGTCACGAGAAACCTTGTCTCAGTAGCTGTGACCTATTCTGCTTGGTCGCGGATAAATCAATGTCCTAACATTCGAGGGCATGGCATCCAACAAAGCAAAGCCAAAAGCGGAGCGTGTTGCATTGGGAACTTCCCAGCCGCCTGGTGCAATCTCTATTGTTCGCGCCTATTCCAAAACCGGGCGGTGTGCGAGTTGTCTTGCAAATTCATCATATGAACGCTTAGAGGATGGCAAATGCATGATGACTAGGGGTCCGGTGTGACTGCAACCAGGCATTACTTAGGGGCTCTCTTTAAGCGGTCGATTGGATGTTCTTATCGTTCTCTGGACAAGTGTTATGTATTTGACACGACCGCTAGCAGCAGCACATCTCCCATGGATGAAGATGTGAGTGCTCCTCCGTTGAAAACCAACCACATCTACTGCAACCCTACTTCACCAATCCCCTTGTGGCTCCTTAGCAGTGTCTTCGCCATTAAGTTCCACACCTATACTTGGGTTGGACATCCCATCAGTACGTATAGCGATAAGCAGGGTGCTTATCTGCCATTGCGGACAGTTGTTCTTCAGGCAAAGACAACAAATGGTCCCTAGCCCCTCTGGCCTTTTGCTTATTCTCGTACCAAGCGTACGCGAGGAAGCAAGTTGCTGCGATTTGAGCTAATATCGTCATGCTCATCGAAACCGCGTAGCCGGTACGATATGTCGGGGCTTCATGGGTAAGATAGACGTTACTGCCCAGAATGCTTCCCACGTTTCCCACTGCCAGCATGAGCGCAGTAGATATTCCTCTCCTCCGTGAACCTAAGATATTGTTGTTCAGCCAAGTTAGCGACAAAGTAATGGCGCTCCAGACTCCGCAGATAATGAGAAAGAGCGCCATAAACTTCACGCCGACTGAAACATTACCTTGCGCGAGGAGAATGATGTACCCAATGACCGCGACTGTAAGGGGACCGACGAAGAACGCGTATCGATGGGCACAATAATCTGAACCGTAGCCCACAATTAGGGACGCCACCCACGCGGCCATCCAAATCGGAATGCTCATATACTGTGCTTTCAGGGAAGTCCACCCCAACTCTCTGAGAATTGTCGGCAAAAAGTAGGAAGACGAACTTCCAGTCACAGCAGTACCAAAGTACATTGTGGCACTGTCAATATTAACGGGGACGAACGTAAACTTCTTATCTGTATAGTTAAGCTCACCTAAAGTAGGCTTTCGGATCACGCAGGCACACTTTCAAGACCTCCCACGACGAGAGATTTTCAACGTGGTCTCTAGTGTCTCGTGCTAGCTTCTGAAGGAGTACCGACCTCTGTCGTTCAGAAAGGTGTTTCGCTTGCGCGGGCCAGTCTGGTAGAGTGAAATAGGCAAAGACTGCGACCACAACGGTCAAGAGCCCTTCAAGAATAAAGACCCATCTCCACGCGCCGTAACCGCCAACATTGCGCATATGGCCGATAGCATACGCAAGCAACTGTATCGGATAAATAGTCAGCAAGGAAGTCGTGGTATCATAAGTTTCGTTTTATTCATGATATGGACATCCGGGTACATACCCCGCCAAAAGCAGTAGAAAGTAGGGCCGAAGAGTAGTAGATAGCCATCCTCTTCTGAAGTTCGTATCGAGTGTAATACATGGCAAGGAGATATATAGCACCTGCGTAGTAATTTAGTCAGATTGGTTCTCGAGTCCTTCACTGTTCGGCTGTCCTCATTACCTGGGAAAAAGCCTGCTTCTAAGGCCCCAAGGAGCACACGGCAGACTACAAGTCCAGCAAAGCTCTGGACAAGCCCCGTCCCAATTGTGACGATACCTAGAGCACCGAGACTTAGTATTTCTTCCAAGACGATCCGCCCGTGAACAAGGGATATAGAACTTTGAACCCACCCCAGCTGAACATAAGGATACTCAAAAACACCGAAGGCCGAAACTTTCTCATGACCATATTGGCAGGCACATCCAACAGCAAATAAGGGATGAAGAACATGAACAGGGCGATATTGTAATCTGAGCCTGTCAAGTTGAGATCTTCTGTCATTCCCAGAATTCTGGCATTGCCAATATTGGTACGGTCCAAGTAGGCTACGTTGAGTAGCAGACACAAGACAGGTAGAAGGATGTAGTCGGTTTTTTTCAAAACTTGTTTCTCTTCCTCAGGGTCAAAGTGTTGCATCTCCGCCACAGATTCAATTTGGGCAGGGACTTCAAGATCATCCACCTTGTCGTCGCCTTTCATGGAGTTGAGGGGTAGAGCAGCCATCTTGGTACGTGTTAAAGGGCCCTGAAGACAGATTTTACTCAAAAGGTGTTGTTGCTGGTGACTTTCCAGGTGAAGTTTTGAATTCGTGGGGACCCCGGATTGATATTGGAAACATTTCACCGCATCTCAGAATACAGGGCCTGCCCGTGTGGCGTGGCGATTACATGATTGGCAACGGCTCCATCATGTCACTCCGCGGAAGGAATGGTTTCCGCCGAATAGTTAGACGCAAACGCGCTCCAACTGGTCGGGATCCAGACAGTTCCGCCGCGGGAGCAACCTTCACTTCCGGCCTCGACCTCGGCCTTGGGTTTTGGGTTTTTTGAAGTCGAAGTCGGGCTTGGGCATTGGCAGGGATCCGCGAAGTTGGAACGAACCTCTCCAAGCTTGCGAGGTTGGTTCCTCAAAGTATGCTGTCTGTGTACCAACCTGTTAGTAAGCGAGAAGTCCTAGCAACTCTACATTTTGACTCGAGGCGGACAAAGCGAAGGGCGTATAGGTCATCTCCCAACACCGATAGATACATGAAAGCAATGAAGGGTTTCTTCGAAATGTATCTTACTTTCAAGCGTCTATTGCTGTCTTAGATACATCCATCGCGTTATCTTGCTTGCTCTTTAACAAGAGGCTCCTGTTCTTATCAAGCTACAGAGTAGTGTATTCCACGTTAGTTTTAGGAACAGGAGGAATCATTCGTAGTTGAGCCAATCCTTCAAATGTGTGGAGGAAAGATTCCGCCGTATCGACATATCCATGGAAACCGAGCTTGCGAGCCTTGTCGGTACTGTACAAGTTTGTCAGCGCCAGTTGAACAGGTGATCTTGGAGTATCAAAGACTTATCAGATGCGAGGCATAGTGCTTGTTCAGGGAGGCATCGAGTATGCCAAACAGTCGGTCTGTATCTTTGAGCTCCGGCCAAGCCAACTTGTGCTGTCTGGCAATCTCCCGCCACGCGCTACAGACTTTGGGTTGCTGAGCCCACGCCGCCGTAGTGAACTTATAACGAGCCAGAAGACAGTTATTGCCATACCTGAAATTGGGGGGATTAGCCCATGGGAAATTAGACTGCCAGAGCGAGAATTGAGCTTACCCTCTGGGTGCGCCATAGCGGACTGGTACTTCTGTGTATTCGGCGTCTTCGTCTGGGCCTTCCCATTCAAGGTCATAACACTCTGCAATTTTGGGCCATAATCCTTCCCAGGAAAATGCGCTATCGTCGAGTGCGTTGAACTTTTGATTTGCCGCTTTCGGGGTGAGAACCATCCATTCCTCGAGGTATGCATTCATAAAAGCATTGCTTTGTGTTTGAGTCATCTGCCACGAAACAATATCCCCTGTATATCGCAATGGCTCGCCCAGGTACTTTGATACTAGGGCATAGACGGCAAGAGGGAAGGCGATGTTCATCGCAGCGTCAGGAACCTGTGTAGTGTAAGTCCGGTACACATAGCGCTAGGATTCAAGGGCATGGCACTCACTGCTCCTACTATATAGGAAGGCATGGCAATGTTCCAGCTAACAGAGCGCTGACGACACCAGTCCCATAGGCTATCTTCTTGAGCATAGTAGAAATTTGGTTCCAAGAGGACTCGAGGATCGGATTCTTGCTGAGGCACTTTGGTAGGGCCCAGATGTCCACTATATGATACTATCAGATGACAGCACAGGCAAATGCTGTAAAGATGCACTCACCCGTAGTTCTTTGCCCCTGTCTGTAGCATGAAGCGTTTTGGTTTAATATGTGCGAAATCAAGAGCGCCCAGAAAGTTGTCAAGGAGTAATTCTGTAATCTCGTAAGTCATTATCACATCTCAGATTCAGTAATCCACTCTTGATCAGCTCAACTTACTATTGACGGTAGTCAACTCGTCCGCCGCGCTCCATATCCCTCCTCCCTCCTTCGGTGGTGGCTGTATATATGCAAAGAAGAAGATGTGATCACTAGAGAGTGGATTAGTAAGGCAGTGACATAGAACAGACTTAGAGAGCACCCACGCCTTAACGCCGCTCTTCTTCAGAACTTCGCCGATCTCTTCTGGGCTCTTTAGAAAATCACACTGTATAAATTCTGCTTGAGGTGGCAGTCCGCCTGGTACAGCTGGAGGTCTGCGCGAGAGACAATATATCTTTGTCCATCGTTGCGGCGATTGAGCGAGGACCTGAAGTTGAGCGTAGCCGGAGATACCATTCGCACCTGTTATGATGGCTGTCTGCCCATTATGAGATTCGTCAAATGTAGGCAGTCCATGATAGATCTCCCTGGAGTAGACGGTCTGATAGTGGACAGGCGCACCACCCTTGCAAGCTTCGCTTTTCGAAATCATGGTATGACAGAGAAGCACGAGAGAGATGGTCAATCGCGTAAATCCCTTCCAAGCGTTGTTTACAGGAAGCAAATACTTTAGAAATACTCCAGTGGGCTACTTCTGGGCAGCTCCGTCATGAACTCAGACTTGGCCATTTCCAGTACGATTGGTCTCCTTCACCGAATGTTTTGAACGCCGAGCCTAAGGGGCCGAGGAGTCTGGGGAAGAAACGTGGAGGAGGGCAGACCGTGATCGGGGCCACACCGAAGTTGGCGTCCGCATTCGGAAAGTGGCCGAGAAGTATTCCAAGACAGTGACCTCAAACTGGCGTGTTCCCGGGAATTGTACCAGCTGCACATACACAGCCTCTTCCTATAGTTGGAATGCATCCTCCGAGTGCTTGTTCGTCTTCCTCGAGATACTAACATCGTCTGCGTGCCTAAATTAGTAGGCTTGATTTTCGTCCTGGCTGATTTCCTGTAGTTGCCAATGTATACGCAGTGAAATTCCACAAAAACACGTTGGAGGCTACTCATGTCATTCTCTACGTACCCTGGACACATGGTAGCTTAAGCACATCTGCCTTTGAGAATCCGTACAATACAAGAGACGGATGAGACTCAGTAAGAAAAGGTTAGAGAAGCGTAAATGAGAAAGCAGTAGGCTTAGGCTGGATATGTAGGCGCCACTACTGTACAATAAAATTGAAGACAACACAAAGTTTAGTCCTGCCGAATACATCAGGGAGGGCAAAAAAGGCTCCGCCGCATGATAACCATCACAAACTGGCTGCCTTTCTGATCAAATGGGCCGGCTCTTATGCCAAATCACCGGTTTCAATGATAACCACCCTTCTCAGTTTCGATGGTCAATAAGTATATTTGAAGTCTGGATGGTGATCTCCCAGCTTCGCAAATTGGTCCTCGAATGAAAGGTCAGCAACATCCTTGAGGATCTCCGATGCTTTTTCATTCTTAAGCTCGTTCAATCGAAAGAGCCAAAAGACTTGAAACCCACAGCCAGCAATCGTGATGGCAATCAAACTAAGATTGAACTTGGCACCAAACAAGTAATAGGGAGCTGAGCTGCCGGGATAAATCCATGTGCTAACAATCCCACCAACATTGCAAAGCATCACTGCAAAAGCGATGGCAGTAGCTCGCCTGACATGACCAGCACTATTGTTAGGGACCCAGCTTATAAGACTCGGCGACGTGGAGTAGATCCCAGTGATCAACAGGATCAGTGCAGCGTAACGTCCGTGGATACTTCTCAAAGTGAAGGCCATGGCTGCGCCAATGAGTGCGATGCTAGTCGTACAACCAGCTGTCAATCCGCGACGTTTGAACCGATCAGCAAGATATGCAGCAATCATCGTAACGACAAATGCACAAGCAAAGGGGGGTACCGTTAGTAATTGGGTGCGCGTTCTGCTGTATCCGAGGCCTTGGACGATGGACGGTGTAAACTAAAAAGCGATATCAGTAATCTGATCAACTATAATCACGCAGCCGTGAGCATAGGATCTTCACATACATATGCAAGGCCAAACAGACATGCCCCATTGCAGAAAAGGTTGATGCTCGCGACCCAAACATGAACATCCTTGAGAACTAAACAGACCGTGCTGACGGTCACTTTCTCGTTGATTTGCATGTTGACATCCAGCTTCAGGCGGCGAACGCAGTGTTCTATGTGCTCCGGCGAAAATGTGCGAACTTGATGCGGGTCGTTTGGGAGGGCGAAAAATACCACAAAGCCAAAAAGTACTGTGAAGAGGCCTTCAAGCAAGAAGATCCATTGCCAGCCCCTAAGTCCTCTAATGCCATCCATTTGTTGAATTGCAGCAGCAAGGAGTCCGGAAAAGGCGCCGCTTAAAGCGACAGCGGAGAAGAAAAGACCTACACGAACCTGTAGTTCATGACGGCGGTAAAACCCGGACAGATAGAGGATAATCCCGGGATAGAGACCTCCTTCAGCGAGGCCAAGAAAGAACCGGCAAGCAAGTAATCCTGCATAGTTGTGGATTTGTGATTGTAAGGTGGTTATAAGGCCCCAAGATACGCAGATTGCAGGGAGAACAATCCTCGGACCAATTTTCTTCAGGAGCAGATTGGAGGGGAGCTCTGCAGCAATGTATGGGACATATGTGACCGTAATAGCTTGAGAACCTCGCATTAATTGCGGATTAACGTGTTTTATTGATGCAGACCTACCAGTTTGATATTGATGATCTGTGATGCCCAAATCCATTTGAAGCCCGGCCTAGAAAGGAGAGTGAGCTTCGCGTCGAACAAGAGAGGCCTGAACTTACAACACGAGCATTTCCAATGTTTGCCCGGTCTAAGAACGATAGCAAATATAACATGGCCACCAATGGCACCAGCAACAAATCCAATCGGAGGAGTGTTTTCCTGTCGAGATCTGCCCAAGCCTCATCGGACATCGTTGGTATCTCGCCAGGACCATTTTCGAGCTCGACCATGCTGCTCGCCGTAGGATCTGTCTTCTCAGGAGTTTCCACCATGCTGGAGGATAGCCTTTGCACAATTGATCGAGGATTCAAAGGGACTAGGTGTTGAAGGAGTCCGTTGCATATACCCCAGGGTCTTCTTATAGGTGCCGTGTTCCTCCCCGGAAACCCCGAGTATGTGGAGAGCCCGGGGTAGACCCATGTCTTCCCAGTGTATTTCGTCTTCATTAGTCGCCAGGCACCGAAGCATTCAAATTCCATTAATTGCTCACGCCGAAGAGGCTCGGTGGCTTGCCTAAAATGGACAGTGCCCGAGTGCCAAGCATTTGGTATCCTATGCGAAGGCGGATAGGCATGATGTGACGTTCCACGCCAATTCAATCCTCTTCCTGTCCTCCATTCTGCGACTAGGAGGCTCTAGAGGACTTCTTGGTCATCGAGTCTTGGCCTTTGAAATATCATTATAGATGACTGCACTAACATCGAAGGAATCCAGCGCTTGACAACCGTCTGCCCGCCAAGGTTTAGCTTCGCTTCCTTGTCCACCTACAGTTTGAGCCTCCGCATCGTGATGGCCACAGTTTAGCAGGTGATCCGACACAAGTCTGTATTGATATCCCACGCGCAGTCTCATCATACATCACTGGTGAGGGTGACGGACGGTTTTATCTCCCGCGTGGGCAGCAGATGTTTTGCCATCGCTGTACGTCAGACCAAAACATACCAAACATCCGTTCTACGATTGTCTAGCGTCCTGCCTTGATCAAAGTGCTTTCCCATGGCAAGTTCTAGTCCGAGCGTGTGGGTGTTATTTGATGGTGATGGCCCGAAGAAACCTCGAGCCTGTGTACCTTGCAACGCACGCAAGGTCCGATGCGATGCTGGAGCAGTTGGAGCGCCGTGTAGCCAGTGTACCCGACGCAAGCGAACAAGTGATTGTATCTTGATGCCTCCTCCCTCCAAAAAGGCCAAAAGGTACTTCACATGATACAAAAGTCGTGCCATACTGACGGTATTCCAAAAAGCCAAGTCTCTTATGCTCAGAAACCCATCGAGTCTGCACCTTTTTTGAGGCCAACAGAGCGTCAGGATCCCACAGTTCCTAGTAATGTGAGAGCGCCGTGATTGTTGCTACAGGCAAAGACACTAACTAACCATCCAATCCATAGGTCGAGTCTACATCTAGACGAAAGTCGGACAGGCTCCAACGGCATTCCGACGAAGAATCGCAGAACAATTGGACCCCCAGCACTTCGTTCTCCCCTTCATCCCGGCAACGGGTTGACGGGGCCAACAGGTCACATTTGAGCGTCCAAGAAAGCCCTGTAGTGCCTGATGAAGATACCTGCTTACAGGTTTTCCGAGAGATGTCACGGTGGGAGACCACTGCCGAATCTGAATCCCCATCGGCTCCTCGCCTCCAGGCCGGGAATCGAGAGGTGGTGGAGTATCAAGGGGCCACAAACTCAATCACCATTCTCGGTGAGGTTCTCGCCCCCAGACACCCAAGGAGACTTGTTCGCATTCATCTGAGGGACTCGGGCCAAAAAGCAAACCAATATGACGCTCTGGATGGCCTGGAAGTCGCCGATCGTGAATTTCTACGAGTGAAGGGGGCGTTAAGCCTCCCCGACACAGAGATTTGGTACTTTACCCACAGATCCTGACTGACTAAATCTGACAGACTTAGTGACCAACTTCTCAAGACTTACTTCGAATGCGTGTATCCATTCGCGCCTGTTGTCGACCGGAGCCAGCTGATGAGAGAATATACGACTGGGGTTCCTTCTTTGTTTATCATGTACTCGATATTTGCCAATGTGGCACCCTACACGCCTCTCTCCTTCATACATCACATGGGCTTCTCGGACCGACTTTCTGCACAAAAGTCGTTCTTTTCAAAAGCTAAGCTGTTGTATGACTTTGGCTGTGAGAAAGTACAACTACGACTGCTACAGGGCACCCTGATACTCAGCTCTTTCATTTTAACCTACGCGATGGATAACGACTATCGGTTCTGGCTAAGCAATGCAGCTAGGCTAGCGACCCAGATGGGCCTTCATAGGAACGGCATGGTCAAAGAATTGGAACCGTCTTCCCGAAAGCTATTTCGCAGGATTTGGTGGGTCCTATATAACAGAGATGTGATCTTGGCGGTTACCGGACTTAATAACGTTCGGAAACTTCACGACGATGACTGTGATGTTTCACCGCTGACGGTCGACGACCTGGGAGAAGATACATGGGACAATGAAGGTGATATGGGTGGCAGCGAAGCTTTGCCACCCATCTCTGAACTACAGAAACAGTATATCATAGAGAACTGCAAGTTGTCCATCCTTGGTTAGTTACCCATCGCAAGTCATCCTCCACGGTCTGCAACTGACTTTGTGCTAGGGAGCCAGTTCGTCAATGCATTTCGAAAGCCAGGAAAAGCACCATCAGCTTCATTCATTGCAGAGTTTGCTGGCAGTCTTGTTGAGTGGAGAAGGGCTTTACCAACGGAACTACGTATTGAATCTGTGCAAGAGTGGTCATCATCGAATGTGTGGATCATCATACTTCTCGCGACCAGCTACCACCTCGAAGCTATATTCTGTCGAGCACAGCATGAGCTACACCGCCACAAAGATCAAGCAATGATGGAGCGGGCAATCAAACGACAACAAAGCGCTATGTACGAGCTGGGAACGATCATTCAGCGAGCGTCACTACACGACGTGATTCGTTTCTGTCCATTATCTTTGTGAGTCTATCCACGAGAGTGCTTTCTCTTTCTAATCTGACGGATCATCTAAACCAGCATGACATGCGCGTCAACGAACTTGGCCATGTACATTGAGTCAGCTTTAGACGCAGCCACTACCGAAGATAAGAAGCTTTCCATCAAGACACAGATCCATGCTGGACTTGCGTCATTAAAGGAAGGGAGCGAGCATTGGAGTAGCATCAAGTGGACGCTACGAATGTTTGAGGCTATTGTCGCGCGCACCGGCCTCTCTCTGACACAACAGGGACCTGAGCAGACGAGTCAATCTCAACTCAATATCACATCCATGATCCCCCTTGCGCCAGCCAACTATGAGTGGTTCAACAGTAGCAGCCCAGCAGGTGGAGATCTTCCGGATGTGTTACTAGATTTTGACGCCGCTGGAAATCTCGGGACCGTCTATGGCAGTGATACTCAGGATTGGATGCAAGACTTTCTGGGCACCGGCTCCTACGACTTCTCTGCATGAACATGGGATCCAAATGCGATCCTTGCATAACCGTCACAAGACTTATAAGGAGTATCCTGTCTTCTCTACGGCCAACTTATATGCGTCACGATTAGTGATGCCTGATAGCCATGTTTGAACCTTTGGCCAGCTGCCTCCTTCTGTACCCAGCCTTCTCATTAAGATGAACTCAATGCTGAAGCCCATAAGGATATCTGCAGCGGTCAAATCGTTGCCTACCAAATATCTGCCACCGCTTTCATTGCTCGACAGCTCGGACTCGAGCCAGTTCAAGTCATTTTGCACATTCGGGGACAGGGCTCGTTCCATCTCTGGGAGATAACTTGAAGCAGCGTTTGGAATCCTCCAACGAGCATAAAGAACCTGTTGTCCAGTTCAGTTCGCCTTCCTCGCCGAAATGGACGTGGCACAATGACATACCGCCAGGGCGTGCAGCATAAAAGTGCCTTCTGAAGCTGCAATCCATTCTCGGACTTTGGCTCTGGCACGAGGTTCCTTAGGGAGCAGCTTTGACGAAGTATCATAAGTTTCACAAATATACCTTGAACCATTCATGTAAGTTATAGGCACCCACACATGACATATAGGTCGAAACACAGCGATGCAGACAAGATGCTTACTCGGCAATTGCACCACTTTCTTGGATCACAATGTCTCCGTCTTGAATGGTAGGACTCTTCCCTAGTTTGGTAGGGATTTTGGCTTTGAACTCTGGAGCGGCGAGACCATTGGAAGCTCGAGGTGACGAGACTAGCGTGTAGGAAAGTGAGAGTTCCTCGAGAAGCCAGGCAATTCGAATAGCGCGGCTAGCACCAAGAAAGTATAAGGTGATGTCTGGTTTAGGAGTAGTCATGGTCGAAAGCGGAACTGGAAGAGATATGGGTCTCAGATCAGATGTTAAAAGTCCTACAGATAGATGGCTGATTTGGAGGGAAGAGGCCGAATATGTGAAGACGTCATGTTGGTCGGACAAATTTCTCGGGGGCAGAAACCGCTAAGTAGAGTCCTCGACTGCCAAGTGGTATATCTTCAGCCCTGACTTTAGCGAATCGGTTAAGATTCTCACCCATGTTGCCATTTAATTCCGGATCCCAGCCTGAGAGGTCTTCGGTAAATCGGTAAACCACGCTATATGCTTGTTTCTATGCTTTTTGTGCAGGAAATGCAGCATATCCCCTGCCGATCCGACAATTCAACTATCCGAGATGACAGTATAGAAAACAAGACCCTGCCCATTTCCTAGGTATCCAAGTGTCACCGACCACAGATCCCCAAGAATTATATATACACATTCATCATGAGGTGGAGAAATCTGCGCTCAAAGGATCTAAACTCGGGACTACCAAAGGCGGGGCAGAACTACTGTGAGCCATTAGTCCTCCAACTGCCATCACCTTGGGCACCGGACAAGGCGACCATTCAAATGCGATCACAAATCAACATCTGCTCCCATACAAGTCGGGCGCCGTGTGGCAGTGCCTCACATTTGTCCAAGTATGATAGTTACGAGCGAGCCTTACATGATATATATTAGTTCCTCACCGTCATTTCTCTCCGGGAGCTTCCATTGACGACCTATCGAAGGAGCATCATGTCTCTCCTAGCTCTCCCCAACGAGATCTTGTCTTTGATCTGTGAGTTCTCGGTGCTGTCCTATCTGCAACCCGATCGGCGGCTATACATTTCTTCAAGCAGATGCTATTCGTGTGGGACAACCCGGCAGGTCTTTCCGTGCCCACCCGCCCTTCTAGTCAACTCTGCATTTCGAGATACCGGTACTCGGTGTCTATATCGCCATGCCTTTATCGTGGTCCAGTTCGACCACCTGTGTCTGAGCAAGGATCCTGCAACGGATCTCATCAACCGGAGAACAATTCTCCCACTCATCCACAATCTCGAGTTTTTCATCCGGAGATGTGGTGCCATTGAGGCGAGGCTGTTGCGGTCACATGACCCCGAGACTCTATGCCGACCAAATTCACCACCATGCTTCACCTTCTCCGAGCTGAACGCCAGCCTTCCCAACCTCAAGCAGGTTGCGTGGACTGTTGGCGTGTGGGGCAATCACCGGCTACACATTCCTTTGACCGACCCAACCCGCCCCAAAAGCCAGCGGCTGCCCGCAGGTTTTAATTCGTTGAGTTCCATCTTGACATATAAACGGATCTGGACACAGCGCATCACCCGATTCCGCATCTGGTTCCCACAGAACACTACTAAAGAGCTCTGCGATCTCACTTACCGACGCACATCCAACGCGCCGACAAAGCAAGAGCTTGAAGGGCTGGTCGAGTCGCTGCGCACGCACGCTTTCATCAAGCCTCTCACAAAATTACCCAATCTTGAATCTCTCGACCTCTTCTTTTACACCTATGTCTCGTCTGTCTCCAATCATCCACCCCCAGGATCAGCGATTTATCCTGTCCGCACGCTTGTGCGCCCGCTTCGCGAATCATATCTACCCCCTGTCGAAGCTCCGCAGCTACATTCCCTATCGTTTGCCATGCGGAAAGAAAAGGACGAGATGGAAACCTTGTTGAAGACCCTGAGACTTGTCTTTGCCAACCTCCCAACTGTGAACTTTTGGCGTATTCGATATGGACATGTGATGAACAACGCGTACGAGAAGATCGAGTTTGCTTGATTTTCGGAATAGGGGAGCTATTGGGTTGTCCACCCAAAGCTGTTTGTCCCCCCTCACAAGAAGAGTCAGTGTCTATGATATCAACTGACAAGATGATGACAACATGAATTGATGATAGAACAATGGAGCGCAACCTCTTGGATCCACTTGGATCTAGGAAATTGGGACCAATGGGTGTTTTTACAATCCAGTTGGTAAGACAAGTGGTCTCCTGCTTATTTTGAGGAATCTCTGCCTATAACGAAATCACAAGACGTTTTTAGCAGCGGATTGGGTGAATTGAAAACTAACGACAAACGCTCAATGATATGAATACTATGACCTGTAGCATGCCCAAACGGAGGTATCTAGAAAGATCCAAAGCTCCAACGCCAATCGACATGCATATAAACTAATTATTTAGCAAACGACCTCAGCCATTCCAAGCCTCGCTTTGGTTTGTGACCATCGCCATCACAGAACGTTGATGAAAACTGGCCCGAACACTGTATTCTCCGCCACCGTTGCAATATCAGTCAGACCTTCGCCAGCCGCCACAACTGCAATAGTGAGCCCGAATAAGCTATTCTCCTCGAACGGGAAGTTAGCTGTGAACTGGACCAGATCATCACTGACACCGGTAATGGCCAAAGTTTGGTTGATAGGGACGTTCTGTTGGTTGATCAAGATCAAGCTGAGACCTTGGCCGTTGGGATATTGGCTCCATACCTCTTCAGCCGGGATTGAGAAGGATAGTGTGGTATCTTGAGCTGTGATTTGGGTTGCCGGTGTCTCCAATGATAGTACCCCGTACGTGGGCAGGTTGATGGTATTGGCGTTAGGGCACGAGCCGGGAACGACAAAGTTCTGGTTGATGGCATTGAATGCAAACTCGCGGGCTGAAGCAGTCAAAAAGGCGTTGGCCGATGGCACCTTGCCGAGCAGAGAGCGATAATACCCATCCTGCTCGCCTTCTTGGCCGATGACCGAGGCCACTCCTCGAATTAAACCACTATCACCATTTTCTCCAAAGTGCGTCACCACATCGCCCAGAGTGCCGAGGACTACATCAGTAAACTGAGATGCCACGGCGATGGCGTCCTGAAAATTGCTCACGGGAGCCACATACTGGCAAGGCTGGATTGGGCCAGCGTTGAAATGTGTCAGTGCTCCATTGGCGTCCAAGGCATGCAATTGCTCCTGAGCCTGCACGGCTGTGATGGCGTTGATGGCTGCTTGCCGTTCATTGGGATCTTCAAATTCATAGCCAGGGATGTTGTTTGTAATGTTGGCTAGAAGTTCAGTGAAGAATGCGACTTCCCACAGCTCATTGAAAGCAATCAGGCGAAGGGAAAGAAGATCATCTTCTGCTGGGGCGGTTGGTGGTGGTGGCCCATTGGGCAAAGTGCCATGGGCCTGGTTGAAGAGACTTGCTTCTTGTTGAGAACCAGCCACTATGTTGGGAAAGCCGTTCGACAATGGAAAACTGAACGGGTTCCCGGCACTAGCATCCCTGCGCTGACTTTCTGAACGAGCTTCGCGGGAAAGCCTGGCGACTGGTATGGCTGACACGAGAGAGGAAAGTGCTAAGGAGCCAGCAATGGCTACTGAATGGACATGCATGGCTGGTACTTTTGGTTTCTGGGTGCTTAAAAGCCGAGAGCAGAGATTGGAATGAGTAAAATCAACCGGAGCTTATCGAGTGAGTCTGAGTATCAGGCGTATAAGGAAGAGTTGTTGATGTGTGCTTGTGTCAATGTCCTGGTCAGAATCCAAGACAGTAATGGTGATCTATATAGATGCACAGCTAACTATCAACGCACTATACAAGATGTGACGACGTCACTGCGATATTGGCCATTTCAATAGGTAGGTTTCTATGTATAGAACATTTGTCCTGGGTGCAGATGGTGCACGCGAGATTTAATCCGACTAGGGAATTCAAACCATATGAAAATGCGACATTTCTACCTTGCCTAATGAGTGAAAGAAACATATGACCTTTTCGAGATCAAGCAATTGCCCAACTATTGCAGTGTTACTTTGCAATAATAATTTGCACTAAGGTAAGATCTGGGACCAAAAGGGGGCCCCTCGGGCCTGTGCGCAGACTCGTTCCAGAAACCCCTCATACGACTTAACGAAAAGCACAGGCCTCCTTCGCATCGGAATCTGCTATTCTCACCTGTTCCATATTTAGAGTTTGATCTCACATCGGCTGGACACGCCCAAATGTACTCACCATGCTAGCCTTAGATCTGGACAGAGGAAGTATCTGTTTGGTCGGCGTCATGGGTAAGTTTGTTGTTGTTTCCATAGACACGTTAGGCACAAGGGATTTTACCCATGACTACCTAGGTATGGACTGTGTGGTGTATTTTGGTATACTTCCAGAACTGCCATCTTTGGCAAAGTCCCTTGGTACCTCTACTTAAGCGTAGGAATGGCGCGAGTTGCATGAGCTTATTGGATTTATTGGTCCATCTGCTCGGCCAGCAGAGGTACCTTTCCGCTTCCGTTACTAATATTCACGACCGTGCATGTTTTATACTACGCATCGCTAACCACAGGGCCTCGATAGGCATAACCTTGCGAGTAGTCCCATGTTAGGATAATGGGATTCTGAACAACGCTGGGGTTTACGGGGAAATCAGTATAGGTACGGTACCTGAGGAATAATGACAAGTGTAGCCTGACCTGTCTTTCGCGCATGGCATTACCATCTACTGGTATATAGTTACTATTAAGAGACAGTGTCTCCCCGCTGCCCCAGAACAACAAGTCTGTCAAACACTGCTGTGATCTCCGCCTATGGGGGCTTAGACATCCATGGGAGCGATCTTGGCAGGTTAAGAGGAGTTTTATCGACGCCGATACCATGTGTCACGTGACGTCACGTGGTACTCGTCACATGACATGATACAGACGGCGGGAGCACCCTCCACCGTCATATCCTTTTCCTCCTCCTCTTCCTCTCTTTCTCTCCCTTTAGCAAGCAACCTAGAGATTAGTCACAGGACTTCCATAGCTATTATAGCTATCATTTCAGTCATTGAGACTGTACTTCCCCTATCCTTCGTTCCTGTTGTTCTGCGCTTCTCAGCGTGTCTGTCGCTATCCTGCTACATGACAAAGGACAAAGCTTTATGATAATCCCACAACTATTATCATTAGACTCCCTCACAGTCATATGCAAGATTATACTACGTTACAACTTACTAAATACGAAAAGACTTCGCTGGTCCCAGTCCTTATATTACTCCTAGACGGCGAGCAAAGATCTTAGAATACTACGCACCTTCCTATCAACTTAAGCAGGCATTATCACGTACCCTATCATCCCTGTATTGGAAAGATGAGGACGCAGCATTCTTATCCACCTTGACACCTACTCACTCGAGAGTCTTCGCTGTGCGTAGCTCACCTTTCTCCAGTCCGCTACCACTGTCTTTTTCTCTCTCCCGCGGATCAAGATTCTCCATAATCTCCCTCTCTGCATTCGCCACATTTCCACCAGATCTTTGCAAGATCTCATCATACGTCCTCTCATTCTCTTTCACCAACGGACTCTCACTGCAAAACAACAAGTTGATCTCCTCCAAACTTCTGCCCTTTGTCTCTGGAAAGAAGAACCACACCAGAGGCACACTCCCGAAATTGAAAGCGCCAAATACAACGAGCGTCTTCCATCCCAAGGCAGCAAACATGGATGGGATCACCAAAGTAGTAGTTCCACAGCCAACAGCCCATCCAAACACACCGAATGCATTGCCGCGCGCACGCATCTCTTGAGGCCAAATCTCAGTGGGATAGATGAAAGCAATCATCAAGACTGTCTGGGCGAAAAAGAAGGTGTAGATGAAGACCATGGCGACGGAAGCTGCTCCATAAGAGCCTGATTGAGCTGGGTGGAGTTCACCAAGACGTGACAGACCACCTGAGAGGATTAATACAGCACCTTGTACGATGAATCCGAAGAGCAGTGATGGCCGACGACCAAAGCGGTCAATGGTACAGGTCGCAGCAAGTGTTCCGAGGATGCCGACAATCTGAATGATACCGGCCAGTAATGACGACTTCTCGCTGGAGAAACCAGCTTGTTCAAACATAATGCCGGCATAGACAGTAATGGCAAGGATGCCAGTCCATTCCATCATCATCATGATACCCACAGCAAGTCCAATGCGGCGGCCAAGGTGCAATTTGCCCGAATGGCGACCCCAGAGGAAGAGGTTGTGGAGTTTGTAGCGGGAGCTACGAGCTGAGGTAACGATAGCATCAAGCTGGGCAATCTCAGCTTGGATACTGGGATCGCTCAAGTCGGCATCTCCTCGGACTTTGGCAAGGATCTCAAGAGCTTCGTCACGGCGGCCGACCGTCAGTAGGTATCGAGGAGACTCTGGTAGGAAGCCCACCGAGCCTAGAACGATGGCAAGCGGGACAATTTGAAAGGCCAACGGGAACCTCCAGCGGAAGTCTGTGGTATTGTTCCGTAAACCGTAGCCGACCCAGTAAGCAATCACAATACCAACATAATTTGCCGCAAAGACAAGGGCAAATGTTGCACCGCGGTTGTGGGCTTGAGCGAGTTCGCTGACCCAAGCCGGGATAATCTGAGGTGCGTCAGTGCTGTTTCACATTCAACGCGGAGATCTCATACCGTGTTGATAAACCCTATACCCAAACCACAGATCGTCCTCGCCACAATTGTCATATTGTCACTCTGCGACGCAGCCTGTAAAGCTCCCCCAACAATTGCGAGAAAACTTCCCAGCGCAACAGCTTTCCTGCGACCGTAGAGATCTCCGATCTTCCCACCAAAGAAGCATCCGAACATGGCGCCAAAGTAGTACACGGCTACAAGGCCGCCTTGCTTTGTAGTGTTAGTGACTCTGCCATCAGCGCCAATGCCAACAATATCAATGTAGCCTGGTACACCGTTGACTGCGCCCATAACGCCTTGGTTGTAACCTTCAAAGATGAAGGCGACAGCAGAGAAGAGGTTGAGAAGCCAGAGCAGGGCAGACCCCGGAAGGGTCCTCCATGGTTTGAATGCCATGACAATGAGTCGGCCTTGGTGCAAAGGCAAGAAATAAAACCAGGAAGGCGGTCGTGTGAGTCCTCTGGCAAAACAGCGGTAACACTGGAAAGTGATGCTGCTGCGTGGCCTTGAGAGAGCCAGATGTCCGATTTATATACTCGCATGGCCTTGGGGTGTGTATTTGACACCTTGACCACCTGGGACGGAACCTAACTTCCGAAGAACAGCTTATGATTCGACCAGAACAAACAACTCCGTAACTCGAGTTGGAAAGCATTCACCCACCAACCAACAGGCCATTCGGTGGGGTACGGGGTACGAATAATTCAATCCTGGAGGTGGCACCTGCTGTCCCACCAAAGCCATGTGCTCAGAGATCCTAGTCCAGCCGAATCCAAAATTTCCTTTAAACCACTCTCGAGGTCAGCGGGTGGGAGATTATGGAGTTTTCCATCTGCTTAGCCCCCTCGGCCGTACGCCAAGTGGTTCAGAGGGACCACAGGACCACGAGAAACGAGGAGAGTTTTAGGTAATCAGGCGAAGACAGTCGCCTTTTAACCGTTTATACGAATAACCTTTCAAGCGTCTAGCCGAGTGGAGTAATTTAACGCTTGGGCCATGTGGAGGACAATCATCACACGTGACATTGGTCATGTGGTTATATTCGATCAGGGTTTGTGTAGAGAACAAAAAGCGATGAAATCACTGGTATCTGCCTTTGCAGCGACGCATCAACAGTAACATGGCTGTAAAGATCTCAGACCACAGTGGACATGAAGTTGAACACGGGCGGAGGAGACTGTCCACTGGTGTACGCCTGCATTATTACACAGCAGGCTCGGGACCAGCGCTACTTTTGCAGCATGGCATACCCAAAACATCCTACTACTGGCGAAAAGTCGTACCGCGTCTGACTAAGGACTTCACTGTCGTTGTTCCAGATATGAGAGGCATTGGTGACTCAACTCATCCGGATTCAGGTTATGATATGCCCACCGTGGCTGATGACATTGCCGAATTGATGAAACAGCTGGGCCATGAAAAGTTTCATATTATTGGTGAAGACTGGGGGGCGGCAGCGGCCTATCAGGTTGCTGTTCGACATTCGACGAGAGTTTTGAGCCTAGTATTTCAGGAAATGCTGCTCCCAGGCTTGGGTCTGGAGGAATGGGCAACATTTGACTCTTCGAGGCCAGAAACACATCTGTGGCATGTTGCATTTTATCACGTACGGGATGTTCCTGAATTGTTGATAACTGGAAGGGAGAGGGAGTACTTTACCTGGTTAGCGAATGCAAGAAGGATGCCTTGATATAAGCTGCTAATTTCTGCCACAGGTTTATCAAGAATGAGGCACATGATCCAACATCGATCGATGATGATGCTATTGAAGAATATGTCAGAAGTGCATCGCAGCCTGGTGGAGTGAGAAGCATCTGTGCTATTTGTATGTTCGAAATTCGTCCATTAAGAGTATGCTGACGCCCTACAGACCGAGCCACGGAGAGAAACGTGCAGGCAAATAAGGACTCTGCCAGATCAAAGCTTCAACTGCCTGTACTCGCCATCGGCAGCAAGGACTTTATCGGCCAGGAGGTCGAGAAGCAGATGATGAATGTTGCCAGTAATGTTCAATACCAAGAGCTCAAGTATGGGCACCAGCTTGCAGAAGAATGTCCGGACAAGCTATCCGACATCTACCTAGACTTCCTTAAGTCTCTGTGAGTTTAGTTTATCAGTGTTGGTATCATGTTGGTGCCACAAGGTTGAGAAGCGTGACGGAAAAGTATCATGGCGGGAATGTAAAAAGGTCAAGGAGCTAAGCAGCCTCAGTACTGAATCGCACGCATGATTCGCGTAAAGAGGGAGATAATCTTTCTGGGTCTCCTTGAGCGTTGAACCGTTATACAATAGTATATCTAGTTGTGGATGCAAAAGCTAATAGTATGGTTCCCCTCGCTCCTACGCTAATACCGCCAGACTTTCTCAAAGATGGAGGCCTATGCCGAGAGAAATCTTGCAAGAGACATTGACTTGACTTCAGGATATTCGACTTCTCCAATTGTATTATTTTGACTGTCCTGACCATATTGTGTGTATCGGCCAGCGATATTGCACCACCGAAAACAAGCCTTACCTCTCCAGGTGTGACAGCAGAACATAAGTCCCTACTCTAGTGTTATGATCGAAACTGGAAGCAGTATCTATCAAAGGGGCTTCCTCGATAGAGTGGATGCAAGATTGTGACCAAGGTGGCAAAGAGAAAATGTGATTCGTTTGATATACTAATACACCAATGCACGATTGCCTTATTACATGGCATACATGGTCAGGGTTATGTGGACTCGTTCTCCATCGACCAAGTTCTCCCTGTTCGGGTACTAGGTAGTGCTTTTCCCTTTCTTCCGTGTGAATGATTACCGATCTTTTTGGGTCAGTTCGAACCATCATACAAACCATTCATGGTATTAACGAGAGATTTTTGACCTCATTAAAAGCCGAAGGAGGATCTAGCATTGCTATTAATACTCAAGTTACGGGTGGTTAATTAATAAATATAGCGGTAAGGGGGGCGTAGTCTCTTAGGCCTTATAGCGCGTATAGGTTAGGTACCTAGTTATATAGAGCTTAGCTATCAAGTTAGGCCTGGCCCTGTTAATAACCGCTCTAGGTAAAGCGCGCGCCCGGAGGGCTAGACTAGGGGGTTACGGTCTAGCGACGCTGCTTTTAACTGACTACGTTGGTTTATTAGACGGACTCCCTACCGGCCTCGAGGCCACGACGAAAGGCCCCGCGAACTAATTATTGTCGTCCTCGACGATCCCACCGGGGTAACCTAGCTTGCTAGGTCGACGTCACCCTCGTCCGCAAGGGGGTTGAGCTGGCCGTGGATTCACCTCCTCTTGGCGCTCCGCGGGTTCGGACAGGAGCTCTACTCAATTCGATTCTTACTCTGCTTCGGAGATAATACTACTATGTACCTTGTATTATCACCTTTGATTTCGTTCGCCATGGCCCTCGTCATACTGGAAGGTATTGCTCTTGTCTCACCCTTAACTCCTTTGCGACTTTGCTGTCGGGTAGCTATACCAAGAAGAAAGACGTCACCAGGATCTTCACTTTCCGGAACTGTCATGGCTATTTCATCTTTACGGTCGCATAAACGTCGCGGGATCCGTAACAATGTCCTCGATTGGCCGGTCAGAAGCTAGGCAACAGAATGAAAGGACAAGATTGTATTCCTATTCTGTGTCTCCATGGTATTCAGCAAGGATACTAGGCACTACTCAGGTAGGCACGATGTAAGGCCATCTTTTTCGGCATTTGATAGCCTTCTTATGGCGGAGTTCGCAAGTGGGAACATCTTTTACCTATGTTGTGCCTGGAGGCCTTGACTCGTGGGCTATTTAAACAACTCAAGAAGCCCGTCGTATGATCTGACTTTCAGCACTTGAAAAAGGTCCCATCTTACATCAGTAGAACTCCTCTTCAAAATGTTGGCCAGTAAGTTCTTACGAGCTGTCCTTGGTTTGTATATACTTGCGATACCTACCACTTCATTTCCTACATTGACTGAAGCCAACTACGAATATGTTGTTGTTGGGTCGGGAGCAGGTGGTGGCACTGTGGCGTGAGTCTAGCACCTTGAATCATCTCAACCATTTTTAAGAGACGACATTGACATACAGGGTATCTCACACAACAGAGCAAGTTTGGCTCGGAAAGGACACACGGTTCTGCTCCTGGAGGCTGGAGGCGATCGTGGAAGTGATTTACTACAGCAAATGCCTCGATTGTACGTATTGAGCAATGATACCCTGATATACCACTCGTTGATGGTGCTGATATGCCTCAAAGCTCGGCAGTCGCCGCCGAGAACGATGAAATGTCGTGGAGATTCTGGGTCAGGCATTTCCGCAACGAGACACAGGGTCGCAGGGACTCGAAATTCAACTATCTCCTACCAGACGGTTCCGTGTATACTGGACTCGACCCACCAGAAGGTGCGGAGGCGTGAGTTTACAACTTCCTTAATCTTGACTGGCGTTGCAACTTCTGCTTTGCTAACATCGCACATAGCCTTGGAACGTATTATCCCCGTGGAGCCACGGTTGGTGGAAGTACCCAAGTAAACGCGATGGGCTTCCAAAAGGCCCCGGATCACGATGTAAGTAAAATTCGATTGAATTTTTAGTGGTCCCAACCCCTCTGCGGCACAATACTGACCAGCACGGACAACATAGTGGAATTATATTGCTGAGTTCACCGGTGACGATTCATGGTCTGCAAGCGCCATGGAACGGTACTTCATCGCTGTGGAGAATTGCACATACCTTCCCAGAGGTTCGGAAGGACATGGATTTGATGGATTCATCAGTGTATGTCTCTCATAGCCGACGGAAACCAGCCAGATATGTGGCGCTAATACTACGGACCAACAGACAAACCGCAACAACGTCAGTTACATTACCAGCCGTCCAAGCGTGGTTGAGGTACTTTCCAATTGGGCTAGAGGATCCGAAGGGATCGAAGTCCAGGGTACCGAGGATCTGGTAGAGCTCTTGGCCCGTGATACCAATCATCCAGACCATCACTACAACCCAGGTGTCTTCATGGACGTCTCGGCGACAGACGAGATGAGGCGCCGTTCTGGCGCTTGGAGCTATATCACTGAGACTATCTCAGCAGGATATCCCCTTACCCTCAGCACGCACTCTTTGGCTACCAAGGTCTTGTTTGAAGACGTCCGCGGAACAGTCAAAGCTGTAGGTGTCGAGTATTTGGAAGGGGAAGGCCTCTACGGAGCTGATAGGCGATATGATCCGTCGCAAACGGGAACTCGACGGGTAGCCCTTGCGCAGAGAGAGGTCATCGTGGCTGGTGGTGCATTCAACACACCCCAGATTCTCAAACTGAGTGGTGTTGGCCCTCGTGAAGAACTAGAAGACCTGGGTATCCCCGTTGTTGTTGATCTTCCAGGGGTGGTAAGTGGAACTCCATCAGAATCTGAAGTGAGGATGATCCTGATTTTTTGGCCCAGGGAGAGAACTTGCATGACCACACTGAAGGTGTTTTCGGCCTCAACGCTTCTGCACCATGGGAGAACGCCCCAACGGAGACGTGCGACTCTGGACTAGGCCTAGAAGACCCATGTCTTATGGAATGGCAGACCTCAGGCGCAGGGCCTTATGGCGAGGCTGGAGCACCGCTCAGTGTGAGATTTCGATCTAGCTTCAGCGAGACTGAACTCGTCGATGTGTGGCTCTTCGGAACGCCCAACTTTCTCTTTCGGGGGTTTTACCCAGGGTATTCGAACTCGACCCCATCACCCGCCAGCTGGACTATGTCGATGATTAAGATTCATAACCCGGGGCAGCCTTCCACTGGATCGGTGACTTTGAGAAACACTGATCCACGGCAACCTCCGATCATCAATTTTGACTGGCTTGAGGGAGAGAACGGTGACCGCGATGTAGCAGCACTTGCTGAAGCCGCAGCATTCCTCGAAGATGCTTTCGACGCTGTCTCCGAGCCACATTCGCCCATCACCAGACACCAACCACCCATTGGCGCCGATGTGGGCCAGAATATCAAGGACGAGGCCTTTGGCCACCATGCTACCTCGTCCTGTAGCATGGGCCAGCAGGACGACCTCAATGCCTGTGTTGACAGCAGACTTAGAGTCCTTGGGGTTGACGGACTAAGGGTGGTTGATGCTTCCGTATTTCCCTTCACCCCAAGCGCATTTCCCGTGCTGGCCGTTACTATGTTGGGGCATAAGGCGGCTGACTTGATCTCTGAGGATGCCACTGCTTAGGACAGGCCTCTTGGGTGAGGGTGGATCACTTGCGCGAAGATAGGAGTGGGATTCTTTAGGCATAAGCAAGTACATTTCTCGACCCTATTTGCGCCTAAGTATGAACACATTAAATGGAAAAACGCCTTCCAAGCCATTGGGACATTGCCCGTCATTTCATCAATACCCAAGAAATGGAAATGAGCTCTTCAAGTTGGAACCATGATTCTCCCGCTTTTCTTGCCAGATATCCCGCATTTATCCTTGAATCTGAGATATGGTTGCAGTTGACATACCACCGTGGAAGCTGACTTTGACTCCATGCTTTGTTTTGAGATGTCTCTGTACTGCGTCCGAACGCGTGGAGCTGTAATTGCAATATCGACACTGGATTTTGTTGATGCGTGCATGGCGGGACTGAATATGGCGGTCAAGTCCTCGCTTTTCTGCGAATGATTGACCACAGTCAAGGACAGTGCATGAGAAAGGCCTGTTGTGTTTGAGCAAGTGCCGATTCAGTTCATGTCGCTTTTGAAATACACGCGGGCAGTGACTGCAGTTGTACACGGTGCAAGCACTTTCTGGCGGCGTCAGCCTGGCAGCTTTTGTCTTGGGATTCGCTTCATCGTCACTAGAAGAGAGGTCTATCACTTGATTGTCAAGAAACAGGCTCCCGGGGTAGCTCTCGTAGCCAAGGTCGGTGGGGAACAGCTGGAAGTCCGCGCCAACCCAGTCCTCCAGCCCCGAATCTCCGTTGAGGATTTCGTAATCAAGGCAGGGCAGCGTGGAAAAGTCGGAGCTAGAGAATGAATCCGGAGTTGCATTGTACTCGGTAAACTGAGGCTCGGCGGGTTTCGAGGGTTGTACGGTATCAAATTCGTAGATCGGGTTAGAAAAGTAACTTTGAGCATGAGATGCGACCATAAAAATATCGTCGCCATACGTCATGGGTATTGAATCAGCCATCTCGAGCAGCTGTTGCTGCTGGTAAGTGTTGGAGGGTGCCATTTTGGGATGGCAGCTGAAATGGGGAGAGATAGTTAATCAGTTTGGCCAAGATTGTAGGGTCTGATAGAGGTCAACCGACGTATTCAGACCCAGTTCGAGGGATTGGTGACTTGAATGGGGCTATGTAACATGTAGGGGTGGGTTGGAGGAGGATGTTCAACCAGCGTGTAAATCTTGTACGCTAGCTGAACATCAAAGCGGGTATCTCTAGGGCTGTTCCAATGGTTCAAATGTGAGTAGTCTCATTCAGAGAAGTGGTGCCAACGTGCGCGGATTCGTGCTCGATGGCGGAGCCTCGGGATCCGGCGCTCAGGAAAACCGGAGCTTTTGATTGTCATCAAAGTGTTTGACTTGACATTGTCGTTGCTATTGGAGATTCTTCGTTTTCCTTTTGCGAGGATGCTACTCAAGTCAAGTGGGATGGGATGATTCTGGTGGGCAACAATGTAGCACTCGAGCGCCTTTAGACCTTGTGGGCTGTATGATGAAGTTCGAAACCCATGTCGACGACGATGCTGCTGTATTACATGGCGAGACCGGTCCTTCTGCCTCGAGTATCTGCTTGACGGACAAGTAGTGCACCGCCATGCGCCTGATATCTTGGGAAAGTCCACTTCTTGTGAAATCCGGGAATTGATAAGCGTCTAGAACATGTTAATTGAGTGTCGAGCAGTTGGCTAGGAAATATTGTCTCTCACATTGACAGGCCTGAGCGAAACATCATCTAATACCTCCACCATGGGGTAGTCCACGAGATTGTATAAGCCGCCCAGGGGAGCGTTAGTATCGACAGAGAACCAATCATATCTCAAAGAGCCTAGGACTGTATCGCCATATGGTAACCTATGGACCTCCCAAGTGTCATCCGGTGTGATGAGGAATTCCCCCAAGCCGTCTGAATGCTCAGCCATGATGGAGAAAGGATTGATAAGGGAGGCTGATGGATGAGATTAAGATGAAGGGAGAAAACAATCAGGCAATATGGCAGGGAATGGTTTTCGTTTTGTATGACTCCAAGGCGACTGAGGCGGGGCTGATGCACTGCCCACGAAATGTGGCCGACCATCCGAAAGTAGTAAGCGCCGATCTCATAGCAAACTTGATTTGCTAGTCTTTGGTGTTGAGTGGGGTTGCTTCTCTCTAGCGTCAGGTGTTTTTGGTAGGCCACAATTCTGCATCTTAAAGGATTATCATTCGATGGGCTGAAAGTGAAGAAGCCTCTATTCCTATGAGACCAGACTTGGGCATAACGTCAGGTAATGCAGTTCATCGCAGGCCACTCTTTCGTTGTTTGGCTCCTCAAAGTGCGTCTCATACCTAACATGTCGCCCTACAAAGCTTCACTAAGTGACATAAGCTCGGCTGTAGGCATAGTTGTATTGTAATGTCACTTGAACAAAGCTGACGACAATACACTCGCGGATGCACTTATGGCGAAAACGCTCAAAGAAATGAGGAATTGTTGGACCTTACAGAAATCAATTTAAGATCTCCAAGTAAGTGTATTCAGAGGTGAGCGTGGCTGAACACGGTGATCAGCGGGATTGCATTGTTCACATCTGAACAAAGACCAAGACTAAACTCGTTAACCTGGAGACTTGGAAATATGACCAGTCATTGACTCGCCATGCCAAATATATTTCTGTCTGTATGTATCTCAACATGAAGATACTTAGAGGAGCATGGCTCTGTTTCTTGGTGTTTCTCACTCCTTCTGCTGCTCAAACTGACCGGGCGCGTACATACTCTTCGTGGAGACGAGGGGGAAATGACGAAGCCATCGAGGTCGAGCAGATATCGACCCTAATAATCAACTCAGTCACAGACCTAATGCAGAAGCGGTCTCCGGCAGCCACTGCAGACCCCGGTCTGGATATCGACCTTGTGAAAGATATTGGCGCCACTGGGGGCCCGGACGTGGATCTGGCAATGGACTTCACTATTGGCGATGTCGCATCCGCAGTACATACGACACCATCGCTTCAGCGGAGGTGGGGACGAGGTTGGCGTGGAGGTGCTTCTGCGGAGCGACCCGCTGCCTCGGATGCAGGATACACTGGCGGTGGAGGGTATTGGGGTTACCATAGTTCTGCCTTTGGGTCAGGTGTGACAGCAGGGGTGAACTCTGCTCAAGGGATTCCTGCTACGGTGATTTCTACAGGATATCAGAGCGCCCCTAGTGGCGCGACCGAAGGAGCAAGAACAAAAGAGAACTCACCTCCATCGATCACACCTTCAGCAAGTCTGCCTCCAGCAAGTCCGCCTCTAGCAAGCTCACCTCCAGCAAGCTCACCTCGATCAAATCCACCCCTTCAATCTATTTCAACGTATAACTCCGCAGGAAATAAGGACGACGGAGGAATTACGGTTACCGTCACCAGCACATTAGCTCCGACTCAAACCAAGACAATGACTATTTCATCAGTGTCAGGATCGCGGCAAGCTTCTAAGAGATGGACGGATCCAAAGTGATGTCCATGAATCATCCCATGATTAGATGATGAGGGCGAATATATTCTGCATTGTAAGCGAATGATGTGAAAGATGCACCTTCAAAGGCCAAAACAGCCATACGCCGCCCGCCGAGTCCATTCATCTAGGAGTAACTAGGTCAACTGACTGATATAATGTTGTCCAACGTTCAGACAAGATATTATACACAATGGATTCCTGTACAAAAAAAGCTCACTGGTTCAACAGATGATGCTAATCTTACAAAATGGTCGGGTAGAGCGTGCACCTATCTGACTCATGTCCAAGGCAAGCCGATTTGCCTCGCCACTTTTTCCGCAATGCCCTCGTAGTAGACAGTGTTGATCTTTTTGCCCGCAGCCTCCTCGCTGACAACAGTGGGCATGCCACGGTCCGCATCGGCACAGATCCTTGCATCAAGTGGCACATCACCCAAAAAGTTGACACCCAAGTCCTTTGCTTTGGCCTCAGCACCACCCAATCCATGCTCGGCATGCGAAAAAATCTTGGTCTCGGTGCCGCAGTGCGGACACACAAAGACGCTCATGTTCTGGACCATGCCGAGGACGGAGATGTCCATCTTGCGGAACATTGCGACACCCTTGACGGCGTCCTTGAGTGCGACGTCCTGAGGGGTGGACACCACGACGGCGCCGTCCAACTCGACTTGCTGTCCTATGGTTAACTGAACATCACCCGTGCCAGGGGGAAGATCCAGCACCAGTACGTCCAGGCCTGGAGAACCCCAGTCGACCTCATGGAGGAGTTGCTGTAATGCCTTCATGACCATGAGGCCCCGCCAAGCAACTGGGGCCGACTCGCTTGGTAACAGATATCCCATACTCATGCTCTTGACGCCGTAGCTCGTCAGTGGTACTAGGAGATTGGTGTCGGGCGTGATCTTGGGTTCGAGGGCGTCAGAGAGGCCGAGGAGGGTCGGGATTGAAGGGCCAAAGATGTCAGTGTCGAGAATGCCTGTTCGGAGCCCATGGCGCGAGAATGACAATGCCAGATTGACCGCAAGTGTCGACTTGCCTACTCCCCCTTTTGCGCTGGACACTGCAATGGTGTGTGCGACGTTGCGGAGACGGCGCTTGGTGGGGAGCCCGCGTTGCGCGCGTGGTAACATCGGTGGTGGGCCTTTGGACTGCGCATTGCGAATGGCTGACTGACGGGGGAGATTCTGTAGGCAAGAGAAGAAGAAGTGGCGTGAGTGGCTTGATGTGATTATTCAATCTAGGAAGACGGCTTACCAGAGGATTCTCATGGCTGAGAGACCTCATGCAGGTGCTGAAGCATCTGAGCATCTTTGAATTGACGCAGCCGCGAGAGATTGCCAGGTTAAACTTCGAGAATTGGTGGTCTTTTCTCAAGGTTCAGGGCAGGAATTTGAGGTGTCCATGGTCGATAGGTTAACCATGGAACATGACTCAGGGACAGTTTTCTATGCGTTGGACTGGCATCTGAGCGGAGAAAGAAAGAGAGAATATCAAACAAAAAGTGTCAGTGTAAGGCTGATGTCATTCACAAATGGATGCAAGGCTGAAGAGGTCATTGAATTAGAGTAATTTCGTATTAGCCCTAGTCTATATCGGGACTAGATACAACTAGATATAACCAAAACAGAAAAACAAAGCCTTATTACACGTGCTTTGACGTACCAGTATATCTGTCGAGGATGAATTCCATTAACTACCTTACATCATGCCTTTACATAATCTGTACATAGTAAACAAGTCCAACAGAAGAGCTGAGAGTAAAAGAGTAGGGGTATCTCATTCACGCGACTCGTCAAACGCCATGCTCATACGATCTAGAGCAAACCACAACCACATGGACGGGAGCTGGTAGCTACCGCATGTATTCATCAAAATTTGCCTCCATGGATCCCAGCGCTGCTGGCAGCTTCACTTCCACTTTGCAGTCCTCCCACGAAAGATGTTCCCCAGACACCCACAAGGCCCCAAAGCCCCACTCTCCATCCTCGATAGAGTCCTTCAAACCCTTGGCCTTTTCTCTTCCTCCTAGGCGCTTTGCCCATTAAAGCGGCAGCCTTGTCCTTTTCGGACTCAGAGTAGCCTTCTTCCTTGACAATGCTCCAGATTGTAGGTAGAATACCTCTGTAGGATTGAGGTACAGGAACAATGGTTGCTATGGCTTTCCTCTTTGAGGACGAGGTGGGAAGAGATTGCCTTGGTGCCGTCCACGTGGCGATCTGGGCGCGGCGAAGAATCGTCTCTAGTGGGAACTTGATGGACAGATCTAGGGCTGAGCTGGCAAATGTGGCTAGACTCCAGCTGGCTGGATTCATGGCTGGATCCAGTCCGAGGTATGATTTTAAAACAACAGGTGTGCTGGTAGAGATTAATGTGGGAATGGTTGACGAAAAGAAGGTAATAGGAATGAGGTGGGAAGGGATCAAGTATGCGGTTGGGAGGGTCCTCAATGTTCCAAGTAAAGTTCTTGGTTCTTGGCTCGCAGGTGTGAGAATGAGACGAGTCCGAACAGCATCGATTGGAGCCAGCACCAGCGACGAGAGAGCTGTGGCTGCAGTTGCGATCAAGACAGTTGCGACAGGGGTGGTGGAAGCGAGGATTGAAGTATCCGGCATTGACCCTGATGACAACGGAAGCAAAATGTCGTTCTCTGCCACACCAAACACAGCTCCCAGAAAACTTCTGAAAAACGTCTCTAGTGTCCTGAGTAGTATATTGTACACAAATGTCGAATTCGTTGCTCGCCACATGGCCAGTGCGCCGCTGTCTGACGAGAGCGCTGAGAGAGCGTCAATCAGTGAATGCGGGTTCTTTAGGGTCAGGTGGCCATCTCGGGTCTTATTTGGACGCTGTGGCCCTGAATCAGAAAATTGTTGCGACGGGCGCCCCCGTCTCCCGCGCGGAGGGGAACGACCTGAGGTCGGTAAACCCGTGGGAGCACTGGAAGTGAAGTAATTTGGTTCATCGTCCGAGGAATGTTGGTATTCATCGTCATAGCCATAGCCGGCCTCAATGTCCTCCTCTTTCAGGCTCGATTGTCGGCGGTGTGCCAGGTCGCAATCATCTTCCTGTGCGACCCTGGTCTGTAAGATGAGCTTTGCAACCTCAAACGGCTGAGCGAAGACGACACTGGTGTATTTCCACAAAGCTTGGTCAAGGATCGACTTGGCCGACACCTTCAGCGAGGGTGAAGCATCGGAAATGTAGTCGGAGTAGTCTAAGTCGGGGAAGGAGAAAGATGAGCCTGTAGATGCCTTGGAGGCAGATGTGGCGTTGGCTGCAGCATCTGAGGTTCCGATCGAGGGTGGTATGTAGTAAGGGCGCAGGGGATTCGGTGTGTGTCGCGGGTCTTGCATCATGGAACCAATTCGAAACCTGGATGCAAAAAGGTGTGTCTATCGCCGGGTGTGGTTCTGTCGAGGTCAGGGTCGTAAATGGGATCAACAATCAGTTGATGGTGGAGAGAGTGACCTCTGGTCCCATGCAGTATGGGCGAATGGATGGTTTGGTTGGTGCGATCAAGGCAGACAAAACGTGATGGAATTCCAGCGGATCATAACGCCGCCTAAACACAGTTAAGTCACGTGTTTGCAATTCACGCTATCCAACAGGATCCCGTTCCTTTTACTACCACTACTCGTAGGTAGATGGTAGATGTTGTCTCGAGAATCGACATTCACTCATAAACAGGAGGACTATTGGAAATGATAAATGCTTATTTTCATGTATATTTTTATTTATTGATTGCGCCTGGTGTATTTAGGTGTAGCCCCCATACCCAATGATGCATGCGAGACGTGGCAGTTCGTAACCCTGATCGTAAAACAATGCTATTCCTCCTGCTTTCCTCAAATGACTTACTTGGATGTCTTCAATGACTTTGGCCAGATCAGTGTGTCGACCCGAAGATATGTCGCATAGCATGGCTATGGGATCGCTTCACGGGGATGGCCTTCATATCAAGCGTCGAAGACACCCCAGGAGTGCACACGAGGCCAGCTGCCATGTTCATCGAGACACTCCAAGTGCCTCCTGCGACACATCGCTTGAAAGAGCCACCATCCGCCGCACAGTCCCAGTCTCCATCGGTGCAGGAGCCGGAGGAATCGGGGGTCGTGGATCCGGAGGAGTTCCCTGAATTGTCAGGAGCCACCGGGGCAGGAGTACTGTCAGTAGCGACTGGAGCAGCTTCGCCGGTCACAGTCACGGGAATCACTGACAGGGCATCTGTAGCAATTGGAGCAGCATCGCTTGCAAAGACGGCAGGTTGAGTTGCAGCAGGAGCACCGGGACCGTAGGCAAAGGTGGGACTTCCACCATTGGGAGAGCCACCTGAGCCCCCTGGACCGCCTCGGAAGCCACCTGGAGATCCGCCTGGAGCGCCAGTCGCAACAGGGGATCCGCCACCGTTCCCAGCAGTCCCAGTGGGAGCAGAAGCACCGCCACCGTTCCCAGCGGTCCCAGTGGGAGCAGAAGCACCGCCTCCATTGGCAGAGGCACCGGTAGGTTGTTGAGGAGTGGTGTTGCCGCCACCAGCGCCGCAGGCAAGCTGGGTGAATGGACCTGCACCGACCGACTCGACAACAGCGCCAGGGTTAGGGAAGATGTAGTCAAAACTCTCCGGGGTGGTGCAGGTGTTGATCGATGCAAGATTGGCGACAAAGAGGTCGGGGAATGAAGATTGTCGCTTGGAGATCTTAGGAGCAGGCGCCCATCGCTTCTTGGACGCCACCACAGTCGCTGGAGCACAATTCATGTACATCTCACGATTGCCGACCTTGTTGAACCATGTCCACGCAAGGGTATATTCGCCTGGCGCAATGCCGTTTGGAATGCTGAATTGAAACGTCGATGCGCCAGTACCGTTGGGGTCGGCGGGGAGATTGCCAGGGACATTAGCCGGGCAGCCACCCTCGATGGACTTGATGACCATCCATTTAGAGTCCTTGGTCGGCTGAAGGTCGGTGGTCAGAGACACTTGACAAGATCCTCCACCATGCACGGCACTACCGGTGAAGGAGAGGGTCTGAGACTCGCCGATGGCCATAATGTTCTGCGCGCCCTCAGCGTCATAGACACCGGGACGCTGCTTGCATGGAAAGTCGGAACCAGATGCATCCAGAGGAGAGTTGTTCAGAGATGATTTGCCATATGGAACTGGAGATCGCATCAACATATGGCAGTTGGCTTCAAGGGCCAGAAAGAAGGTGGCGACAGCGGCCACGTTCATGTTGGCAAGCATGTTGAGGTTGGTGGTATTCGGTGCCGGCACAGAATATCGAATGATAGCTTAGGTTTGTTGTTGTTGTTGTGTGTGAGCAGGTAGCACAATCACTGTAAAATGTTATCAGAATGTTGAGCCTTGTATGGTCTGTAGGTTTGCTGATGATGACGATGATGATGTTGATGTTGTTGGAATATAGCCCGGCTCTGAAATAAAACAGGTTTACAGCTTTAAAAAGCAATTGAACATGCTTAACCAGACAAAGCAGGCAGTAGTGACAATGAGGGTGATAGAAGACAAGTAGGTGTACAATAGGGTATTGTTCCCTAGTGCTAATGCAATTGTTCTCCGGCGACAAGGAGCAAACTTGAACAAAGCAACAAAAAAGACATACCTTTGGTGAAGAGCAGCACAAGGAAGATCGTCTGTGAAGCTCAAAGGGTTGGATCGCAACTCAATGGAATTGGTCGCGGGCTAGGTCGGTAGCAACGGAGGCAGTCGCCAAGTATGGCTGATGAGCCGGTGATGGTTTTGGTATCGTAGTGAACGTTGTGAAATCGTAATGAATCGTAGTCGCGTGTCAAAGGAGTGGTGACTGTTGACTAGAACAGTGGGATTTCTGTCTGCGCCTGGCAGTAGAATGAGCGTGGAGGGAAATGAATGAAAGTGGTTTGCAAAGAGGAAGAGACAGGGCAAAGGACCATTCTGATGTACTCTGGACAAGTTATAGAATGAGCAAGGAACGTGACTGTGGATACCCCTGATAGGAAGAAGGGTAATGCTGGGTTAGGTGCGGTGAGCAAGGGGGGTTGTGAAACACAAGCATTTCATTGGCAAAGAGACCTGCCCATCCTTTCGGCGCGCCACGCAAAGGCAAACGTGATGCCTCCACCACCGGCGTGAGATGTCATTGTCGATGGACCAGTCGGAAGCTTGAGCCACCGCGTCGACAGACAGGGCTAGAGGTTTGTTGAACGGCGATGAGGAGCTTGGAACCAGGCAATGCAGGTAGCAAACATGATTCGAGGGACGAAGCTGGATCCAGATCAGTAGGCACAGACCTTGAAAGAGGAGCAATAGGGAGTTGCTGCGCCTTGGGATTGGTCACAAGGACAGTAAGGTGATCAGCATCTTCAAAGCTTGGTCGGCGGATGGGCAGCATGCAGCAAGACGTCAACGCCAGGTACGCACGACACACCAGGGTAAAGACATCTCAATGGAGCCCCTGGGAGCAGGCTGAAGCAAGCCAAATCGTGGAGGTGGAGAGATGTCAGTGATGGGTAGGCGAGGTGTGGTGGGATTGTAGTCAAGGAAAAAGAGAACAGATTTAGGGGTTGTGAGAGGGGGTTGACACGGACCAATCGTTAGACGCGTGAGCCACGTGCCTAGTCCGAAAACGGTTAGCTCCCGGCATGGAGAAACCTGGGTTCCGAGGTTCCATGCCTCCTTGAGATTTCTATGGCTGGCAATCATTCCACCCAGCTTAAGATGAAACACCATCCCATCATTGTCCAGGTTGACCTATCCAGAATCCAGCATGTTCTTCTGGAATGAGGTGGCGAGTTTTGTTCAGGAGCTGGTCGTCCTAGCTCCATGAGGCTGTATCTCTTGGGCCAGGTGAGTCTTTGTCTAGCATAATGAGCTGTGAGGATTTATCCCCAGCAGCCTTGCAGGTCTGGGTCCCGACCCAACAACGTCCGAGCACCAACACCACCCACCAACCTCTCTGCTTGCATCACCGGCACGCCCTCAGGCTCTCACGCCCTCGCTGCCCCGTGCTCGGACCACTCGACTTTCTGACAGCACCCTCGTCCATGTTGGGCCGCAGATACCAAGCCACGCACGCGTCAATGACCTCTAGGCCAGGGACATCGTTAGGGATATGCGCTTGGAAAAATGTCAAGACAGGAACCACCAAGTACAAATCCACTACTACCCTATTTGTACCGCGTGCATCGCCACTCCCCGCAGCAGCGGAACCGGGTAGATCCATGGTGACGACGCATATTCCCTCGTTCCTTTCGCTCGCTTGATGTGGGAAGCCACACGCGCCACGGGGGTTCAGGAGTTCCCCTGGACCTAGACGCGACCGCTGGGGCCCAGGCGAGGCGCGGTCGCCAGGGGATGATAAAAAGGTGGCTGGGCCACTCAACACTCGGTCTAAAGTGCACGCTCTTGCTCTGGCACTCCGCGCGACATCACCTGCCCTGATATGAACATTTCCAAGCAAGGGTTTCGCTCAACACGAATAACAAATGAGCCATTTGCCAGCTGCAATGAGTGGTGCTCAGGTGTCTGTGGAAAACCTGGGGCTTTGCTACAACCAGCATTGACTGCAGACTGACTCCCTGTCCATCCATGGCAAGCCAGTTGACCAACCGATCAACCTGCAAGCGTGAGTCTTGTGTCCGGAGGGTTCGCGGCGCCGAACGGCTTACCGGACCTGTCGCGAGACTACAGGCGTCTAGGCGCGTTGGATTAGTGGTCACCGGCCAGACCTGACGTGTCACCGCCGACCAATTCGGTCGCTGGATCTTCCCGAGGCATAATAGGTTCGCATGGGTAGGTAGGTAGGGAGGTAGGTGGGCAAACGATCAACCGCGATCCGTCGCTCCCAGGAGCATCTTGCCGATCCAGCGTCAAGGGTTCATGTTTCGTGGCAAGCAAAAACCCACAACGCCTAGACTCATGCATGCGCGACATCCATCCTGTCAAGCCCAGTCACTGTCATCACTGTCATCCACGACATTTTGAGGTCTAAGTATTGCGTTGCGTGTTCATGTTTCGAATTTTTCTTCCTTGGATTTCTCTGCCTGACCAGCTCCCGTGGCTCTTCGGGACCGATGATCAAACATGAGGGGCATCTTGACATGCTGGAGGACTAAGGTTGCGATGGGAGAGCCGCTCACGCCGCTTCAAGTTAGGGCGACATTGGAGAAGCTCTGCTGTACCATTTTACATCTTGCACACAGTACGCTCCCTTGCGGCGAAAGATGAATGTCAGATTGTGGAAGCTGAAAACACATGCCGGACTGCACTTGGACCGAGAGGGTGTGAAATGATATAATTATCGTAACTATGCCGTTGTAACCATCTCTACCAGGCTTGCTTCTATGGCTGACACATCCTGAGAAAGTCATCCAAGTCCTTCAGCTCTATGTGTATTACCAGATGATCGGTCAATGACAGAACAATCCTCTCAAAATAAGAATGAAATTGTGCTGATACAGCTATTCCTCATGCTTGGCCTCGTCCAACAATTCCTTGTCCAGCGAGAGCCAAGCGGCTGCGATTTGAATGCCTCGAGTCCTCTCCATTTCAATTCTATGCCAGTCCCATTCGCCGGCATCCTCGAGCTTGGTCAGGGGTATAAGAGGGTCGATAGTGTTTGATGCAGACGCAAGGTGGGCGGCGCTCTCCAATTTCTCTATAAATGAGGCCGTTGCGTCAACGGCGGATTCAGGGACGGGCGCTGCGATCCCGTCGTTGTCCGGGGTTGATATGATCGAAGGCTCTGTTTGGGAGAGCTGGGAGCTTTGTACCTGATCGTTGAGTGGGCTTTCCGACGCCGCTGAGCTCTCACGGTTCTGACCCGCGCCAGATTGGGAATCTGCTGGCCTTGGAGGCAGCCAGCCTGCGGTAGTCAGACATCGTTCGGGCGCGACGGTGAATCTTCCTTTCTTGATGACATATTTACTCAACGCCGACGCAAGAACCACCTCATCCTTGCCTTTAGAGGCGGGACGAATGAAATAGGTAAGAATCACGAGCCACTTCTTATCCCAGCCCAGGACTCTCGATCGAACCTCATAGAGTTGATATGGTTTGATCTCGCGATGGAACGAGGTATGAACGCTTCCTAGTATGACATTGGCCGGGCCCTTGTGGCCTTCCTTTTCAAGATCTTGTTTGCCCTGCTTCATGTTTGAGGCGAGGAGTTTTGTGACGAGGGCGCCTCGGCTCACATCCAAGTCGGCAAAGTAGGTGCTGTTGCTCTTGTGGAAGTTGTAGTCGGTCTCTAGAAGGGGTGAACGTGAGAAGACGGAGACGGATTGAAAGATCGGGTGTGTGGTTTTGTCTTGTCTATGGGCAGCTAGGTATTGCTGAACTCGAGATGGTTTGCTCCAATTTCGATACATGGTGTAGAACAGGCGGAGATGCCAGGCGAAAGGAAGACATTTCAGATTAATTATGGCAAGCAGGAGAGCTGCCACGCGCCAGGAGGCAAGGGACGAGAGTAAGGGCATCGCGACGAACAGGGTGGAATGCTAGATGAGAAAGAAATCGAAACGAAGGTTGCGACGGTCACCGAGCAAAAGTCAAAGAGAGGGAGAGCATGTCACGTGGAATGACGACGAGAGAAGATGTACTTGAGCAAGTGAAGTCGGAGACACGTCCCGGGTTTATGTTGGATCACTAATAAGTAATGAGAAGACCATGAAGATGTGTTGAGACGGTAATTCGCTAAGACGACGATCCAAATGGAACGGCCAAGAATCAAGCGCTGACGAGGCAAGTACGAAGTACGCACATTCTTCGTATGTCACCGCCGCACCTGCAACTTTGCTCGCAGCCTCGTAGTCTTGGATGCCTCGGTCCAATCCTTACAGAATCACATGTTTCGTTCTTGGTCACTCGTTTCGGTCTCTAGTCGAAATGTACAGTATCTACTTAGACGAATAATGCAAACGAGCTAATGAACGAGATCTGCTTGATAACTTGGCATACATTGACCGGAGATCTCAGAATAGACTACTATACTACTATGCATCTAGATGGTCCACAGTGATCTCAACTTTTCCTTGCCATCATGTTATTTGTCTTTATCAGACGACTGCCTGCGACTGTACGTGGTATCACGTGAATTTCGCGGATAATTTCTCACCTTTCGGTTAGAGATGATGCGTGTTATTGCCGTGTGCGCGTGAGGTGGTTTTGGACCATGCTCTATGAATATTCAAGAGGGCTATCTGCGAGCTATATAGCCCGGCCCATTTGAGGCAAATCCAGAGATTGAGGCTGTCATGCCATGCAATGACAGGCTTCCTCAACTTAAACAGTAGAATAACAATTTGGTAGGGAAAATGGCCGTCAAATTTGGGGGTGTCGCACAAGACAAAACTTTCATTAGGTGGTATACATGGAAACCCGCTTCAAGCAAGACGAGTTCAAGAATCGTGGCAGGGCTCGTGTTGGCTGTCAAGTTATTTCTCCTCCTGTTCGTCGGCCGCTGGCTTCTTGGAGGACTTTTTGTGGCCTCCGTTGTTCCGCTTATGATGCTCCTTCTCTAGCTCTTTGTGTCTGGCCTCACGCTGATGTAATCTTTCTTCTTCGGCTGCCACCATCTCTTTCCACAGGTCATCGTTAGGATTGTGATGGCCTTGCGAAGTTTCTAGCTCGACTTGTTTTTCGAGGTATCGTTTATGTTCTGGATCGGTGGGGTCGAGATATCGCACTGTCTCGAAGCGACCTTCTTGGTTCCTTGAGTCAGCAATCTCGAAAGCGGCCGTGGCAATCAAAACTCCGAGGGTCAAGAATTGAGCGTAAACTCTGGCCTGGACAAGTTTCTGGGGTCCAGTTATGTACTTATTGCGGTTGACAATCGCAAAAGCTGCGGCCATAGAAGCCACCCAAGAACCGGCGACAATCTTGTAACGCTCTCGACGACCAAACTCCATGGCCTTTTCGGTAAAAGTGCGATTGGCCTGTGCTGCGGCAACTTTTTGTGCTTCTCGTTCTCGATACTGACGCTCCTTGGGGTTCTGGTCCGCTTCATATTGGCGGGAATATGTGTCTGCGTTGATGATGCCGGCAAATGTGCCGCTTGAGGTGACAAGGAAGGCTTTGAGAGGTAGTGTGAGATTGCGAATGAATGCATATCGTCGTTGTGCCAAAGCAACTCCCGCAAGTCCCACACCTAGGCCTACCACACCGCCGATTGTGCCACCGCGGAGGACGGCACGGTAGTGCTCTGCTTCTTGTTCTTTGGTGAGAACCTTCATGATTGGTGAATGTGTGGAGCGGTCAAAGGAAAGAGGGGTTTGCAGGCAAGGTCGAGGTCAGGGTTCTTTTTGTGGTGTAGTCAATGCTGTGTTCAATTATTTGGTGGTTGACGGCAAATGTCCTGTGACCAGACAGCTGGATTACGGACTTGAGTCGGAGAGAGGCAGGAGTCCGGTTGAGTTGGGAGCTGGAGTTGTTCTAGAAGGTCAAAAGCTAGAGCAGATGGACGAGTTCATAAGAGGGAGCAAAACTTCGGCGAGGTGGAGGGAAATCGGCGAGGTTGATCATGCGTATGCAGGTTGAACCTGGTCGAGATATATTGAAGAGCGAGCTCTCGAGTAGGTTATATTTGAAGTTGTATCGACTGCTCGACGGGCGGAAGCTTAGAAACTCTAGAGGTTGAGTCGGAATTTATTATTATTACCCACGATGCACGTTCCATGACATCAGTGGTAACGGATGCCTCTTTTATGCCTCCCTCAATTCGGTTGATGTTTTCCACCCGTTGACTCGTTGACTAGTTAGAGGAGAGCACTTCCGCGGGCTGATTACTGTATGAACTCAACCCTGTCTTCCCCGTCATGGGTTCTATGGCTCTCTTTGAGCGCCTCAAGTCTACTCACCAATCAAGACCATGTCAATATTTGTCCGTGATAAATAACGCAGCACCAAGGCCGAGATCATGCCCAACCCAGGAGTTCCAGGTGGAGTCGATTCCGGTCAAGCCTGGCGCTGGAGCCAGTTGCGATGGGTGCCATTGGAGGTCTCCGGATGTGCCAATTCTTCCTTATTGGGTTACTGGAGCGTGACTCCAGGGCCTAAGGGCCTAGGGCCTAGGGGTCTCTACATATTATTATGGTATTTCTGGAAGCCTTTTTGGGTATTCCGGTGGCAAGTGCCGACATTGGTTAGGTAGGTACCTATCTTAGGCAGATACCTAGGTAAGGTACCTATTGGCTTTAATTGAGCCATAGGGTCCTTCGGTCCCTCCCTTAGGTACCATCATGCCTACAAGATCCCCTATGCAAAACATCACCCCAGGTATCCCTAAGGTCCACCCTTTTGCCGCCCGAGGCCCCCGGATCCCGCCGATTTCTCGCCTCTGACTCGAGTGAAATTGATCGTTCCATCCCTCAAACTTTTACCCGAACTACTACTCGTATGTGCGTGCTTTATACATGGACTTTGCTGCCACTTATGTAACAATTATACCCTACCCGATTCCAGACGCATGGTCACACAGTGGTCTGAACGTATTCCCTGCAAATGAGCCATTTCGCATCTCCACAGACGATGTCTACGAAGTTAGTCGCTGCTTCTGTCTCGCTGCCGAGTTCCCAATCTGGTCCTTTAGGGCGAGGTGATCACAGGTGGCGCACGTGTATAAGTCTCACACGTGATGTGTATTTACTCAACGACTTCGTGGTGTGATATTGTCCATCAGAATTCGCCTTACACGTCTTCAATTCCTTATGATCATGCTATGCCAATTTCTCGGATTTAGTACTCGGAGCTCCCGCCGATTTTGCCCATTCACTGTCCCCATCCATGCTAATACTGAAAATACTTTGAGGAATTGTTTTGGGTCGTGGATTTCCGCCTTGCACCTTGACAGAGTATATCTCTCGGAAGTGCATCATTGATATTTGGTTCTACTGCTTAGTAACCCAAGCACTTGACCACGTCCCCCGCCCCAGTGCCCCAGATCATTACCAAGCTTCCTCGTCCCTAGCCCGTGTATCATCCTAGCGCCTAACAACGGTAGATACCTCGGGCACAATGGTGTAGCTGGTCGCTCCTGGGAGCAAGCGAGCTCGGTGCTGCGGTCGCTGTCCTGGTGCCATATTCGTCCTGGCCTTGGGTTGTACCGCCGGTCTCTGCAAACTATCATCTCGAGCCCTCGTTGGATCGTACGTGGCTCGCGCCCAAGTCTTCTTGGTGTAATCGTCGCTTCGTTGCAGGATTGGCCGCGACCATTCTTCCATCAACTTTGTCGCCTGCCGCTTGATGATCGGTTCTGGGCGTTTTGACTTTCGGTAAAACAGAATCACTTTGCCAATCCCCGATGATATCAATGTCTCCTTGTTCATCGGTAGCTTGGCTAGAGCTGCAAATAGTTCACGTTGGATGTTGTAGGCCGGTAGACTTCCGTCTGTTAAAGGCTCCAGGAAGAATCGCACTGCTTCCAGTAGGTTGGTCTCGGGGTCGAGAATGGACTGGACGTATGTATTCCGGTTCAACAGCGAGACCACTTCTGGAAGCATCTTGAGTTTCTGCGATGCCGGCAATCCCTGTCGAACCAACTCCCCATCGGCTTCTGCCGCCGCCACCATTCGGTTACGCATCTCCTCGATTTCTTGATCGGCCATCTGTTCCAGGTCCTGCTCAGGGAATTAGTATCAGCTTATACATCCTCTGGCCACAAACTTACAATCTCTCCCTTCCTTATTCTCTTGGATCCCGACTTCTTCACTGCTGCGTCCATTGCCCGATCCAGTGCTCGTCGTCTCCTCTCTTCCGGTGTTAGATCGTCCTCGTTGATTTCTGGCCGAACTGGCTTTGATCTTTTCTCCCCGCTCTGCGCACCTCCCGCTCTCCGTCTCTTTCCCTCAACTTCCTCGCCACCAGAAAATCCATCGTCGCTATCGTGTCTTCTTCGATTCTTCTTCACCTTTTCACGAGTCTTTTCCTTCCGCTTTTTGGGTTCTGGCTCTTCGCCTTCGACTCTTTTGCGCTTCGAAACCTTGATGCTTCGTGTGAGCGTGTCAAAGTCGGGGGCAACTTGCACCGCTGACGCATCAAAATCGGCAAACTGCGCTTCATCAACTTCGGAGAGGAGTGATTCGTCATCAGATTCGGCACCATCGATAGGGTCTGCATCGCCCTGGCGGTTCGGTTCGTCAAAGTTGTCGTCTAGATCGTCTAGGTGATCCTCGTTCTCCGAGGGTCGATCATCTCCCCCAACATCTGCAGGTGGGTTTTCCTCACCCGAGTCACTCATGCTAAAAGGGAAGTAGACGGAAAGCCTATTGAGGGGTCTCGTGAGGGACACTTGGAAAATTGAAACCGAGTGGGAGTGGAAGTGGGAGTGGGAAAGAATGAGGAATGTTGTCAATTGCAGATCAACGAGTTGCAGACAGACGGTCGCGCGTTGCCAAGTATAAATTATCTCCCGAGTCAACTCTATCACGTGACTATATCGACCATGACTCGGTTGAGATATTTTTGTAAAGTTCAACGTGTTTGTCATGTTCTTGTTCACGACAATCATAAATAGAGGATATGTCCAGGCCATTATCAAACAGTCTGTCAACCGCAGAGATGCTGTGTTCCGAAAAAATGCTCCACGGACACCACCCCATGCCTTATTTTCCTCCCAAACTCCCAGTGTAACGGCATTATCCTTGGGACTACCGACTACCTATCCCTTCCACGGCCCCTCATGTAACAAGACGGGCGCTGATGCAGTTGTTACATTGGTAGCCGCTCGAAGTTCCATTCTTGGCCCAACAGTTGGCATAATTGCTCTGGTTGGAAGTGGCAAGCTGGGCGGTCCATGTAACGCCCAAGCATTCCGGGGCATCCCCTTTTCGAAAAAAGTTTGTGTTCATGCACATGTATAGACAGTCCTCCAAACTGTAGGCGATGCTAGCTGTGATGTCAAAAACACGTTTGTCGGAATCCTCTCGGCTGACCAAGTTATTGTTGAAGTCGATTCCGCAGAGAAGGTCGAACTCGTCCCCTCGAGGGGTGGTGACGCTTGACGTCCCACATCCAGGGTATCTCAAGGTTCTGATAGTTGATGCAAGCGGCGCCACATAGTCTTCTAACGAGGCAGGGAGAGGAGATTCGGTAGAAGATGAGGGCGATCCTGAGCTAGTGGTAGGCGATGCGGCTGTGGTGCTTTCTGCGCCCCCGGCTGTGACTGTCATGGTTGTTGTTGTCACGGCAGAGGCCCTAACATTAACGTATTAGTACGAGGTCGCTTTCTTGGTCAGAGGTAGATAGATCTCACGAGTTGTTATTTCCTGACAAGGCTCCGGCTACCCCACCGCCAACAGCGGCACCCACAATCAGAGTAGTCAGCAAGCCAACAAGAAGTCCAAAAGCGAGCGGCGAGAGGCCCCAAGGGTTTCGTTTCTGTACAGGCTGCGGAGGCTCTGCCACGTCCTTGCCGCTTGTTTCATACTGATATTGTTGTAGAGGAGGTTGCAATGCGTGTGGCTGGGGCTGCGGTTGCATCTGCGGCTGCGGTTGTTGGTAGACAGATGGCTGAGGAAAGACGGACATTTGGGGATAGGTCTGTTGAGCAACCTCTGGATAGTTGTGGTCTCCAGCCGGTACAGGATATTTGTCCGCACCCTGCGACATGGTTGTCGGTGAAGAGATTGCTGTGCTCGAGGTGGCGAGCGACCTTTTCTCTGTCGACGACATCTGGGAATGTCGAAGCCTAACAAGCCTGATCACGGCCTTGCAAAAATTCACCAACGGTTAGAGGCTTGAATTCCAACGGCTTTTACAAGGCGGACGCCCTGCAACAGGAGGAGAACTGGAGCCTAGAGAGTAAAGGTCGTGGGTTACACAGAAATCCAGGGTGTAGTGATCGATCGTTGTGATCGGGGACCAATACAGCACCTCATAATATTCTAGCCACCGAAGGCACTTTCACCTGGGGCGAGTAGAGTACTTAGTGTCTCATCCTTCCGAGTGCAAAACTCATTGTTCGTTGGTTATCTGTTCTCTCGCAATGCTAGCCCGAATGTTAATAGCCCCCAGTCCATGTGGGCGCGTGATTGCGAAGACCACAACCAAAGGGGCTGAGGGGCTCAGAAGCATCAACCACTTGACCATGAGTGATACTCAAAAGTCGCGAAGGGGGCTGTTTGGGAACCAGTGGAACACACTAAAGAGAGTGGAATGGAGCTTGGCCCTTTGTGATTCGAGACGCTTAAGCTACAAAGGCCCTGAGGCTTGGTATTCAAGCCTGTTAAGAACGAGACCGAGCAGATCCGTCTGCAAGGCCTCCTACTCCGTTTTACTTGGTCGAACTCCTTCCGTTCTATACTCTACTTGGCGGACGGACAGATTGGATTGACTGGGCCAGCGTTCGAGTAAGTGGTGAAGAATCATGTAGCGTAGCAAGTGACTCTCGGACAGATCATAGAATATACAAGTGATGGAATAGTCCGAGTCCGAAGGAAAAGGCTCTTACTATTAGGCAGAGGTGAGAGCAAGATGGATTGAATAGGGCCACCCGAGACGAGTCCAGAAACACATGCGGAGTAAGGGCATGCTAAAATGGCCGAATACGAGACACAGTTAGACCTCGAGTTGACCAATAGCTTCTAGCACTCAAGACTGTATTGACCTTACCCGGTTTCAGGCAATCTCAGCCTGTGGCCCCTTTTACTTGTTAGTGTCTGCAACTTTATTGATCCAGGACCTGCGACCAAGGCAGAGTAGGAGTATTTATTACTGTACCGAAGAGCCTTATCGATCCAAGCCACATGATGACATGCATGATCGGAATGTACCGACTTCCTCCAGGTACAAGTACATATACCGGTCCTCCTTGCTGTGGATAGTCTTTATTGGAATGGATTCATAAGGCTACCATGTACTAGATGTATACTGTAAGCAACATATGTACAGTATATGTGCGACCTACGAAAGCTATAAGATTACGCAATACGTCGAGGAGCTCGCACCGCGAAGCAGAGAGTATAGCTTTATTATACATAGACCTCCTACACAAAGTCGAATTCAATAATAATCAGACGTGAAACGTGTCCCTGTTCAAGCCTAGGTTTTGGCTATTTGTAACTATTTCCAGAAACACGTGACAGTAATATTTAGTAGATGAATCTTGTTGGACTATCTAGATCTGATGCGCGATTAAAGTAAAGCCTAGATGCAATGTTCGTCTAAAGTAGGTACTTTACCTGATTCATGTATCGAGCTCTGGGATTTCGAGATACATACAAACAATGTTGGGAATGATCCTTAAATGCACCGTAGTAATCGGTCTATGAGAGCCAGTCTTGTAGGGAGGAACATTTACCCTCCATCGGAACCATGAGCGCAGCCTCTCTGCGGAGTTGAAAGAAATCCCATCACAATTGATTGTCAACGTCAAGCTACCACCAGTAAAAAAACAGACTCGTCTATATACCCCGTCGACAGCCCGATTACTTGTTACCATCCGCCGTCGCCCTAATCATTCTCTACGCAGCCTTTCCCACCGGTTCGATCCTCTTTGCACCATGTTTGGCGGCCGTAAGTTGATCTCATAACTCACCTCATTGCGCCTAGCGGTTCTTCAACACGAAGATAGCACCCCTTCCTCTCCATCGTGCAAAACATATCATGAGCAAGATCATGGCTGACTCATACTCTTCTTCTATGCTGCAGCATCCGAACAGCTCTCTGAAGCTGAGATTCGCGAAGGCGAGGCCGCAGCAACTCTTCAGGTGCAGGTCTTTACCGTCGCCTGCGCCGCCTTGTGGTTTTGTATGTTGATATGGACCAAGATTGTGTCGTTCTTTTCGCTAATCAGCTGTTCTGTACAGCTCCACACGTTGTCGAATGGGTGCATAAACTATTTTAGACATGGACATTGTTTCTGTGAACCGGCGAGGCCCAATTAACCAGGGCGAGGATGAACTCGGCGAGGTTTGATGCTGGCATGCAAAGCTAGCAAAATCCTTGCTCGGTGTACACTACATGTACAGTATCACGATCTAAAGGGCACGGAAGGGCCGAGGGGCCCAGATGGTGCCGGGGGGGGGCGAAATCGCCAACGGCCGTGTCTCAGATAATCGACCACATACAGGATCTTCAATTCATTATGAAAGAGGCTTCTTGCGTTTTCCCGACAGAGTCTCGCTTTCTTATGCAAGACCGCTATGCAAGACCCCGTGCCAACTATCCCCGGAGCCTATGTTTTATCGGCTGACCAAGCTGTCAAAGCAACCCCCCGGCGGATATCGTGATTGTTGAGGATGGCCTGATCGGTTACCGTCGTCGAGGAAAATCATTGGCCTCGTCCTTGGAGATTCTACTCCAATCCTCGAATTCCTCCTTGACCAGTTCCAACTCCTTGTGGAGATGCCGCAGTTGTATGTCATACGCCTCTAGTGTCTGTGATCCTCGTTAGCGTTTGGCACATGCTGCAGGAAATTCAACACATACCTTCTTGGCCGCTCGCGTTGTCTCCTCGTCTAAGCTTGAGTCTTCTTCCTTGGCGGCAGGAGCAATCCTATCCATTTCGGCCTTGATTCTCTTGCTCCTCTCTCGGATGCTCAGCATACGGGCCCAGATTTCCTGCTCCCGAGCATTCAAACTTGGATCCAGTATGTCTTGCTGCAACTTCTCCAACTTTGTTTTCAATTCCTCTTCGGCATTATCCATCACGTAGCCCCGATTGCGTAGGATCTGGACTTTGACTGCCAGGGCCAAGGTTCTCTGCGCGGCCGCGGCCTGTCTTCGCTTACACTCTTCCAGACGCGTCGCCACATTCTGGCGATGTTTGTGGAGTTGATCGTCCAGCGACGTATTAATCTCTTGCAGCATCATATTGCACCGTTGGATTGCCTCCATTTGGATCTGGGCCTTTCTTCCCAGTTCAAAGAATCCTTTGACGAGAAGAGGCACCCATTCGGGACCGGGCCGTTTCGACACCGCTTCCTCCCACTTGTCTTCATCCTCACCAGGGCCTGGTCGGTACTTCAGAGCCTCTGTCTCACTGCCCACGTGTTGGTAGATGTACGTTCTCAGCGGAGATGAGGTGTTGGTGAAATCCCACTTGTTCTTGACAATATTCATTTGTGCCGGGATCGATCGATAGACATTTAAGCCCCGGCCCTCTTCCCATAGTGACTGCGATTGAGGTTGTCCCTGTTGTGATTGTCCGAATTTCAATACTTGATCTTGCGGTCTTTGTGGCGGCTGCTGTTGTGTTGTCTGGGTGGAAGATCCAAACAATCCTGGCGCAGTACTGGACCCGAATAGTCCCCCAGCTTGCCCTGGTTGTTGTCCAGCTGGCTGTTGATTTTGAGTGGATGCGCCAAAGAGTCCACCAGGTTTGTTAGTCGAGGCACCGAAGAGCCCACCACCTCCACCACCAAGTAGGCCTCCACCCTGTTGTGGTTGATTTGCAGTATTGGTTGATGTGCCAAATAGTCCCCCAGGCTGTTGAGGTTGACTAGACGCGATTGTGGAAGCCCCAAAAAGTCCACCACTTTGTTGTGGCTGGCTCGAGGTCGCGGTCGAGGCTCCGAATAGTCCGCCACCTTGTTGTGGTTGGGTCTGAGTGTTTGTTGAAGTGCCAAAAAGTCCACCGGACTGCTGAGGTTGAGACTGTGTTGCGGGCTTGCCAAAATTGAAGCCTCCGAACGGCGACGATGTGGATTGTTGCGCTTGTTGTGGCTGACCGAAGAGTGACATGGCTGCAGGTCTATGTGTGGCTTTGACGGTTGCGCCTTGGTAGAAGGGTGAGGGCAGTATGAAAGAGAGATGGGACGGGGAGAGAGATGCAGACGGGGACTGCGGTCAGTCAAGTGTTGGAAGAGCAGAGCAGATGGAGCACCTCAGACACTCATGGCGAAGGAGGAAAAGTTCGAGACCAAATAGACATGAGCTGGGTTGCTGACGAGGAGGAGAAAGGGATAGTGTCAAGAGTCAAAAGTCAAGGACAAGATAGGATAGGATATGACAGGACACAGGTGAAGAATCAAGTTGACGATGGATTCAAGGACTCAGCAGAAGCACCAACAATTTGTTGGAGGCTCGTACACGCGAGGCAGGAGCACCGACGCGAAAAACACTGCTGCGGGTCAACAGTATGTACTCCGTAGTGGCTGCTCCTTCCATCTTCCCTCTGGCTTCCTCCGCAATCCAAGGCTTGGCATATTAAAGCAGCAGCCACTAGATAGCAAGTTTCACAGTCAAGGTTATCCAAGACTTGGCATGTATCTCAAAGGCGGCAAGATGCTTTGCCTGGTCACAAAGCTCCGCAGCTCACCACCAACGTCAGTTGCCCTCAGATTAAACGACTGCTACACAACCGTCCACGATATCTTGACTTCATTGCAGACATTCAGCGTCCTCTCATTCATTCCCTGTAGCCATGGCGGACCGGGAAGCAAGGTAAGCTGTCCTCAATTCCGTCAGACCACCCTCTTATCCCTTGCCAGATTCAATCAGGGTGTCCTGATCGACACTACCCCGATGCCCGACCATATTCCCAAAGTCAAGGAGATCGGAGCCAGTTCCGCCCCGTTGATGAGCGCGTCTTATTTCATCGGTGCCCGGTGTCGAGCATACAACGACGACTACATGCAGTGCAAAAAAGAGTCTTATGGACGAGGAGAACTCGACTGTTTGAAAGAAGGTCGAAAGGTCACACGGTGTGCGGCGAGTGTGTAAGTGTCGACCAATTCAACTACCCAAACACAGAACTTGTCATCATCTGCCGGACGATCCGAAAATCTGAGAGATTTGCACTGACAAGGCTCTGACTTTGGCAATTACAGGTTAGAAGACATCAACAAGAGTTGTCTAGCAGAGTTTCGACGGCACTGGGAATGCCTTGAGAACAACAACCATCAATTATGGCAATGTCGACGGGCGGAGAGAGTTTTGAACAAATGTGTATTTGAGAAGATTGTAAGAACACCCCGGGGGAGCAGCAATACACTTGGTATGAGTCGGCGTGGGTCGCTAACAGTGCGAAAATCACTAGGGCCTGGAGAAGACGATCCCAGATACACCGAAAGGCCAAACCCCGGTCCATTTACGTGACTATCAAATATTTGCGAGGAACCCCAAGGTTGCATGATGATAGCATGCGGGACGCGTGAAGCTAAAGCGCCCTAGAGAGCAGACGAGTGACATAAAGCTTCACCAGCAGCAAAAGCAGCCGCCACTATGACCTCTGTATCTTCGATCGTCAGGTGTCTTTCAGGCGAATATGGCGAAACTCAAGGGGCGGCCAGAAAAACATTGTACATATATTCCAACACGCCCCTTATCAGCGAGACGATAGAAGGTCGATGTGTTGGAAGTGAATCTGTGGCAGGCCAAAATCTTTGCTATGAGCATAAGCTTCCCCCATAGAATCTAGCATTGGCTCTCTGCAATGGGACAATCTGTAGGCAAAGGAATGATACCAGCAATCACCACACAGCAGATGATGGGGGACAGGAGTGACAACTAACGTTGAAAACTATCAAACCGTAGGTAGGTAGTTTAGGCGTGACACCCTCCAGAACCTCGTTCCATAAGCCTCGTAAACACCCAGTATGGCATCTCTAGGGGCGTCTCTAGGGCCTTCGCTGGAGCCCTCGGGCCCCCACAGAAGGTCCAGAAGCCCTAAGCTTCAGCTAAACTCAGCTTCTTGCCCCAATTTCTCGGCGCCCCGGGCCAAGTGGCCAACTCATCAACTCTCATGGCTAGACAAGTCGACCTTTGAGCATCACCCAACACCCAACCAATTCAACACCACTATCGTCACCTTCGGTTCGCACCGTCGCATCTGCCTACCAGGTGACCTTGACCTCGACTACTCAATAGACGACCGTTGTTCTTCCATGCCACGTTCCTAGTCCGGTTGCATCCTTTGGCAGGGGTCTTCCAGGTTCACTCTTCCCACACCTGGCATCATGGCCACCTCAAGTCTCTCACCACTACAATCTCCTCCTCCTGTGTCCTCGAACAATTCCACCCTAAGGCCTTCGCATGTGAACCGCGCCTACACCGCTCCTGACAAAATGTCGGTTAACGGCCACTTTGCCTCCGCTGGTCAGAACGGCACCGCCAACTTCGACAATGGTGTTCAGGTCATTGACGAGGACAAGGAATTCAAGTAGGTCGACCATTTCCCCACACTTTCGATCGCATGACAGCTCACTGAATCTCGCAGTCCTGATCTATCGAAATATCTGCAACACACTGACGTGGCCCACGCCGGCTTCAACTACCATACCATCTCCGTCTTTGGATCTCAATCAACGGGTAAATCCACCCTACTCAATGCCCTGTTTAGCACCGATTTCTCCGTCATGTCCGAGGCCGAGCGACGACAGACAACAAAGGGAATATGGTTGTCAAAGAACAAGTCCGCTGCCTCAATGGCAGACAATATCCTGGTCATGGACGTTGAAGGCACAGACGGTCGGGAAAGAGGCGAGGACCAGGACTTTGAACGCAAGAGCTCCCTCTTCGCCTTGGCCACCAGCGAAGTATTGATGATCAATATTTGGGAACACCAAGTCGGACTATATCAAGGAGCAAACATGGGACTACTAAAGACCGTTTTCGAGGTCAATTTACAGCTCTTTCTCAAGGACAAGAAGTCAAGTACAAGGAGTCTCCTCTATTTTGTCATCCGAGACTTCTTGGGAACAACCCCATTGCAGAATTTGCGGAATACTTTGATGCAAGACCTCGGTCGCATCTGGACAAGCCTTTCCAAACCGTCGGGGCTCGAGAATAGTAGTATAGATGACTACTTTGACTTTGCCTTCACAGCCTTGCCCCACAAGTTATATCAGCCAGATCAATTCAAGTCCGAGGTCGCCAAGATGGCCCAAAGATTCAACAATGGCCACAGGGATCGAAGGAGAGATGCACTGTTGGGCGAATTCGAGGGTGGTATCTTCCTCCCAGAGTATCATCGGAGAATTCCCGCCGACGGATTCTCCCATTATGCAGAAGGTATCTGGGATCAAATTGTCAACAACAAGGATCTGGATTTACCAACACAGCAGGAATTGCTAGCCCAGTTCCGGTGCGACGAAATCATGCGAGAAGTCATGCTCGCCTTTGATGCTGGTATTCTTCCATTCGAGACCCAACAACTGGATGCTGTCAAGGTCGGCCGACCAGAAATCATCTCCGGCCTAGGAGCGGCCATGAAGACCACGAGGATAGAGGCGATTCAGAATTTTGAGACCGAAGCGAGTCGATATCACAAAGGCGTCTACCAAAGGAAAAGGACTGAGCTTGAGAGCAAAATCGACACCAGGTTGAAGGCGCTGTATTCCGGACAGCTCTCCGCTGCACATAAAGATGGAGTCCAGCAATTCTCGGATGCCGTCAGTGCGGCTGTCAAATCCGGACAGAAAAAGGGCGCGTCATATGATTTTGCCGAGATCGTCAAAGAACAAAAGAAAATCGCTCTACAAAAGTTTGAAACAGCCGCACAAGAAGCCACCCTCGAAGGACTTGCGTGGTCGAATTACAAGCATGAATTCTCACTCTATCACAAAGACCTTGACAAGGTATCTGGCCAACTGCGCCGGGACGAAATGCGCCGGCTAGCCACAAGGGTTGAGCGCTGGGTCCGGAGTAAGTTGAACGACAGCATCGGCCTGGAATTCAATGCCCTCGGCTCAGGCCGTGGTGGTGGAGGCGCGCCAGAAAGCGGAGACAGATCTACGGAAAAAGGCATCTGGGACCGCATCTGGGTTCTCTTCACCGAAACCGTGTCTGAGGCCGAACAGCGATTTGCAGCCCGCGCGGCCTCATTTGACGCCAGCGATGAAGAAGTTGAGGTTGGAATTTGGCGGCTGCGAAGGAAATCGTGGGGCGTGCTGCGCGCAAAGATCGACGAGGAAATGATGGAGGGCAACCTATTGCTGAAATTGCGCGAAAACTTCGAGGACAAGTTCCGGTATGACGAAGCTGGCGTACCAAGAATCTGGCGCCCTACGGATGACATTGAGGGGATATATACCAAAGCCCGAGAAAGTACTCTCACACTCATTCCTTTGCTCTCACGATTCCGGCATTCTGAAACCGGGAGTCCACCGCCTCTTGACCGATGGATTGGCCCGACGCCATCGGCGGCTACTGCTGCCGATGAAGAAGATCTCACTCCCATTGGCGGAGTAGACGAAGACGAGGGAAAGAGTCTTGAAGAAGAGACGACGATCCTCAACGAAGGCAAGCGACAAGACCTGACGGTGCGATTCAAAAAGGCGGCCGATGGTGTCTATGTCGAGGCAAAACGTAGCGCGATTGGTGGCATGACCCAGGTGCCTTTGTACTTTTACGGTCTCCTCCTTGCCCTAGGCTGGAACGAGATCGTGGCTGGTAAGTGGATATTCATTCCATTGTCGGTGGTATGGGATACTAATACTGAGCCATTACAGTCCTTCGCAATCCTGTCTACTTCATGTTCCTGATCCTTCTCGGGATCGCTGCATATGTTATCTTCACCCTCAACCTTTGGGGACCTCTTATCAACATGACCAACGCTGCCTCCCAACAAGCCCTGTCCGAAGGCAAGAAAAGGCTCCGAGAATTCCTCGACGAGTCGCCCGCCGCAAGACAAGCGCTATCTGCCGCTGGTGGCGACGAGTACGAATTGACCAGCAGATCACCAAAAAGGTCGAGTAAGTTGAAGACGGATGGGGCCGATGATGACGGGGATGAGATCTAGAGACGATGACTATATCATGTCGCTGTTGGGGACGAGAAGTCCAAAGCAGGCATACAAGCAAAAAGCAGAACGCACGTGACGATACGACAGAATCAGATTCAATCTTGTCTAGTAGAATTGGATCCATGACCACTTGATTCAGGAACCTTCATACATAGCCAGGACTGCCTGCGTCTATTCTGATGAATGATAAGGCGGCCCTGGTGCGCTGGTGTTAGCGGCATAGAACGGTATAGCACAGTATTACACCACATAATCTCAATGATGACCATGGCAATCAATATTCATCCATCCGCGCTGTACGATAGTCTAGACACCTGTCTCCTAAAGGAATGATCAGTTGTTGCCCCGAGCCTATAAGGCCCGGCCTCAAAGGGACCGATCGCCCACTCCGACAACCCTGTTGGAATGCGAATGCCAGCAACATGGCTACACTGCTTTAAGTTTGATATGTCTAATCTCCAGTAGCCGTCTCTCTTCTAAGCTCTGGTGGAGACCTAGCAAAAGAGAACTCTATGTCCGATGATGTGGTCGAAAGTAGCCTTAGTACAACCCATTTCTGGCCGCGTCTTACGCATCTGGGCTAAACAACTGGCTGGGGCTAAAGATCTCGCATAGCCTCACTTCGCCTGACAAGAACCAACTTACTGTGTGATGAACCGTGGTTCCAGCGTGGTATCTTGCTCGCTGGAAGACATGTACCAGATTGGGGTACAAGAATTAGGTTCACTAGAAGCGAGGCTTATGCCTCAGACTTGAAGTACTACTACTACAGAGCCGCCAGAGACGGCATTTATCATATGCGGGTGTGATATTGGGCAATTGTGTATAGCTGATACTCGTACTATCAAGCATTTGGACGCCCGTGGTCCAACGAGTTAGTTGTTCCTGGGCCCTTGCGATGGCTTCTTGATTCGAACGGGAAATGTGAGGATGATATAAATTCCTCGCTGATGAGTGATAGGGGCGCTTGTCGATCTCAGCAAACAGATCTAGTGGAATGGGTGGTGGGTGGGCCTTCAGAAATGTTAATGTATTCATATTTATCAGGTTCCAACAGATCTGATGTTGCTATCGTGTACACCACGAACTTCGCTTTGACCAAGCTGCAGCAGATGGCGGGTTTTCCTATAGAATATATCGAAATTGTTTGTTCTGTGAACGATTTGGTTAGATCTAGCCGTCCTTTTTGAGACGGGGAACAAAAGCACACATACCTTCATATCGGTGAGATCATCATCATAGGCGTGTTCAAATCCTTCCACAGTGCCAGCCTTGTCCCGCTTCCTGTTCTCCCATATGCATACATAGCGATAGACCACTGCGAGAACAGCTGTAATGGCTGAAGTGATTACGACAGCCATGAAACCTGGGGCATATGCCGGCGCGTCCTCGGGTTTGAAGAGTAGAGGCCCAACAAAATTTCCTGTTGGGAAGTCAGCCAAAGCCACGTCCACTAACGCTCGAGTTGTGCAGGAGAAGTCTGAGAAAAGACTTACCGAGGCAGTAACCGATAAAAATCCCGGACGACGAAACACTTCGTTTTGTATAGCCAGCAGTGTTGGCAATTTGCATACCCATCAAGACAGCGTAGGCTCCACCAAACGATGCCAATATATAGACACCAAAGAGCAAGCCCCCAATGGCACTTCGAGGCAGTACCCAGAGCAAGATCGAGGCAATGAGTGTACCCATTTGACAACCAACAACCAGCCATGATCGGATATTGGGAATTTTATAGGCAAGATACGGGGCAAACCACTCCAATGTCCCAATAATGAGGCCCGCTGGCATGACCAGAAGCAGAGAATTGAGAGTGTTGAACCCAAATCCCGAAATGATAATCGGCGCAAAGGTCGAGACAGGGCCGTTGGCGATCATCATCAGGAAAGACATAGCAAAGACAATCCAGAATTTGATGTCGACCATTAGCTCAAATACCTGCTGTTTCTTGAAGTGGGTGTTCCTAACACCTGAGTTGTTCGACCGAAGGCGAGCGACTGCGATATATCGCTCCCGTGTATCAAAGCCTTTGGCGCGGATTGGGTCCGGAGGCATAAAGAAATAGATGACCACTGACCAAAGAATGGTCAAGGAGCCAGCGACAATATACATATACCTCCAGGGTGACAGGGATCCCTGGATGTGACCGAGGCCATAATTTATCAAGGGCGAGATGATCGAGACATAGCCAGTACAGCAGTACCAGGCTCCCATACGCAGGGCTTGTTCGTTTTTCTTATAGAACTGACCGACGACCAGCATGAACATGGGACTGATGCCAGACTCAAGAAAGCCTAGGAAGAATCTTTGAGCGTAGAGGCCCTGCCATGTCTGACACGCCACAGTACAGATCAGGCAAACTCCCCAAACGAAAACGATGCCAGAAGCGACTTTTTCAATTGGATATCGTTGAGCCATCCAGATGGCAGGGTAGGCACCAACGATGAAACCTAGGTAGAAGATAGCCGACGACATCGAGTATCGATTACCGGTTAGTTCGAGATCAGTGCGCAGTCCAAAGAGAGCCTGGACTCATGTCAAAACTAATGGTCGAGTGGTTTGGTAGTGCTATAGACGTACCGCTTGAGAGATCATGGCTTTGTCATAATCTGCCGCATGGTTGTCAATAGTTAGCAGACATACCACCGACTTTGACATCTAACATGGTTTTCAAAAGGGTAGGGTTGTTGAGAACTCACATTGTAAACCATACGTTGCCATGAGGATTGGAAGAAGTCTCTTGTCAATCTTCCTTGTCACACGTTTCTCCTCAGCTTCCTCCCACTCCTCTGGTCCATCATAATTTGCCAGAACTTTCATCGCCTCATCCTGGTGGATAGTATCGACGGTGACATTCCTCTTTAGCTCTTCCTGGCCCTTCTCAGAGGTGGCTGTATCCTCACGATGGACTTCCTGGGTCTTCTCGATATCAGCCATGATGGGTGGGATTGAGAATGAACGCTTGGCAGGGGATTTTTGATGAACAAAGCAGGAAGGTTGGTAACCTGGAACTGACAAACCGGCCTGCTTGCAGATGGAGAGAAAAGCCTGAAAGCACACGCAACGAGTGTTTTATATCACCACAGAGCAGCACTCCCTGGGGAAATTCCTGGTGAGTAACCGATCGTTACCCATGCTACTGATGGACCGAATACAAGGTGATGGGCATTGCCCGAGGTCTTGAAGCTGGATCTCCGCGTGCTCCTCACCAGGATGGCAGCGCCGATCAGGGATTCAGGACGGGGATGTGAGAACCTGGGGAATTGAACATCACAATTGAGGCTGGGTGCTCCACAATCAACACCTCATTTGACCCGAGTCAGCGAATATCGTCAGTATTCCCTGACCTCATGGCATGAAAGTTAGTTCATGTGTGTTGGCAGAGTGGGTCATAGCCCTTTCTCGAGTCTCGAAAGGATTGTCGTTGGTGTATCATTCAAAAGTACATGCATCTCGCAGTCGGAGGGTTCCCCGATCGGTTCTGGTCGAGTGATCTCTAGCAGTGTCCTATGCATCTAAACCAGCTCCGCATGCCGGTTCACTCTTTCTGAGAGCCGAGGGATGCTTGCGGAACTGATCCAGGATCATATGGTAATCTGAGGCCGCCATTGAGGAGAAGAGTTAGAGAATGCTGGGCACGTCTTGGTATACAATCTCTTGGGTTTCTTATTGGCGGCCAAGCGTCCTGGCGCCATGGAGTAGATGGGGTTTGACGCTACTTACCCATCGTACAAAGCGTGACAAGCTCAATTCCCCCTCATTTCCCCAGTATTTCCTGAATGCCAGTGGGAATAGGCGTGGGGGCCCCTCGTATTCAGAGGGGACGGGGCCACTGAGGCTAATCTGGGGAGTTTAGCTACAGAACAAGATTTGGAGATCTGGAGCGAAGGCGTTGCCTCCCTTTGCTCGAAACTCTTGATCTTCGCCTACTTGCGGTTCCAAGAAAGGAATCGAAAAGCATATTTGGGGCAGAAGTCTTACTCTGAATGAAGACATTCAAGATCAAACTCTGGCAGCCCTCAAATGGTGGGCTAACTACTCGTCTGAGTTTGGACATGTTCATTTCATTGGCCCAGCATCGTACATTACACAAGACGTGGAGGGTGAATCCCGCATCAAGAGATGTGGATATGTGGTTCCCACCCCCCAGCTACAACGAGCTACTTTCTGCTTTATTCTGCTTATCAGTGTGCTCGAAGCGTCAAGATCGCCAAGGCTTCGGTTTGAGAGACGGTGGAGATACAGAAGTACGATCCAATAGCCGATAGATAGACCGCAAACCCTGTCGTGCCTGTCCAAGATCTTGACTCGGCCGCCTGAAGAATCGAAACCCCTTGGAGTAGTCGTAGGTGCTCGGTACCGTACAAGGTTATCCTCGGTATCCATTCGGCACCGCATGAGGAGTCGGGCACTCTTTACCCAGAATGTTCCCGATCCGAGCTGCTTCCCCTCCATATCGAGATATCACCACTGAAGTGAAGACGTTGCCCGCTGCCATTGTAAGTGCAGCATCGACATAGTCCCATTCCGACAGGTTCAGCTCGTTGGCTTGCTTCATTCGCTTCAGCTCTTTCAGAATGTCCCGTTCAGTCTGAAGTTGGATTGCATAACAGGCTGCCTTGGCATCATCAGAACTCGTGTAATCGAGGAGATTCTGCACGACTGCAACAATATTGATCAAGTGCTTGGCTTTGCCATGTTTCCAATTTTCATATTCCTTCTGGTAAGATGCAATGTCGTTTGCAATAGAGAAATGGTCCCCAACTATTTGAAGGTAGCGTTGTAGTTTCGGGGCCTTGAGATCAACACTAGATTGGAGAGAGAACTTCAGACATGAGTAAGAGTAGCTGTAAAAGGGTTAGTAGTGAGTGTTTGTCGTCTCAACGTGCACTTACCTCATGGCAACATCTTTGTACCGATAGTCCAAGTAATCTCTGACACTCGTGAAATTCGTTTTAGGTTGGGCATGTTGGCAGAAGTCGATCAAGGCATTGATGACATCAATGCCACCATTCCCAATTATGGCATCCTCTTGCAAGAACCCACGGTGAACTTCTGAGATGCGCCTTTGAAGTGGAGTATCAGACATGACAAGCGGAACATTCCCCTGAATTCTTTGAATGAAATCATCTTGGACACGTTTGATCTAACGGAAGGTCAGTCTCCACCCCACAGCTTCTTCGTACACCGCATGTCTGATTTAGAGTTCTCACATTATTGGCATCGGTTTCCTCCCATGTGTCTGGACTTGGTGAGCCCGAATATTTTGGCATGATGAAAGACGAAAAAGAAGATGAGCACATACC